GGGGGGCGAATGAGAATTGAAATATATCGAATGTATAATTATAGCTTGGTGAAGTGTAGTTATACAGCACGAGTAGTTGGTCACTCAACTCCAATGAAAACAAAGCCAATAGCTCTACCGGGTAAAACGAAAACTGCCAAACAATTTACGTTGCACCGGTGTCGCCATCTAGCAGTTATCCCGTGAAAGTGCATTTGTAGAATCAGACCATTAATTATATTAATGATGTCAAATTTATCTAATAGTGATTAATCATAAGTAACGACTTCGATTTTTGTCTTATTAAAGCGAAACTACGTGCTTGAAAATTAGGCAATTCGGCCATATCGAGTTTTTTGGGAGAAAAAAATATAAATAGACTAGCTATCTTACCAGAGTAAATCAAGTTACCGATTAGAATACCTACGTTGCCGATAAAGCAATAAGCACTGCTGATGGGTACCAATGGGAAATAGTATTGGAGCTGCGACGTCATAAATCAAACTCAAAGCAACTTTTCCATTGGTCGATGCCTTTGGTTTGAATAAATCGTGGGGACTTGATTTTTCTGTTCAGTAATATTATTAATGAAACAAAAATTTAAATGAACATATGATACTTACCACTTTGTTGAAAATTGTACAGTAACATAGTCATGCATAGGAAGTTAACGTAATTATAAAAACTGAATTGGTTTCAATTTCTTTTTTAATTAATTATTAAAAAATGGGTGTCCTGCAGTTGATCATCTGCAGTAGATGGAAATGAATTTCCCCAGTATATCTGTAATCGTTAAGAATGAGAATAGTGTGATTGTCTAATGTTTCATTAAAATGTTAACTTTCTTCATATAATTTCCGTGAATTGATTTGACTTATTATTTAAATAATTATTTACTTAATTGAGTAAGGAAGATGAGCTCCGACAAAGCAGCCACAAAAACTTCTCATTATCGCAGAAACGAACGCGAGGAAGCAGATTTTGGGCCACCAATGGATCTGTCATTTAAAAAAGCTACAAATATGGATGGTAATTTACCCATTTTTTTTCAAATGTGTAACTTTCCTTCTGTGCCTGCCCGAAGGTAGAAAGACAGAGTGGAAGTTTAAAACATGGATATAGTTGTGCTTCTACGTACGTTGAATGATTCTAGAGATCTGGCTAAGGAGACTGCACGTTCAATACGAACAGGAAAAATTCCATTAAGGTCATCGAATAAAAGATTCCTGACAAGTACATTGTGGCTGAATAATAATTCTTTGAGCTCCATGTCAAATTTGGATAACTTGGTGAACCAGATTCTAGACGATTCATCCAGACTAGCTTGGTTGGATTTGTCCTTCAATAATCTGACTGAAATAGGAGACGAAATCACAGCTTTTCGGCAATTGAAAATTCTTTACTTGCATGGCAATCAGTTGGCAAACATCGGACAGATAACGAAGCTACGTAAGTTAAGAGTACTACGTAACCTGACTCTTCATGGAAATCCAATAGAACATGAAAACTCCTATCGAGTCTTTGTCATCATGGCATTGCCCCAACTCAAAAAACTCGATTTTTCCACCATAATACCCGAGGAGAAGCTTAAAGCTGCGCCTCCTGGATTCTTCAAAGTAATAAGCTCCAATATTACAACATAGGATATTTATCCTCAATTGGCTATTTACAATCTCAAATATTATAGACGGGAGAACGAATTATCACGAAATTTTTCTATATATGTCCAGACAGACACGCACTCCCGCACGTTTTTAAAACTGTAAAATTTTCATTTCTTTCTCTTCACAACAAATACTCACACTTTCATACGTTTACACTTTTTTTATTATTACTCTTATAAGGCGAAAGTATACCTGATTTTCTAAATACCCGAGGGTTTCCGTCCATTTGTCCTATTACCTGTCCACTGTATAACGTTTACCCCAACGGTGCACCGTATGACTCATACCGTGTGCCCCAGCACTAAATTATCGGTATAAAAGTTATATTTTCTAAAAGAAATTTACGAAACAAAAGTTCGTTTAGCGAATTCACAAAGAACTCAACAAGAGGCACCAATCAACGAATGTCCACCGTCGAGTTCCTGGAAATCCCCTGGTTGATATTTTCGGATTAAAAAAGAATTATCGATGCTTGAGCGTACTCGAATTCAGTGTCGTCGATGCTTACTACGATGTTTACTGGATTTCTCCGTGTCGCGATCCCTTGAACGACTTCGTGACCTGTATCGACTCCTGGAGGATTTGTGACTACCCGATCGTCGTCTCTGCGCCTTTTTCGGCTTCCTCGACCTCCCGTGACTGTGACTCCGTGAACGGCTTCTACTCCCATGCTTCTTTCTTTTCGAGTGCTTCGTACCTTCTCCACGTGATGGTGACGTACTCGCTGTCCTCGATCGCCTACAAATAGATTTTTTAATAATAAAAATAATATTCACTGCCTATAACTTAGACATTTCTATATCACACAATATAGATTAATTAAACGCATTAAAAATGTACGGTTCTTAATATATACAGTACCAAGATCAATGTACCTGGGTGACTTAGTCCTTTCAGGTACAGCATGAGTTCCACTACGACTAATGAAACCACCCCATGCATTATGGTGCTTAGGCAAGGGTGGACTTGGTGTATGACCATCAGTTTCCCCTCTGGCTTTCGTTCTGGCTTCCTCGTACTTGCGGCGGAGTTCTTCTACTCGTTTTTCTAATTGTTCAGGCCTTACGCGAGGTCTAAAGTAGAGCCTAAGAATTCTTCTACAAACATCTCTGATGGACACCTCAGTCACTTTAAACAGACAGAACCACGCAGGTGATGATGGCAGTGGAAGTTGTAATTGACGAGCACCCAAATAGACGCAGGCGCAAGCAACGGTTTCTGGTTGATGCCGAAGAAATACATCAGAACGGAGTGAGTCGTTCATGTAATTCCAGCATTTTTGCATCAAAGCAAGATTCTTCTCATAGCCTAGCACCTAAACAATCAAAGGCAAAATAGTTCTATATTGATGTACAAATATTTTCAGAATATATCCGGATATTATAGTGAAGTAATACTAATTCCAAACAGATTAATGATTTACCTGTAAATACATGACAATGATTTTGTGTGGATGCTTAACGTGGACACAGAATCCCAATTCCTTTAGAACACGCCGTTCTGATTTGATCACTTGATTTTTCAATGCCACGTAATTCTGATCAAGGATAACAGGCTGTATTGGTCTGTAAAGAAATTAGCAATTAGGTTAATAGCTTTGATTTAAAAAAAAAAAAAGAAAAAAACAATAAATTTTTTAAAACATACTTTTGACCAGAAACTTGTTTAATGTGATTAAAAACATTAATCACATCTCTTATCCTCCTTGGAGCCTCTTCAATTTTACTAGCCAGACAAATGCAGCCCATTGCTGTTGTCTCCATGTTATGGCGTACAAGAGATTTACTATAGTAAAATCTTTGAAAAATAACTTGTCCTGTAGCCATCGCAACCTGAAAATTAAAATGTTATTTTACAAATAAATGTAGATTTTAATTAATAAATGAAAAACAAATTGCGAATTAAATTAAAGATTGTACACTCACTACACTTGAGCATTGCTAGTGATAAACAATGCAACAAGCATGGATTCCAGAAAAACGAGGTTACGTTACGTTACGTTATTTACACGTACGAACAGGTAAGCTGTATATTTCTTGCAAAACTTTTCAAATACCTGGGGTAATTTCAATAGAATTCCAGCAGTTTGTATGAGTTCACAGCCGAGAATTCTCAGGTCGGTTTCTGTTTCTGCGTCCAAACCATCTAGATGCGACGGTGTTGAGTTGAGCTTCTCCTCCGGCAAGAGGCAATTTTGTAAAGTTAACACAATCTTCCCATAGGATTTCGCATTGTTGGATGCCGTAACTTTCGTCGTCGCACTCATTGTCTTATATACAAGCCTGGGCACTCAGGGAAAATCAGCGAAAATAGATGTTCTGTTTAGGACATAGTCCCCGCGACACTTTTCGTATAACCTATACGTGCAGTGTACGCTTCGTACGATACCCATCGAAACGTTTCCACCGGAGTGAGGAAACTCTTCAATTCAGCGAAGTGGTGGAGTTCAGCGAAGTTTAGTGAAGTAGCCAACCCCAGCTTCGCATCGGCGTAGCACTAAGCCGCTTAGGTCAGCGACACAAATATGGCCGATGCAACCCAAACGTGCTCCAATCTTAATTCTTCAATTACTTTTATTAAGATTTATGATTTTGCCATAAAAATCATTGATAACGCTTGCTTACGTATCTATTATTACTAAGAGCAACTCCATGTTATTCATATCTCTGATAGAAATAGGCAATACTAGTTTTTGGGGTAATCCAGAAAAGTACATAGGCGTATGAGCGGGTCAATTTTTTGTCACTAGTTAACAGTTATTTCTCTGTCAATGCATACATCTTTGTTCTCTGTTATTCGTGGATCGTGTTCTTCTAGTTGGCCCACAAATGGCCATCGTTGTCAAAATACGAGCGATTTTGCTTAGGTTTCGCTTTATTTTGCTCCATCGAGTATTCAGTAGGACATAAATGATCGACGCATTATAGCGTCAGATCGTCCGATGTGAAATGTTCAAGTCAAACTTTAGTTAGCTCGGGTTTAATAAGAAAAAATGCTGCGATTTCTATCGCGTCGGCGGGGACGCAGTCTTGGCGGACAGACTGCTTCGTCCCAAATCAAGAATCAACGGCTACTCAGCAACAAAAATGTTGTTCAGTGTCGCGTTGTTCTCCTCGACGGAACAGATTTACCAATTGAACTTTCTGTAAGTTTTTGGAACATCGGTGTAAATGCAGGCCTTATCATTTACTTCTTTCGCTTATATCTTTCTATATTTAAGACTAATGGCCAATTTCTTCACCTTCGGATAAAATTTATCCTCCGGATAAATCCCTAGCTAACCAATCATTTTCAAGTTTTAGAAGTTTATCCGCAGGATAAATTTTATCCGAAGGTGAAGAAATTGGCCATAGTACAGTTAAAATATTGTTTCGAATAGCTCCGGATTCATTATCAAACTATATTTTGCAACGTAACTCAGGATTGTATGTTGTTATATTCTGTTACAGAAAAAGGCTTTGGCCAGTGACTTGTACGAACAAGTCTTTTATAGCCTGGATCTCATTGAAAAGGATTATTTTGGTTTACAGTATACAGATAGTAATAATGTTCAACATTGGCTTGATCCTACTAAACCAATTAAGAAGCAAGTTAAAAGTACATACCATTTGTATGCTTACTTTTGTCATACAATATTGTATAATGTATACAAACTTTAATACTAAATTTTTATTTAGTTGGGCCACCATACACTCTGAGGCTAAAAGTGAAATTCTATTCATCCGAGCCAAATACACTGAGAGAAGAATTGACGCGCTATCAATTCTTCTTGCAATTAAAACAGGATGTTCTTGAAGGAAGATTGCACTGTCCTCATCCCATTGCTGTCCAATTGGCAGCATTGGCATTGCAATGTAAGAAAATCTTATTAATCAATAAAAGTGATTAATATAGTTGCAATGCAGGTCCATGGGGAAGAAACTAATTGTTCTAACATCTTATCATATTGTTTTCGTTATTTCCTTTGATTTACAGCCGAGTTGGGTGATTATGATCCCTCTACACACAGTGCAGCAACTGTATCTGAATTTCGATTCGTACCGGGCCAAACGGAGCAGATGGAGCTAGAAATTCTTGAAGAGTATGTCAAGTGCTCTGGTCTGAGTCCTGCGCAAGCAGAATCTGCCTATCTTTCAAAGGCCAAATGGTTGGATATGTACGGTGTAGATATGCATACGGTCCTGGGGAAGGATGCCTGCGAATATTCATTAGGACTTACTCCAACCGGCATCCTCGTCTTCGAAGGAACTCAAAAAATTGGTTTGTTCTTCTGGCCGAAGATCGGACGCTTGGACTTTAAGAAGAAGAAACTTACGCTCGTTGTTGTCGAGGAAGATGACGAAGGGCGTGGCGAGCAGGAGCACACCTTCGTCTTTCGTCTGGTGAATGAGAAGGCCTGCAAGCATTTATGGAAGTGTGCCGTAGAACATCATGCCTTCTTCAGATTACGAGCACCTGTAAAAGGTGCCAGCGGTAGACAGAACTTCTTCAGGATGGGTTCTCGCTTCCGATACTCGGGTAAGACAGAATTTCAAACGACGCAGCTGAACAGAGCTCGGAGAACCGTACAATTTGAAAGAAGACCAAGTCAACGTTATGCCAGAAGACAAAGTCACGTTCTTAGAGAGCGGCAGAGGCAAACCGACGTTCCTCAAACATCGAATACAACTGCCACGACAACAAGCACTACAACAACTACCAGTAAATTTAAATTACTATGGTGCCACAACAAAACATTATGCCTGTTCACGAAACATCATGTAATTTTTTTTTGTATTTTCTCAGCAGATGAAGAAATTTTGCAGCGTCAGCCAAGCCGATGCAGCACAAAGTCTTCGGATTCGGGTAGCGTTCAAGGCGCATCTTCGCCACTGGTGGACTCCCTATTGAAGAGTTTAGCAAAGGATCAGCAACCACCAGAACCGAGAAATCAAACAGCCATTTCGACTTCGGAGAAAGAAGCAGAACCAGTTAAACCGAGTCTTACTGGAGAATCATTAGCTTGTTCCACTCAGCTCGTACCGAATAATCAGGTCGGTGGTGCAGGATCTCTTCCGCCCAGGACACCAATTCCTCCGGAATCCTTAAAGTGCAATATCCTCAAAGCGAAGAGCCTAGAACTCGGAAAAAACTCTAATCTTGTATCCGTTACTCCGTGTGACAATGCTTCGAGTCTCAATGACAAGAATCAACATTCAGATGCTGCTGCAACTATTGTTTCCGTGGTAAGTTTATCGTTCGTTAATGAAAATTCCATATTAATAATACATATAGTGAGTTTACTTGGTATAATCAATAAGGAATTAATATTTTACCAATTGATTTTCCTTAATGTTTGTTCTTATCTGTATAAAAGTTTGCATAGAATAAGACGAAGGCAAAAGAAAATTTGTTGTTTTTGTTGTGCCACGTTTTTGTAAGTGAGAACATATTATTGTTTTAAAAAAGTAAAAATCCTGTACGTTTTTATGCTGCTAACGTTGCTTACGTCGCTTAATTCGCTTAAGTTGCTTAAATTGCTTGTACGTTAGGGTGGAGACAAGCTGACTCTATCCGTGAGTGGATCATCGGCGACCTCGAAACCAGCAACAGACGACTCAGTGACAGTTACCCATTTCTCTCTGGACAGTTGGGGCCAGATCGAACAGAAGACTACGGGACTAAGTCCCAAGGTGTCGAACAATCAATCCCAGGCCCAAACTCAACCACAAACGACAATTCAAGCTCCACCTCAGACCCCTAATCAATCTCAGAATCCCTTCAATCCTTTCACCAACGTCGAAATGACGACCGTCGAGGAGCGCCGGAAGGACGAAGAGGAAGCCAAGAAAAACACGAATCCCTTTATCGATTCGAATCCGTTCCTAGGACTCTTGAATCCTTTCAAAGATGAACAGCCTTCTCCAGAAAAAAAGACAGAACCTGAGAAGCCTAAAACCGGGGCGAGGATTGTGAAGACTGAAGAGATACAAACTACCACGACTACCGTGCACAAGGTGAGAATTTGTTGCTTGCTGGCTCGCTCGTGTTTCTTGGACCGTTGGTTTTCGTTTCGTTTTCCATTTTCTTTATCCATGCTAAAAGTAATTCTTCAATAACGATGCACTCTGTCACCTTTAACAAATTCAAGTACTGATTTCCCTCTAAAGTCTTCTTCAGGAATTTATGCTTTAAGAATCTTTTCTTTCAGGATGATGTTCCGGCTGCTTCGGATATCAGTCCTTGGCTCGTTGCTGAACCTTCACAATCCACATCGCAAACTCTTGCGAAGCAACACACTGTTATTACTCGTAAGACAGTAATCACTACGCAACTTTAGGCAGCATATGAGAAACCACTGTGTGCTTGGAGGTTTAGAATTTGATATATATACATGTCCCTTATACTATGGGATCATTCGTAGTGTCGAGTATCACCTCGTCGTAATGAGAAATTAAAGACATCGTCTAGCGAATTCTGATGAGTTGTTTTTTCACAATATAATTAAAGTTTCAATACGATGATAATAAATGACATGCTGAGCCCACACTACGAATAATCTCTGACAGGAATCTCTATGAAATAAACCACAGTTTCGTGGAGCTGCATTGTAGTAGATCGCCATGCAATGAGGCAATCGATCTCCTTTTTATTTTTCCATATTAAAATGGAAACGAGCCTATTTACACAGACTGAAATCGAATATTGATTATCGGCGTGCTGTGCAATGACTTTGGACCCAACGATAAAAAAATAAGCAGTAAAACCTGTGCAAGTCAATTGGTTCAACAAAAAGTATTTTACAAAATGTTTGTCAGAATTTGCCAACTTCTCAGGTTTACCTATACTCATTCTTGTCATTACACTCACGTATACTTAAAGGCAAGCTACTTGATATTTTTGATACTATAACATTGTGTGAATGTAATATTTGCACTTAAAGGAAGACAAGGATAATTTGAGATAACATTTATGAACATTCTTTTGAAATGTCTCAAAGAGTCCTTGTACTTCTTGCATATAGGCAGCATTAGTGTCTACTTGGAATTTTATGTATTATTTACTTTTTCACATTCCTCTGGAGGAACAGGGACCCATATTGTATTAGTAATTAAGTTATGTGAGATGATGCAGGATTTTCAACATGGCTTTTCATGTACAATACAAAGAACGTACCTCGTTTTCAGTGGAATATATGTCTACAAGTAAACAAGTATTGGAAATAGATTCAATGACAATGGGAACTAGTTTTAAATATTATATGGATACTTAATACTAATAACGAAGTGTACTTTAATCTGTGCAAATCTTTTTTACTTTGTTGAAAACCCTGTATAAGTGCTGATGATATACTACACGACATACACGTTTACACATTAATATGTATATTATTTAGTAAAATCCCTAATGTATTCCGTCCCAAGATCATAAATACATATATATATACAATGTTATTAATGTATCTAGATTATGGAATCCTATGCTACATTAAATCTATGTGTACACATTGTATTACACATTGTAAAGACGTGCCTTTTGCCTTATATTAATTGAATCATTAATTCAATTATTAATGTTCAACAACACATGATTCGATGGAAATGACTGATGGACACTTGTCTTCCAAATATGAAATTAAATCTTCAAAGATTATTGACTGTCACACTTGTTGCCAAAAAGTGAAAAAAAAACAAATAAGATTGACATAACAGACAGCCTTTTCAACAATGGGTAGAGGATCATGTTTATCTGGCAATTTTCCAATAGAATCGGAGATTTGTCTCAAGTCCTTTCCACTTACTTTTAAACAACTGTTATATCTCTTGAACAAAGAAAAATGATAGACAATGCTAATGTTTTTGTTAGACTATAATAAGCTGTCATAATATACTTCGGCATGTACATTCCATAATATTCTAACAAATCAGTAAATAAAGTATGCAATATAAACGTTGTAACTTTAAGAAATGTTTAGAGGAACAGACAATTGAATTTACCCACTTTACCCTCCGCAATGCTGTAATCAATGGTTAAACTGTAATAAAGTGAATTTTTATAGTTGAACAATTGAACGAACCATTGAAATTTCTTAAAAATATTGATAAGTATTTTCATATGCCGTTTTTCGGCCAGAATTGACTTCAATAGAAAAAGAAACGGTCAGTTTGGAATCGCATTGTCCAGCATTGTCCTTTCCTTTCTTTAATGGCGATAAGATTGACTTCATTAGACTGAGAAACAATGGATTCTACGGATTCGGTTGTGACTTGTCCTTACGATAAAAATCACCGTATTGCAAGGAGTCGCATTCAGAAACACATTGTCAAGTGTCAACAGGTGTGCATAGCTTTTATTCTTGCAAGTATTTTGAGAAAGGCTTGTTTCAAAATCCTAGCACCACATGGTCACGTTTTTATTTATATTAGATATTTAATAGGGAACTTATTTTTATATTTACAGAATTATCCTGAAGGTTATTTGGAAATTTGTCCTTATAATGCAACCCATCGATTCTTTCGACATGAGATGCCAGACCATATGAAGAAGTGTCCAATGCGATGTTTCCTGCATCTTGAATTGCATCAACGTTTGTGTTCATTATTTATTTATAATATATATTTCTGTCTGGTCATAACGTTTTAATTTTTACATGTTTAGGCACTCGCTCTCATGGATATGTCAAGCGTACTCCTGTAGTACAACCAGAGTTACAAGTTGAATGTGATGAAAGTTGGGATGGAGATGATGATGTTGGAGATTGGCAGAGTGAAACTTATCATAGTGTTCACTCAGAACGATACAAGTATAATCAACAACCTGTCAATACTCCTTTGGAAAATGCTTATGGATCAAAACATCTGTAAGTAATATATGATTTACATCATTGAGAAACTACCTTAACACAGAGATTTAAAAATTTCAACTATATTAGGAAAAATGATCCAACAAAGCTGACCATACGAGAACCTCGTGGTTTGGCTGAAGCTGAAATGATCGACATGGACTCCACTGTGGAAGATGTAGAATCAGTCATAAGTGTAATGGCAATTGGTCGTGGTTCTGCATCTCGTAGAGCACGCGAGTCGCTAAGTAAGAAACCTGGTTTAGGTAGAGGAAGTTCTTTCGACAATTGAGAAGTTACTTTCACATACCGTTACACCATTAATATATCTAATGTAATCTTAAAGTATCCTACATGAAACCAAAGTGAAATTTACTTTTATATATTTTTGACAATAAGGAAACACTTGTAATTGACAATAGTCCTTATGAAGTTCGATTATTATATATATAGTTAATGTTTCATGTCTATTGAATAGATACACGGTCCTTTGAGTGTTTTTATTTCTCAAAATGAAAATGACATCGTAATAATAATTAATTACTTTAACTACAATTATATCTGCGATTCTATAAATAATATTAGCTTTAATTTCCTTGAATAATCCATCTTGCTCGACGGCGTTTCTCGTTATTTTTTCTCGCTGTTTTTTTTTCTTATGTACGTCGATTTTGTTTCAATAAATGTAAATGTGAAGTGACCGTAGCTCAGTTTCGTCGACTTTAAGGAATAATATATACAGATAATTATAATGTATTTTTTTTCTCAATCTCTATAAGTTGTTCTGTCGTGTTCGAACGATTCACATTGAATTTCATCCAACATTCGACCAATTCATTTTTATGTTATTACAATGCGATTCGGAAACTATATACAATTGGCGCGTGAGTAGTGTCTTTTTATTTCCATAGAAATGGGATTCAGTCCCACTCACAATCGAGAGATCCTCTTCTTGTCGTAAAGGAAACCTATTACAATTTCACAAGGATTTCTTTTACGATTCACTTACACTGGCACGACGTTATATCACAATGTCAAGAAGAAGTGAATGTCAATCAGCGACTTACTACCGAATATAAGCAACGTAAGTTACCAGAAGCGGCTCTAAGAGAAAAAAAAGAAAAGGATAAACGTAAAAACGCTCTGGCTTGTAAAAAGGAAGCTGTGAGAATTCTCATTTCATGCGAAGACGATCCATTTCTGATAAATGCAATTCCTGTTCGTCACGACACAATGTTCATTCGCCAGGATCTACGCGACATCCAGCTTCTGCAAATTGTCTAGTCATTTGGCATTAATCGCAAGAAGATCCAGGCGATTCTGTATATGCACAAATGTGCTAATAATAAAAGATAATGAACGAGCAGGATTCATGAAAATTTGGAAGTTTCGCGCGAGAAATGCCATGATTGCATTGTCCAGGAATCCAAGAATTCAGGTGACCATTAGTAAAGACAAGAAAAAATAAACGAGTAAAAAGGAAAAAATGGACGCGAAAGTTGAAAGAATGCGTGGAAGTCGAGCCAGGTCGTTTGGAAGAATTATCAAAGGAGCGTATTAAGGACGCTATGATAACTTTTGAAACGTGGGAAAAAAAAGAGAAAAAATATGTGTCGGTGTCCTCTTATCACAATAGACGCAAGAACATTTTCTCTCGTTCTTATGTTTTCTTCTCTCTTACGTTCCTCCCTCCCAACTTCGCGTCCCACCATGTTTATGTACATTAACGAGTTGCTTATATATCGCGTGCTCGGAGTTAATATTGGCAGTTCCCTAGCTGCAGTCTGTCGATCATTTATTATTGTATAAAAACTGTAAATTTATTGAGCGCAATTGTTGCACAATAGCGAGATCATTGCACTGCGTTCATCTACCGCACGCGCCTCTCATTATTATATCCGTACCGCTCTAGCACAGTGCGGTACGCATTTCGCAAAATTATCATATCTTCATATTTCATTTTTGCTCTTCGCTTTGTTTTCTATTTCTTTTTCTCTCTTTCTCTCGCGCTCTTAATTCATCCGATTCTCACAAATTCACGATATTCCTTCCATACACGCATACACACACACATATTTATTCCACCAACTTTTCACTCTTGTCCGGTCTCACTTCGCTGCCGCAAGTCTTTATTTTCGTACTGAATATAGTTTGTCACATCCAATATGCGTTCTATTATTTCATTTCGATTTCGTACTTTGATACGTTATTATCACTTAGCACCACTTATATGTTTGCGGATTTTTTCTTCTGCTGCTTCCACGCGGAAATTCTTTCTTTCAGGTCCAGTACTATAAGTGAAAGAAGTAATAAAAGGCGTGATAAAGAATTTCAAAGACCTTATCAACGTGGTAGGTGGTACTCACCAGGAGTGAGCATATCCTCGCTGAGGGGCTGCCGACTGAAAGGGTCTGTAGCACTGTTCAATAAATGGCGCACAATGACTGCCCTGTCCATCACGATACCCGAGGGAAGCTTAACCGGTTCCTCCATGAGTGTGTCCATTAAGGGATCCCGGAATTCCTCAGGGGCATCCCCGTAATCCTCGTCTCGAGCGCGATTGTCACGCGCAATCACTGCCGCACGTTCGGCAAGAGCCATGAAACGTTCGATCTCCGTGGTTGTCTTGATATTGGAACGTTCCAGTCGGTTGGCTGCGTCTGTGAAGAGCTCTTTGCAGAAGGAGCGCTGAAAGAGAGAGAGAGAGTAAGGCATTAAAGAGACTGATTTCTGCATGATCATTTCAATTCTGAGTACGTACTTCATCGCTTGCCAATGCCGCAGCGAAGTTATCACAGTCAAGATGCAAATAAATGTCGACCAACTGACTGAGCAAGGTCCTTGGCTCCCATCCATACTTCTGAGGTTTTCTCACTTTGAGATTCTTGCACTTGGGACCGCAAAGCTGCTGCAAGTTAAAGTTCAACATGGCGCTAAGACGACCGACGAGCTCTGGCCTTAGGAAGGGTTCAGTGATGTCGACCGTGAGGTAATGAAACATGGACACCGTCTCCTTGGCCAGCGTTAAGTAAGAGCGAGCCTGCCTTTCGTCAGCAGTCAGCTGTCTCGATCTGGACTGCTGCTGTTCCTGGGATAGGGCTGACCAGCTACTCACGTCCCACATTAGTTCCTGTACCTCATGAATTCTTTTGAGGGACTCGAGACTCTCGTCGAGGAGGAAAGTCGTGTCGTTCATCAGCATGTTGATGAACTTGACGAATTGCTTGCCATTATTGCTCTCGTTGACAATGGATGCTCGATGCACTGGACTATCCCACATGGATTTGAGTATCAGACTGATGTGATAGCGAATTGAGAATTTGTCATAGAATTCTGAGCTCGACCCTGTCGTTTCTACGTCCGTGTAGAATTTCATCAAGTAAGATGCAAGCAAAGTTTTCGATATGGGATGAGACATCACCTGCTCGTGTAGAGTCTTTGTTCTTCCCTGTAAATGAAATATCACAGATGCGTCAAAAGCCTGGGAGCAGCTTCTACCAGAGAAATCGTACGTCGCACTGCTGGAACTTGGCCAATATCACTGTTTACATCGTAGACCTTGAGCTTTTCGCGGAAGGTACGATTGATATTTTTGGAAGACAGTGTCGACGCACTCTCCTCGTCGTAGGCGCATGACTTGAAATTCTGAGCCAGACAAAAAAAAACAGACCTGAACGCTGGGATTTATAACGTAGAGAACCTCGATGATCTTGGCGATGAGGTATGGATTACGAATACAGTGCGGCGTACATATCACAACGAGCAGCCAGGTGATCAGAGAATTATCCATGTTGTTCGCCACTACGCCAGGATTAAATCTGCATGGAACCAATATAATTGAACATGAATGACCGTTCCATTACTATGCCTTTCAGTCTCAAGAATAGAAATTGTAACGCAGTAGCGAAACTTTCATAAGATATACTGATTTAGTTGAGCAACCATTAGGATAATAAAAATACATTTTTGGGACTGAAAGGCGGCACATGAAGATGTACTTACTGAAGTGCGAACAACAGAAATTCGGCAATGTCTTCAACATACCACTCGGGCAGAGCAGTGAATTTGTTAGGTACATTTTGCGACAATGGTAGTTCAGGAAGTTGATTACCAGGTGACGTCTGAGTAAGAAGACTCAAGAGGACTTCGGCAACCGATGTGTAAAAATGTAAGGAGCGTCTTAGCAGAATTGGATCGATGAGACCAGCATCGGCGCAAGCCTTGGATTTCCCGAGTCTCTTCAATTGCTGCTTCCATCGTTTGATCAGTTCTTTGTTCTGTCCAGCAAAAGGCGCATCCTTCCATTGAGGTTCCGTCATTTGCAAGTCATCGACCATCTTCTGGAGTTCCCGTATCGCTCGCAACCTTCGTTGGTATTTCTGTAATGCCGGCAAGAGAGCAACGTGATGGCAGTGTAACGTGAGAAACCAACATTGTGTCGGGAACTTCGCTTCGGTCCACTTATAATTGCTTTCAAGTTCCTTGATCCACTCGGCAACCTCCTGAGAACTTAATTTGAGCCTGGTATCGTTTTTAATCTCAACAAAGCTAGAGGGATGAAAGGGATACAGAGTGTCTACAGTGTCCAGTTTTATCTTCACCGAAAGCATTTGTAGCACTGATAGCAAATTCAGCATGAAACCGTCGCCGGCCAAGGCGAATTCCTCGGTCTGAATTTGGGCGCGTTTCTCATTGTGTCTCAAGAGAGCAGCCAAATAGGCCAGCGTAGCTTCGCGACAATTGCTGTTAGCCAAAATGGCATGGAGCATCTTGTGAAGCGAAGTCCTGGTGCTTTCTAGTTCCTGCTGAAGAGTCAAATTCATCGATTTGTCCGTCGATGGGTTACCGCTGAAAAATTTTTCAGCGACTTTCGGTTGATCTTCAGCGAATACCGAGACTGAGAGGAATGGACCTAAGAAGGAAGTTCGTGCCAGCTCCCGGCCAACTGCTGTCGTCATGACGTCTGGCAAAAATTGGACCTGATGAGTAATCAGACGGCATATTGGACGTAAATTTCCACTGGGACCGCAACGAATCTCTATGAGCTCCTCCAGAGCTTCGATAGGTCTGCGATGTGTATTTCCCACGAGACTACCTTGTTGCATCGACAAGTAAAGTCCTTGTAGGAGTGGGGTGAATATCTTGTTGAATGTGTGTGGATTGGAGTGAGTTCTGGCTACCAGCTCGTGCAGGAAACCGCGAGGAAGCTCCTGGGAAAGTACTGGATACAACAGTGGACTCGTTGAATTAATGGAATTCGAGGTTTCGTAGACGCCTATCAATCCTTGAAGAACCAAACTTGCATGCTGCACGCATTCGGCACGTAGTACGGCGAGAACTTCGGACAATGGCGGTACGCTTGATCTCTGTAATAAGAAGTAATATATTAAGCTTTGTCCATCTTCGTGGAACAAGCGTGCCATCCTTAAATTTGGCAGACCTTCGGGTGATTTCTTTCCTCTGTTGCGACTCGGGAATAGCAATCTAGCAAATAAACGAGACTTCGGGGTTGTGAGGTTTTTCCACTTGAAACAGGAAGTGCTGCTAAGGGACACGACGGCAGAGTCACAACAGGACTGAGCAATGGACTAGCTTGACTGTTTGGACTGTCTTCTCTGTCCGAAGAAACATCCATGTTAATTTCTTTCAGCGGGTCTTCACCGCGTGAAAACATACAAAGAACCTCCATCAGTGCCAAGTTTGCTATGTCTGAGACATCCACCAGTTGATGCTCAAGTGCATTAGCTGCTGTTTGTGGGAGAAATATATTCCCTTCGGTGGACTCTTTCCAAGAAACACAAAGTACTCGCGACACTATTGCATGAATCTGTTCTACTGTGACTTCGGTACTAGAGCTGGTTGTGCGCGATCTGACTGGATCTTTTCTATCTGATTCTTCAACTTCCATGTTTTCAATGCCAGAATCAACATCAACACCAGATGTGTTACATTGCTTTTCACTATTGTCTGGCTGTTCAACTTCCATAGGGGCGCTGGCCTGTGGCTGTTGTATTGGTGGAGACATTATAGATCCTGTTAAAATGTTGGATGGGCCAGGAGTACTGGGTGCCTCTTGTTCAGTGGTAGAACTGCCCTTAGAACCAGCAGTGTCAAAGCCTGCAAGCCTGGCTAATCGCCTTCTTCTCATCTGAAAATCAATTACCTCATGACATACATTGTAACATCGCAACAAACATGTAAACTCAAAATCAGATCACAAGATTAAATAGGCAACACGAACATAGTACTCGTGACTAAGATAATAAGAAGAGCATTAAGTCAAGCCTAATAATATGGCTAGAAAAATTATTTTTAAAGTGAATATATATTATTCAAGAGCCTCAAAGCTTAGTGTATCAGATTCAATAATGTAATAAATGTTTTTTTTTAACAAAAATAGAATATTGATGCATAAAGATTAAAACAGTATTTCCAATGACGTTGGATAATTCATCAAGGAAATTGAGTACGAGCTCTGTTACATAATTTGAACTGAAAAAGAGAGTCTAGAGTATGAAGAGAAGTAAAAGTTCGAAAGCAGTCCATTGTCTCTTGTTCCGGAATTCCGTACGTTCCGCTAAGTCAGTATTAATTCGCTTTGCATAAATGAGACGCGTAAACGCGGTCCGTCGAAACGGCCTGAGTAGAATGACGAGGAGACGGTGGAGAAAGAGAGGCAGGCTACGACAGAAAGATCGTGCAGGTAAAAGAGAAAAGAAGGATCACCTCCTCCTGGCTGAGTTCGCTCATGGCGATCGGAGTAGATCTTCTCTGTTATGCTTTCTTCCTCTTGGCCCGTTCTTCTGCTCGACACAACTCGATTCTCGGTTACTCGACAATAACGGGAAAAAACGACGATCCTCGTTTTCGTGGCCGAGATGTGTCAGAAATTTGGACAGTCACTCCACATCTGTTTGGGGTTTGGACGTGAGAGCAGCGATCTCACGCCGAGTCACGGGTAATCACTGCCAGGCTGCGTCGATTCTTCAAAACAGCTGAGCAACCAACAGCACTACTGTGGCGCCATCTGTGCGCTTCCCTTACGAAAAACGGCAAACTGGATCAGGAACAGCAACGCTCTCTGGAGGCTAATTCCACAATGTTCAACCGCGAATGACGAATCATGGGTAATATTTTCAAACGAATGGCAGCTCGGTTCACCATGAATTATCTACTGAATACGTCTGCAAATCTTAATTTTAAAAAACTATAAAACTTAAATCGACATTCCAGCTAAGAGGTCAATAATACAAATTCAAAGAATATTAATAAATTAATATTATTAACTCAGAACAGACACGTTGATATAACAAATATACCAATAACATTATAATATACTTGAGACCTGTTACGATACGATGGTTAATGTAGACAGGCGCGGGCCCTAGTCTTGCTCTTAAACGTATAAATCAAGAAAACAATTTGTGTTATTTACAGTACAATATCAAGAAATATAGGTAAACTAAAATTACAGTTTAACATAGAATTCCTACTGATGGATAGATAGGAGATAGGATGAATATCGGAGAGGAATAGGGGATGGGCTTACATAAATATGAATAATAATAGTAACAGTAATAATAATAATATAGACGTATTGTACAAAGACAAAGCTCTTAGGGACAAGTGCAAATTCACTTTTGCGCCTCTTACAATTAGTATGTAATATGTTAACGCAAAGGTCTCGGTTCTCGTAAACGTATAGAAAAATCCAGTAGTGGCGTTTCTGACTGCCGTCGTAAAAAAAACACAAACCAAGACTAGTTGAGGCGTTACTTTAGAGATACGCGACACCGACATTATTGTCCAATTACGTTTAAGTACGAGATACAAATTTAATTAATGTTACGTAAATGTAATTATCGTATGAACGATTGGCGCCATTTTTTTTGCACTGTTGTCTGTTCGCGTACTTTAAAGAGTACAAAGAATATTGAATACGTGTAAAAGTCTCGCAATTCGTTATCCTGTGCTTCGGCGACGTAGCTAATGCGATGAATCTAATTATTTCTGAAGATTTGCAAAGCCTGGCTGAGAGATTAGACGAGAGAAAAAAATTAAAGAGTCGCATGCCATTCGAAATGGATACACAGACGTGAACTGTTAAATTGAGCCTCGCAGGAATTTTTGACGTAATGGATCGTGGATGAAAATTTAAGAAATAAGAAAAAAAAGAATGTAGCTTTGGCTATTTCGATGATATGAACGATATGTTATTCTCGGATAGGCTTAAAGTACGTTGACGAGAATCTATAAGTAGAGTAACAAATAAAAAATACTTTACGCTACTGCTTCCGTCTTTGATCGATAAAAGATACCTTTTGTCCGCGTTAATGGCGCATTGCCTACATAGTCGTGTTCATATGTGAATGTTTGCGCTACTATATGATAGGACTGTAAAAAGTACTCGAAGCTATTATAACATTTACAAAAAAAAAAGATGATTTCTGCTTGTTCTTTTAAGCTCTAGCCTCTCAAGATTCTTTCGCTTTTCTTAATCTTCATTTCAATATATCAACATCTCGAGAATGTTTGTCAGGACGAAACCGAATGGTATTGTATTCAATTGTATTGAAATTTATATGCATAGAATTCTCGACAATAATTGAACGGGCAAATAAATGATCCAAGCGTAGCTGCCGAGTTTTAGGAAAATCTCTGGTTTCTTTTTGAATTTCATTTTGATTACAAGTAAGGAAGGGGGTCAGCTAGTAAGCACACGATGACGTATAACATCCCGAGAAACATATTAAGTCTTGCAGTTTGCTTGGGCACGCTTTGTATCTTCTTTGGGCTGCGGAAGAGCTTTTCTATCCTGAAGGCAGCAGGCAGCGTAACTAGAGGTAAGAGAAACCATACGGAATACCTGAGAGCGAGTACGACAAACGTAATGTATGGTGTGAAGAGAAGAAAAGCATAAAGAACGTGAGACGCGGTGTGCCCTATAAGAATAGCTAGAGTCACAATCCCAGCACGTTTATCGCTCTCTAAGTCTCTGGTATTGTTGCTATGGAGAATGGCTTCAGTGTTTAATGCCAGGGGTATAGCGTAGTACATAGTGCCCCAAAGGACATAGCCAGTCTGTGCCATAAAAGCGAATAACACAGAAATGGGCCCAAATATCACTAGGATCAGTACATCACCCAAGGCAATATACTTCAGTCCAATTCCTCCAGTGTATAAAAATGAAGATGAGAGTCCTCCAAAGTAAACCAAGGCCAAGTGCTCCATTTTTGCTGGCGAAATAGCAGCCAGTACAATGAAGCCAAAACATCCAGCAGCATAGAGTAGTGCACCCAACGAAACTAGCTCATCTTTTGAAAGTAGTTGATCCACAAGGATCCTGTCATCACTCTTGCGACTGTCTACACCTTTGACATAATCAAAGTATGTATTTACTACATTACCCGCGCCATGGACGCACAACACTGTGTATAATGTCAACACAAAGGAGATCCAGCTAAAGCTGGTCAAGCCAATTAATCTGTATGCCAATGCTGAACCCAGAAGTGTTGGCATTAGTGATGCACTCAAAGACCATGGTCGCACTGCCAGAAAATATGAAGACAGCTTCATCAACGGTGAGTTCAATGTTAATGAACTGCTCGATAGCTTGCTGCTCTCAGCTTCTCCTGCACTGCACTGTACTCCATTTGATATCATGGCCATTTTACTGAGCTTGAACACAAATTTAATATTTATTGTTAACATGCATTCAAAATTGTATATATGCAGTTTGCAAATGAGGGTACATTAATTGTTATAAATGTCTTTGACGATACATCACATTTAGAAGAATGCGTGAAAATGCGTGGCAAGGACATACACTATTATAACATATGACAATTTAATTTACCGTTAATTCTTCTCAGAGAACAGCAAGCCAACGAGCAAGCAAACGTGTAAGACACTGGCAAAAAGATGAAGAGACAAATCAGGTTAGGACAGCCTCCATATTTCTCAGACGACGCGCTCGTTTCTCAAAGACATCAATAGCGCTTGGGAGATATGTCAGGTTCAGTCAGGTTATTGAATTCGTCGGTCGTTTAGTTCCTTGACATTTTGCTTGTCGATTTAATTGAAATTAAAGAGCCCGTGCGTGTCTATACGAGCAATAGATTGGTGACGTGTTTTCAACGATTTGTAGGTAGCGCCACCTCTTGTATTCTTAGGAGAAAACTTGTTTCCAGTTTCACTTCTGACATTTCTTGAGGCATATGAACTGACACTAATTTTAATGACAAAGAATTATTACTCTCATTGTAGGTTTAACAAATGGCTTATAGAATTGTCAAATTTTAAATTTATCTGTTAATTAATTTTTGCCTCACAGTTTGAGCAAATAGTATCATCTTGTCATTTGATTTGACATTAATTCCGGTTATCACGTGATCACTCAGCACTGCTGCCACCTGCCAGTCATGGAAGGAAATGTAGAAAACAATATAATTTTCAAACATTAAAATCAATTTATTGTAAAGCAATAGAATACATTTCTTATGTTAAATAGTATCTGTAATGTCTTAAATAATTGATAATTATATCAATACTTCTTATCAACTTCAAATATAACTGTAACCACAGGAAAGTCATCTTTCGATTTAAACAAATTTTATTCGCTCTAGTGGCGCCACCATTTGATAAACTATAGTGACTATGGGGACAAGCATCCGGTCGTATTGCCATTTATCAAGTCGCTTCTTCTGCTGGTGCGTCGCTAGCAGTCATTACTTTACCTGACTTTAACGTGGTTGTTACGTTTTCGTGAAACTTCGCAGGTTCTAGATATTTCGACGAAGTTCTCTCGTGCTAATACGCAATTTACGATATCTGGATTTGCTAGAAAGTACTTTCCATTTGTGGACGGCAAGTGTCTAGATTTGTTAAAGAGGAAATATCTTCTAAAAAATGTCCCTTTTCGGATCCCTTATGGGCGATTTCGAAGACGACCCCATTTTCGGGTAAGTGTTCTACTACATTCGATATAGATTGAATTTGCTCTAAATTTTGATTAGTTGTTAAACTTATAAGTTTATATTAACAATCCTCTTTTGGCATTGTTGTCTATAATTTTAGCATGTGAAAAAGTTAGTTTCCCTAGAAACCAATTTCTATTTATAAATAAGTTGAACATCATTTCGAGTCTTCTCTTTGAATGCTATAATTTGAATCTATGTCATGTAATAGAAATTAAGAGCCTCAGGAAAGAACAGAGGGAGCAGCGTGTTGTATTTTGGATTGTGGGTAATGAAGTATAATTACTCGAATTGAAATACTTTTATTCATTACATTTAGATAAACAATAATTTGTATACTTTGCACTGAAAATTGTTTTTATGATTTCAGGTCTCATATGCGGTCTATGCGCCACATGAACAACATGATGAATTCACTGTTTGCTGATCCATTTGGGATGATGGGAGGTGGAGCACCTGCACTGACTAATGCACCTCATCGTGCACGTCACAATGATCTTCAGATGATGCCATTTGGATTTCCGCAAATGCCATCTTTCAACATGGGTCAAATTTTCACAGACTTTGTAAGTTACTTTTGTAATTTTTATAAATTCCTGATTTTGTAATGCATTTTACAATCATTTTCATATTCTTATCTCAAATGATTATAGGATAATATGCCATCTGGTGGAAACTGTCACTCCTTTACAAGCAGATCATTTGTATCAATGACAAGTGGACCTGATGGACGTCCACAAGTATATCAGGAATCTCGTTCCACAAGAACTGCACCTGGTGGTGTAAAAGAGACTAAGAAAACTGTATCTGATTCTCGCACTGGAACCAAGAAAATGGCAATTGGTCATCACATTGGGGAGAGAGCACACATCTGCGAAAGAGAGCAAAATGTTCATAGCGGAACTCAGGAGGAGCATGAGGAATTTATAAATCTGGAAGAAGGTTAGTATTTTATAGAATCCCCATTTGCATTTTAAAGCATAATAATGAACTGTTTTTACCCTCCGTTTTTTTTTTTTTTTTTGTAATCATTAGAGGAAGCTGAAACTTTCAACAGAGAATGGGAAAATCGTACAAGACGTGAGGCTGGAAGTATTCGTGAAGTGGATTACGAAACTCATGGAACATCTCATCACAGGAACCGCACTGAAAATAATCAATTGGCACTACCAGCACCAACATCCAGGTAAATCACGATCACTCAATTCTTTCCAAAGTAGATCCATTCCGTTGTACACGGTAGGACACTATTTCTCTTGCATTGATGGCAACCATATCAAAACCCAGTACGTAATTAAATTTGAAAAAACTAAAACGATAGAACTTATATAGTCGAATCATATTTATCTTATTTATTATTCTACATGGGTGCAGCAGACGCAAGAAGCACGCAAGACATAGCTTTGCAAGAAAAGCCAAGAATAATTAGAAATCAGCAGTGGCTAATTGGCATCCCATTCTCACACTCAATCGTATTTCCACGTATGAACAATCCTAAAATAAAATCTTGCATGTATGGCCATTCTCTCTTTTCTACATAATAGTATAATACTCTAGTGTCATCTCTCGGCACAAGTAGCTATATGCAATCACTTAATAAATATTTCAACAACAGTAGTCTCCGATAGTCTAAATCCAAAAACTACAATATTATCAGCATAGCGTCGTGGATCGCTAGATTCTAAGCATCTTTAGAACTTGCACACCTAAATTAAATTTTCTGTTTCTTATTTTTCTCTGAATGTACCTTTTTTTTTATTTATTTTTCTTTTTTTTTTCCTCTCTCTTTTATGTCACTGGTCTGGTCGTGGTATCGGTATGCTTTATAACAGTCGACACTCGAATCGCTCAAGGTGGTTGCCATCTCCAAGGCGAAGTATAAGAGCCTTGCAATCTACTTCAAAATCTTACGGTCCCTCGCCAAGCTCACGGTAAGTCCAAATTAAAAGAAAAGAAAAAAGAAAACTGGACAAGAACTCACGATACTTCTAACATAATCTCATGGAACTGAATATCTATCCCGCAAAAAATCGTTTCGTATCTAACCACAGAGAAATCAGCATCCCATATATTTATTCCCAGTAACATCAGTGATAAACCACATGCTTATCGCGATAATCTCACCACATCCGTTGCATCCGATTGGCTGTCTATAATGAAATCTAAATGATCATTGACTGTCTTGCGTTGCTCGTAAGATTCTAAGAACTTGTACGATATCTTAATAACTTGGAGTGATCATGGCAGTAAGCTTTAATTTTGTGTGAATCCAAAGTCTTTATTTCGTCGATGTGACGCATGATTGACAACATCTTGACTACACGCATATTTGTTATACTTTTGTTGAACGGACGCAAAAATTTCTTTGAAACTACAAGTCTAAAACTGTTGGTGGAATATCCTGTCTTATGTATTGCAGGTTTGGCCGCAAATATTAATAACATTAAAAAGCATAGTGTACACGACGGTGACGCTTGTGCAACGTAAGTACGTTGCGTTACATTTTCTCGTTTCTTTTTCTCTTTCTGGTTAGAAATGCTGCGTGACGTTTAAACTTGAAACGCTCGTGCTATAAGTATACGCAGACACGTCTTGCCGAATAATCTCCTGATTGTCGTCAAGCAATAATTGAACCTATCAATAATGTACCTATTTCTTGCATCACGCAAACGGCTCGGATTTAGATAAAAGTTCGTCTAGCGTAGAATTGAGTTTGCGAAAGTTTAACGTATATTGAGAGTTTGCTTAGTAGCTTTTTTGTTCTTTTTTTTTTTAATTTATCACTTTTCATCGTTCCTATCCACAACGTCCGAACTTCCACATTCTGCCAATTACCATACGCATCGTAGTTGTATATTTTTTAACATACATGGATTCGATTTAATTGATGATTCCCTGCCAACAATCATTCAGTGTATCATCGTTAGGTTATGCTTGTTACAGCACCTCTTGAATTAATGGCGAAAAGCACACCCACATGCACAGTAAATTTCCACGCGATGCATGACATTCATCAAAACCCACGTAATACCTATGAAAGTCCCACTCAATAAAAGAAAAACAGTGTTCAGTAATTCACGTATAACGTACAAAGGAATTGATTCTTTAAATAATTTACGTTAAGTTAGAAATGACAAAAGCTGTTGGTGGACAAGGAAAGGAGGAATATTTCTAAGTGTGACCTTTTTTCATTTCTATTCCTATGATTAGCTCTGCTCCGGTAGCCGATGTGAAAGCAACGTCGTCCAGCACTTCGACCTCGTCATCGTCAGCAGTACCGACCGGAACGTCCACCACGAGCCGCAAACGAGAACATACTCCAGATATCGAATCCAACAAGAAACGACACGTCGAGTCGACTAAGGACGACTAAACGAACATTTTTTTTGACCAGACGAAAAAGAAAGAAAAAAATATCTTCGGCCAGGAATCAATTAAGAGTCTTGCAACTGTAATTCCTTGCCGAGGTTTTCCATAAACATTAACTGTAGCTCGCTTTCTTCATCCGGTTATTCCTTAAAGTCGATGCGATATCTCGGTAAAACATCCTCCTTTGAGTACAAAAGAAACTAAGTATTTTACGTATGTAGACGACTGCCATTATTTATGTACAAATTAATTGGTATCTTATGTATAATTTACCTGCGGCATATTATGTTGCGTGACGACTAAAAAACGATTCTAACCTTATTAACAGTTCCGACCAAAAATTAACTTTACCGAGAATCCATCGTATACAAACAAGCATATTAATCGTCATTGTATATCGTAATTATTCGATTAATTAGCGCCAACATTCATTTACCAATCGTATAATAATTTGGAGTTTTTTTTTTTTTTAAGTGCACGTTAACTCGTCCTTATTGTATTCGACGATTGTATCATCGGGTATTCTTAACCCGATAGATGTTTATAAGCACATAGACATAGTTTCCTTCGTAGACTTCTACAATCGTTTCAAAGATGAGTTACGAATTCTGTATAAGTAGAGAGGTATGATAATGAAGGATGAACGAATTATTAATCTCACTCCAATAGTGATTAGTTTAAAGGGGAACGCAGGAACATCAAAGAATAATCATTCTGGATAATATAGTTAATATTAGTAATAGAAGAATATTCGTATTCTAATTCATGCAACATTCTTATTATACAGACTGGCGTATGTTATCTTGTGTGCCACAAAATGGACGCTATGGTTGTACCCAATATTAAATAATATAAAGGCTCTCTCTTTGTCGTGACTCAAAGATTCCTGATATTTGTCGGCGTAATTAAAGAGATCATTAGTCTCTCTAATGTTCATCTACTTGTATTTACACTGCGTCGACTGTATCGTACTAATGTTTAAGGATTTCGCGTAGTTCTGGCTGCGCCAAAATTACGTCTACGATATTCTGAATCGTTAAACGTGGAAAAGGATTACGGATTCTTTACACTGGGACAGGAATTTCGCAATAATGAATATACTCTTTAAATTACGTCTCAAAGCTCATTCGCTACAATTTATTGAAATGAAAGATACAAAAGCGAAGGATAATTTAATCCATTATAAGTAATTTAGAAGCATAGTATTTTTTTCCCTCACATTTAATGCGTAAGAAGTAAAATCATAAGGAGTTACATGAAATAAAAGCATATTATATCTCATATCGATATTACTGATTCCCGTTATAAAAAAGAACCCACTGTAAAGGGATAGTAAATAAGAGCATAAAGCCATCGTCAATTTTAAGGTCTTTGGTCAGAAGTCAACGGATTTTTATTCGTCCACCAACTCAGTCATTTTCCGTTGAAATGCAAATAAGAAAAGAAATTTGAACTAGAAAAATATCTATACTCAATATTTTTCCCCCCGATTAACTGATAAGCAATTCATAAATGAACTTAGCCCAATACGAATTATTTACGCATAACGAAGCAGAAATGCGACAGTGAAAAGTAAAGTAAAGATAACATAAGAGGAAAGCTGGCAAAATAAACAAAAAGACGACGTAGTAGCGTTGTTATCTCGGCACCACTGCTGGCACTGCGTTTTAGACTTCTGTTAATTGTCCTCCGCCAAAGTGTTGATTCTTGCGTTAATGGCCAGTAACTGTGCGATGAACGACGTGTCGCTCATCACGGTAGCCAATGCAGACAAGAAGCCTTTCAGATTCTCGCAGGTCATACCCAGCTGACGAGCACATTCAGTTATTACCGTGGCTTCCTCGTTTTCTAAATTCACCTGAAAAGCAAGTAAACGTTATAAAACATTTTTCAAATTAGATGGGACCATACAGTTACTCATTAATTGCATGTTCACCTTTGGCGAACCACCGAACTTGCTGAAGGGCATTTTGACTCTCTTCTTTCCGTTTCCAGTCTGATGAAAAATGGTGAATGTCTGCTCGTTCTTCAGATCCAGTGTAACCGTAAAATAAATACCGGCAGTGACATGACCCTTGGTGTCGCGGGCCAACAATGTCCTGAAGTTGTAGACAAGATTTCTGCGCTCAGTCACGTCGATGGCAGTCAGGTAAGGCCTGGCCACGTAAATAAGAGCAACCTGGGTACGTTCCAGGGCTCCTGGTCGTGTTTCACGTTCGTGCCATTCGACGTAGTCAGTGTCTTGGGTGCATAGAGAGTAATTGTACTCTTTCTTGCAGCTAGGCTCTTCGGATTGTGTAAACCATCCAGTGTGTGGATATAACTTGTCGGCCATTACTGTTATCACACGAGCTACGTGGTAACCCGGATCGAGAAGTAGGACACCTCGACGTCCTGCGATTTCAATCTTCAAACATACTAGCACGTGTTCCTTTTCGCCACTATCAGCAGCTGGTGGACCACCGACGTAGCCAGCGATGTCTCCAATAGTCTGCAAACAAAACGATTCATCAGTCTTTCCATTGCTCTACCACGTTATCTCCTTGAGTAAAGCATTCAATAAAAATACATACCTCTTCACAGGACACCAGGTAAAGGCCGTTCGCCATTCCAGAGAATCTTTTATCGAGCGCGCAAAGTCTACGCAGGAGCTCAAAACCGAGACCCACGCAAGTGTGCTGCCCATGGATGATCAAAGGTTGGTACTTTCGATAGAACCTGTCCAGTGTGCTCTCTCCGCTCGCCGCATAGTCTCTGTAAAGCCTGTACAACAAAACGGTTCGTTAGGTTATCTTTCTTTTCTAAATCATCACTTTCTGCTTTCTTTCTTTGAAAAATTACCTAAGGAAGTTGCCAACGGTATCATAGCGTTGCTCGCGCAGCAGTCGTTGTGTCTCAAGCTCAACGCTGCCTGCTAGTTCCTCATACTGTTCGACCGTATTTACGGTCAGGGCTGGTGACTCGTAGTGGGCCCATACCGGCAGGGGTAGCGGCACACCCCTGATCCAGGGCCCGCGTGCCTGGCCCCGTGGCTGGCACCACGTTTCTGCCGTCTCGAGTCAACTTGGCCATTCGCTACCCCAGCGGCCAACTGTCGGCACATAGCCGTGCTCATCCCTGCAGCTGCTTATCGGCTCCACAGGGCTCTCTCCGTGTTTTATACTCTTCTCTCGCTCTGAAATTACCAATATTATTTAGTATAATCTTGAAACTGCTTTCAGAAAGTGTATACTTCCATCTTAAGTATCATATCTAAATGGCTTTGGGTTCTACTGATATATTCTAACCGTATTGAATAATTTCTTTTTTTTTTAATTTGAAAATTGTAATACATATTTATATCTTGAGAGGATATTAAAAATTTTTATTGAATTTCTTTCATCGATTCTATACTTTTCATTGCCACGAATAATGAATCTCAGCCTCGTGCGCCAAAATGGCGCACAACGCGTGGTGAATCAATACAAGACCAAATATTTTAAGCGCCACGTGTCTAGCCATTTTACTTCATTACTATTATGACGCAACCTTTCCAACAGTATATGGAATAAAATGTCAGTACATTGTTTGAATGAGATGTAACGTGATAGGAGAAAGGCCATGACACATTTAACGGTTTTCTTTAACGGTATTACCGTAGCTCTTAGCTACGTGACAGGAATATTCTTATGCTCGGATACACGACTGCTGACTCTGATTAGAACGAATGTCTAAGACGTCCTAAATAAAAATTCTATAAAAATAGATATGCAGGAATAAACCTAAAATGTACAGGTCTGACAAGTTCCACTTTGTTGTTCCAATAATAATTGCGCAGTAGCACACATATTGTACAAGGGTCAACGAATTAGTCGCGCCAGACGCTTTGTTTATTTACACGTGCATACGTCACTGTCACATATGTCAGTGAACGCATGTAATTATGGATTGAAAAAGCACAGAGTAAGAGGGAAGAACATTTTTAATTCTTCGAACCACGCAACAAGATACACAAATCGTTTTCTAGTAATAGTATTTTAAGAATGCCTTTCCTTTCTAGGAACAAAGGCATGTACAAGGACTCTCACTTCCAGGTATAACGGCATTGGAAAAGAGAAGGGAAATTTATTACGAAACAAACAAGAACCAACAGTGAAAGGTCTTCCCTTGAGTAACCAGGGACAAATATGTCGTTGAAAATGCCAAGATTCGTTAAAGCGGAACGTGTCAGTCTGGCAAGAGTAAATAGCTGGCCTGTTACTAAAAGAATAGAACAAAAGAAAAGACAAACTCACCCATACAATGAGCGCACCAAACAAATAAAAACTTTCTCTCCTCGAGAGCTTTCAGAATTCACGCGTCCGAAGTCCAAGCAGAACTGAAATGAAGGAGCGTGCGCTGAAAGCTATATACACTTGTCTCCTACTCCAAGCAGTAACCACGTGACAAATTCACCTTGGCCCCAACAATCGTTTACGGAAGCTTTCCACGAAGACCAACCAATAGCGTTGCCGCACCGATGAAAACAAATCATCCCATTGGTCCAATTTCTGTTGCGCAATTTATAAACTCGTCCTAATACTCGGTAGCGTTTCAGTCGTTCCAATACACAGAAAAATAATCGGTATCTGTAAAACACTGATCCCTACGTCACCATTTTTCCTGGACTTAAAGTCCAGACGTTCTGGAATTCTGTCGATAACCATTGGATACGACATTATCGGCTCTATTGGCTAATCAGCATTGAAGGTTATACATAGCCCTACAAGAACTGGTAAGTTGGACTGTCATACAGATACGGTAATTTTTATTGGAACAGCTGAAATTCTTGTCGATAGATAGTGTCGCGACGTATATTATCAAGCATTGCGACTTCACCTTAAACCAGCCATTCGCCGATGGACGCTTTATGGAGACTCAGCATTCGGTAAACCTATGGCATCATTGCATGAATGGTACACGATGCGAAAGGCTATGATTTTATCTCTGCCACGTGATATCTTTGTGACTCCTGAGGTATGTGCTCTAATTAACAGTTCAATTTTTAACATCTGAATAATAAGTACAGTAGTACCGAGTTGATCAGTATTATATATTTCTGTTGTGTGTACACACACACATACACAACTAGAAAGTTATCTCAATCAATTTTGCGTCCTATTTCTCATAATCTAAATTGCAAAATTTCAAGAGCACTCATTTCGCTATTGCACAACGTAATATCGTCCAGAGGCTTAGTTGAATGTTTGATAAAAAAAAGCGTAGATATTATATTTGAAAAAAATAAGAGGTCGAGATTCTTACAATGGGAACTAGTGATTTTTCTTAAACCAAATATGATTAACGGGAATGATAATAAAAATACATGCAATAGGTGCTGCTGAAGATTCAAGGTAGATTAAGCTATTAAAAGGCGTCATGGTGACGTTAGGGGAAAATGGTATAACGATAACTGTATTGGAACGCGTCATAGAATGACGTTGACATACAATGGGAAAAGGAGGCGTATGGATTATTTGATTAGATGATTATTCTCGTCGTATGACTCACGCCTGTTTACGTCATGAGTTCGAAGAAGATTATAAACCAGCCCTTTATTATTGATCGTAGCTAGCCGCGCCCTTTAAATTTGTAAGTATATACTAGAGTCATTTAATTCTCTATTTCAGTCGATATTACGACTTTGCTGGTCATTTTTTTTGTTCGATGCTTATAAAAATCTAAAATATATTTCTTTTAAACGTAATATAAATAATTGTAATAAAGAATGTTCTGAGAATCACATTATCCATATCCTTATATAATACGTGGTTACGTGCATTATATATATGTATATATCTTTCTTAGTAATTACTCAGTGAAATTTCTAAAGCATAAAAAGTAATAGAAAAAAATTAAATGAAGACTTTCAAATGAAGAACAAAATCGCCCGACCATTCCCGGATTTATGTCAACCAAGTACATTTTTCCCCGATAACACTCATATCTCTTTAGAAACCAGACTATTCACAACAATGATTCAAGTTGAAGCTTATTTTCTTTTGTTAGTTTTAATGTTTCACTCCATTAAATCACCTCGATCTGACGTCAAACGGTAATTACATTAAAAATCTGTAAATAATTGTAACGCACTTGCGTACATTCATTACCACTCATCTCCCCTCCTTATCATTTGCCACATGGAATCTCAGTGAAGAATAAAGAGAAATTTTCCCCCCCCCCCCTCCCCCACTGATCACATCAGCTGCACGTATTACCACACGAGCATCCAACCTATAATAACAGTAGATGGAATTTAATTGTTTATCCGTAAGTATATAAAACGAATATTATCACGAAAAAAAAATAACTAGGTCTAACGTGATCTGATGATAGCTGAAATGTAAATTTCGTCAAGGGTATCTGACTACTTTCTATTTAGCAAAATTAAACGAATTCGCACATAGGAACGACGCAATTTCATGTATCAGTCGAGTTATCTCTATTGGCTGGAAAAATTAACTGCTCCTGATAAACACCAGTGTCGCAGACGGTAACGAGCCAAAAGCAAATGCTCGAGGCTGTTAAGTTATAAACGGTAAACATGATTTAAAATATTTTTGTTATTATTACGTTCTCGTATAAAGTATTGCGCATTAATATACATCGGTTACGTATTCACATGTGTAGGCAATTGTTAAACAGTGCCCCTGCGTCACTTCATCTCGTCGACCTTTTCAATACGATACTCGGGAACTCTATAAGCATTTCCCTGAAGCATGCTCACAGATGAAATTTCACGAAATAATTAAATCCGAATAGCAATCGAACCTTCGAACTTGAATCATATCCTAGTGTGTCGTTTTTATTAGTACTATCTGCTGAACTACTGTCTAAAGTACTGTCTGATGAAAATTCTGAGAAACTAACGTCACAGTCACTTCCGCGACAGTTGATAGTCACCGGCTGCAGTCGTTCTGGAACTGAAAGGTAGTGCCTAGGGGAATCTTACCTTAAAAGTCATAGTGGCCCTTCTATAAGCTATTTTGCTCGTGGATGAACTATAGTGACAATCATAGGTATGGTTTCGACTGGCACATTTCCTCATTGAGGAGACAGTCATAAGGAAAGGACAAAAGGAAGGAAGGTGTGGTTTCGTTGGCACACGCCCCCCATTGGGGATACAGCTATAAGGAAAGGAAGGAAGGAATCAGAAGGAACGTATGGTTTCGTTGACAGCGGCATATTTAGAGCTGAAAGACACGATGCTGACGATAGACACTTCTTTGGATGCCTAAATGCTACGTGCATACCACTCTCTAGGTTTTTAATCTTTTTTTAATACCTGGCCCCCTTCTGAACACTGTAAGCTACGCGATACCAAGAGAGGAAACACGCAGATAGAAAATATATTTGTACGGCTTCAATGGTTGGGTCACGTTTGCCGGCAAGGCTGCTTTGTGCAAGAAAAAGGGGGAGCCAAGTATGGCGGGAGATGATCTTTCCGTACGAACGAATGAATATTCTCTAGGATCAGGTGAGTTAGTAATTGTTAAGGAAATGCCTGTTGAATGGAGTAATAAGGAAATAATGGAAAGAAGAACAGTATAATACCTTGTGGAATAGACAGGCCGATGTTGTCCTGCTGACCCAGTTAATTCTTGGCGCAATGTCAACACGAGACTCGCCACTCATTCAGCCCCTTAAAAGATGAAGTAAAGGCGGAAACACGAGTTCACGTGTACAAAGATTCATTGACACCTGAGATTATTAAAAAGATAATTTCTGTAAGAAAATAATTATTTCATTTGCAATCTTAGGAAATGTGCGTGATAACTGATAGAAATTTTAAGCAACCAATCATTCTAATCTCAGTTGGTGTATCATTTTGAAACACTTGATCTGATAGCTTTTAGGATCCTTGATGGTAAAGCTGATTGCGATAAGGCTGGGAAATTCATTTGATCGGACTTTTAATTTGGACAAAAATAACGAATAGTTTAATTTTACTGTTTACATGCTATAGAACGAATTCAGCCGTTTTTCAGTGGTGAGCCTTCGTTACAGCCAATTTCAAATTCCCATTGTATGTACGAACGACGTGTGACGTTTTCGCATTATTTCAATTCCACATTTTCTGATTAACCTTCTATACTATATATTAAAGCGACGTCTTTCGTTCCATAACGATGAATTAATACTTTTCGAGTACAGAAAACCTGCAATCGTGGTACAATTTGATTGGCGAATTTCAAAATGTTTAATGATGAAAAACCAATAAGAAATCGACTGTGCGTATCAGCGAATACAATCTAAATCACGATTCGATTTATCAGCGACAATCACGACCAGGTCGCATAATCAGCTCAGGAATCATATAGTGCGCATCAGTGTGAATTCGCATTCTGTTCGTTCTACACAGTAGTAAGTAGTGCTATTATATTTATTAACTGGCAATATAAAAATATAATCTACTAATTGACTTTGTACGAGTTACGCAACAATATTTATATCTGCAGAAATTATTGTCCATCCGGAAAGTAAAAAAGTAAAGGTACAACGAAAGACAATGAAGACTTTATTTTTCGTTGGATTAATAGCCATGGCTCTTATTGGCTCTTCTATGGCTGATGAAGAGGCAGGGGCTCAGCTGCCGAACTGCATTTGTACCAGGATCTACAGCCCTGTCTGTGCCACCAATGGTGTCACCTATGACAATGAATGCTTATTCAAATGTACTCGAAATGACAGACTCAGTCGAGGCCTTGAAAGTATGATATTTCTTTTTATTTTACAAATTTCATTCTCGAGTTTAAGTAGAATACCTCATTATTGTATTACTGATTGATGTAATACGTCAATCGTGGTACCGTATGGTACCGTTTTCCGTTGTTATCGTATCGGTTTGAAAATCATTTAAAATCTGTCCAAAGCAACATTGAAGTAATAATGATTATTAATGGCAAATGCATCGAATAATTTCCTTTTGGTTGTATAAAATGTGGATATAATTTTTTTACAAATTAAACTCAATAATGGACAAATATTATGTAAATATTATACAATCTTTAAATTAATAATATATATTTTTATAGCTATAGAGATTGCGAAAAGAGGAATGTGCAACGAAGAATCCTGGTTCTAAATTTCCACATCATCAATATAATCAACACCGGACGTCCAATTTGAAGCAATGCTTATCTATTAAAATATATTGAATGCATATAATATTAAACAAAAAAAATAGTTGTCACATATGGAGTTAAAGTTTTAATTCTGTAACAGTAAATAAAATATTAATTTTTCTGCTGAAATATGTATAAGTAGAGAATAATGAAAATCCATCACATACATTTAGGATTATTCTTAATTTGACGCAACTACTATTGGTACGTCACATGTTAAATTGAGGTCAATATTTAATTTCCATTACGGAGGAACTTTCAATTTAATTGTATTTATCTTTTTGATACTTCTATATTTCACTCGCTATTAGACAAATAGGTAAGTAGGGGAATCATTTGTTTTTATATATAGATATATAATCATTTCGTCTTATCGATTCGTACAATATACCTATATACCTAGCCACATTTCTAGAATACGTAACAGAATCTCTGTCTCTGCCAATAAGTGGTCTGCGGTCATAACCTTATCAGTCATATTTTCTGCTTAACTAATTACATCCCTCGGACGATCCTCGTAGAAAAGCATATAGAAATCTTTGTTAATACATTGTAAATCGTTTTTAAATTGGAATATTTCTTAGATATAACATAGGCCGGTATTGTTAACTTAATAATTTTCTTTACCTACGGAGCCTCGTGTTCACGAGAATTGTGCTAATAGCATCGTCCTAGTAGCATTAACCAAGCGAGAGTAAAACGCAGAGATAATTTAGTGTTTCGAAGGTGACATAAGTAAGAAAATCTGTTGGAGATAATTGAAGAGACTAAATCCAGCAGTATTGATCTGGTGAAAGTCACAATTCAGATATCAATGAAGAGATTATCACTATTTTCGCTGCTAATCTGATATCTTTGTAAATAATTTTCATAGAAATTCTTAATATAGGGTGATTCGACTTATTAGGAATCTAAAATTAGAATTCATTCGCCCAGTGTTAATCAGCTAGTAGTACTATGAGTTCTGGTACCATCGTCAGCAGTGAACACCTCGGTAAGTACACTTTGTGAAATAAATATTAATACCAATATAAATTCCATGAAATATTAAAACACTCTAGGGACACTAATCGGTAATCACTTGTAATCAAGATACATTATTTTCATTCGAACCGTTCTCCTAAATATCTGTTATATTTACGGAAGAGGATTCGAATTCCATCGAATGTCGATCTTCCGACATTTTGAATACAGTAACCAGAATAGAGCTCGAAAGAGAGAGAGGTCTATCAAATGATATATCTTTGGGTCTATTTTCAACAAACGACAGTTTAGTATCTTCAAAGACGATCTAGGTTTTAATGAATATCATAATTTTTAATTATAGACGAGGATATACGGGAACTGGTAAGGGAGGCCACTATCGTTCGCGAAAGAGCATATGCACCTTATAGTAATTTTAAAGTAGGCGCTGCTCTACGTGGTGAGAATGGAACCATTTTCAAAGGCTGCAATGTTGAGAATTCAGCTTATCCAGCTGGCGTATGTGCCGAGCGTGCCGCTTTATTTCAAGCAGTAACAGAGGGGCAAAAGAAATTCAAAGCTGTCGTTGTTGTAGCAAGTGGCAATTTTACGTCACCCTGTGGCATATGCAGACAAGCTTTAGCTGAATTTGGTGACATGCTGGTTTACTTGGTTCCTGCAAATAATCCACAACAAATATTGAAGACGTCTATCAAGGAATTATTACCGATGGCCTTTTCTTTCAATACAATATAAATTGCGAAACACTTGTCACGCATAGGTCTTATCCAAATAAGAATAAGCGAAAACTTTTTAAGCATTACATGTATCAAATATTTTCACAGATGTAGATACACCCAATATTGAAATATGCATGCGAACATGAGGAATTATAATATCCTGAACTATTGGATCTGCAAATAAATTTTCACATCTGAAAAATGACCTATTTATAAAAAATAAAATTATGTGATATAATTACGTTTTCTTTATATTTGTTTCACTGTCTTCATCCGTTGATAAGATATTACATGAAACAAGCAACTTTTATCTTACTTTTTTTTACGAATTAGGGATCTGTAAAAAAAATAAATGTTTTTCAACTTTCTAATTTAATTTTCGTATTTCATATCACACAATCTTTTTGTACCTACCTTAAGCTCTATTATTATCACTGCAAATAAAAATTAAATTGTATCAACGTGTAGAACCATACGTAAGACGTGGTGATTAAGGTATTTGTTTACCTAGATAAACTATATTCTTCATCGTACTAATGTACATCGTTTACTAGGCTTCTCGCCAACTAGCTACTATGCGAATTATATACAAAGGACGCGTCAATATATACATCTTAACTTATTGTTTGATCGTTGGTAAAAATGCGAAGGCTGCAAGGCATCTATGCACGTTAAATCTACTGCACCGAAAAGATCAATGACTGATTTTATGTTCCTCCTCTTCTGTGTAATTTCCATTTTCTCACCAAAATGGACACCTACACGAGCGTGAAGTACACCAGTTAAAAGAAGGTTCACATTACTTTATATTGTAACAAAATAAATAATATAAAAAATTTTCACTGACCATCCTATATAACATTGACAAAGATTTTCATTGTTCGTAGCTTGCTGTATGAGAAGGTCCACTTGTCTCTGTACGCTAAGTGTCTCCTCGTGGGAAAAATCTCGACCAGTTAATTTGTCCCTCACTCTTGTGATGATAGCCAAAGCCTTCTTGTTAAGAGCTTCAGGTTGATTATTATCACCTGGTTAAAAATAATTGGAAATTATGGTATGCACTTAATCATAAAATATAATATCTTTGAATTACCTCCATTCTCGATGCTGCAAGGTATACCTTTCTTCGGTAGAGTCGCACTCAGAGACTCTAACATGTCCCCATGTTCCTGGCTACTGCTAGCACTCATCCCTTGAGCATCCGAACGTTTCCCTTTGGGAGTAGCATTGTCCATAAGCCTCCAATTGAGCAGAGGATCATAAACAAAGGCTTCTAAGACGGCCATTAAACTGTCCTTATTCCGATGCAATACGGACATGACTGATTCGCAGGTCCTACGGTACGTTCCTTCAATTCCGGTAACTTCCATAGCGTTGATCAGCATCCTGGTAAGTCTGAAGGGTATCTTCTCAGGGAACTTTTCTCGAGTCATTGCGACCTCGAAGCAGTCGCCAAAGTCGATGTGCAGAATCTTTCCGCTAAGTCGATCCAGCATGAGATTCGATGGATGACGATCACCTAGGCCAAGTATATAACCGACCATAGACATGACAGCTAAACTGCGGGTATAATTTGTCCTGCGATCGAACCAGACTTCACTGGAGGGTGACTTCAGCCATAGAAGACGTGAAAGATCATCACCGTGGGTATGTTCCAAAGCATGTTCAAAGACTTCAACTTTTTGCATGAGCATCAGATGATCATAGTCCGGTGCCATGCGTAGCATGATTCTGTGTTCAATGTTTAGTAAAATCTTCTTCTTATCACGATAATCCCGGATGAGGGTATGCAGGGTATCACAGTGGGGTACCCAGCCAATGAGACCGCTGTTCGTCGACAGAGGGATCACTGCATACCTTTGAATCGTTAGGTTCCTTCGGAATGTATCGGGATCATGTAGAAGAAGTGTATTCACCAAGCCAAATAATTGCATCACCCTCTCGTCCTGACGAAGATCCTCGTGGCCCTTAAGCAGGAACATGTAGTCTTTGCCGTTGCTACCTTTAATGCAAAGCTTGCGTGGCCTCTGCTTACTCGTGATAACTTGCATGGAGCTATGAATGCTGGCTATCCTCACCACTGGATGACCTGGACTATAACTTCCTGGAACGGCCAATTCAAGATCCCGACAGAGCAACAATTTTGGACTTACGTATTGAAGTTCCAGACTTGTTAATTGAGGTAGTTGACGTGATATTCGCCGGAATACGTGGTAATAGAGATCCCACGCTTGATTCAGATCACGAACATTTCCGGAAACTTTGTACCTGTGACACCAATCCTGTGCCTCCATTAAATCCCTACCGTAGGCCTGGTTGAAGGAAGTCTCTTTAAGCGTCTGTGGGCCTCTCTCCAGCATGGCATGAAGCGGCTCCAAGGTATCGAACATACCCTTGACATTTCTTTCACCGAAGTAAAGTCTACTAGCTTCTTCCAGTCCTTCGTGCCACAATTCATGCCAGAGAATAGCCACTCTAATGAGTTCATCACTGGCCATCATGGCTTGCTGCACCAGGGTCGGGCTGTGCTCACACATATTCTTCAGTATCTTATTGGCAGCAGTTTTACGAGCCTGACTGGCACTCTTGGAAGCAACTGTCAAAGGATACACTAGTGCTTGAGGATGCGTTTTTCCAATGTCGATCAGCAGGTAATGAATGAGCCTTCCAACAAGAACTCGAGGAGTATCGATGCGGGCTATCAACTGTGGTATAACTTGCAACCACGTGTTAATCTCTATCAGTCTCTTGCCCTCGACAATAGCATCGTAAACTTCTGGCCATTGACCGTAATCGAACCAGAGGGTGAGCAACCTTAGTGTATCCTGAAGAGAACTTCCGTGCGAGAGGTTGATGGATCTGAAGAATCCTTCAACGGCAGGTACAGTAAACTGTGAGATGTATTGTGAACTTGGAAGCTGACCAGATCTTGGCCCATTACCAAGAACATTCTCAGAAGCAGTTCCAGAAGCTGCCCCAGCAGCTGCAGCAGATTCTCCCTGTTGATGTTTGTAAAACAGAACCGTCTCAAAATTCGTGTAAGCAAATGCATGCCAAGCTTTGTACCAGGTCGGATCGTGTTCGGTGGCTGCAGCGTAGTAGGATAAAACTGCAGGTATAGAGTGTTCGTTGATACCTTGAAGAGTCTCCAGCCATTCACCAAGCTTTAGATAGCACCTAGCTAATAGACGTTTCCTGACTTCGTGTTGTTTCTCATCTTCCTGGCCGGTGACAGAGCTCACAGTAACCGGCTGTAATGAAGTCTGCACGAATCGCTGTAGCTGACTGTAAGCTTCTTCACGTTTGTTAGCCATCCACATGTGCTTGCAATATGCAAACGTCACCTGAGGATGTATCGTTGGTAGAGGCTGATCCGGTGTCAGGGAGGGATCCGTTCCCAAAAGCATGACTAGAGTCTTGTGACAGAGCATCAGGCTGCCGGACTTCCGGCAGAGACTGGCGTACTTCAACCAGGTATACATGTCGTCTTGAGGCGATACGACAAGTGTGTGAACTTGGATGATTTTCTGCCAATCCTCAACGATTCGCTGTCCGCCTTGAAGACGTTCCCACCACATGGATTTGATGGTGGAACGACGCTCAGGTACAAGTTTAAATTGGATAACCTCTTCGAGCTCAGCCAGCTTTTGCACTTCCACCATTGCGTTGTAAGCTCGTTGATAACTCTCTCCAGCCATCGCAGTAAGTTCCGTATCCAGAAGATCACGGGCGCTGTCGATCAGCTGGTGCGCCACGTTGTACTGATCATCGTGAATGGCCAAGACAGCTCTATAGAAGGCACCGTCCTGAGTATCTTTTGGAATCAGATTAACATACTTCTCCATACTCTCCCATTGTCCCAGGCCCCATGCAGCTGCAGCAGCCATTCTTGCCATTCGCTGCTTATTCTCATCAGGCTGAATCGACCATTGCTTCGTGGCTACGTCGTGAAGTTGTCCCCATTCACCCAGAGCCTCCAGACATCGCATCTCGCCCAGAGTAGACTCCACGTCACCAGGATCACTCTCGAGTCTTTCCTGGTAGAGATGCAATGCTTTGTCCCAGTTGTGCAGCTTCTCGTACCATCGCACCTGCACCTTCAACTCTTGTTGATTGTGCTGATTCATCACGTACTCCAGAAGACCCTCGGCAGCTTCCTTCTGCTGCAGTTTATTATTGATGGAAATCAAGGACTCGAAGACGTTGCTGTTGCGTGCCTTGTGAAACTCGTCTTCCTTATAATGAAGTGCTTTCGCATAGGCACGACAGTGCATTGCTCTCTCACCTAGAATATTGTTGTCCAATGGTAAGGGTCCTTTATCGCAATGCTCCATAAACTCTGCCAGGTTGAGAATGGTCTGAGTGATTTCTGGTAGATCTGGTACCATCAGTGCCTGCTGTAGAGTCTGGATGAGCTCCGCTCGATAAGTATCATTTAATTCTGTCCAACAGGAAACAAAGGCCGCGTTGAAAAGATCACGCGGTAGTTGAGAATAAGTCTGAGCCAGAGCCCAACAGGACCTCAGAGCTGGAGAAGGAGATTCCTTGAGGAGACCAATGGATAAGCTGCGTAGCCATTCGAGCCAGTCATCTTTAGATACCCTTCTGGTGGCAGTCCATGCTTTCTGAAGATTTGTAGCAGACACGTGAAGTCGCTTTATGGTAGTGGTGTCACTTGAGGTTAAAGACAGATCACGATTCTTATTCCTTGAGTGACGATGCCTGGATAGAAGGCAATCCTCCCCGTCGGCGACAGTGGACTCAGTGAGGATCTTATCGGTAAGGACGTCGTAACGTGGATTGACGATTTTGTGCTTGGTCATGACCTTTTGTACCAGTGGTATAAATATTTGGTATTTTTTTCCAAGTTGAATCAATAGAGCACATAATGTGTCCATGGCTGTGCTTCTCAATTCAGGGCATTGATCTAGGGTTTTCACTAGAGGATGAATGATACGTGATGCGAAATCAGTAAAGTCGAGAGTGTCAGCCAGATGATCTACAGTTTCCAAAGCAATCCTGTTAACGTTTAGAGGGCAATCAGTCGCATGGAAAAGTTTAACTATCGGCGGCAGCACCAAGTGCAGATAATTATCTAAATTGTTACCAAACTTCTGCAGCGCAAGAAGAAGCTTAACAGTGACGGTACGATCCTTGCTGGTATCATGAGTGAGTACCCTGAGAATCTGAGGCATCAGCTGCGGCAGATAAATCTTGAATTCTGCTCCTAGTGCTACTGCGATGTGCTCCACCAAAAGTATAAGTGTACTCTGCAGTGGACTATTGACAGTCCAAAATTCTTTAATTAGAATGAAGATATCGTCCAAGTAATTTCTGATGTGTTGCTTGACAATGGCAATGAGTACAGCCAACTGTTGAAATAAGTACTCGCGAAAGTTGACATCAGCTGTGCGTACGACGTTCAGAAAGCTAGGCATTACTTGTGATATATAAGGTACACATTTGATACCAAGACTCTTGAAGATAAAAGTAACAGCCTGTACAACCATAGTATGATGCAGGGAAAGCGTTGGGTCGCGGATGATCCTCATAAGAGTGGCAATGGCAATGGCTGGATAATATTCTTCTAAAGTTGAAGATGACATATTGACCAGCATCTCGCTTGTTGTCAGTTCTTGGCTTGTCTCAGAGTCACTCTTGATATCCGCCATCGAAGTCAGGGTATCCAATTGGGAATCAATTTGACCTAGATTCATCTTGTGCTTGTAAGGATCCAATGCCCCCAACAGACCCAATACTCTAATGGTCTCTCTACGTATTATCGGCTGCTGCTCTGTCTTCAGAAAATTTATTAGGACGTCCAAAAGCGTTGGATACTGTGTGTAGGGTTTCACGACGTGTCCAGTACTACCGACGAGCTGTCCAAGGACCCAAAGAGCAACACCACGTTTCTCTGGGGAACTTGCGTCCACCAACATTTCTAATAATATTGATAGTAATTCTGGCATCCATTGCTGCATTTCAGACCCATTCACTTCTGCAAGATCACCTATGGCTCTTAGTATAGCTAGAATTACTCCTGGATTCGGCTCAGGTTCTTTCAACTTTGGTACCAAAACCTTTAGGATCGGTTCCATGTAGGGCCTGATCAATCTTGGAGCACTCACTACCAGATGATCCAACATTCGCGCAGCTTGTTCCTTATTGCGACCCATTCCTGAGTGTTCCAACTCAGTCAGGAATTGGATGAGCGTCTTCCTCAAGGAAGGCATCACGTATGCTGGATTCATCGTACTAAGTCGTCCTATGGTGCAGATTGCCAATTCTCTGATTTCAAATATCTCGTCGTTCATAGCTACAAAAAGTGCGGAGAGACTCTCAGCTTGTGCCAAGTGTATATCAAAACTTTCGTCCAAAGATGCAAGAACCCACAATCGTACGTCTGAATCCGTATCTGTGATCCCTACTACGAGTAGTTTTCCCAGGACGGCTGACACCGTGTTAGTCACTGTTGGTCCTGGTTGATTTAGAGCCAGCCGCAGAAGTCTGGAGCAGGTCCTAACAGCTTCCAAACGTACTTCAGCCTGCTCTGAAGTAAGGAAGTGCTCAGCGCAACGGCGAACAAATTGCAACAGTGGATTCCCGTCGAAGTTGAATGTTCCCAAAGTCTTGAGAGCAAGAACCGTACTTGGTACATCTACTTCGGTGGGTGGTGCAACTATCGGGCTTGATGCCGTCCATGGTGCTCCAGGATGTCGAAGTGGTTTGTGCATGAGTACCTGGGATAACATTCTCAGGAGTCCTTGGGAAATGTCTAGTTTGAGACAAGGCACACTATGAGCCAATTCTCGTAGAGATGTTGTCAAAATGGGACTAAGACCAGTAGCAAGCATTGACTCCAATAAATCCCTCACATCGGATGCTATTGTTTGCTTGACTGCGTGACCTAAAAGAGTGATACAGATAAAAACTGCTGGTTCCAACGAAGCTGCGCGTTTCTTGCTCGGAGTTTCTTTCGATGGTAAGGAACTCTTGATTACTTCCATTATTTTGGGAAGATACGGTTTAATTGCGTCCTCGACCGCAACTGCTATCAGGCCGATTGTAGTGAACGCTGCATGGCGATCTTTCTCACGGCCACGGAGTGTAGTAAGCAAATGGGATAATGATTCCCTTAGATGATCCCTAATAAACTTTTCTTTATTGAAAGCTGCAAGTCTTGGCAGTAAGGCCATAAGAGCATGTTGAATATGAGGATTTCGTGATATCCTCTGGTTCATAACGTCGTTGTACACAGCATCTAGTCTTTCTTGCATGAGGCATCTACAAGCTGCTGATTCGTGAACAGGATAAACAGTATGCTGTGTTCCTGAACTGTTTTGGGGAGAGCCAGACCACTTGGGGACTATGGAGGTCTTAAGTCGTGGCATCAGGGACATGATGACATTGTCATTTTGTTGCGTAGGACAATTTAGTCTTTCCATTAAAGCTTCGTAATTTCTCTCCCACTGAATATTGCTACAGCGCAGTAACTCATTAAGCACCAGTAAGGATCCATGTATTCTGTCATCCCTATTGTATCCTCGTTCTCTAGTATAAACATCTTCAAATCCAGCCACAGTTTCGTCATAGCACTGTTTATACCACTGCGACTTGTGCATTTGCTTAGCTGTCTCACGTTGAGCAGTTACCACTAATGCTGCTCGAAGAGCTTCTACAGCACCTTCACGAATTACAGGTTTTGGATCTCGAATAGCATTAAATATTAAATCAAAGAATGGTGTAACTTGCTGGAAAAAATAAGTAGGCATAGAAACAGCTAGTTCTCTTAACACAAGTACTGCAGCATGACGTTTTCCTTCGTGTCTATCACCACCCAGCCATTCGAAAGCTCGCTTTACTTCAAACTCTACATATTCAGCCGTGAATGTTCCTGAGACCAAGGCCAATTTGCCAACTGTCTTTGCTGCCAATTCCATAACACCGACATCGCTCGACGGCAGTAAGTTCCGCAGGTAATTTGCAAATCGAATTGTCCTAGTATTTATGTTCCCTACGTCTGCTCCAATGAGACAGACAATCGCCAAAATCCCACCCTTCTTTTCATTCATGTCCGATCCTGAGACCATTTCAAATATATGGTGATTAAATTCGTCCATAAAAGCTGTCAGCTCCTCTTGTGAAGCTTCGCGTAATTCTGTTTTAACGTAGAGACACAAATCTCGCGCTGCCTTGTTCCTGACTTCTTCATGCCGCGACTTGAGTCGCTGCACGAATTGTTGTACTAGGGTGCTAGTCATCTTGAGGCTATCCAAACTGTAGAGAATAAACGAAAAATGTTTCAGTCACATTATCTTTATGAATTATATCTTTATAAACTGATCGACACTTGCCAAACTACGGAGCAATCCTGAGCAGTCCTCACCGCCGCTCAGGCTCTAAAGCGTTTACCAGTCATCTTTTTTATTTACACTGATTTACACTGTTAATGCCAAGGCATAAAATACATTAGGAGTTTTCGATTTACTCAAATCGAGTCGATACAACCAGTGATGAGTAGGGAGATGCACAACCCTACGATTTTAGGCCAGAGATGAGTGGGGAGATGCACAACGCTCCGGTTTTAGGTGATACCAAAAGCATGGCGCTAAATCGTAGCGGCGAGTCCGGGAGTAGGATTTCGTGATCATCGCCTCTGTCGATGTTACAGATTTCGCGTAGCCGCGCGGATCATGATCATCGTTCCAGCCGATATTGCAGTCAGCGAAAATGAATGGATTGCTCGGTGGTGGGGAAAAAGTTGCCGCCCCTCACAAACCGTTCTTGACAAACAGGCGGAACACCAGTCTTCCGTCTAATCGAACCCTAAACGTTTGTATGGACGTAATGCGCAAACAAATGTGTATATTAAAATAAATTTGAAAGTTATAATAAATGCATAGAAATATTGGTTTTCACTCTTTACCTCTTATCATGCCGAAAATGAACATTAAACAATGAATGGCGAAATTCGTTGATAAATGAAACGACCGAGAACAGTTCAAAGAGGAATTTTGAAATATCATAGATAAATATCCATAATAAATTTAATTTAGTATTAAACGAGCATCGTAGCTGAGTCAATAACCTGTCAAGGTTCCTCTCTTTTAACCTTTCTAGGTTGCCCAAAGTTTATTTTATTCTCTTTTGTTCGTCTACGTGGAGAAGGGTGGCGCAAAAGTTCTTAACCGGAGTGCATCTTCATATTATTCTGCTTATATGTAAAGTAAGCAAACGCCTGTTTGCGCATTACGTCCATACAAACATTTAGGGTTCGGTTAGACGGAAGACTGCTGTTCCACCTGTTTGTCAAGAACGGTTTGTGAGGAGCGGCAACTTTTTCCCCACCACCGAGCAATCCATTCATTTTCGCTGACTGCAATATCGGCTGGAAGCAGTTGAATAAACGATGAAATTCTAGAAATACAACTTCCGAAAAAAGTAAAAGAAACATATGTATCTGACGCTTGGCTAGTGCACCCGGTTACGAATCGGGAGGTCTATGGTTCGAGACCCCTCTATGGAGAGCACTTTCTTCTTTATAACTCCTTTTTACTCATTTTTTATAACTTTGAAATTTATTTGAATATACACATTTGTTAGTGCATTACGTCCATACAAATGTTTAAGGCCTTCACACACAAAACGACGTAACGACTTAACACGTAAGCGTGAGGAAACCAAACAATCAGAATCTAGTACTGTCTCCTCCACTTTTCTCCGTAAGACGTAAGCCGTAGTGCCGAAAAATATCGTAAGGATGGAATCGTTACGGCTTACTTCTTACGGACAACCAATCACAAACCTTCGCGCGTTCTCGTTTAAAAGAACATTGATTACACGTGAAACGAGTGGCTTTGATGTGCTTTGATATTGAATAAAACCAGCAATGAGTGATCATAAGCAATATTGTTCAACAATGTATTGTAATAAATAAAATTATAGTATGTACAATGACGACACTTTGATAAAAATGTGCAATTCTTTCTTGAGTGTGATTGGCCCTAGCTTACTCCTTACGCGTGTGGCGTGCGATGGTGCTTACTGATTACAGCTTACGGTTGCGTCTTAAGTCGTTACATCGTTTTGTGTGTGTAGGCTTTTAGGGTTCGGTTCAGTTCAGTTGGATGGAAGACCTTGCTGCCCCGCCTGTTTTCAAAAACGGTTTGTGAAGGGCGGCAACTTTTTCCCCACCACCGAGCAATCCATTCATTTTCGCTGACTGCAATATCGGCTGGAACGATGATCATGATCCGCGCGGCTACGCGAAATCTGTAACATCGACAGAGGCGATGATCACGAAATCCTACTCCCGGACTCGCCGCTACGATTTAGCGCCATGCTTTTGGTATCGCCTAAAACCGGAGCGTTGTGCATCTCCCCACTCATCTCTGGTATGTACAACACGTGTGTGTCGACAATGCTACGTGGTTTGATGTAATTCTTTATATTATAGCATATTTATTTATAATATTCAGAAACTCATGTGAAAAATGGGTATAACTAAGCAAGAAACTCATCGTGCTGGAGCTTTGAAGCAAACTAATAAACCACACAAAACTGGAAGACATCGGAGTAAAGGTTCTATTGGGAATGAGGTTAAAGGTATATTTATAATTTATATTTCCTGTTATGAGATAGTTCATACTATTTAATTGTATAATGCCTTTTGATTTTTCTTAAACTAGCAGTATGTCTGAGATTGAATCCAAACTATTATTATTTTTGACTGTGTAGGTAGAATTAATGTAAAGACTTTAAGCAAACGAGCTCACAAAGAGCTAGGGAAAGACGCTCGACGTCTTCAGGCACAACAACTTCGCCAGAAAAAGAGGGAAGAAGTTGTAGCCAAGAAAAGAAATCTTGGAGGATCCCTTGCTGCTCCGATTCTAATAGCTATTATTCCTCTACAAGAGGATTTAGATCCTGAATCTATTGTATCAATATTAACAAAAGCAGATGATACTGCTAACATATCCATTAGCCCTTGTGGAATTACTCATATAAGGTATACATTAATATTCTGCAAGTATTTTTAATCGTGGTGTTGTTTATTTATTATTTTTGTTCTTACAGTTTACCTAGGTTTAAACAACGTTTTTCATGTATTGTTCCTCCTGTGGGGAATACTATTGCTACATTGGATGCAGCAAAAGTAGCAACAACAATTCTTTTTGTGACTTCTGCAACAAGTAGTCCTGACAGAGGTCCTAAAACTGAAGCTATTGATTCTTGGGGTGAAGAAATCATTAGAAGTGCAGTTGCTCAAGGTTTACCTTCAACTATTGTGGCTTTGACAAATTTGGAATATGTGAATCCTAAGGTCAGTCACTTGCAGAGCTAATTGAAAGTGACATCTTTTACAAACAATTACAATTTAAACATTTGCCGTAGAAACGGCAAGACACGAAGCAACAGGTGCAAAAATTAATTTCAAAATGGTTGCCCGAGGAGAAGATTTTGCCACTTGATAAAACAGTGGATGCGCTAAACATTTTAAGACGAGCTGGTTCTCAAAAACAAAGAAATGTCACCTATAAGAATAAAAGAGCCCACCTGGTGGCTGAACAGATCAAATTTTCATGTAACACGACTGTACGATATTTGGTTTCTTTTTCTTCTAATGATCTACAGATAACAATCTAAAGTGATAATAGAGTTTAATAATATATGGTACTGCATTCACATAGGAAACACAGGATAGCAATACTTATGGAACTCTAGAAGTCACAGGATATCTACGTGGCATTCCACTTTCTGTAAATGGTTTAGTGCATATATCAGGATTCGGTGACTTTCAAATGTCTCGAATCGAAGCACCAGAGGATCCGTATCCTTTAGAAAAAGGACGTCCTAAGTTGCCAGAGACATCCCAAGATAATTCGATGGAAGGTGAAATCTCCACACGAGTTCTAGAATGCGCAGATCCTAACAAACAGGTTTTCATTTTTTCCTACATTTACTTGAGCATCGCAATGATACAGGTGAGCTAAACTTAAGAATTGTCTCAATAGGAATCTCTACAGAGTGAAAACATCCCAGATCCTATGGATGCCGAACAAACATGGCCTACTGAAGAGGAACTGGCTCAGGCAGAAGCACAGCAAAAGAAGCGATTAGTTAAACGCGTACCAAAGGGAACATCGGAGTATCAAGCTGCTTGGATTCCTGACGAAGATGCTGGTTTGTATTCCTATATATACGAATAAATTATTGCCTCAGTCTTGGATTTAATAAACTGTAAATTTCACAGAGAAGGTAGATGAAGACTTGGACAATGACTCTGAGGAAGATGAAATGTCCGTTGACGATGCAATGTCAGAGACAGAAAGTGAGCAAGCAGTTGAAGAAGACGAGGAATACGAAACTCTTACAATATCAGAAGCTGCTCCGGATGAACAACGTTACGATCAACAAATGGACCTGTTGGAGGAGAAACAAACTATGAAAAAATTAAAAGGTACATCATCCTAAATTTATCTGACTTCCTTAATGGAATGGACTATCATAAGTATTGTTTTTTTCTTTTCTAAAATAGAAGCAAAATTGGATGCACAGTTTCCTGACGAAGTAGATACTCCACAAGATATTCTGGCTAAGAATCGATTTCAGAAATATCGTGGACTAGAATCCTTCAGGACGAGTCCTTGGGATCCCAAAGAAAATTTGCCAATAGAATATGCGCGTATTTTTCAATTTCAAAATTTTGATCGCACGCGCAAACGCATTTTTCGCGACTGTGAGAACTTGGAAGGAGCAATGGTTAGTATCAGGTATTCCATCAGCAAAAATTGTAATAAATTAATAATTCTTATTGAAATCTTTTAGCCTGGCTGGTATATAACCGTACACGTTGTTAACGTAAGCAAGGCTCTCTTCGATGCTTACCGTACAGTCGACAACCGACCATTAATCTTACTCGGATTGTTGCCACATGAAAACAAAATGTCAGTGCTAAATATTGTCCTGAAACACACCAGCGAAAATGCCGAACCAATAAAGTCCAAGGAGCGATTAATATTCCAATGTGGCTTCCGGAGGTTTACGGGGTGTCCAATTTTCAGTCAACACACCAATGGCAACAAACACAAAGTAAGTCTTGACACATTATCCATAATCTGTCGAGGGAACCACAAAAATCATTTTGTTGTAATAATATTTTTACATTACAGTACGAAAGATACTTTCAACCTGACAGTACCGTGGTTGCCACTATGTACGCTCCGATTACGTTTCCACCCTGTCCTGTGCTATGTTTCAAAGAGAATCGTAATGGCAATCTGGTACGTCGTGACTCCAGCTACAAAACAGTTTAGTTTTTGACAAAAAAAAACCCATTCTTTAATTATCTACTTCAATGTTTCAGGAATTGGTGGCTACTGGAAGTATTTTATCCACAAACCCTGACAGGATCATAATAAAGCGTGTAGTTCTCAGTGGACATCCATTCAAGGTTCACAAACGTTCAGCAGTAGTGCGCTTCATGTTCTTTCACCGAGAAGATATCAACTGGTTCAAGCCAATACAGCTAAGGACCAAGTATGGACGTCGTGGACACATAAAGGAACCACTGGGTAAGATTTATAATACTAAGTAGATACTAATAAATAAGCAGTCTTAACACTTATTCACTTGTAGGAACTTATGGTCACATGAAATGCGTTTTTGACGGACAGCTAAAGTCTCAAGACACAATTCTGATGAATTTGTACAAACGAGTATTTCCAAAGTGGACTTACGAACCATGTCTTGTGCTAGACGCTGCACGTCAGGTGGAAGATGTCACTATGGCTTGAGACGATGTTGAATAAACTCACAGGAAAATGTATAAATGGTCATTGACCGTGTAAAACTTATAATTACGAATAACAAATCTTTTGTAAAATATTTTGTATTTTTTTTTCCTTCTGTGTCATCACCATTTTCTACTTATCTCATTTGTTTATCGCTTCTATGTACATTTAGGAGGAATAGGATTGAGGAATCGGCAAGAGTCAATTTGACAAAATGCTCATTTCGAGGATATAGAATAAGACTTCTGCGCAGCCTCGCGAATTCGTCGTGTATTTTTACTGATGCCAAAATACTCGACATCCTTCATTAAGTAAATTTCACGTTGAACGTGAACCAACTTGAAAAATTATACAGACGTTGTAAAGTCCTTCGTACTCGCTCGTAATAAACGTAATAAAAGATCGTTAATAAATTTAACGATCGATCAATAAATTTAAAGCGTCGTGACATCGTCCTAATCTAAAGCCACGGATCACCGACACTAGTAGAAATGGCAAATTTGTTCTTCGCGTCCAGAATTTCCATTCAATCGCGAGATTTATTAACAGCTATTAATCGCCTTTCTTATACTTTCATTATGATTCTTGTTTCTTTGTTTTTTCATTTCATCGTACTTCGTTTCTATATCATTTCTAAAGTTTTTTCTTAAAATTACCCCCACCCCCCAACTTCTCGCCCACATAGTACATCCACACGTTTCTAATTATTATTTGCCGAACAACTCGTACTGAACTACCTGTTCGATACGCGAAGGTAAAACGATTCACTGACACCAAATATACAATTATATAACGAACGTTAGCGGATTCGCTGACAACGACGACAGTGGATAAAATGGACGATTCGAAACGAGTAAACAAGAAAAAAAAACTCATTGCAGGTAGAGTGATGAGCATAATATTCATGAATGAAAATATTCTACAATTCAATAAATAAAGGGGAGGACAAAAAAGAAAAACTTTCCAGATCGATTAGGATAATGAAATATCGCGAGTACTTTATCAAGTTCACCGTAGCATGACTCAAGTGAAAATTATTTTCCGATTTCTCTTTTTTTTTTCTTCATTCGTTAATTCTGTCGTTGATGTCTGCATACAGTTCGGTGTTTCACCTCGTTAACCAAATAACGTTCTAGATGAAGTAAAAAAAGAAAAAGATTCATGATTCCATATTTTCACCACAAAATGTACTTTTTCAAATTCGCTAACCAAATAACGTTCTAGATGAAGTAAAAAAAGAAAAAGAAGTAAAATACCGAGACCACGAGAATGCCATTCTCGTGTCGGCCGGAAAGTCGAATATGTCGAATCGAATAACGATTTCGTGCTTTCATTCGGACTAAGATTTGCACCTTGAGCGCTGATTGCTTATCTTTGTATTTCCATAAATTTGAATCCCGATAACACGAAACGCGTAGCAGTCTATTCCTTTTTTGTCTTTTGCCAGTGACAATACTCAGCGCAATAAATAAGAACGATACGTTCGAGATAACAAAAGTACAAAAAGAAAAGGGTTAGGTTAGGACGAATGAAATGCAATCGATAACAGCCCAGTGTGAATTAGCGCAACAGCCGAATGAAGAACGGATATCTCTTTAGAATGAACCTTAACAGCGTCTTCTATCTCATGTCGACAGGTAGAGGCGATGATAATCGTTGGCACCAAACGCACAATTACACTTGGGACACTTTCGCTGTCGAGTCTCGTACCGCGTGCGCAAACAATCCCAGCAGAAGACGTGGAAACACTTGGTCAGCACTGCATCCTTGCGTTTCACTTTGCACGACGGGCACGTTAGGGTCTCTTTGTACTCCCGCAGTTCCTCGGCCATCACCTCGTCCAGGGTCTCAGCAAGTTCTATCTTCTTCATTCTCTCCACCTTTCGCCTTAGTTGGGCTATCTCCTCCTGTTTTACGACATCGACATTGTATTGACATATGATCTAAGGACACAGTAAACACTTGACAAGGCAATATATTAGGATTGTATAATTACTTGTAATCTTTTTGTTTTGTACGCTTCTGCTTCGAGGGAGCTCGTCTTCTCGGCTACAACCTGCTGAGCTTCCTTCATTTGGGAATGATATTTTTCTGGAAAGATTTTGTTGACTTTTATTCATCGTCCTAGCCGATAAATATACACAGGACGTATAGAATATTTACCAAGGTGAAGTTTAAGATCAGCCGCCGACTGTGCGCTCTCTATAGCTTTTCTTTTATGCATCTCCATAGCCTGCTGTCTCAAAGCTAATTCCTTTTCCACGGTCGCCAGAGAGTTCTGCAGAAGACGTTCCTTCTCCTCGAGCTTACGCACAACTACGTTCGCTGCTTCCACCTGCGTCGTTAAGGTCGACACTTGTTCCTTGAGCACGTCCTTCTCCTCCCTCGCCAGTTTGTGCAATTGATTACTCTTGATTCTCTCTGTCATTAATTTGAAATTAGCGTCGTCCTTCTCTCGCAGCTGCTGTATCAATCTAGAATTCTGCTCCTGCATGTCTTCAAATGCTTGACCAGTCACCTCCATCTCGTTCAGAAGAGCCTCTTCCTCCTGCAGCCAGACGCAATTCTGTTCAGCGTTACACCACCGTTCGAGTACACATCAATGGCCAAATACTATCACCACCGATGGCCATCGTTTGCATCCAAAGTAACAGTATCGAATTGAAAAATTTTATCAAAAATTTGTACGTTCAGCAACTGTTCTCTCCAGTATTGTAATGCTCTGCAGAGTTTACAGATAATGGAGAGTACCTGTTATGTATCCTTATTGTAGGAATCATTTTTCCTGTGCAATAACACTTTTTAAGCTCACGGGCAAGCCTCGAAGCACAACTTTTGTTATATAATATTCCTTAGGCGGGTTCAATGATAAAAACCAACTGTTGCAGTTTCATTTTTCTTTGCAACGGAAGCTATGTTAGCGCGCAGATATTACAGAACCAAATTAATTTAGCAACGATGCAGATTAGTGGCAATGCATGCACGTCAAAACTCTAAATTCTTTACAAGGAAAGTGTGATCTACCTGTTTCTGAGAAGCGACCTGTCGCTGAAGTGCATACGCCTGTTCCTCGAGCTTCTTGATCTTGATCTGCGCATCCTCATCGGCCAGCTTCTTCCGTTCTTCTCGTTTGCTTTCCTGTCGACGAAATAACTCATACTCTGATATTCCCTTTCTTCGATTATTACGAAAGAGCGCGACGCTCTAACATCGACGTTACAGCCAGAGTTCACGCTCTTCCCTGAAAAATAGATAAATATAAGGATCTCACAGAACTCACTTGGATCTTCTTGATCTGCTGGCGAAGCTCCTCGAGCTCGGCCCTCGTCTTGCGCTCCGCAGCCATCAACTGCACCTTATCCCGTTGTTCCTTTCCAACTCCTTTGTACATGTCCAGCAGTAACTTCATCTCCTTCATCTCGTTTACAGCCTTCCTGTTAACGGTCCAGTTCACACGATTAATTATGACAACAAACTATTTATCATTGCGTCAACTTGAACTATGTTTGTACGTACTTGAGTTGAGCCTTTAAATCTCGAACAAGCTCAGATTCAGCAACCTTGGCGTCCTTGGCCCGATGGGCCGGGTCTCTGTGTTCTGTTTTCACGGTCTCCTTCTTAATGTCTTTCTCACGCTTTATGTCCTTTTCCTTCTTAAGGGTCGGCGAAGTCAGAGTCAAAGAATCCGGTGTACCTTTGCTACCTTCACCTTCACCAACTTCGATCGTCTCAACCTCCTCGTCGGCACCAGTCTCTCGTTTTATCGCAACACCACTCTCTTCCTTGATCTAATCATAAGGATAACGTGATATTATAATAAATTATCCTTATGGATTTGATAATTTCATCTGAAATAATTACTTGAGTAGAGCCAGGAAGGGAATTCGAAGTATCCTCTTCCTTTCCACTACCATCGGAATTATTCCCTTCTTTATTCTCTTGTGCAGTCTGTTGACCTAACTTTGTCGTCAGTTCTTCAACTTCCTTTTTCAGCTGAAGAATTGTGAAATTGTTATAACTACTTTTCCTACGTGCAAAGTCTTTCCAGATTTTTCACTCACCCTTGGTATTTCCGTGGAGGCTTCCTTGTATTTACGTTTATACCGATGGACCTCACCCTTCAACTGTTGATTGTGATTTTGCAAAGACGTTATAAGGTGTCTCATTTCACGATTTATTGGACCGGTTTGCTCATTTGCTGCTAGATTCTGCTCAAATTCTATCCGGAGCATCTCATACTCTTTTCGAAGCTGTGCCAAAACGTCTTCCAATTGAATACATTCACCACGTAATTTCTTTTGAGCCATCAGTTCCTCACTCTGAAATGCAATAAATTTAGAAATTAATGTAAAACTGATAAACGGTAATGACTGAACCAGGCAACTAAACACATAACAGATGATAAATACCTCCATCATTTCTATGTGGCGAAGATGAGCATTTTTACTAGATTGCAATTGTTGCCGCGCGTCATCCAGCTGTGTCTTTAGCTGCATCGATTCGTTGTATAGCACAGAAAACTGGGATTGAAGACATTTATACTCGGTGGTTTCGACAATTACGGATTCTGGCAGTTGTCGGATCTATAAACAAGGCATAAATTTTAAGACCTTTAAGACACTTGCGAAACTTTAGAATATACTTCGTAAACGCGCTACATACTTCCATCTTGAGTTTTTCAACTTCCTTGAGCGCATCGCGATGCTGTTGATGTAACTTATCCAACTCCTGGAGCCTGTTGTTCGCTAGTTCTCGTGTTTCCTCGAGTTCTCTTTGTAAATCTTCTAACTGGGATCGGATCACAAATTTACGTATCATCACATGATCCGAAGATTGGCTTTTCTTCATAACGAATAAAATAGTTGTTTACCTTGGTCTGAGAAACGCTGGAGGCAACCAAAGTATTCGGCTTATTACTACCCTTCTCATCTGATCCATGAATCTGCTGAAAGGCCTTCAACTTCTCGATTGCTTCTCCAAGATGGTGTTCCAATTTATCATTCCTTGCACGAACTTTTATTAATTCATACTGTAGATCGTCTACTTGATTTCGAAGCTCAGCCGCTAGAGTATCCTTTCCCGTGATAGTGTCTTGCAATTCAGACATTTTTAACGAAATTGTGTGATACTTCTCGTGAAGTTGTATGTTAATGGCTTGCAAATTTCTATTCTCCGTTTGTATCTCAGCATTAGCTTCACGTACGACCTCGTCAATATTAGGAGCCTCCTCTAAAATAGGTACTTTACTTATAATCAAAGTTTCGTGAATATGGTTTGTAATAATTATAAAAAATTGATTAAAGCAATTTTACCTCCATCAAATTCACCTTTTAACGCGAGTGTAATCTTTTCATTTCTTTGAGAAAGTCGATCAAACGCTTGCACTACTTTTGAGACTGCACGCTTCGAGACTTGAACACGATTCGCTAATTTGTCATCCAATTCCTCCTTGTCCCAGGAAGATAATTGCATGAGGAACGAAGTAGTTGCTTCACTTTCATCTAAGAAACAATAAATACATCATAATCGAACCATCAAGTACAAGTATAATTGTCTGAAGCTTTGAATATTTTAGTACTTTTATTTTCTGACTCATCGGCAGTCTCAGCATCGAATCTTTGTAACAAAACTCGTATATCTTCGTTTAGCTGATTCCAATAACGATTAACAACATTTAGCACAGCATCATCTTGAGTCTGCCTTTTCTCAAGCTGTTCAATACGCTGACGCAATTCAGCTTCCATTCTGTGGCGTTGCTCAAGCCTCTGCATGGATACATACAATTATAATTCATGATACTCATGCTGATAATACTGTAATCAGTACAGCAAAAGAGGTAAATAACAAGTCATGTTTCAGTGCTGAATAGAAGGCACAAAAATACTCATCCTTATTCAGCCATACTGTCGTATACTTGTGTCACTATACACAACAGTCTGCTTAGAGACAATCTTACATAAGAGAAACAGCAATATACCTGAGCCAATTTTTTGTTTTGAAATTGTAAGACTTTCATGTCCATCTCTTCAAGAGTGGATATAGGCCCAATTAATATGGGTTCAAATTGGACTTTCTTGATGGGTGGCTGGGAGCCCGAGTCCCCGCTGTCTGCTGGTCGTTTAGACATCCTGTCTAAATTCGATGGACTCTTATTATCTGGAAAAACAAATAAGTAAAACTAGAGCCCAAGTATTGAAATGTAATCTCCATTGAAGTTTTGTTATTGATCAGGAAGAGAGTAGTAACTTACGAAAATATGTTAAAACCTTCGACTCCGCAAGCCTAATTCGCCTGCTTTCCTTTCAGGAATAACGTATTCATACCGAAGGTGAATTTTTGTAAATTAATCTACCGGCTTAAAGAGTTTCTCGCACTTTTTACATTTTAAAGCAAATATCCGTGGGCAGGGGGTACACTGGGAACGGAAGACGCCATTGCATACGCGGCAAAAGCGAAGAAACAGCAGTCCGTTTCAGAACCAACAAGCGTAAACTTTTTTGGTCCAAGAGTCCGATTCACATGTATGCACCCGCTGGGGATAGATTTAAAATTTTTCAATCTCCTCACCGATGCTATTTCGTAGTAATATTTTTTAAACCTAATTAAATTTCTAAATAACAATGTATTATATTTATTACAATATTATAATTACCGAATCAATACTAGCAACGTTTTTACAATCAGATCATTCTCTTCGTTACTCCTGGAAACAAGAGGTTTCCTTAGAAACAAGATTGCCTACTACTATAGATTAAACCTTTATACCTACTTATAGATTAAACTGGACAAAGAAACCAAAATCGTTGTTCACTAGGTATTCGTATTTTAAAAGCAGTTACTAATGTCTGGAATGTCAAAGATAAAAATGGATATGGGACAATCAATGGTAATTGTACCTCCACCGCCGCAAAGATTTACTATAAACGAATGGAAGTTAAATAACCGATACAGGTATCTCAGGCTTAATGATATATGTACTTCTGATATTATATATTGTTTTATTAAATAATTGTATATTAAGGTATCGCTGCTCGGAAGCTCAACAAGAACTTGCTGATCGTCTCCTGGCTGAATCTGACAGAGTGTGTGAACTTTCTGCAGAAACAGTTAAGGCTAACAAGGAGGAAACAGATCATTATCTAAAAGAAAAATTGGATGATATTGAATTCAGGAAACAGGAACTGCTTCGTGTGAGAAAGGAAGTACTTCTTGAAACAGATGCACTGGCTACATACAAAGAACGTTTGATGGATGCGTTGTCTTCAGTTAAAAGAAATGCTTTAGTAATATGTGAAAAATGTTTGATTGCTAGGTAAAAAACTTGACAACAATATTTATACTATTCAGATGGATCAAGTTTATATTTATTTTTAGAGAACATCGTCTAGGAATTGATATGGTTCATGATATTGTCGAAATGGAGCTTCGTAAAGAATGTGAAGTCATAAAAGGAGCAGAGAATCTATTAATAAGGACATTGGAGCAGACCCAGGAGCAAATTCGTAGATTGAAAGCTACGCTTTATTATATGGATCATGATCTTGAGGATAAGGAAAACAATCTTCGAATTGATAGGCATAATCTAACGTTGAAAGAAACTAGCTTCAACTTGAGTCTCTATCATGGAACTGCTGCGCTGGATCCTTCGTGAGTATATACCTTAATAATGTCAAAAATATCATAAGCATAATAATATAATGTTTCTTCCATAAACAGTACTATAACATTAAACGAATGGGAGATGCAGACAAATAATAATATCATTGCTGCCTCCAAAGAGATTAATAGTGCAAGACCTATGCGCTGTTACATAGATACAATCCTTAAAGAAATCATTGATGACCTGAATGCTCAGAAGTATGCCACCGATGAGGCTTTCAGAATCAGAATCGAAGAGACCAAAGAAGCTAAAACGAAATTGGAGTTACAGCATTCAGAGGTATGTGATGATTTCGCAGGAATATCTTCAACTTAGGAGTACCTCAAATATCTCTTTTCAGATAATGAGACAAGCAAATGAGATGACCAGGAACATATCTCGAATTGAGAAGTCCATCGCCGATAAGGAAGCATATATGGCTTTAGCACATACTAGACTGGGTAATCGATGTCAGCGACCTGGTTTGGAGCTGACTCGCGATCTAGTCGAAACTTATCTCGTAAAGGAAGTATACGATTTGAGACAAGTCGTATCTGATTTACAGCAAACGTTGTGCGAGGTATTTGATGTGTCAAATTGTCCACATACGACAATAATAGATATAATTTTATTAATTTAATTATTTTACTTATTTAAGGCACAGGCTTCCCTGCGCTACTTGTTAAAAACGCAGATTCAACTTGAAGAGGATATTAATGTTAAAACAAATACTTTAAAAATTGATGAAGTCGAATGCATGACCCTACGTCAGAGTATGGACTATCATGCATACTAAAAAGAATTCATTCCAAATGATCTTATGGCACCATAATGTTTTGTACCCATTATTTTACCTCAAAACTTTATACGATATGATATTTACATATTTTGTAACACTATAATAAAATTATATATAACTTTTGTTCTAAACTCTCAGAATAACAACTTCAAGTACTTTTATTCTTAGCTAGGATTTCAGAGTCCTCAGTGTTAATATCTAACTTTATTGTTTTTTGAATCATTTTAATATTCCAAACACTTAATTTATTAATATATCAATTTGAGTGTAATTTATTTTTGACATTTTACAATTTCAATTCAGTTTTTATATACTCCGTATATTTTGCGAGATTTTGATTTAGCCTCAATTTTATATTTTATGAAAATCGGCTCATTGGCAATCTCCCTGGCATCTTCCTATTCATCTCTTGTAATGTTACCCCTTGCGCATATTTCCTTCGCTTTTACCAACGTACATTATATTGAGTAACATACTAACACAGCTACAAAGGGGCAGCACAGGCATTCCACCGATTCACATCTGTACCTAGTTGGCAGCTTTATGTGATGATTATGCGCTGTAAATGATTCCTTTAATCCTCTGGGATATGTGTCGCTATCTTTCCTGGTGATCATTCGCAGTTTTATTCTAAAAATTGTTAAAGTGAACTCATCGGGATGGCAGCCGACGTTTTGATAACGTTCCTACCAGGCGAAGTGATCGAGTACATACTTGAGGACGCGAATATCTGTATACCGGACGTTGTACGATTTGCCTTGACTTGCAAACAATTACACAGGGTAGTCACAACCAGCAATAAACTCTGGAGGACCAAATTTTTCCAAAGGTGGATTTCTAAATTTATTCAGAAATTATGAAACGTCGCCTTACATTAATATCCTTCCATAAATGATCTCTGAGTCACGAATTTCATCATATTTTTGTTTGTGACTGAAGGAAGGAATGACAGCATTTATACTAGTTGAATCGCATTTATGTAGTACAATATTGCTTTTTTTCTCTTTAGTCGTACTAGATGCTAATACTGTGAATGACATGATACTTACCGATTGTCTTATTTATTTCTTGATCAGATGGCCATACCTGAGAGAGATTTATGAGATAAATGAGAAAGCAGGCATCAAGATTCAAAATTGGTTCGAAGAAGTTCAAGCTAGTTCAGAAGCAAGGAAGAAATTGTTATACCACTTGTCACAAATGTCAGCTAAGAATTACAAAAAACAGGAGTTATCTCATTCCGAATTAAAGGATTTTGATCCTCTCTTCCGTCCTGAGGAAGGTGCACATCCTTTGGCTTACCATTTCCTGGTAGATGAACTTATCACCTTAATTAAACGTCCAGCTATGTGTGTACTTACTTCTTACATTTGTTACAATATTTTGCAAAATGCTTGTATCATTATCATTTTTAACTTTTAGAACAAGTAACCTGACGCATAAGTATTATGCATACAAAGTAGTGAGGTATTTAAGACAACATTATTTGACTCAAGAGTGGAAAAAATTCATCGCTTTACCTCCAAATGAACAAATCCTTGAACGCGGAGCAGCACTAGTAGCTCAATGGAGTCAAACGGAACGTCGTGTACCTTATTCGTATATAGCAGCATTACTGGATGACATAGCGGAACAAACAAAAGATTTACTAAGAGAACAGCATCCAACACATCCCATATTTTCAGTGTCGGACAGTAAATTCGAGCTATGGAAACGTTCCAATATTGATGACAATCAATGGAGCAATTCCGAGACCAGGAGGGTGATGTCTGCTCTCTGCGAAGTTATGTTCAATAGATTGGGTTTTCATGGCAATAGTGAAATGTATTATTCCTCTGAAAACTCATATATAGATCGGGTTTGTAATTTGCAATATGATCTACGTTTATTTAGAAAATTCAAAGCTAATTCAAGATATAAATCACAGGTACTGGAGCTTAGACGTGGAATTCCCATAACTCTCGCCATAGTATTTGAAAGTGTAGCACGAAGATTAGGAGTACGCTGTGAGCCAGTTAGCTTTCCAGCCCATTTTCTGCTACGATGGAAAGAGAGATAGTGAGCTTCCATGATAAATCTTTGTCCTTCGTATTATTCAACATAGCTGATACTAATTGATCTTTTTAGTAATGTTCCCGACTCCGAAGACGTAGAAAGCTTCTATATAGACGTCTTCAACGGCGGACAGTTCCTGACCAAGAACAACTGTCCCCGAGTTGGGGGCGTTGCAAAATGTCCAATAGAGCGATACAATGTACACAGTGCTGCGACAACTGTCGAGGTACGTCTGTCCATTGCCCAGAATTAATTTATAGAGTCTGAACGTCTAATGTCTTCCTTAAAGGTAGTAGAACGAATGGCGGACAATTTGGAAGTAGCTGGCAGACAAAGAACTCAGCTAAACGGCCGAGCAGCGCGATTACGATCGGCTTTGGAGTTGCTACACATGGTGAGACCTCACGATACCAGTACGATTTTACACATGGCTCGTTTCTACATCTTGCATCAGATGGATTTGGCAGAGTTAGTCACAATACTCAATGACATCCAAAAGGTAATGACTGATGATTATGATCATTCTCTCTAAAGATAAAATCATTAATCTCCATTAATACTCAGGATCTAGAAGTCACCTCCAGGGGTCAAGCGAATCACATCCTGCAGATGTTGCAAGACTATGAGAAACACATGCAGGACGTCCCAGAGGTATGAAAGATAAATGATCAAAGTAACTAATCGATGATCTCAAATTGTTCTAATCATTTCTTAAATGCAGGAAAATTTTGAGCCCAAGAGAAGAACTGGAGATGTGAAATACGCGATAGGACTGATAATGCGGCACCGTACCTATGGTTATTTGTGTGTGATAACTGGGTGGGATCCTTACTGCACAGCATCCTCGGAATGGATGACTGAAATGGGAGTAGAAGAATTAGCTGGTGGTCCAAATCAACCTTTCTACAATGTCTTCGCAGATGATGGCTCATCACGATACGCAGCTCAAGGTATATTTCAATAGTTCTTCATGTCATTCCCTAGGTATTTATCCAGGAACGACTATTAGCAGTATTAGCATCCCTTTTATTCTTCAGGAAATTTATTAATGGCGCCATCCCCAGAGTGGGTTAACCACTACGAGATAGGACGATTCTTTTGCAAATTCAATGGCACGCACTACGTGCCCAATGAGGAAAAGGCTAGGGAGTATCCAGAGGATGCCGAGGTGCGAAATCATCTTCTTGCTACATACTTGTAACGTGAGTTTGGCTAAATTAAGATAAAAAGAATTGTAATCCTTCCGTTCTATCATTTAATTGAATATAAAGAGGCAGTCCAGTTGAAGGCATAATAAAGTCACGCGGCTGTGATACCAATCGATGGATCATCGAATACATTGATTTCAATTTTTTTTGTAGTTTTCGACAGGCGCGACAATTGATATAATGCAATTTATCTGCTCAGCTTAGAGTCGTCGTTCGGAACTGAATGCGCGAGAAATTCGGAGTTTGATTTTTTTTAGTTTTCTTCTTCCTCAGTAATTAAAGCTGATACGCAGACAAGGCATTGCATAACTAATATTCGTCCCTGCTAGATTATACTTCCGTGTAAATAGTTTCAAACTATTATGTACGATAGCTTTATACATATAGGCGCTATCTACAATATGCTTAATTCATTTTGTCTGTATATAAATTGCAAACTGAAAGGGTATATTTCTGTTTGTTCGTTGAACTGTTGACTAAAAATACATGTTGGATATTTTCCGATATATCATTGGCATATTACGGATCTGTATTATTCTCTTTCTTAGAATACTAAATAAGATATAAGGTAATTACACGATTTTCGTATTAATCGCCGTTGGATACTTGTTATATACATTTTTACATGAGTCCATCCGTGATATTTATTAGATAATCAATGCGTATGAAATAAATAGACAGAATTTACAATTTCATCACAGTCACAATTTCCAATACCTATAGATTTCTAATGACGTACTGGTTAAATGCATCGTTCATTAAAGTAAAATAGGAAATACAATTGCACGACGGTACTGATATATTAATTAATTAAAAATAATTAACCGTAGCATGCTAGTCAATAAGATTCATATTTTTCTGTTTTGTATGAAATTCGATCCCAAAACCGCATAATTTATCGGGCACAAAAATGTACATTTCTCTTTCCCATAGTACTAGGTCGAAGCATTCGCTTATTCTTAATTTAGTTATACTGAAAGTGTTCGCTGTATCTCTAAAACATAACAGTGTTAGAGCTCAACAAGAAAACATTCACGAAGTAAATTAATACTGCGCTGTATTTTATATCATCAACAAGATATTACTATCTAATTGTTAACTACTGAACGTTTGTTTGATAAAATCCAGGCATAATCCTCCAATACACTATTATGTTGATAAACAATTTACATTTGACCACTGTGCATGTATTAGAATGAGTAATAAAGATAGAAAAAAGGGAATTAAAAAAATTGGCAAGTATACAAAAGAAAAACCAGTTTCAAACAATGATAGAATAAGATGGGCATTGGAATCCGGGCAGAGTTCGATAAATGCCAAAATAAGTCATCATAAGGCAATTGGCTTCATAGAAACAACATATAGAAATAAATTTAATACTAATCCCTAAGAACAGATCTGTTTGTTTCGACGAAGCGATATGAATCTTAGAATAATGCGATTAATTAATTATAAGTAATCGCTTGGTAGTCACTTATTAATGTATATTCAATGTATCGTAATGATACTTGGCAGATCTTTGTATGAAACAAACAGGATTTTCCAGTAAGCCGATATCGTTCTTGGAAATATGATACTGATAACATAACCATTGTAGGCTATGATTATAGAACGTGAAAACAGGGGAAAATATTAAAAAAGAAACACGGAAACTTAGCAGTAGAATGAATAGATATTCCAGGAACACAACCTTATGAACCCGCACTAGACACTCCTATATCGCATTCCTAACTCTTCTTTGTCCATGCTGTTCTTATTTACGTTAGGAATAATTTAACTTACTATTAAGTGAACATCACAAGGGGTTTTTGTCGCTACTTACTTACTCCCAATTACACAACGCTCGTAGAAATGCATACTACTGAGACGGTGAAGAGTTTTTATCCTCTGATGTCCTGATAAAAAAATTCATCACGTCAGAAAGGATTCGTTTGTGACGCGACTAATAGCGAATATAAATAAAAGTGGAGTAAAACTTACTTGTATGGAATAGTTTTATTCGGCGTTTGATTAGAAGTGCTCTGCACCGTGTTCTCATTATTCATCTTCTGTCCTGTATACAAACAAACAAAGGTATTCAATATGGCAAATAAAGTATGGATAATTCTTTAATATAAAAATCACTCGTCTACCATGCTTGTGCTGATATAATGGCGGCACCCAACTGTATCCATTATTATCACTGATAGATTCAGCAAGTACTGCAGTACTTGTAGACGCTATTGGGCTCTCATAGGTGTTTGAGATTGTCGATGATGGTAAATTGGATGGACAGACACCATTTTGACACTTATCTGCCAAATGTCTACAGAACACAATTCGAAGCTCTTTACCTATCAACCTTGATTCATAATTCAACCGGGATAATGACTTACCTGAGTTTAGTGATGTAGCTACCGGTCTCCTGTGGGGTTGGAGAACATCTCAAAGTATCTAGAAATTGCTCGATGTCTGTATGAAAAATGTTCTGATTAACGTTGCTGGTGTTGGATGAGGTTGCTGGAGTAGATTGTCTTCGCGAGGGCAGGTGGCGCGAACCGATTTTATTGCTGCCTAAAGCCACTAAAAATGAAAAAGAATAAGATATAAGTTTATAAAGCGTTATATAAGTTAAAAAACAAAGATCTTTTTACCATTTGGCACAGTAAGATCAGAAGGCCTCGATACTTCCACATCAGCATTGGTCTTGGCAGCCAGGGACAATGCCGAAAAGTCTTTATCGCAGTCGACTGAGTTTGATCTTGTAGTCGGTTCAGACCTGGTCGTTTGACTAGTACCTAAAGCAGCGTTACTTGTTACCTCCTGCTGGCCATTGATTGCTGAAGGATTGTTGACTTTTGACCTTCCGTCGTTACACATTGGCTGAGATTGGCATAATCGAGACAGGAAGTTGGGACGATAATTGTCATAACACGGTTGCCCAATGCGGTGCAAAGAACTTGTGCCATAATTCTGGAGGCTTGGAATAGAATTTCTGGAGTCGCGCGACTCCTCCGGGTGATGCTTAAAGCATAGAGAATTCCAAGCGAAATTTCGGTTTTGCATCTCGAACAGGTGTTGCAACATGATTTCGTGCTGGAGGCCGTCACTCCCACGTAATCTATTGGAAGAATGAAACGTCGATATAGAATCCAATTGTAACGGGGAATATCCCAGTATGCTATAACATAAGTATCGTGTTATTTATTTTACCTGCACGCTTCTGCGGAAGATTCGTGACTTTCTTGTGGTTTTTTCTGTTTAATTTGTATTTGCATCCAGGGTACCAACGATTCTGCAACCTCAACATCATTTTCACCTGGTTGAAAAAAAAAATTATCGTCTATGAAACCTCTGGTCATTTACATATTTCTAGTACTTATAGATACATAATTCAGATGTAAAGAGCTATTGTAACTGTTTAATAAGCGATTTGGTAATATTATTTGTTGCAAAAGTAGATGTAATATAAATATAAAAATGTAGATTGACACTAGAATTTGTATTGTATCGATGAATCATCGAGAATAAAATGATTGGCCTCGCGCAGGACGATAGTTTTAAGAACTCGTAGGAAAATGGCTGGTTGTATTGGGACTGGGATTTTCTTTAACACATTCTCCTTCGCGTTTCTCATTCGTAGGTTTTTCATTCTCTGCATCTTTATCTAATTCATCCTCCTGCCATCTCTGTAGCGGGACTTCACCGACAGACGAACCTCTATTTGAGCTCATACCTATTCCAGTTATTAATAACATTTACTAGACATAACCCAAGTCCCTTTTTTCACAAAAAAAGAACAACACTCTGTGCATTCTATAAAATAGAATACATACAGGGAAATTCCAATTTCCTACCTGACATAGTCTCGTCATCTACGTCATTCTCGTCATTCGAGTTATCATCTAAGATCGTAAGGTTCGTATCATTGTGATCACAATCATCCAAGTAGATATCATGCTCGCTCAGTTCCTATAGATAAAATATCATAGTTGGATAATGAATGGAAAATATGTGCAAAAGAGCTACTTACACCACTGTCGCTGCTGCTGCTGCTTGAGGATAACGCAGAAGGTTGCTGATTTAATATAGTAGGCGAGGAATGTGACGGCGATGGAGACTTCTCTGCCAGACCCTGACAGTCCCCAGCAGATCCATCGTTACTGCAGTGCCCAGGCGAGGATGTTACTTCGGTCGACGTGTTTAGATTACTTGGGCGCTGTTCCTTCAGACTCGTTTTCAGAGACATTGAGGATAAGGTAGAAGAGCGAATACTCATCAGATCACCCAATTCGCAAAGAGCAACTGACAATTGGCAACTGTTTGTCGACACAGGTACATTCCCAGCAGAAAGTATATTTTGAACAGATCTATCATAAAGGAAGATGCATATTAGATCACAAATAACTTCAGCCAGTGCATTGTTTACCTTGCAGGAGTAGGATTAACTGACGAATAATTATCTATCATTCGAAGAGCATTGGATCCCAGTAGAGGATCCCCAGCACCTTGTGCTTGTGTATGTTGCTGTTGCGGTGAAACGTTTATTGGGGATGATTCGCATACAGCAGCTCCACTTGCTACTCTAGTGGCTGCTACGGCATTGCGTGAAATTTCTATAGCCAGTCTCTGAAGATTTAAATACATTTTATATGAAATTCATTGCGTATATCGTAATGTGTGACAGAGATATTTTTAATAAATTTACTTCTTTCAGTTCGTTGATTTGCGTTGCATATTGATTTTGTACCGTAACCAATTGACTAATGTACCATTGCTGATCCCTGCAGCGTTGATAGAATGTTGGTGGTCGTACTTGAAAACTGTATTAAGAATATAAATAAATTATTGTTACAGATCCGATACAAAATTTACGTAGATAAAACAACGCACCGGAGTATCAAGGTGTCTAGCTCGGTATTTAGATATCCTTCGGTAGCCAGAAGGTCGAGTCTGAAAAATCGATTGTAGCCCCAACACTCGCCAATTTCAAAATCCGAAGCAAATTCTCGAACGATATTTTTACTCGTGTCACGGGACCCTTGATGAATCATCTCTACTCTGTACTCGTACCTGAACGTCATGTATATAATGTAGTAATATTTACATAGTACAGATAAAATTACTTTTGCTACTCAAATCCACCTACTTGGAAGTTTCAGGTAATCCTGCACTGAGTTCTAGGAAGACCGATAAGTAATTCCCACGTACTACTCCATTGCCATCTGGATAAACTTTCAGCCTCCAGCACAATCCATTGACATGCAATGGAGCTGAATAAACGGGATCAGCTTTGAGCTGCAGCTGTGTAAAATTTTGCATTGCAAATGTTGCACTGTCATAGCCTGGGACTATTTCACTATAACAGTTAGAATTGTCATGAGAAAATGAGGAACGACTAGTCAACGGAGTGGTATATCCAGGTTAAACTGACCTGTGAAAATCTGCAGGAACAGGTGCCGTGACAAAACTCGTAATTGGCTTTTTACGAACTCTGTGAATCATGCGAGACAATTCAGAACTCTTAATAATCAGTTCGGAGCGAGTGCATGAGAGTAACTGGTGTTCGACTTCCTGCAGTAGAACTTCCAATTGTTCTGTTTCTAACGTCAAGGAATTCTTTTGGGCCATTAGGGTCAATAGTTTGGCTTTCAATTGCGAATCTAAACGAGCTATCATCAACTCTACTGCATTTCGAATTTCGCGCACTCTTTCGTCCTTGGCTGCTCTTACTGATTCGACATTGCGTTCCTAAGTAACGATCCTGTATTTAATCGGCATGCATATTTCACTAACAATCTAATTAAAATAGATAAAAACTGACCACTTCTTGAACAAGACTGATAAGTTCCATGAGTCTTCTTTTTAACTGACCTACTTCGGCTTTTATCTGTGTCACATGCTGCTCATAAACTTCCTCAAGAGGTTTAAAAGTGTGTCCTGAATGAGTGCCACCCCACAGGGCACACTGGTGACAAATACATCGTCGACAAGTCCAACAGTACACAGAAAGTTTTTCATGATGAGCTGTACATCTGATAATTTAATATTCTATTAAATATAAAGAGCTTTTGTGAATATTAGACAGCTGTATTTATTTCAATAATCACCTATCCCTTGTGGTATCGTCATGACGTGAATTTGATATTCCTACAGCTTGAAGTGTATCTAATTGTTGAGTCACTTCCTCAACCCAACGACAATTTACAAGCTCATGAAGATGTAAAGATGCTCGACAGTGAGGACACTGAGAACGTTGTTCTGTTAACCACCGTCTGATACAGACATAACAGCACAACTTGCTACAATGTGGACAGAGATGGGCTTCTCTAAGCTTTTCCATGCAAATGAAGCATCGGAAGACCTCAGCCAATGTCTGTACAGTGAACAATTTTTATAAAAATAACACAGATATTTATAACAGGGTTCAAACCCATCTGATTCTCTACAATAATAGAAAACTAAGCAATATATTACAGATTCCTTACAGAAGCTGGCAGATGAGAACATAACTGTTCCATTTTGAATTTTACAACTCATGCGATTCACTGATGAAAGTCCATGAATAATTTTGACAAATATATGATGGTTAAAATTAATTCACATGAAAACTTTAATTTCTCTCAATCATTTGTCAAATTCCTACTTTGTCAACTTTTAAGAAATAAATGACAGTGCCAGATCGTACGATCTGTCACGAAAAGAATAAATAAGTTCCTAAATGATACGAACCTCAACACTATGATCATCGGTACTTTTTGCAGTAACCGTGGACTCTCTGTTTGCCATTTTAAAAAGTCCCCGTTAAATTCGTCAATAATAAAAGAGAATGCGTTTCTTAATCAGTAAATTTAACGACAAAAGTCCGATTACAACGGATCAATTGACATTTCAAAAATTTGTCCTTTCGAAACATAACAATTTTACTGAAAATGTTTGTGAATCAAGTAACAAACATTATATTCGTGTCTTTTATAGGTATTAACTGGACGAACTGATAGGCGTTGATAGACCATCTAAACTTTTGAAAATTTGCAAACTAATTTTATAGTATTTCTCTCTGTAAAAACTGCTGCTGTAACCGTGGAACACAACATCGCAGGAAGGCTCTACAAATATTCATGTAAAATTGAAACTGATTGGAATAACAGAAGTGTGTTCGGTTTTTCGGTGGGTTCAGAGATCCTCCTCTGAAATGAAAGATAAATGGCATTGGGATTATTTTTTTATTTATATCAATTGAGTAATTTTTTAATAACAATCCCTTAGCCCTATGTATTATTTCTAAAGATTACAGTAGATTAAAATTTGCTAAGGCAGAAGTATTATTCAGAACGTAAGATTGCGACGTCAAAGTTCAAATTCATCCTCGATTTATTGGAAACCAGCCAAATAAAGATTCTCTAATATCCAGTAGATAACGCTACACTCGCCAATCGATATTCCTCATCTGAATAGAGAATACGACATAGAGCATACTTCAGGCTAACAAAAACGGATGAAAGAAATAACCTGGAAATATAAGAACAATTGAAATTTCCCATGGAAATCTAAGAAAATTCTAAAGAAAAGCATCACCCAACGGTTCTTTATTAGCATTCACATACCGTTTTAAATTATTCCAGAAGACGACCTACTAATAGTACCTAGAGAACAACGAAATCCGATCGAAAATCCTACTGGATTTTGGTGTCATTTTAATCCCGTAGTTTTCGAAGCAGAAATAAGTTCATCTCAATCGTAATAAAGACTAGATTCTTAAAGCATCTTCAAGGAGTTAAATACAAACCAGAGGGTGACTCCTCGGGTTCCGAGTTAGTCCTAAGCAAGGAGTGGGGATGGGGCACTACGTTGGGCGTATGTAAGTACGTCGACGAGAGATGCCGTCGTCTCGCGATTCAAGTTTTTACTGGGTAGCCGTGAGGCAAGCAGGATATCCCATCCGGAGGGTGATCGGAACAATTGCAAAAGGCTCATCCTCGAGGAATAATACAGTGGCAGTGGGAATTATCGCGTCGTGCAATAACATTGTGAATCCTATGGTTTTCTCAGGCTCGGGCTAACCTAGCCGATGCAGTGTACGGGCCATGACAAAAGGTAGCATCACTGAAGACGTGTGGAAGTACGGACGGAGCCGCACTCATTGATATGACGCCATTTTACTAACCTTTTCGGCGCGGATCGCGACGAGCTGGTCGGCAGCGCTTCGGACCAGCTTCCTCGCGTCTGATCGACCCGGCTACATCCTACATCTTTAACTAACATCACACGCACCAGAATCAAGATCCACCTTGCTTAGCACTCGTCAGAAGGTACATACCGCTTAGTGTTCCTTGAGCTCTGCACATTGCATGTATTCGATTCTGTTCCTCCACGCATCGAGGCTATTATTCTTCCTGGTATGGACACGTCGTCTTCGAGAATTCGTTGAATTTCGGGCGTCACAATACTTGCTATTGATGAGCTGGTATTTCTTATCAACACTTTTCTTGGCTTAGACTATGAATTCTTTCTTAGAGTCATCGAGCCAATGTTATGGATGAACTTTTGATTTTAAGAAAGTAATTACGATATTACTTCGTTTTTAACTATTAGTGTTCATTTCATATACATTTGTCATTAAATCTTTCTCTTTTGATAGTTGTCTGATCTCCATTAGATCATTAGAGGCATTGCGGCATGAATTTGTATTATAACCTTATGATTCATATAATTTTTATGTTTTGTGCAATACTTTTGAAGTGTCATTAACCTTTGTATTGTTCTTACATTTTCAAACTCAAAATGTAGAATATTTTTATAAACAAATGAAGGTGAGGTGATCTGATGCAACGTCCTTTTGTCACCATGCAATAGCTTTGAAAATATTGCATTACAGTGAGTGAAGAAGTTTAATAAATATAGAATTCTTTTTATATAAGTTACAATTTATTTGTATGTATAAATATGAAAGATAGTTTCAAAGTTAAATAATATAAGAAACATCCAGCAATGTGAGAATCTCTAATAAACAATAAAATGTTTTTGTGTCTGTCAACTTTGTATGATGCAGACTTCAGTTTGCTTTTAAAATTGTAGACATTTCATATTGGCTTCATGTTCTGCACAAGTAAATTGTTTCATATAATTCTCGCACACCATTTTATTCTTTTATAGTACTTTATTCTTCTAATTCTTATATAAAAATTAAAATTGCTTAACTAACTAATAAACAAACCATGTTTGTCTTAATTTAGGAGATATTTCCAAAAGTGTCAACTTTTTTTATTTCAGGTGACACTGCAGTAGCAGTGAACGTTATTATGGAAGATGGTGATGGCGAGAGTACAGTTATGGACACATGGATCTCTTCGGATGAACAGCAACACAAGGATATGTCAAATGACGACACGTTGAATCATATCAACGATTCTAACGTTTTCAGCGACGGTACAGAGGAGAATAAGGAAGAACGATTAAATTCTGTGGGAATTGAAGAAGCAACGAGCAGGAATACCTGTTCGACGTCAAAAATCGTTTTCAAGGGATACAAAAAGAGGATACTTGCACAGACTCAAGAGAATCAGACGAGTCCTACGAAGATCTGTCTTGAGGGTCAATTGCCTCACTCGAATACAACTGTGAAAAACAACAAGGAGAAAAAGCCAGAAGCAAAACGTGGAAAAATTACGGAATACGCTCAGTATCTGGGTCTACAACCGGCCCCTAAGTATAAATGTTTAAAGTGCCATTCTTCGGCCAGTTTCTGCTCCATGTCAATGCTCAAGCAACATCAACGTATTTGCTCACCTACAATGGCTCCAATGCAAGGTGTCCTGGGCTCCTCCGAGTCCTCTTCACGAGCGCTGTCCTCAAACTTTCGCATCACGCGAAAGGTCTACCTGTGCTCCGCTTGCGGAACATATTTCGAGAACTGGAATTTGTTTTTGCACATGAGAGACGTTCACAAGCGTCACATATGCCTGTTTTGTCTCGGTATGTTTGGGCAGGCTGAACGACTCTCCTATCACTTGTCCAGTAAGCACAGCGTTCCGGAAATGACATTCACATCCGTTGAGGACTTTTACAACGCTTTCAAAGGCTCGTGTTACTTGATCTGCTGTAACTGCGAGAAGGTGTTCTCTGAGACTGACAATTTCTATAATCATTTTTGTCCCACGCCGCAGAAACAACAGCAGCAACAATCCTCCGCTTCGGTGTGCTCATTATGCAGGCAGACTGGTTCGCACTTAGCCACATGCAGTTTAGCAACGGAAAAGAACAAAATAGTAAACACATCCTTGCAGTCACCAAGTAGTCCACACTCTAGTGCATCAGCCACAATGGCATCCTCGCAGCTCACGACACCCAGCAGTAAAGGAATATCCAAAAAAATGATGAAAAATAACAGAATAAAATCTAGCGATGATTCTGTACCTGGATCGTGTCATCGGAAAACACCGGAATCCTACACGAAGATGGCAAATGCGAAAGCACATAGTACGCCCAAGTCCATTTCTGATGATGCTGTGGCTACTACGGCGAATTCTGTGACGAGTCCGGATAGTGGAGAGGACCTGGATGATTCGCTGAGAGATACCGTAGCGGAAACCATCATGGAAGTGTCTAAATATGTGGGTGATTCGGCGGACGGTATTGAAACCGACGACAAGGACGATAGTATGTCGATTGAAGAATCGCCAGAAGTTGATTCCCCAGTGCGGTTGGTTAGCAGTGCGTCTACCGATAGTGTTACACAGACTATTATGGAAGTGTCGCTTTACGTTAATAATATCGAGGGTGTTAAATGTAAAGAGAATGAAGTAGCTCTGGTGAACGATTCCAAGAATGGAAACGACGTACCTGTAGACAGTATAGAAGATAAGGTTGCGAATATATCGAAACCCGAAGATGAGGAAGCTGACGTTAGATTAAACTCCCCGAGTCCTAAAGCAGAAGCTGAAGAAGAAAAAAGAGATGAGGATCTGTCAATGCCTAACGAAAGTAGAACAGATTCTGATTCTCAGGCATCAAATAGTCCTGTCAGAAGTCCTGCAGGACGATCTCTTTTTAGTCCTCACCATGAGCATCAGGTTACCGATAATCAGGAAAAAGAACAGTCTACTGAAGTGACTAGCATAGAAGAAAATACAGACGCTAAGGAACCTGAAAATGCAACTAAACCAGAAAGTTCTGTGTCTTTCAATACCGTAACTACATCTGACAGGAGTCTGGTTATCAAAATTTGTACCAACAGGAGTTCACAGTTTTCAGTCAGTACTACAGAATCAAATGTGAACAACAGCGAGAGCCACGACACAAGCAGGGAATCTGAAGAGAATAACAATGGCGAGGGATCTGCATCCGAAGAGAAGACTTCTAACTTGTCAGAGAAAGAACATGACAGTCATAGCAGTTACCAAGTGAATGACGGTGATAGTGATAGTGATACCGATAGTGAGACACTGGCTGTTGTGGACAGTAATGTAAAAAAATATAAAAATTCTGTCGATGCAGAAGATAATATAGAGGACAAGTCCGAAGCCATCACAGAAGTTGGTATCGAAACAGGAGAAGATACTGATATTCAGAAAGTCGAAGGAGATTCACATCAAAATGAAAAAGATACAAATTCCATTATTTTTAATAAAACCAACACTGCTGTTCCTGAAGAGAAGCAAGCAGAGCCAGACGGCATTGTCTTAGCTGGTGAAGATGTACCCAGTATAGACCTTAACGTAGAAGGACTACTAGATAGTATAGAAATAGAAGAACTCTTAAAGGCTTGTATAAGCGCAGCTAGTCCAACCTGCGTCTACTGCAATCACGCGAGACAGATAGCTGTAAATGGTAAAAGACTAGGACTGCACATGCTGGCGGAACATAGATTTCAGCCTCAGCATCCAGCCATAATAATACACCGTGAACAATTTATAAGCCGAGTGAAAAAGTCACTTCCTGAACTAGAAACTAATTACTTCAACCTGGATTCATATACCAGTTCAAGCGGTACCTACAATGTTCCTCAGACAAGGATCTACGAGTGTTTTCATTGTAGGTTCCACTCAGCCGTGCACAAGGAGCTCTATCTGCATAACAGAAAAATGCATCAAAAAACAATATTGATATGCATAATGTGCAAGTCGACTTTTTACAGCTATAGTGAGCTGCTGTGTCATCTGTGTCCTGGTGTCTACTGCCCAAATATCAATATCAGATACCGATGCTGTCTCTGTCCCGTAGGCAGTCTTCCCTCAGCCTTCAGACTCATGGTGCATCTACGAAAACGTCATCACGTATGCGACGTCTGTCTAGAATCAACTGGTAACCAGCAGCGACTATCCAATCACGTCTGGAAGCACAAACTGCATCATCTGTGCTACCGATGCGGTATAGCTTACAGAAATAAGCCAGACATAACAAAGCATCTCTTCTGGAAACACGGCACCGAGAGTGTCCTCTGTAAAAAGTGCCTCCAGAAGAAGTGGCCCCACGTATATCATTTCTGCATTCCGCCAACGGCCTTCGTATGCGAGGAGTGCAGTTCAATATTTTCTCGTGCAGTTGCACTGAAGGTGCACAAGAGGTTGCACTCCGGGGATCTGCCGTACAGCTGTACGGATTGTGCGGAACGGTTCATCTCGAAGAAGCTTCTGCGCAAGCACGAGAACGAGCACAAGGAACCTCTACCTGAAGACGTGAACGTAACCGACGCCACGAGTCATCCAGCTTCCTCGGAGGAACAAAAGCAAGACAGTGAGAAAGTGTTACCTAGTGTAAACGCAGCTGAACCCATGAACGGTATTATGGAAGCGAAAGAGAATGTGAAGAAAGTGGTGGATATCTATGATTTGCCTCCGTTGAATTTATCTTCTGAGAGTGACTCGGACTCGGATGAGGAGAAAGTCGAAGGAGGTAAGGATCGTGATGGTGTCTCCAAGGATAACAAGTCTGAATTGCTGGCCAAGGAGACACCTCAAGCCCCAATCGTGGAATCTGTTTCGACGGTAGAGCCTAACGACAGCATCGTCGAGGTGGAAAGGAACGAAGAGGAAAAGCAACAAGAGGCACAAATAATGGATGGCATATGGGATAACTTCAAGTCGTACGCAGCTAGTCTAGAACAACAGGAGTCAGTTGGTAAATTGGTCAAAGAACCACAGGAAGATATAGAGTTCTTGAGAAAAGTAGTCTTGGCGGAACACGATTACTGCCTCTCGGAACAGGAAAAACTGGAAAAGCAATTGGCTCTTGGTGAGGAAGCTTTGTCCAAAGATGAGAGCACCGCCCTGGGTGCGGAACACGATTACACCAGTAAAGCACCGAAAAGTCCCACAGCTGTACAGAATGAGTCCTGTGAAAATGAAACTAGTAAGAAGAAAGTGAAGACCCCAAGAAAGAAAAAACAAAACGGTAGTACATCCTCCAGCGACTCCTCCAGTGACAGTGACTCCAGTAGTTGTTCCTGTGGCACCAACTGTAGCTGTAGTAGCTCTTCCTCGGGCTGTTCCTCTAGTTCTAGTAGTAGTTCCGATTCAGATAGTTCAGCGTCCGATGGTTCGCCTAAGAAGCAATCGAATCGCAAGGAAAGAAGAAAAGAGAAGGAAACAGCTAGAAAGAATAAGTCTGATTCTGTTGAACCGGAAGTTAAGGAACCATCTGTACAAGTGGAGAACGGTAACGCTTCAGTCGAAGATAATAACACAATGTCTCCACCAAAGATACAGTTAAGAGAATCCGATCTGGAAACCGATGAAACGGAGACGGACGAAGACTTCTATGACGAGCATCCGCAACAGTTAGCCAACAAATTGTTAGCTGAGAAACGTAACCAACTGATGTTGCTCGCAGCTGTTGCACCAGCTTCAACGGAATCATCCTTATCCGCACCAATGAACAATGGCATCGGGGATAACGAACCTACCACTCACTCACCAGAACCAATGACTACGACAGCAGAGGAGGTACCGCAGCCCAAGAAGAAAGTGAAGACCAAGAAACGAAAAAAGAGTGAAAAGGGAAAGCAGAGGAACCTCACGCCGACGGTAGAATCAATTAAGCTGAACATTCCTAAATCTTTTTATCAAAGTAAGACAGGATTTGCCTCATCATCTCCAGCCATGATAACAGTGGTAAGAAGCAGATCATCAACACCAAACGTAACCAACTCCCCAAACGAAATGAATCCAACAACCTTCGGCACGGAATCTCAACCAGTCAAAATCAATCAAAATTTCGGCAGTGGTTCGGAAACAGAGAACAAACGTTCATCGAAGAGAAAGCGAATCCCAAAGAGGTTCTACGGTGACTCCAGCGACGAGGAAGGTGAGAAGCAGCAACCACCACTAAAATGGAGAAAAGTCATGCCAGCTTCGACATTCGTACCAACTCCAGTTGTGAAGTCTTTACCACCACCACCACCGCCACCACCACCAGTTCCAGTACCAGCACCGATCAGTCCATCACCTTCGATACCAGTTGCAGCCTCGGCCAGCGAGTCCGAGGAACCGGCTGAAAGTAGCAGCGACTCCAGTGACTCCGAGGAACCGGATGTGTCTGAATCTCCAGCCGCGCCACCCGCGCATCTACCTGGAACTACAAACGCACCTGCTCCTGAACGATCGGATAATCTGTACTGCTACTGCCAGTGTCCTTACGACGAGGTGTCGGAAATGATCGCGTGCGACGGCGAAGACTGTCGAATCGAGTGGTTTCATTTCGAATGCGTTGGAATAATGGTGCCGCCAAAGGGCAAGTGGTACTGCCCGGACTGTCGTAAGAAACATGGCATCCTCCAGAACGAAGATTACTTTGACTGATAGTAGCCAGAGAGAAGTTACACATTCATCCTAAAACTACTTAAACATTTTATTACCAAGCTCACTCGAGATGCTTCTAGGTTTATATCCTAGTGTTTCCCTACTTCCCATCTTGGTAAATGATATATACTGTTCCATGTTGATATTTTTCTTAAGCCAAACTACTGTTTGTACATAATTGTAAATACGAAACTTAGAGTTTATAACAATGAAAATAAGGTTTTTGTGTAAATTTGTTTGTACTTCTTTTAACGACGTCAATGTAAAGTACACAGTATAGGTAGGTCGTAGTAGAATTAATCTTAAGAGTAAGTTTACGCATATACATATGTTATGCAGAGGGAGATTTGGACTCGATTAGGAGGACCTATGAACGAGGGCACTTTATTATTATTATTGACTTTCGAAGTTTCATTAATTTCTCTTTCTTCGATTCTTTCTCGACCTAACGGTTACGTCTGGATATGCTCGCACTGCTGGCAGTGTATGCGTATCTGCGTTTCGAATTACTTGTCATGAAAACATTTTACTTTTCTTATTCGTTTATTCTATTGTTGGAGGCCAATCGCATCCTGCGCACATAGTCAACGAGACAGGAGGAAAGTCATGCTGTAGACATTATTACTGAATTATAAGCTTTGCGTCTCAGTTGAATTGATAAGTGAAAAATAGGAAACATCTGCACGACACAAAAACACTCTTAATTTGAGTCTTAAATGTTAAAAATAAATTTTACCTTAGCTACAGGAGGACAGTTTTGATTTTTTTTTTAATATCAATTAATTTAATAGTTACTTTTAATTGTGGTATGCGGCACAAAGAGTAGTAAGACCAAGAAACTTGAGTGATATTTCAGAAGGAAAAAAAGATTATAGGTTGAGGATGCGTTTGATAGTTTGAAAGAATTTTTTTTTACTTTGAAATAATAGAGCTGAATCGTGACTTGGTTCACCATCTTTCTTTTTACTTCTAGCATTGAATAAAGCGCAAAGGTCACAATTATCAATTATAATTTTAGGCAAGTTTATACGTAAAGTCTGTATTAAGAATAGGGAGTGATTGTCGTGCAAAATGCGTTTTACTTCCTCAATGAAATTATAGTTCCTTTTTTTTCTCCTCAATTGGTCATGGAAACAGGAAATTCGCGTATGAGCCTTATTATAGTTGAGGGCCAAAAATGTATTTATATTTGATTTTAATCCATTCTACAATCTGTTTCATATTGCGTTGTTTACGTTAAGTTTGTGCCAAAAAAAGAATCGCTAAATATATAATAGTCGTTTACTTTGTTACTTTAAATTACAGCTTAGGAAACAAGGGCATTGCCTGTAAAACGCGAATTCCGGTTGTCATTGTTGATCGGCCAACTACAGCCTTTGATTTCCTAATAGTCCAAGGACGTTGCAAAGCGTTGCCATAATGTAGATTATGATGACGCAATGATTTTAGCATAAATGAAAGTTTCAGAATTGTAAGATTGGGAGTTAGCATACCGGTGGAAGATATATGTCCTTTGGAATACGAGGGACAGTGAGGAAAAAAAGTAAAATGCAAAACGCGTATGAGGAAACACCAAAAAATCAAATTTAAAGCTCGAAATTGAACTTCGAACTTATTGCGCTATTCGCTGTTTCTCTATTGTTCGATTCGCCAAGCTAATGTCCATCCCTCAGCAAAGACAATGTAACGATAACCGGTAATAAAGTTAGTTGACCTCGTTACAAATATCATGAAAAGTCTTTGTATTTTTGCCAAGACACCCAAAACCCTTTCACGACATTGCGATGGTGGTGCCAGTTGTTGCTATAAAACGAGTAATTTCCAAGACTGTCAGATTATCTTGTATAGTCGAGGGAAAAAGGAATAGAACGATGGTAGCTTCAATTTCCCAGGATATTATCCATTGCTCTTGATTCAAGGGGCAATTCAATCCCCATGATATTCGTAACAAAGTTTTTGTAAGAGACATCCTGTATGATGAAGTGATAATATATTATTCTGAGTAAGACTGACAAGACTAATTATTTTCTTGATTAATTACCGTAGGAAGAAAATTAAATTCTTCATCCAAATCTGATTTTGTATCATGATCCTCAACTTCGTCATGAGGTATAAGAAGTTTCAAATACTCATAAGCTTTTTGAGTAGATAATGGCTCTCCGTAGCTGAAATCTTGTTGAATTTTTTCCAAAAAACGCCTTTTTCCCTTTCCAAATAAAATCTGCAAAAATTCTTGTTTCGTAAGCGTAGGATTTTGATTGTTTTTTGGATCCGCAAAAACAAGAAAAGCTTCTTTGAATTGGCGAAGAGAAATTCCACGGACTGGACGGTGGTTAACGTAGAGTTTAACCAATTCCTTAAATGTTATTTCTTCAACCTGCTGTCCTGTCTCAGCGTAATTCTTGTACGCGATTTCACTCATCATATTCTCCAGCTGATTAATAGAATTATTACACTAGAATGATCACACCAGAATGATTTCCAATTTTATATACAGCACCTCGTAATTGCTAGGATAAAATCCAATGGCGCGCATCAGATTAGGAAGCTGCTTAGTGGAAACTCTGTCTGAGACAATTCTGGTTGCTGTCGTATTTTCCCCCTGGTGCAATATCTGAGCGTAGTAAAATAAATCCTGTATTTCATTCATCAGCCACCCCTTGCTTCCACCTTCCACCAGACAATAAAACGGCGTAAGACCCTTTCCACCTAATTTGGCCATCACGTCCACGGATCTGTTAAGAATATTTATTTATATAATGCTTTCTTTTTCTATACTGAATCAATACTTAAGGTTGATCTTCCACATGAGAACGCATCTGTCATTTGCACCAAGGGTGAAGAGGAACTTGTTACAATGACTGATTGACATATGTATAATCTGTTAAAACATTTTACTTTCAGTAAAATCAGACTGTTGACAAACGATGCTTGAACTTATGACTGACTTTTTTTGGATGACCAATCATTCCAATATTCATAAAAGGATTCCCATCTGTTGGGAGCAGTTGAATTCCAATTTCTTTTTCCGTAGCAAACACCATGTAAGCTTGATCGTGAAAGTTTCTCGTAGGCAAAACCTATGTGCAGTGATAATTTACGTACAGTTTACTCTTCTTTCTTGTCATTGAAAAATAATTTTCTCAGCGCGTATTTACCTGCAGTTTCTGAATAGGAGTTCCAAATGTTGGACCTAGGATGGTCCTGCGAATCATTTTAGTCATGTCGTTCAAAAGTCTATATTTGTACTGTAAAAATTAGTAAATCATTAACAGGATACAGGTAAAGCTAAATAAAGTATACCTCAGAGTTAGCTACGAGTAAAAAAGTCTCAATGCCAAAGTGTGGATAAGAAGTCAAGCAACAGGGAGTAGCAGTATGTTCAATTGCATTAACTTCTAAAATCTTCAATCCAGGCTTTGGATATGGTCCGCTGAAAAGAAGCTTTCGTTATACGCTTTAAATTCTCAGTGGATGCAGAATACTAAAATTAAACTGTACCTGTGTTCCAGGTCATACTCCACCAGCTCTCGATCCTCTCCTAAAGAAAATAATCTAGGCACAACGTGTTCACCAGCTGATGGACTAAACATTATGTCTTTTATAGGTTTGTAGTGGGAATGAGATTTTCCCAAGAAATACCAAATGGGAGTATTCGAATGTTTATTTCTCTTGAAGACAACAACTGTCAGAGAATTGTCCTGACGACATAAATGAATTAAAACTTTATGCAATTTTGTACAATTTTAATTCTCCAATTATACCGTGTATGCCATAAATTCCGAGTCCTTGGAAAAGATTATGTTGAGTATAGAGCTCGATGAGTGCTTATATGGAACTTCGGATAAGGGATCCAATGTGTCAGGATGTAACATCCACAGTGCTCCACTTTCCATACCGCAGACTAACATATCGCCTAAGAACAATATTTTCTGAATGTTATTTTCATTTTAGAATAATTAGTTTATGAAGTTTACTTACCTTTAGTGGTATACTTTAAAGATGTAACAGCAGTCATACTCTTGTGTGTTTGTGGACATGTCACGTAGACTATATTTTGATTCTCAATTTCCTGATCCAGAATTGTACAAAAGGATGGAATCGGAGGTGTCATTCGTGACACCATCAAACTGTGTACTGAATAATTGTAAAGGCTAAGTCTACCATTTACACTCCCAGTTACAAAATATTCCCTGGTAAGAAATAACAATTATTCTTCATCGTTATAGCTGATATTTTATCATTACAGATATGTATACCGATACGGTGAAGTAGTTAAGGCTGTTACTACAGAATCTATAGACGGTAACAAGAAGTGACATTTCAATTTTGAAAATTCTATCCAAGCTACTCTTCCGGCTGAAGTACCTAAATGCCAAAATGAACATGCTTAACATAAAAATATCTTTGCTTAATTTCATTAGGATTTTCAAATAATTCTTACAAACACAAAAGCTGTCAATTTTGAAAGGTGCACGATTGAGTGTAGCATCTGATGATTTTTTTGGTAAATTCTTATCTATCCCTTGTAAGTCGTGCGAAGTGTATTTCTCAAAATTTATTACTTTAGGTATGATGTCTACATCAATAACTGTGTCTGCAATTAATTCTTTTATCCCACTATCAACACTTCTTTCTGTCTTCTGTTTTATCTGCTCATCATTCTCATCCTGTTCCACGTACTCATTCTTATTATCTTCCACAACTTCTTCTCCGTCAGCTCCATCCTCATCCTCGTCGCTACTGCTTAGCGTTACTTAAAATATTACAGAAAAAGTCTTTATAGAATTAACCAACGATTGGATCAATAATCAAAATAAACTTACAAGTCGATTCGCTGATAGCAACCGTTGGACCTTGCAATTTTGATGAAACGTCGAAACTGATTGACCGAATTGAATCCAGTCCCAAATTTCGACACCAAAACAGTAACTTCAATTGGTAATCATAAAAATATATATGCCCAGAAGAATTACCAGTCACAATAGTACTGTTAAAACATTACGAAATATTGTACCAGGAAGCACAAGTTATTTAAAAATTGTGAAATAGGAAATCGCTATACCCCTTATGATCTAAAATTTGCGTAATGTTTTTATTTTGTAGGTGAATCGATTTAATATGCTTCTTCATGTAACACATTTTCTGCCTGCTGCTGTCACGTTCGCAATCAACAGGTATTCCATTCCAAACCAAGACAAATCCTACAAAAAATATATCGTACTTAAAATCCATAAAGAATTTGAATTGAAACATTTAAAAATTACCATTGCTAGTTGCAGTGAAAGCTTCGGTCCTTCTCGACGTGTAAGAAGAATCGTTAAAAATTCCTAAGCGACGTATCTTTCCAATAAGCTTCGGTTGATGTATTTCTAGTTTGTCATTTTCCTATAAAAATAATAAAAATATAATGCTGTTCTCTTCTACGAAACAAAGTACATTCCACGAGATTAAATATTTTACCCATAAGACAAAAACGACATGCTGTTCCATAGTCAAGATAAATTGTTCTGAATAATCATTGCTAAAAGTGATTTCCTTCACTCTATCTGCACTCATATCCGTCAATTCCGCCACACCTAGGGATACCAGATAAATCTAGACAATTATACATTTATTTTCACACCATTTAAAACTCCACAGACCATCCGGTGTGTCTCTTCCATAAGTCCACAACCATATCTTGACCTTTTGGCAAATTTCATTGCCAACTGTCACTAAGTACTTGGCATTAGGGCTGATTTTTGCAGCTGTCAAATTATCCGTCCCATGTGGATTGAACAAAGTACAAATTGGAAGCCTGTAGATGTTATAAAATCGTCACCAAAATGTTTGCACAATATCCTTTCCCACGTCTTTTACCTTTTTTCTGTGTCCCATACGACGACTACGCAATCTTCATCGAAATCAGCAGTGAGTAACCACTTGCCATTCTTGCTACTAGACAAAGTGCGTACGGTATTTTTCTGTAAGGAAACGTGACCAATAAAAAAAAATCCCAGAGGATGATTCAACCAATTTTCGACGTAAAGATACCAACGTGACCCTGTAGGAACATCATGTCCCTCGAGGTATAATCGTACAGGACAGCTGAGTGCGAGGATCCATAAGCAATCAGTGTTCGATTCTCCGTAGTTAAATTAACCAGAGGCGGATCAGAGTTCAAGCCAAAGGACCATTTTAATCGCTAAAAATAAAAAAAAGTTATAAAACCCATAAAACTCTTAAAAAACATAAAGTAAGACAGTCCACCTACAAAAGGACAGATATTAGTGTTCCTCGTAGCACTTTCATGGAATCGCAGATTCTTCCTACTGCTGTGATCATCTTTTGGTGTCTTTGAATTTTTAAATCCTGAAAACATCCCACAGCAATACAAATCATTGACAGTGACAGAGTGAAAACAGTCGCCATTTAAATACCCATCCTGCCCCATTCATCTAATCAAAAGAAAATCTGTCAAAGCGCCAATGTTCAGTGCAGACTGGCGGACCCAATAAAAAGAATTTCTACTGCAATGTACAGGGCAATTCAGTTGACCTTGCCCTCTTACAATGACAGCTATCAAATCTGACCGTTGCATTTAAACTGAATAAATACGTAGACCCAAGAGAGTAAAAAAAAAAAAGAAGTGCACTGACGAGTTTGTAGCCTGCTCCAAGTGTTTTGCCCGATGCCATCAGAATAAAGAGCGAACGTCAGGGACGCGCGAGGAGTCATTATCCGTAGCTGATCACCCTCTTAAGAAATCTCATAGTTGTTTTTCAGTCTCGCGCTTTATTTGCACGCAGAGCCACTATAGGCATTCATTGCACATCTACGACCCTCAGTCTTTCCTTATTAACTGAGTTACACGATCCTCCAATTCATAAAGTCCAGTCCATTCCTCAAAAGCACGTGGTACAGAAAAATCTAATCTTCTGCAGATCAATCCTATGCCGAGCAGTCTCCGATCTCGTATATAGTTTAAGATAACGAAAGAAGAGCAAGAAAAAGCAAGACGTAAGAAAACCTTTGATCTAACGATCTTCCATTCAGTCAAGTTCATCCTCGCTACACGACATGAGCATCACGAATTCTAATCAAGGGGTCCCGGTCTTACTCAAAAGATACTGGATTCTGTTGATGATCTCTGAATATTTTTCACTCGTTAATTTGGCACCAATTCTCGCCGATAAGGACACAGCAACTGATCATCTTTATCCGCCTGTGCTCGCGGTAAGTCACTCCTACAATATCAAGGATAAAGAACAATTGGTATAAATTTTATTGCACTTCAGTTTAAGTTCATGAAGAAGTTTGGTTACCTGGAAGCAGGCACCCCCGATTCGGAAGCTCTTTATACAGTCGATGCAGTAGTGGATGCCCTTAAGAATGTTCAATATTTTGGAAATATACCAATCACCGGTGTCTTCGACAATACGACATTGAAGGTATGCAGCCTTATTTATGCAATAGAACAAATGCATTTATTATAGTGCAATAGCAGTGAAGACTGGTTTTCTTCAATCGAAGCTCATGGAGTCGCCACGCTGCGGAGTAGCAGATGTTGTACGACATAAAGAGTCACGAACGAAAAGATACATTATCGGTGCCAATGGCTGGAATAAGAGAGACATAACATACTTGTGAGTCAATTAGCTTGGTTTCATTTGTTATACGTGATTGTCAAATTATTTGAAGTTTCTTCGAATGACAACAGCATCGCGAACTGGACGCCAAAATTGAGCGAGGAAGCTGTTTCCGAAGAGCTTGCCAGAGCTTTTCATGCCTGGAGTGGATACGCTCGTTTGAAATTTCGTCAAGTCTATGATCCAACTGCTGATATCATCGTTGCCTTCGGAAGAGGTCCACACGGTGATGGGTAATTACATTCATAGAGGTTTTTATATTTATAATAAGTTTTGCATATGTCGTATTTTTCTTCCAAGTTATCCATTCGATGGCAACGGAAATGTCCTGGCGCACGCATTCTTCCCGTACGAGATGGGATCTTACGGCGGCGACATTCACTTCGACGATGACGAGAATTGGAAAATGAGACCTTCCGATCCTTATGACGGAACAGACTTCTTCTCGGTTGCCGTACACGAACTTGGACACAGCTTGGGACTCTCGCATTCCCCAGTTCCGACCTCTATAATGTTTCCATATTACCAGGGTTACACGTCCAACTTCCAACTGAGCTATGACGACATCCTTGGGATGTACCAGCTTTACAGTAAGCCTCGTCATGCCGTAGAAAACTCGATAAACTAATCTTAATTTGATTAGCGGAGGTCAGTCGGTGGACGTCGTGCGGTCATTGACGGACGTATATATAAATATGAATAGAAAGAAAAAAGTTCTATCACTGGCCCAGATAGGGTTACGAGTTAGTCTGATTGTTGTGAATGAAGCCTTAACCTCATTCTTTCAGTAACCAGAACATTGGAAGGGGATCAGCAGTCTGAGTCTGTTACGGATAATGGGGAGACGGAAACGGAAACTGAGGATTCATCGACTAGATATGAAGAGACCACTGAGTCAGGGAAAACATTTGATACTACTGACTCGGTTCCGGTTACTACTGACTCAGGTCAGGAGACTATTAATTCTCAGAGTACTACCACTGCCACCTGGACCAGCGAAGAGACAAGTACTACCAGGTACGACAGATCCACCGAGGGTTATCTAGGTGTCACTTTCACCGGGGACTATGAAACCGTTGATGAGCATCGTCGTCATGAAAATCGTAGTGATAGTAATAGTATTCCTGATCTGGTGAATTCAAGCGTTCCTGATATTTGTCAAGGAAGCTACGACGCCATAACTGTCCTCAGGGATGAACTCTTCATCTTCAAGGGTGAAGTAAGTATTAATTGCTATACTTATAAATGATGATTTATCTGATACAATACTTTTTTATAGTTTGTGTGGCGTTTGTTGAAGCGTGGAAAAATTGATAATAGTTATCCCGTCAAATTTCATCAACTCTTCTACGATTTACCGGAAGACATCACTCGCATAGACGCTGCTTACGAGAGACAGAGCGACGCTAATATCATATTGTTTACTGGTAATTTTCTTAACGAGTCTACTTTTTTGTCTATACGAATTCTTTAGACTGTTTCACGTTACAGGAAATAGATACTGGGTGTATAATGGAGATAAGTTTGTTGACGGCAGCCCCAGACCTTTGACTGATTATGGAATCTCACCTGATGTTGACAAGATAGATGCCGTTCAGGTGTGGAATAAGAACAAAAAGGTTTATCTTTACAGGTAAGTATCCTTATTGGAACGTAGTATTATCTCAGGATGAAAAATAGTTGCTAAACTATCTCTTGAGGATAGACACAACCAGTTCTGGAGGTTCAATGAGACTTCGAGAACTCTTGATCCTGGATATCCACATAATATGAGAAGATGGCGAGGTGTACCTCCGAATATCGACGCAGCCATGACCTGGATTGACGGTAATATATTTTAATCAATACGTTAATGAAATCATTCAATTGTTTTACTGATTGCAGGAAAGACATATTTCTTTAAGGATAAGCTGTTTTGGAAATTCGATAATTTTTTTGTTAAGACGGACAACAGGTATCCCCTGCCAGCTCCGCAGTATTGGTTCGGCTGTCCAGAACAGCTGGATACAATTTGGTGGTTATAAATCGTAAGACTTATACATTACTTTAAGACCTCCACATAAGTAATAATGTAGCGTATATCGTGTAATTCCAAAAAGTATCAAAACGTAGCCATAAGTCATAAGAATAATTTGTACTTTTGTAACGGACATTAAGAAAAGTGTGAAACATGAAGACAATCAGTGATATTTTGTGTCAGCTGTGATTTATTCCTGTGATGACATAACAGCTCAGCAAAAAATATATATGAAACGTAATAAACAATGCATCAACCGAGGGTTGTAGATTGTTTGGAGTAAATTGGGAATATAAGCTCTACAATAGTCCGCATAAAAATCACCGCAAAGGACAACGACTCAGCGTCATTGATCACCGCTTCTTCGCGAGGAATTGAATTGTTTCGTTGCCCCGCAAATACTGACAGTCAAAGATCGCGTCCTTAACATCAAACCGACCGTGCTTCCTGGATTCAATGAATACGAAAAAAAAAAATTATTTAAAAAAATTTGCAACTACCTCTTAAAAAAGATAGCGTTCCCTTGATAATCTTCCTAAAACTTATGCAAGCCAATATCATTAAGGCGAATAACCTACTGCTTTGTCTTTTGCTTTGTTTCAAATTCTTTTCTAATATTCGGTTTTGTCGACGGCGGATCAACCCGTGAGAAAATTCTCTAAGTGACTGTCATTTCTAGCTTTTGGACACAGCATGGCGAAGACGCACCATGTTCTTGCGAATTGTAGTCCAGTAGCTGCACTGAGACTTAGTTTTGATAACCAGGTTAAAATTCGAAGATCGTAAGTACCGTTGACTACCTTTCGAGTCACAGCGATTCGTATGTAGCCACATTAGCTGCAGCAGCTTGCGGGTGACGGGTCCAAGCCGGAACGCTTGGTTATGATTACCCTGGTGAATTCCTCGGCGGTCGTTGGGTGAATTCCAACGGTCGACTTCAAGGCGGGGAATGTCAAATTGCACCTGGTAAGAAAACATGAAAATGTAGAGTATGGATAGGATTGTAGGGTCAAAAATGTTTTACAGATGAAACAAGTAAGTCGGTACTCACTTCATGGCGGCAGCAAAACCTTGGATGACTTCACCAGCGTTGGGACCTATGAAGTGCATTCCAAGAACCTTCTGATCACCACCTCTAAGGGCAACGACCTTCAAGTAGCAATTGAGAGGACTCTTCTGAGGAATAAAGAATTCCGTGGGCTTGTAGTAAGCATGATAGACCTCAATGTTGTCGTCTCCATGGATAGCTATAGCATGCTCTTCGCTGAAGCCGACGCAGCCGTACTCCAGAGGACTGAATACTGTTGTGGCCACGTTGGCGTAGTCCATCGTTTCCGTGGAGTTGCCGAACAGCCTTTTGGCTAATAATTTTCCAGCGTGAATGGCTACCGGCGTGAGCTCTGGTTTTTTCTGTAAGACAAAATTTATGTACAATACTGCAAACAACGATTCATTTAATAATCATGTTAATCATAATCATGTTAACAAAAATAGATTTTAACATACGTGGAGAACATCTCCCACGGCGTAGATGTTAGGCACGTTTGTTTGCTCATTGACGGCATCAATCTTATCGTTTTCGGGTACTAACTTAATACCAGCATTCTCAACTTTCAAATCCTGAGTCAAAGCTCGTCTCCCTATGGCGAAGAGCACAGTGTTGTACGAATCCTGATGAATCTGTCCATCCTTAATAACAAATAAAACGTATGAAACTAAGGGCCAATGACCATCGTTATAAAATAATTGAGATGCGAAAAATCATCGTACTTTATCGACCCAGTGAACAAGAAGACGACCATCATCCTGTTTTTCGATGGCTTTAGGCTTAGCTTGATAAATAAAATGTACTCCACGTTCTTCCATTTCCTTGGCCACGAGATTTGCCATCTGCTGGTCGAATCCCCTCAAGACGATAGAACGAACCATAATGGTGGCATCGTAGCCCAAGCCATTTAAGAAACCAGCACATTCAAGACCAATATCTAGTCAAAATGGTTAAGGTAAACTCAAAGACTATTCAGCTAATATAGGTATATATAGTAATAAATCTAGGGCCATTTTTAATATCATTTGAAAGGATACATCCAGCACCAACAACTAAAGTTTTGCCAGGGGCATGGTCCAAACTGAAAATATCATCACTGGTAATTCCATATTCCAAGGCTCCGGGAATATCAGGGTAGTTAGGTCTGCCTCCAACAGCAATAAGAATGTTTTCAGCAGTAAGGGTCTTTTCTTCTCCATTCAAGATTCCAGCCACAGTATGAGGATCCTTGAAATAGCCAAGGATGTTCAAGTACTCAACTTTCCTATAAAAAAAAAGTAATATCTCATTAAAAATAGCTTCCTTTCAAGATATTTCTGGAAATTGTTAACAATAAGACTATTAGGACTCTTACTTAGTTCTGAGTTCTACACGTGTAACCCAGTTTACGGATTTAACATGATTTTGCACAGCTGATTTTAGCGCCACCCAGTCATTTTCAATAGATTTTGGATCCGGAAGTTGCCATCCATAAAATGTAGCTTCCTAAGAAAACAATATTACATTGATATAATGAACACAGTCAGATAAACATTGAAATATTGTGAACTGCCAATTTTTAACCTACATGCACAGCTTCTCCGAGTAATGCAGCTTGGTGCATTAATTTTTTTGGAATACATCCTACGTTAACACAAGTGCCTCCAAGACCCCATTTTGTTCCTCTTGGGGAAGGAGTGACGTAATCTAAAACAGCAACCTTTGCCCCAAGTTGGACAGCTTCCTTAGCTGCTGCAAGACCACCGGATCCACCACCGATCACAACCAAATCGTATGCATATTTTTGTTCAGCTATAACAGATCATTAAATTAATTTATATAAGCTATAAAACAAAAAGAGTACAATTAAAAATAAGATATGAAATATCAATTTAATTTTCAAGTATAACAATCCCACCTCACCTCGTTATAAGATTCTAACAAAATTGTATTTATAAAATGTTACTTACAGAATGTACAAGTGTTAAATTCATTGTAAAATTGATTTTTATCAGACATGTGCCATGGATATACATAAAAGAGATTTATTTGCACAATAAAAAATATCTCCAAAAAAATGTTCACTGACTGCATGACAATTGGCTACACAAAAGAACCACTTTCAGCAAAAGTTGCAGAAGCAATCAATTCTTGCATAAAGTATAATTTGCTTCGTTATCATTATCAATGCTTATTAAGAAAAAAAAAAGTCATGTATTTCTTTAGCTCCAATATCAGCCTTTCACTATGTAACGTACCATCCAAGAGACATTGCCAAGGATAATGATGCAATGCCTAAGCAACACTTTCCAATAATTCTAGACCGTAACAATAACAATTACAAAAGACTTTAAATCTTGCAGACAATTAACCCACACGTGGATAAACTGTCAGGTAATCCATCAAAGGATACATGTTAAAATAATAAAACTTCATGGTTTGTAGTTAGAAAATAATTTAACAGCAATTATTCTGCAATGTCACAATCGAGCTGACGCGTCAGAATAATTTTGTATAAATGTAAGTCTAATGTTGCCGCGGTGAACTGAATTTTACGTAATCCAAATCCAAGCAACATTCCGAAGTGCTCGATACCTAATCACGAAAGAAATGAGATCAATGTAACTACTCACTACAAATGCAAGCCACAACAGTTTTTCCAGACATCAAGTTATATCGCTTGGCGCGAGGTACTTCGAGTAATTTGGCAGTAACGTGACGTCTCCGAAATGACACGAGCCGTGAGATGAAAGTTAGCGTCGCCATGATCGCGCTCAGGATTGAAAAGATCTGACGTCAGACCAAACGTGTTTGTTGGTGGATACAGCCATTGGCCAGGAAACCAGCTTCTATCTATCACTTCTAATCGTACTTGCTTCCCAGTGTCTCTACTGTTGCCTCCAACCGCAAGTATCCAACTGGTTGCTAACTGAAGACTTATGACTCTCGAGAGCGACCCACTTTCTATGCATAGCCGGTAGTGTCTACAGTTTGGTTTCGTGTAAAAATTAAACAAGTTCAAAGTATTTAAGCCGAAAAAGAAAGAATGAGATCGATATTCGTAACCGGTAGCAATCGTGGTCTTGGTTTAGGATTAATTAAACACCTGGTCCAGTCTAGTAAACCACCGGAATACATATTCGCAACATGTCGGAATCCTGACAAGGCTCTGGTGAGTTTCATTTATTCTTCATATAATACTTGATTGATATTCTTTACGTAATTAATAGTCTACATCTTCACTTACCAATAGGCGGCATTCTGATTTTATTTTCACAACTTCCTTATCGATTGGAAATTAAGAACTATCAATTTATTACTAAACTACTCCTAGAGATTTCTGTATTTCTCTCGCACCGAACACGTCCGTTCACCGCGTGAAACAATTTGCTACTGAACAGTTCCGGCTTGGATTGTAGAATCTTGTAAGGTTCGCGACGTCGCCATCTATCATTGATTCTACGAACTTTATCAATTAGAATCCTTCCCTCAGCCCCTTCGTCTATTTCTAATCAAAATGCCCGTCAGACGTCTTACGTTTGTAGGAAATCCTATTAGATAGTCATGGCATTCATATATTGCATAAGAATTTGCAATATCTATAGCAGAACACATGGGAAGAGAAGTTGAATCGTTATAAGCAGAACAACATCTACCCAGCAAGAGCAATTAAGAACTGAAATTGCGCAATGGTCATTGTAGGCTGGATGCTGATTATGATCTCAGACTTTTCTCTAAAAGAATTATAAAGTATTACATTGCATTTTATGAAGGATGACGTATCTTAGTGAAGCTCCGAGTGAATCGTAGAAAGCGAATTACTGGATATTGTCTTTGATGGCGACATTTTATCTTTCCTCTTGATGACGTTAGAATTTCAAGAGCAAAAAAGGAAGTAAGTTGCTATGTCATTGATGATTTTCAATGATGCAGCAATACTTACATTCTTACTGCAAGCAATCTCGTCATTTGCTGTTAGACAGTGAAACAGAGTTGAGACTCGGAATGATATTTTTTTAACACAACTTTCAACCATAAACTTGTAATCAATTTTCTATATTTTGATGGCAGGAGCTCAAGGAAATCGCTCAGAAATCCGGGGGAGTACATATCATTAAACTAGGTGAGTGAACTTGAATTTTCTATGATAACTCTTATATTTTCTAAATGATTTTCATGACTGAAAAGGCATACGTCACTTATTCGTTCCTGTCGTCGTTACTGCATCAAAGGAAAATGAAGATTTCCATGTAGAGAAATAGCAAAGTACGTTAACTGTCTTTGACGGTTCATTTATTCTAGTTGACTAAATTTGGTCAAACTAGACTTATGTCAATTGGATATAGACTTTTTGTTTATTATGTATTGACGTGACGCGATCATCAAATTTCTACCGAAAAATGTTGACTCCATATCGATGATATCGACCTCTTCGTTCAACTTGCGCAGGAAAATTTATAAAAGAAGTAGAACGACTAATCGACTACTCGACGATCAATAATACTTATTCCTAATAATTAGGACAATTCGCATCATCGTGTAAATCATTGACAGTCGTAAGAAAATTAAAAATAATTATTATAAGAAGAAAATATAATTTCTCAGTCGTATTTGGTTTATCAAGCTCATAGAAAAAGTAATCAGCTATTAGTAATTGAACGGCTGTGTAATATTCAAGTATTTATTATTCCACGTATAAATATCGCCTACCTTTCTTCTTCGAGACTTCGTTCTCGCTATCGCTCGAAGAGTCATCTAGGGTTTGTGGTTTCTTGCGGCATAATCCCCAAGAACTTTTCTTGCCATTACGTTCTGCCATCCTTGAATGTTTGCCTTTGCGGTGTGAAGATACGGCGTTGCGTCTATTGTATGCGTCGCAACAAGAATAATCGGTTTTGTTGAATCCTGAAGGCGTCGTTGCGGACATGAGAGAGAAAACCTACCTGACAAAGAATGTTTAACCAATCATCAGATCTCAACGATTTTATCAAATCCCTCCTTAATACTTGATAAGCATAAAGCGTAAGAGATTTTTCAAGCACAATAGAAACTATTCTGTCTCCTTAAAACTGTTTTTCATATTATATGTATTTTGTTTTCTCCGACTCATGTATGACCATAACTCTGCTTTCTTCGTCGAATTGAAAACAAAATAGTATTTATTAGTTCCAGAAATATAATTCTTTAGTAGCCCTTATATAAGCCTGAGTCCTAGGAAATATTGACTTTTTATCAAGTGCTGATGATTCATTGCTTGTAAAATATTCATTTCATACTTCTCGCTATAGTATCTATTAGATTAGAGATCGAATAATTTGTTCGCCATATATAATGTATACGATTAACGGGGCAATTTCCAAGCAACGAGAGAATGCATTTCAAATAATTTTATATAAATTGAATAAATTCGCAGATCTCACGGACATCGATAGTTACAAAAATGTGGTGAAAGTTGTCGAAGAAAAACTCGCCGGTCGTGGACTGAATGTGCTTGTTAACAATGCCGGAATATCGAGTAAATTTGCAAGACTTAATTACGTTAAAGAGAAACAATTGACCGAAGCCTTCATGACAAATTCAGTCGCACCAATATTACTCGCAAAGGTATGAACAAAAAATGTATATTTATCTCTCACTGTAAGATATTTTTTCATAGGTGAAAATAAAATTCTCGTCCATTCTGCTGGTCATCGTCATTACATGAATTACTGATAATGATAAGAAACGATTCGGCGATTGGTTCGTGTGGATATCTTTTAAAATTTTCATATGGCTTTTAATTGGATCGTGAATCAAATTGTGTGTGACCTAATTAAATTTTTAATTCATCCATACATTTAGCATACATGTTTCTTTTGTCAGTCATCTAATGTCGAATTAATAATTAAGTGAACTCAGCCTAATCTTTCAAATCTAGACTTTTATCTAAGTTGTACGTTATCATTTCTAGTCATCGAGTCCATCAAGTTATTTCTCCTAGAAGAACTCAATGATGTTAGAATCGTCATCAAATAACGCTGACAATTTTATATTAAATAAGAATCGACGTTTCTATGTTGTCACGCTAACTCGCATATACTATCGATTGCAGGAATTACTTCCTTTACTAAAAAAAGCAGCCAGCAATGCGACTGATAAGAAATCAATGAGTGTCGAGCGTGCCGCAATCATTAACATGACCTCCATTCTTGGTAGCATTACTGAAAATGATCAAGGCGGTTTCTATCCTTACCGATGTAGCAAGGTAGCGCAGAATATTATATAAAGAAAAAATTGCTAATTATTAGTGTTAATTGAATCACTTGTTATCTATAGGCAGCTCTCAATGCAGCAACAAAGTCAATGAGCATTGATTTGAAGGATGATGGCATTTTGGTAGTCTGTTTGCATCCTGGATGGGTTCGCACGGATTTAGGTGGGAAAAATGCACCGATAGATGTTGATACAAGCATTCAAGGAATTTTATCAACTCTCGATACCCTCACGGAAGCGCAAACTGGATGTTTCTTACAGTACGACGGAAAGATGTTACCTTGGTGAAGGATATTTTGAAAATATGATAGTAACTCAGTGAGAGTTTCACAGAGCAGTTAACATTCTGTTTTATTCCAGTTCTTTCTTCCTTGACCTCGTATTCCGTTACCTCAAGGCGATTCGGAGTTGTGCAAATTCTAAAAATTATATCTATATTTATATTTCTATATTTGTGCGTATGTAGAAATGAGTAAGGCTATATTAGTTCACGTCGATATAACCTAGGTAATAGGAACATAAAATTTATATCCGCTACTGAACCATGCACAATCGACTGTAGGCGTTGTTAGTCAAGGACGCTAAAAAATGACTTCTCTTCAGTGACTGTATTTAGGTGAAGGTCATGGTCATATTACGTAAGCGAGCAATTTTTTCTTCTTTTTTCCATTGCGCTCTTGATACTTTCACTTGCAGATGCTGCGAAACCAGACAAAGTCTGTTCTTGAAGTGATTTGGATAAAGAAATTTGTGAATGTTATGAAAGGAATGTAGTATTTTTTTTCTATTGTAAGATATTGTACGGTGTAATAAACTTTTTTTTATCAGCATTTTAATTTATTATTGTAGAAGTTACTCTCCGATAAGACGGAAGTCCAGTCGACAACGTATTTTTCGAAAATCAACGAATTCCAAACCCTTCAAAAATTGTTTCACATCTCCAGTTACCTCCAAGTTATTCGCAGGAGACTCATGTTACTTTGTACATGTCTCGCTGGATAAACTAAAGGATGTTACTCTGAATGCAAGTGGCGTACATTAGCACCGTTGCGACGAAAATATCACTTAAAATATTTACACACCTACCGCGTCTAAACTAATTGTGTTCGTCTTACAATTATTACAATATATGATTCTCTCTCTTTCTCTTATGAGAAAATAATTATCGTACTTAACGACTCGCTTTGTCAACGTGATTTCTCACGAAGCGAGTACTTCAAACGAGTCCCACTATGAATTTGCACACAAAATACAGATTGTAAAGAATTAATGATGAAAATGTAAGAGACGATGCTTCCAGCCTTTGCTATGGAATGGCCCATACTATACAAATATTTATAATGTGTAAATCCATAACGACGTACGATAATGTAAAAACGCTAAAGCAGTCATTAAAGAGAGAGATTATTCAATCAGTCTTCAATCTCTTGGGTGTTGGTTCGCTGTTTTGCGAATTGGAATCCTCTGAGAATCCGAGGTGTGCTGAGAAATCAGTCATTCCCTGGGAATCACTAACCGTAGAAAAACCTATTATGCCACACGACGATCTAATTATTAGTCAGTCGCCATTAACATATCAAGAAATATTTCAAATTAACTCACACGTATTGGAATCTTCTGTAAGTCCAAAATTTGAATTTGATGATTCTATGCCTTTCCGTGCAAGTCCATTTTCTTTATCCACCACTGTCTTCCCTTTTTTCTTCTACAGTAATAAAAATGAGGCTGCAGTAATTATGTTATTGAAAATAAATATCAAAAAGTAAAGGTACCTGCTCTAGTGTCGATATAGGAACCCACTTGTAAATCTTCATCGTAGTCTCACCTATCGTCACCCACTTTTTTTCCCTAAAAGAGACAATCATTGTCAAACAATAGGATCAAAAAGATACTAGTTAATTAATCCATTTTGATTAATTTACCAGTGACGAACTTTATCCACAACTTGCATCACACGCTTAATGTCATCCTTAGCGCGACTACGTGTCTCTGCACGTACAGATCGCGACATCATGATATTCTTACGCGATTAAGTTTTACTCAATACTTGGCGGACTGCTGTATTACTCACTATATAAAAATCAACACAATCTGTGCAAGAGGTTAGAAAAGTGACAGCGGCTCTTCAGTTTTTAGCTGCCCCTTAGAAACATGAGCGTTGCTCCGAAACGAACAACGGGAAGCTATTTACCAGAGATGAGTAAGAAGATGGCCAATGGATCTGTTTTTCGGGGCCTCCCTTTGATTCTGGTTTCGGTGCGCCACCTTAGCGGAGGCTCTACGAAGCAGTTCCACGTTTTCGATTGGTCGAGTATATATAGTAATACCACGCGTGAGAATCTGGAGTCCACAGTCTTACCGTTATAGGTCTTACATACAGGTCTTGAAACTTCATCGAATTTCAGTGGTGGGGGATGGTCGCTTACTGAGGTTGAATTTAGTTTCAAACAGCGTCGCTGTGATCGAGTTACCCCTTATCTATCTCACTCTACAATCGGACCTACGTGAAGATAGCATTGTAACATTTACTTTTTGAACATTTTTTGTTGTCAAAAAATTGTCGGTTTTTTGGTGGTGTTTGGTGGACCAGTTAAAAAATTTGGTGGTTGCCCATTTTTCTGGAAAATGGAAAATAAAATTTGGATTGTGAAGGTAGCCCCGAAAGTCTTATTTTTTATAACAACAATTTTTTTTTGTATGGAATCGATGCCAAATTTTTTGACGGTCACGAATTACCTAATTACAAAATTTGGTGGCAAGTGGTTTCGTTAAAAACAAAAAAAAAACCGTACGCATACCTGTGAAATGTGAAGTTAGCCCCAAAAGTTTTATTTATCAAAAAAATAATTTTTTTGAGTTTAAACGATGCCAAATTTTTTGGCAGTAACGGATTACCTAATTACCCAATTTGATGGTACGCAGTTTCGTTGGAAAAAAAGCCGTACGTACATCTGTGGAGTGTGAAGTTAGCCTCAAGAACTTTATTTAAAAGACAAAAATGGGTTTGAGTACATTCGATGCCAAGTTTTTTGGTGGGCAAGGATTACGAGATTATAGAATTTGGTGATAACCGTCGTATTGAAAATCAAATATTAGGCCTTTCCAGCTGCGCAACAGGGGCTATTACCGACGGGACGTATAAACTTCGAGTCCAAGTTGCTCAAATGCAAGTAGACAACGACTTGCAGGAAGGCGTACACATTCGCGTGCCAGGGGAATTGAAAAAAGATGGATGTGAGTAAATGATAACTAAAATATTTAAGGTACGCAGGTACAAGATTGTTTTTCGATTAAAAAATTAAATTTATATGATTTTCAGTTGGATCAATTTTACTTCTAACAAATGACAATCGGAGCATCTCTATTATCGATGATGAAATTATGTCAGCTTCCGATCTTCGCAAAGGATTTCGTCAAATTCTAAAGCATCCCATCACAACGTGCGAAGATGAAAAGGAAAATTTCAAGGTATTTTTTAAAGAATAATAATAAATTTGTTTCAGTACTTTCATTAATCATATTTATTTATACTAATACAAATAACGAAAATTGTAATGTCTGTTTCAGAAAACTAAAGCCGATTAATCAAGCACAACAGGCCAAAACCATCACACCCACCCACGTCCGTCAGTTCATCTGTTCAATAATTTTTTTATTTGTTATTATTTTACTTTACTGTGTATGTGTATACATATAAAAAGTATCTCAAATAAAAAGTTTGTCATACTTTATTTATCGCGGTTATTTAAATTTATTGTTACGCCTGCAGACATTTCTAAACATGAATTTAACCAATGATCTGCCAAACGCAGCTGTCATTCTCGATAAATATTGCCTTATCTATGAGAATGACATTTAACCTATTATCTGCCAAAAGGATCTATCATGTTAGTTCTATAATCTGAAGTACTTCACATTATCATCACGTCAACCAATTAGAAAGCTTTTATAGCGACGACACTTTTTCGATATATATCGTCTTACATGTCTTTTTTAGAATAGGATAGTGAGATGAGACAAATAGTGCATTTGCTTAGAAATTTTTAGTTTTATACATTTTTGGTAGCCTAATTCAATTTAGTCAATTTTTTTTATTCAAGCCTACGGAAAGATAATTTTATTTTTAATATCTCGAATTATCAGTACGTTCAAATATAAAAAATAATTTAGAATTAAAATTCTACCTCGACATAATTTTCTGATAATTCGATGTATTAAAAACGTTGTCTTTACGTAGCCTTAAATGATAAAAATTAAATGAAAAAAAATCCCTAACCAAATACATTTTGTTTCATCTCTCCATAGAAAATAATTGGTTCATTTTTATATGTTGTGTTATCCAGGTTTAAAATCGTGGATCTCGAGGAACACACGAATTCATTTGACCAATCAAAAACGTAAAACTAGTTGGAAATTCTAGTTCAGGTGGCGCGTCGACGGGCCAAAGCACTGACTCCAGATTCTCACGCGTAGTATTATTATATATACTCGACCAATCAACAACGTGAAACTGCTTCGAGGGCCCTCCGCTAAGGTGGCGCGTAGAAACCAGAATCAAAGTGAGGCCAGGAAAATCAGGCCCATTGGCAATCTCCCTACTCACCTCGGGCTAGCTTCTCGTACAGTACCATACAGTACAGTTTTACTCGGTTGTGCTTCTTGCCGTCTTAAGAACATCATGTAAAGCCGACTAAGAACACCTGTATAGTGTTTTTTAAATTATATTAGACAGTAGAGCTTAACTATTACCGTAGACCTCCAGACGAAGGTATTATGAGGATCAAACCGTCTCTGTATTATGATGTGTATGATTTCCGCACAAATTCAACTCCATATCTTTCACACGATCCTCAAGAATGTGCTTTGAATTCTGTCGAAACGGAGTTGAAACGCCTTAAAATTAAAGAGTGCAATGTTAGAAATAAGAATAAAAATCGTGCACGATGTGCGGCATCCTTGGGGAGTTTATATCCGTCGAAGAATAGACGCAAGTCGAACGTCATATATCTAAAGGGTAGCGGTGAACTGACTAGACCAGATAATTTGTTGGAAAAGCGACAATCCAAATTTGAAAGGTCAACCTCTCCTGGGAAAAATAGTAATAATATGAATAGTAAGTATTTCATTAATTATGATACATCGAAACTATTTTTCTATGGGTATTGAGACAGAATAAGATATTACATTACTCTTCATTTTGATTTCATAGGAAATGCGAGTATTGAAACAACTACTAGTTTCTCTCGAAAATCCAGTATGGATATGAGTTCCAGTTCTAGTTATGGTTCTCAATTCTCCTCCCACGAACGTACAATTAAATTAGGATCACTGAGAAAAGCCATGTCAATCTCAGCTTCCACAGTCACTTCGAAATCTTATGTGAATAATGTGCTTCCAAGTCTCTCAGGGAAGCTATGGAGAAAGTGTTCAAGGGGTTCCATCGATGGGATTCACTTATCAGAGCATGACAGAAGAATATTAGAAATGATGGCCTATAAAAAACAATTGGAACGAGAGAACGAAGAATTTGCATACAGGGTACATTTGATGTGGGAAAGGGAATTGGAGGAGAAGCGTAAAGTAATGGTTTTCTCACTAAATAAAATCTTAAAATTGTTCACATATAAACATATACTGACCTTATTGTACAAACTATGAATGTTTTATATAGCACGATGACTACGAGGCGCAAAAGTGGCGAGAATATGTTATGGAGAAAAGAAAAATAGAATCAGCAGAATGTGCCAAGAAATTGGAGGATGTCGAGGATGTTCATCGAAGGAATAAAAAACTCCTGGAGAGAAATATTGCTGAAAAGGAATTGAGAGCAAATCGTGCTAAAGAAATTTTACGACAGTGCAAGGTTCATATTATCTCTAATAACATTTTAGTCAATCATCAACTTTAACTTATTTTATTATATAGAATATTGAGACGGAGGAGAAAATCTTATTGAATTATAAGCGAAAAGCTAAAGTAGAATTTAATCAGCAACAAATGGAAATGGAAACGGCAATGCTTCAATTGAATTGGGACAAACAAACACGTGATAAATTAAAAAAAGCTCAGGAATCTCGTACTAGCTCTCAGGAACTCTATAGAAGAGTAAGTTCTTCTACACCTCTTTTTGATAGTAATTAAAGACATTGCATATTGGATATTTCCTAGATATTCTATCCCTCAGAGAGTCGCTTCGACAAATAGATTGGAGGAAATAAGACATCAGGAAAGGTTAGAGCAGGTGAATTTTGAAACAGAAGTAGCGTTGCGTAAGCTTCAGGAACAATGTCGTAAAAAGGAGGAACATGCTGAATTGAAGTATCAAGCACTTTTAACAGTTCGTGATCGCAATATGTTGCAGCAAAGGTAACCATAATGCAAATATAACTTGTTGGTATTTTATAAATGAAACTCATTACTCATGTAAGTTACATATAAATCACTCGTAGCAATTTGCGCGATTTAAGACAACAGAGAGTACAAGCAATGCATCGACAACTGGAAGAGGGTTTTGCTAAATGGCAGATGCAAGTATTGCAATTGCAGCGACAAGCCGTAGAAAGAGCAATGTTTAAGGCTGTCAAGGAAAAATTAGGAAGAAAGGAAAGAGTAGCAATGGAGAATAAATCTAGATTGGAACACCATAACGAAATAATGAAAAAGTAAATAAAACATATGACAAAAAATAATAAAAATAATATTGTACAATTAATTTCTGGTCTTTCAGAGTGATGGATATGGAAAGAGCTAAAACGCAATGTTTGAAGGAAGCAACGAGAAGAAAAGAGGCAAAAATGGGAAGATTGAGACGTGAGAGAGAGAATTCTCTGAGAGAGTCAAGAACGCAAGCACAGACTTCAGCAAGTTTACGAGAACATGTTAGGTAAGATACATAATTTTTCTATGACATTAAAATCTACAACCCAAATCATGTAAAAATCTCAAAAACCGTAACTCTATAATTTACAGAAGAACTTTATCGCCAGAAAATTTTGATAGAAAAGTAGCAAGAACTGCTCTAATAACAAGACACGTTAGACCATCAACATCTAGTCCAACAATGACTAGATCTCACATATTACTCGGTTAAAATAATCTAAATTTACTTTTAAAAAATGTGATAAAAATTAACTTACATTGGTAAAATAATAAATATCAATCTTGCCTCGTCTTAGTTGACTTTCTCTAACCAAAAGTACATCTCATGAGAATTGTCCTTGCAGAGTCTTAAAAAGAATTTATTAAATATTAATCATAAGTAATGTACAAGATATTTATAGCGTGCTGATTACAGTTATCGTTACATCAAGATCCAGTTGCGTAAGGAGAACGCGCAGCGCTCGGTCTTTTAATCGCGATTACGAAGAGAATCTAATATTGTGAAAGGTATAAAGTTTTCTTTTGATTTGCTGTGTAGCACAGTGTATGCAGCATGAATGAATAGCTAATAAGAAGGATGTCATCTTGAATGATTTAACATGGTCACGAAGATTATAGATAATGATAATGAAAATGGGGTAATGGCAATTATTAATGATGTTCTCATAATCAATCGCAAACTATGCACTCTACGCTGCATATTTACTTAAACGATCTCGTTGCGCTTCAAACGAATCTTGCATCTTTGTATTTTCGCACGATTTTCATGACATTTGCAATATTTATAAACTCACAATACGTGTACCGGCACAGCTGAATACCTAAAATAAAAATAATAATATATAATTATATTGTATATATGTATACACTTTAACATTTTTTCACGTACCATCTCGATACCATCTTTGGAATTCAATTTTGATTTCGAGATCCTCCACGTCCCTTAGGACAATAAACACATCTTCCTGAGCTCACTCTCATCCGGTTCATTCAGATCAAAATCTGCTGGTGATATTGCATTCCCATTTGGGTTCTGTTCGGTTGGTAAAGTAGGTAAATAATCTTCTTCAGAGAGACCATCACGTTGGTAGAAAAGTATATAAGCCGTTGTAGAAGTTTCTTTTGCAACGGTCTCTGGATTTGACTCTCGACAGCTACTATCGTTGTAATAATACCATTGGCCACCGTCAGGATTTTTTGCATAACTCACATAATGACCTCCACCCATGATCCCACTGTGGCACTATATTAATTTAAAATATTTATTAAGGGAAAGAAGATATGGATATGTTGAGTACACAAAAGAAGTAAGCATTTTACCACAACTGCGTAGAGATGATACGTCAATTCCTGAGCATCTGTTTTCATCCTGTGATGATTCAATCGACGATGATGCTCAGGATCAGCAAGATATGTAGATGGATCGAAATTCTTTAGAGGGAATTGCACTGCTTTCTGCGACTTTACCCATCTTCCACGAACGCATTGAAATCGTTTGAGGTGAACGACTAGTACTGGTGGTAATCGCCATAGTTGTAGACGCTTGGTAGCCATTCTGGGTTTAGCGCATTTAGTGCACTGATAACGATCTAAACGTTCCTCCCTAGTGAAGGCCTCCAAGCAAGAAGACAGAGACAAGGGCGCGTTCTCTGCATTTCTCGCCTTTATTGCACTTTCGTGTTCCTCGGAACTGAGCTCAGTTGCGGTTTGGTATCGTAGATGCAAAGCTGTGGGATCCCAATCTATCGCCAGGTGTGTGAGTGGTCCTGAGGATCCTTCGCTATTTAATGATGTCCTATCCAGAATCATTTGTTCACCGTCACAACGTATTCTGCAGCCCCTGCAAAACCTGTACCAAGGACACCAGGCACAAACCTTGCCCTCGCGATCGACGGCGCGTAGGACAAATGGAAACTCGTAACCGAGACTGTCATCGCTGTAAAATAGAAAAAAAAAGTAAATTCACTGACCTTCAACCTGTGATAGATGAAAAAGAAAATATCCTAAACAAAAAATATCTTGTGCAATATCATATCTCTTCATATTTAGAGTTCTACCTGCTGCGAAGCTAACTATTTTAAATAAAAATGAAGGAAATCATTCGTACAGTAATATGATAATAAATTTCTGATAAATTCAAGGTTAGTATAAGTCTGTTGAATAATTCACCAAGTTGCATTAATGAGTGCAGTTATATTTTTAAAACAATAACTGATTCATAAATATTTTAAGTGGAAACACAAACCAATCTTGAGCATGATTCGGCGACGCTGCCGTTTCCGTGGGTGGTAAGGGCGTTACCAATCTGGCAATTTGTCTCCATACACTTTTGTACAGTTCTTGATGTGTTGTACCTTCACCACATGGTACAACTACTGGCACTCCAAAGAGGCTGGGTCGCGTTTTTTGTGAGCTTACAAAATAAGGATCTTGGCGCATCTAAAAAAAATAAGATGGATTTTACTCACATACAGCAGGTGATAGACTGTACTTAGCGTTTCTTGTACCATTTTTCGATGAACTGCTACAAGGTAGCTAAAACCATTCACTAAGGAATTGTTTGAACTGCTATCCGTACTCTCGTTGACATATTCTTTAGTCTCTGAGGATGATATCGAAGGCACCGAAGGAGCTGCGCCAGTCAATGGTGATACTGAAGATACAGAAGCTGGCGGTGGAGATTCGGATCTTTGAATAGCTTTAAAACTTCGACGTTCTTCTGATATTTCATTAGCAGCACGACGTCGAGATAAAGATGGCGAATAAATAGCTGGCATTTCATACGCATATAATTTAGTAGCAGACTTTGGTTCCTAAAATTAAGTTTGACCTTTAATTTCTTTCATCGCATAGGATATCCTTTGAGTACGTACTTGGACAGTTGCCCAATCCGGTGGAAAGCAGTCGATGTTATTTGCGGCGACTTCAGCAAGCAATAGTTGAGCCGCTGGAATGTCGCAAAGTTTACTCAGTTCATTTTTTAATGTAACGTAATCTGCATCAGTTGCTACTAGAAGGCCATAACGCACAGGAATACTTCCGTCGAGTCGCGATACTAGAAGTTCGCGACGTACTAAACCTTCTATCGGAAGAGGAAGTGTCAAATACGTAAACGGATCAAATCTGTGAAAAAATGAAGATTAAAATAATAAAAAGTGTTAACTTTAATCAAATTTGGAAAGATGAGTATTTCCTCATATACATCAAATATATACAAACCTTACGGACTCCCATTGACAGTCCTCACACCGCACAGTAGACTTGAGTTGTCCATGAAAGAGATCTACGATGATGGATTGGTTACGTAACAAATGATTATCCCAAGCTTCACGAGCGACCTGAGCATCCTCCCTTCCTTCGGAATCAGCTAATTCAACGTAGGGAGCATCTCGTACCCTGTTCAGATCCTCGTGAAGTCCATCTAGAAGAAACGCTAGAAGCTCTTGAGAATCATGCTGCTGAAATCCTCCAAACCTCGGGGCATACTTAGCAATGGTCCATCTTAATTTAAGTGGAGCGACACTGCGTGCAGAACCGCTCCATATATCACGAAGAAGCTCGGCGTATCGCACTGCCATGTGTCCCCGGGTACCCAGAGGATTATTAGGATTCAATTCTTGCATGTGAGCACCAGACATGAAGTAACGAGTCAAAGGACCTGTATTACTTGCGCACTGAAGAGCCGCATTCATGAAACATGTGTTACCCAGGTTATTCAATCCTGTGGCCCCTCGTTCACATTTGCCAGCTTCGTCCTTACTCGTTTCTCTTAAGCGACCAAGTTCCTCCGGCCACGTTTGATCTTTATTTCGTACCTCCACGAGCAATTGGCTATCGTCTTGTAATCCTAATTCTTCTAAAGTAATTTGTTCGTCCTCTAACAAAGTCATTCCTGATCCTAATGTGGTGGACTCCCTGACATGCCACAGCCTAACATCATCATTCCTTAAATGCAGTCGGTTACAGAGGAACTGATAGACTTGTCCAGATGTAGCCATTCTGCTAAAAGCTGCGACATATGCGAGCTGTCTTTTGTAACAACCGGCTGAAGAGGACATTGGTAACCAGGATCCGACACCGTTCAGGGGCAATGATAGAGATTGTTGTTGTTGCTGTGATCCCACAGATCGATGCATGAGCAACCGCAGAACCAATGGATATAATTCTAGTTCTACTTGGGATCCAGTAGCAGGTAAAATGACTTGCCTAGGTAAAGCTGGCGAACCTCCGTGCCATTGCACAAGTGCTTTCCACAGAGCATCTGGGAGTAAATGAAAGTCCCTTCCTTGCGTGAGAACTAAACCACGCTTGAGACGACCACCTTCACCAGTGAGTGCAGGTACCCGAAATCTGGTTGCTTCGATCAGACCAGTATTATCAATAGGACCTAGTACAGTCACTTCAGATCCAAGATCTAGGGGAGCAGGATCCAAGTGACAAAAAAGTCGCCACTGGTTCCACCAGGAATTAGCAACTAGGTACCAGAATTGTCCCACTCTAAGTCCTCTGCGTTCTTCCCTAGCAAGCCATCCAGTTACAATTTCGCCTTCTTCGCGTCGACCTATGGGCCTTAAGCCGAGTACAACATGGCAAAGTTGATCCAGGAGTCGGAGAAATGCAAGAGGAAGTTCCCTGTCGGTTGTCCACACCAACCACTCTTCCATCGTAAGCGGATGTTTTGGTAACTCTTCGACTTCTTCCTTGGCTTCCTTAGCCTCTATTTCATCATCCCGGATCAACGATAGAACCTCCATTGCATGTTTGAGCTCTAGTTCATTGAGAATACCATCACGGTCTCCATCGAATATCTTGAAACAAACTATATTAAGATTCGTTAATCAGATTTAAATGAAAGGATCATTCATGTTAATCCTTTATATGATTATTCTGAAGTGTAATGTCAAAAGCGGATACACACACTTCATTCGTTCGACGAGTGGTCCACGGCAGGCTGCTGATATACCGCAAGCCATCTCTTTGAAATCTATGTGATTGTCACGATTCTCATCGAATGCTGCTACCAAACCCGGGCATACACTTAGAGGCATAGGTGGTGAAATCATTGGTACAAGGGTTTCAAGATCTAAACGTCCAGTGCCTGATTGACCCTTGAGCATCCAGTAATGTTTTTCCAATTCAATGATGTCTGCCTCTTCCACTATTAATGATAGATATGATAACAATTCTATTGTTACTTTTCTGTATATATGAGACAATATGGTTACATACAATGTGTGACACCAGCAAGGCTCTGGAAGAATGTAGGGGTTTCCAGATCATTGCCAAGAGATAATACTGTTAGTGGAGCTAAGAGCCAGCACGATAAAGGAGTTGCATCAATATTTTTCAACTGCCATTCTTTCCATTGTTCGTAACCAGCATCAACTTTTTCCTTTTCCTTTGATAACTCTTCTGTCTCCTCTTTTGGAAAATGAGGTCCATTTCCATTTGCAAGATATAAATCGTACAAGACTAAAAGTTAAAAGATAAAAATTACTAAATACCATTTTTATTTAACTGATAAGAGCAAATCCCATAACAAAGACCCATTACGTACAACGAAGTTTTTCTTCTTGCTTTCCACGCGTCAATAGAATTAATCCACACAAAAGTTCTTTGAATCCTATTCCTCTTGATGTACCACCGCATGCACTATATATATACTGAAATTAAAAAATAATTATTTTGAAATTCACTACATAAAAAGTTTCTATTATTGCATTAAATGATATTATTTTACATTATCAGGCTGTATCTCATAAGTGCATGTTCAGTCTACCTATTATTAAATGATGTCATTTTTTTGGATGTGCATGTTCAGTCTACCTATTATTAAATGATGTCATTTTTTTGGAGCAAGTCGTTAATGGAAATATTAAGAATAATATCTTTAATAATAAATACACAGCACACAAACCTCTGCTATTTGGGTAGGAACACAGTCTCCAAGTACATCTTGTACAAAAACGTTACAATTAATAACGCCATTCACACTAGTCCTTTTAAACGCTTCCCTAAGTCTTCTTAATTCGGATTCAGTAACTGTCAAGAAAACATAAAGGAAATCAAAAGGTATTGAGCGAAGGTTATATGATTACGTGGTTATAATTACCCCGTTTGACAGCATCCTCGTAAGAGATGCTCAGAGTTTTCGACTCCTTGCCACCCATGTTACAAAATTACAACGTAGTCATATTTGACAGCACCGTCAAATTGAATTTATTTATTTGCTACACGTTGAACATATCACTCTTTCCACTCGGCCATTCCTGATTTGCTTTGACTTCAAAGTAACTCGGTCATGTGCAGCTCTAAACTGGACTTGCGTTAGATTTCCCCCAACATGAAACATAAATCTGTATGCACTCGAGGCTGAGGACACTGTGGTGAACGTTGCACTGTCTACCTTTCTGATAAACACTGTTGAATAGCATCGCTATCTTATCGACAAATTGGATATTTTGTCCAGTTCCTGGATGAATCCTTTTAATTTGAAAGCATACAGATACGTACTTAATTAAATATCTGCTCTTAAAAATAATAAGCGATATCTTTTGACTTTCTAAAATTTCTGCAACAAAGTTGAAATTTGAAACTTGAATTGATATATTTTGTTGTAATTGATGTTTCCTGTTATTTCATTAACATCCATTAGAGATTGTCTAGTATAAATAAAGAATATCTGCGAAAACTAATTAAAAGCTTTTTGACAATGTATCTGTGCTACGTAATAGTAGAATTATTATAATTCTATTTTGCAACTTCGTTGTATAATAAAATTAATGAAGTTCTACGAACTGCAACGGCGCGATTAAATTGAAAATTTCTACCAACATTAATAATTATGTCGTTAGTAACATCCCTAGTATGTATCTTATAATTATTTATCCTTTTTATTAATAATGGAAATGATAATTTTTAAAGCAGTTGATTATATATATTTGTAGAGTTGTACAATTATTATATTACTTCTACAGTTCTGGTTTATTTATTATACATGAAAAGTCGTAGTAAAGTTTAAACTTAGGGAATTTTTGAGAATTTATAATCCTCTGTAACTTGTGAGCTTTCCGCAAGGGGAAACAAATACCATCAGCTGATTTTCTTTGTTATCAGCTGTAGATGCAATTATTGTTTGTTTTGCTGTTACTCGTGAACTGTATTAAATTTTAGGAAATTATTGGGATACTGCAAATTTTCATTGTCACAGAGAAAGCTGTGTTAATAAAATAGCCCACTTAATTGTGGAGAATGGCCACTACTACAGAATTTGGTCCTGACTCCGGTGGGCGAGTAAAGGTATACATAACCTTAAAATTGGTGTGCTGTTCTACAGACAATATTTAAAAAATATTTGTTATTAAAATTTGTAGGGCGTCACTATAGTTAAACCAATAATTTATGGAAATATGGCACGTTATTTTGGAAAAAAACGTGAGGAGGATGGTCATACACATCAATGGACAGTTTATGTTAAACCGTATCATAATGAAGATATGTCGACTTATGTCAAAAAAGTTCATTTTAAACTTCATGAAAGCTATAATAATCCAAACAGAATTGTCACTAAACCACCGTATGAGTTGACTGAGACGGGCTGGGGAGAATTTGAAATTGTTATCAAAATTTATTTTCATGATCCCAACGAGAGACCCGTTAGTTTACTTGTTTATAATGATTGTCAAAGAAGTACACTTACAATAATTTATGTAATAATATTTTCATAGGTAACCATTTATCACATTCTGAAATTATTTCAATCAACACCAGAAATTCAGCTAGGAAAGAAAAGTCTAGTATCTGAATTCTATGAGGAAATTGTTTTCCAAGATCCAACTGCTTTTATGCAGCATTTATTGAGCTCCACAAGACCGATTACTCTGGGTGCTTGGAGACACGATACTGACTGTAAGTGTAAACGGATACTGTTGTATTTAAGAATAATGTTTACAGATACACAATTTTCAGTTGAGGCAAAGAAGGAATCTTCTCTAAAATCTATAGTGGAGGCTAGAAATAGGATACGAACAGAAGTAATAGACCTCAAAGAGAAATTAACACTTGCTAAAGAAACTATTGCAAAGTTTAAGGAAGAGATTGCTAAGATTTCAAAAGTTGGTGGTAGTATGTCCGTTACATAAGGAAACTGACTTTTACTTCTGGTTATGGAAATTAATGAAAAGATGTATATGTATATCTGTAAATAAGTTTTTTTTTTACCATGTAATAACAGTAAGAGTGCAAGAAAAAATGGAGCATTGATATTGGCATGTATAACAAATGTAAAACTCATTTGTAGTAATACTTCCACTATTTTTAATAAATACTCCTACGATTGATCGATAATTCAGTTTTACTATCTCTATTAATAACACTGCACTGAGATCGTATTTGATTTCACAAATAATACTTTGAAGCAAAGTCTTTTATCACATAATTGAAGAGTCAACATAGTTGATAAGTAAATACTGATCATTCTGGTATACCCTACAGTAGTTATATTTAAGCTGTCGAATACATTTGCAACATTTTTTGTATACTCTATTCAAACACCACAATCCTACACGTATAACGCGTTTCTACTAAAATTCTGATATTCGTTCTTACGATACAAGATTTTTAAAAGTTTTTCTTAAGAAGATCGTATCGAAGACGAGGTTAGAAACGTCAAAGGTCTATATTGCAAAAGTGTGAATAGTGTCATCATTCAAAGGAAACGCATTTTCAAAATGACAGAAGTGGAGAAAGCAACCGGAAAAAGGGCGTGAGTATTTTATTAATTTGAAAAAGCTGTAATTCGATCATTAAATTATAAGTTGTCTCAAACATTTTTATTTCACACTATTGAGTAACTTTGTGCAAATTTTTATGTGAGTTATGTAACACGTGACGTTCTTTTTATGGCGTGACTGATATATTAAAATATTTTATAGAAAACTACTCATACCAGAATGTCTGTATACAATTATTATTCGTATTCTTCACTCAACAATGATCATGTATTTTAAAAGAAGTGAAGTCACTGGATAACATTCGCATTGGACAGTGTACATACAATATTAAATCTGTAAGCTATACTTAATTTGAATGAATGCATTTGAAATGTAATATGCTTTGACAACTACAAAAAAGCCTGCAAATTTTGGCGATATCGGCTCACTGTTTTATATTGTGCCAAACTTATTTATGTAATAATATTATGTTACGGATTTTTATTTTGACGAATCTATTTAAATGCTCTAACAATAAGTTAACGCATTATTATTCTATTATTGCAATAATTTATATTGAAATGATTAACCGTGTGTTTCTTAAACGCTTCTTTTCGTATGTTCATCGATTTTTCATACATACTAACAGTTAGCTATAAATAAATTCCTTCTTATACTACATTGACGTACATTTTTATAAATAAAAATTCCACATTTTTTAAAATTCATTAACTTCCTATTGCAATAAAAGTTATGTACACTAATATACGAAAAGTACAGAAAGTGCTCAACTTTTGTGAGAGTATACTGAGGAACACTTAAGTACGCTGCTACATCAGGCGGTTTTCGTATCTCGATATGAAATACGTTTGTAATGGAACAGTTATCACTATTGCGGAATGTTTAGTAATTCAAACATACATAAATTACTGATAAATATCATGAAACAATCAGGAGAGTAAGATACGCACAACTTTAGAGTTTACCAACATTTCTTGGAAAGATTGGTTCCTTCATATTTACGATAAACTTATCAGCTTAAGCATTTGCAAATAAAATTGCAAATCATGTATGTATGTTTTTGGCTATTCCTCTTCTACAAGAATAGATTTTCTAGACCAGGCGTAGAGTTTGGAATTGGAGCTTTAGCCGCTGTTGGTGCGGGTTTTTTCACGAATCCAGTGGACGTTGTAAAAAGTCGTTTACAGCTTCAAGGAGAACTAGAAGCTAGAGGTTCTTACAAAAGAATTTACAAGAACACAATTCATGCTGCATATATTCTAGCAAAGCACGAAGGTATATTGGCACTTCAAGCTGGAATCGTTCCTGCCTTAGGTTTTCAGGTATACATATTTCATAACGAAAGCATACTCGTATTGTATGCATAAAATGTTAATACTATTTCAAGGTCGTCCTGAATGGCATTCGACTAGGTGTCTATAACATAGCACTGAATCATGGTATCATGCTTAATGAGCATGGAAATATGAGTATACCAAAGACCATACTGCTTACTGGTACTGCTGGTGCCTTTGCTTCAGTTGTTGGAAGTCCATTATATATGGTAATTTGCGTTGAGTATTTAATTTTACATATGACGATTGTAATACATAAACAATTTTTATACAATGGCAAATTTGTAGCTAAAGACACAGATGCAGACGCAATCAGCTGCTCAATCTATTGCTGTTGGTTATCAGCACCAACATACTGGAACATGGTCAGCCTTTAAGCATTTATGGAAGGAAGGTGGTATAGCTAGTCTTTATCGTGGGTGGTACGCTAACATCCCAAGACTCTTTCTTGGTTCATCAACACAATTGACTACATTTACTATAGCGAGAAACTGGCTTCAATCACATGATGTACGTGATTGATTGAGTTAATATTTTTTCAATTTTCTCTATCTTCTCTTTACTTTTAGATTTGCAATGATCGACCAATCCTTTTAACCTTTTTGGCAGCATCGTTAGGAGGAAGTTGCGTAGCACTCACAATGCAACCCTTTGATGTTTTAGCTACTAGATTGTACAATCAAGGTAGAACACTCTATTAAAAACTTAAATTCTTTCGTTTTACACAATTTATTCGATCGATGAAGTCACTTCATTCCGTCAAATTTTTTAGGTGTTGATAAAACTGGCAAAGGTCAACTCTATAATGGTTTATTGGATGCGTTAATAAAAATCTCAAAGAAAGAAGGCTTCTTTGGTCTTTATAAAGGTGTGTTTCCTACATGGATGAGAATAGCACCACACACGGTATTGTGTCTGGTATTTTATGAACAAATTAACGGCTTTTACGTAAAATTAATAACATAAGCCATTCCAGGTAATAGGTATATTTAATTGTATATTCTTAGAAAAATTCTCTTACCTGTTCCTGTATACATAAAATATTTTTTGATAGTTATCAAATAACATCGCATGGTAATAAAGTTGCTTATACTATTGACTGTTCTATGTTCGTTTAGAGAACATAGTACTGTAAAATAGTATTTATACATTTGACAATATACCCCAGACAGTTATGCAACATTGCATGCACTGAGTCGTGTTAAACAACAATGAAAAATCCAGCAAAGAATTATACGTGTACAAATTGTTGAAACTATTGTTACTTTGAAAAGTACAAATATACTGTTATGTAACTTCTTGAATTATTTTCATATTTTATTTTAAAAAATTTGTACACAAAATATTGCACAGTTTGAAGTACATATATTACGTACTTTTAATCATGATGATTCTGTAGGTGATCTTGATTCTTATCATAATATATTTTTACTTATTAAGTACAGATGACGATCTCCAAGTAGAAATTATTTTCTCAAAAGCAAATATTGCTCAAACTCTGTTTCTCTTAGTAACATTTTGTAGGCTTCGTCAATGATAGAAAATCATTAGTGAACATCTTATATGTGATTGGGATCGTTTGGTTGAGATTTGAAACCTCTTGTCATGGTAGCTGCAATATCTATAGTATTTCTGCCACGTGTCTCTGGCAGATAGCGTCTGAAAAAGAACATGAATCTTTGTATAAATAGTTATAGTAAAATATTAAAGATAAAGGAAGCATTACGGAAAAAATCTGTTAAATAATTGTGGTGGTAAGTTTAATGTCATATACCTGCTGAACAGAGCTAGAAGTAATATGCACGCGGTATACGCAAGAAAGCTGTATGGCCCCACAGCACGTTGTAAAGATGGGAATGTCATAGCTACCAAAAAATTGCCTCCCCAATTAGACACACTTCCTAGAGCCATAGCTACAGGCCTTGGGCCCACATCAAAGAGTTCTGAACCAATGAAATATGGAATAGGCCCTAGCCCTAGACCATAGAAAAGTACGTAGGCTAATATCGCAACAATACAAATCCATGGCATGATTGGAGATGAATTCTGCAAGAATATCAAACAAAATTAGTTTGAGTTACGCCAAAAAAGATTAATCTTCTATAGTTTTTATAAGAATATAATAATTCCACTTACGATATTTATAATGGAAATACATAGTACAATAAGGCAGGCCATACTGGTATAGCAACTATTCAACAATAAGGTCCTTCTGCCAAACAGAGTCATGAATGGTACAGATATTAAAGCCATGCCTATATTGATTATTCCTGTCCCAAGAGTAGCATATTGAGATTCTTTTAAGTTTAAACCTGCTTCCATAAAGATGGAACTAGAGTAAAAAAATACTGCATTAATGCCACTCAATTGTTGTCCACATTGCAGTGCACAAACGAGTATAAGTGAAAGACGTAATGAAGGTTCTCGTATAACTCTGCTTATCGTCCAATTGTCTGTTGAAGAACTTGCAGTAGATTCTTGCCGAAGGAGGGTCACTTCATTCAGCAAATGATTCAAATTTACTCCTCGCAATCTAGTTAATTCTGAAGAGTAATAATTCTTATTAGATTGAATTGAGTGAAAGTATTAAATACTACAGAAAACCTTGTCAAAAACTCACCTTTTAGAGCTCGTTGTTCGTATCCTTTGACAACAAATAAAAATTTGGGACTTTCTGGCAAGATAAAAGTAACTAAGACTGCCAATATACACAGAGGTGCAAAAGAAGCAAGCATTACATGCCAGTAATTTTCAGTTCCTAATACACTATCGAGTCCAGCTATTTGTGCGAGTAATACACCACAAGTTATTCCCAGTTGGCAAAGTACACCAACTGCTCCTCGAAGATTTAATGGTGCTACTTCGGTCATATACATTGGTAGTAAACTAGTAGCTAGTCCTCCAGAGAGACCTAATAATTAAATGTAAAAGTTTAATTATTAATTATTAATCATTAAATACTTTAATGTTATTATGCGATAGTATAATTTTGGCTACAAACCTACTACAAGTCTACCAAGCATTAAAAGTTCTATAGAATCGAAAGGTTTCGATGCCAGAAATAGGACAGCACCAATAATGCCACATACATTTCCAATTCCTAGTGCTCCTCGTCGTCCCAATTTATCAGCTACCGAGCTTGCTGTTAAGGATCCACTAACTCCACCAATTAGAAATATCGATACAATTGCAGCCCATACAATATGTAAACTATCATAAGAGATTTCTTCACCATAACGCCGTTGAATACTTGCATTGCAAAATGCTAGCATTATCTGCAATTATATTAAATGCTTAAGTTAATTTCTTTTAGAAATAGATAAATATTATTCTCATACTGACTTGAGCAGGATTGTTCATCACTCCAATGTTATATCCTGCTGGTACTGCAGAACCCAAGCAGCATGTTGCGCCTGCAAGGGCAAGCATTGGTGTCCATCTTCCAGTAATTATAGTTGAATTCTTGGCATTATTCTATAATAAACATAAATGCTAAAATTAGTTCTATCAGTGTATTTCTATTAACACAGTATTAACTTGTAGTATTAATAATATTATTTAAATACAAACAAGTAATACTTCTGACAGTATCAAAAATAACAGTACTGATATTTTTGTTAAACAGGACATCCAAATATTGCTACAGTGCACATATACCAATTTATCAATTGAATGAAATTATATTACATCCAACAAAATTAAGTTTGATTAATCGAGATCATTCTAGTTGACCATTGAGTTAACTGGACTCGGAGTAAAGAGTCCATATAAATCAACTGATACTATCAAACCTGAATTATTCCATACTGTTTGGAATGTATCAGTATAACAGAAATCTTAAGTTAACATTATTTCTATGATCTAAAACTACTATCTTAGGTATAAGATATTCTAAAAAATCTGCTGGTACTTTACCAAATACTCCTCTCAGTGATGGTGATAGAATAAATAAAATTAAGTTATGGTTTGAAAACTTTTTCCACTTAAAATTAAAGCACCAAAATCCAAAAAACCATCCAATGAGATGCTCGCAAAGACATCACGTGACTGGATCAGAAAATACATACAATGGAATACGAGATATTCTAATATGATAAAGTGCGGTATAACAACGTGAACATGGAAGAAAAGTCTTTTAGTCACATAAATTACCAAATACCTATAAGACTTACAGCACTCCTGGTTTCTCCAGGTAATATCGTAACTCCTGGACCCTCGAGACAGAGCGTCGTTGCATCTGCATCTAGAAAAATAAAATATGGAATAATGTAACCCACAATAAAGGTATGAACAAAAGTTGGTTCCAAACCTGCCAACATGATTTTTTAAATAAATTCGTCTTCGTGTGATTAAAGCGACAAGCTTATCTTTTACTTCATGCTAAATCTTTCTAGCATTCAATTAATCAGTTACGATACTTGCTTTTCTACAGCAAACCAAGTGCAACGTGGGTGACACACAGTGACACAGTTCAGTGAATATCGTTAGCCAATCACCAGTTGAATAAGTCAGATAGGTCAGAACATCCGTATTCAAAAAAGTAATCGTCAGGTTGGTAACTAGTATTAACTTTATACATGTAGATATTACGATTCCATATTTTTACAAAGGATGTAAAAATAATAAGGGGAATTGTTTTGTAATTAATTGGAATATCTTAAAACGATATGATATTGAAGCGTTATCATTATTATACATTGTTTACCGTTCGTCATTGATACGTTATGATAAACTTTATAAGAATTTTAATCAGCAATGCCATTCATATACGAGATAACGTATTTATCATAATTTTTTATTATTTACTTTAGTTTTTCACAATTTCTTGTTATTGTTACGTAGACTTATCAATGACCTTGTATTACGTATGACTATAATTATGTCATAGCAAGACCCCATAGTCATGTTAATGTGATAATTAGGGTTCATGTTCCATACTTATTATTTACCAAAAACATTTATTCGTAATTTCTAATAAACGCATTGCATTTTAATTTTTGCTTTTGACTATAATATGATTAACCCAGCAAACACAATACAGTCGAATCTCGCTAACTCGAAAACCTCTATATATATGTCTGAGATTTAGTCCGTTCCCGTGCAAAGACCTCCGTGATTCGAAGAATAAACAGAGAATAACTCGAAGTTTTTCGAACGTATTACTGTCCATTATTTTACCTCTGTAACTCAAGTTTAAAGAAACCCGACCTCTATAAGTCAAAGGCTACCTTTATAATTCAAAGTTTTAATACTCTGACCTCTACAAGTCGAAGCGATTTATGCAATGTCCTAAAATAATATATGTATGTCACAACCTGCACTCCCTAATTGCGCCTACAAGCTAATGCTTCTCATTAAAATGGATGGTTGATTCCGAGTCACAAGTTTTTTCTTTGAAATGACATTCAAAAAATGTTTAGAAAAACACGTTTCATTTTTTGGATACATATTGTACAAATTGTATTTATGTTGTATGTATTACACCTTAAATTAAAGATTATTTGAAACTCTCACTTTAATAAGTTATAAAGGCATGATGGATTATGTAGTGAAATAATGATTTAGGCAAAGAATATACAATTTTGATAAAAAATATCTTTATGTTTTTATATTTACACAACATAAAAAACATACCTTTGTCAATTTTTGCTTGTTTCATTTCTCACTTATTTTTTGTACCACTTATATAATGATTAGTGACAAATTATGTTTTAAATAATTATAAAATGTACTGTCCAATGATTCTAGTCCGACTGAAATTCTTGAATTGCTGTTCTGGATCTTTATTGGATTTACTTATCGTAACCTAGGCAGAACCGTAACGACTAGCAGCATTAAATATACATGAAGAGTATATCACTTATATTTCATTGTATACGTTTATGTAACATTAAATCATTGATTGCATATAGACGATGGAATACATTTAAAAACATTAACGAATTTAATATATGTCTATTATCTCAATTTATACAAGTTTCTTGCAAGGAAAGTTTAGTCGCTCAGGATACTGATTGTTAATTAGCTCCTTGGTAGTTCATCTGAGTCTCATTCCTCTTTTACAAATTGATAAAAGTCTTCTACCATATTCAAAAATTCACAATGTAAGTTATCAGAGTTATTTGTATTTTTGTGAATATGTTTATGGAACATGGAACTAATAATTTTGTGTGAGCAGGAAATCCGTCTTGAAGTAATCCAGTCGTTCGATAAAAATAGCAGTCCTTTATTGAGCGTAATATAATACAAGGTTTGATTACAAAGCTGATAACTAATAAGGCATAATAGCTAATTGCATCTTCTCGGGTGGCACGAATAATTTTTATTGTCTTCCTTCTTGTAAATCGAATAGAATGATCGATCGTGTCGCGCGGAAGAGACATGTGATCCGTGAGAGAATCTTAAGTAATTAATAGTGGAACAGTTAGGGTTAATTAATAGATTCCCTAGATTCTCTCATGGTTGCAATTACGTTATTATTTCTTATTCATGAGGAAATTCAAATGTGGTCATAGAACACGCAATTAGCTTCCTTAGGTACAGTCTTCCAGATCTGATAGGCCACCCTTAAGACCCCGACTCAAGGCACTCAGTAGTGGATATTTACCGCATCCACAGCGATTTCGAAAATCGTCAAGGTCTAAGGCCCAAACCATTCCTCCGCCAAGACCCAAGTCACGAATCAAACGAGCCTGAAATGATCATTTGGATTTTTACTAGAGATTAAAATCAAGCAAATATAAAGTGACTGATATGATCGGATCATGGAACTAATTTATCTACATCCCAGGGATATATATCATTATGTTGTCAAATAATATATCAACTTTAACCAATATTTTACCTTTTCTATTATACTGTTAATATCGTCGTAGCCAACCCATTGGTCTCCTCGTGTAGCGTAGGGACCAATTTTACGTTCTGGGTCCTTGGTTACTATCCAACCGTCGCTCTTAATCATTTTACAGATCTGTCAAGAAGCAAAAGAGAAACGTAGTTTAATGAGGACGTATAATTCTGTTGCTGATAAATGATATAGGTCTAATAAGAACCTCATAGTACGCTAGAAAACCAGCAGCCCTCGTGAATTCTCCTGCATTTCCTGGTCCAATAGCTGAGGCTTGTAATCCACTTTCATTGTAATCTGACAATGTAAATGTCTGACCATAAAATGGGACACCCATGACAATCTTGTGAGGTGGTGCACCCTTCTGTATCCAATAGTTGAGAGAAAAGTTAGCATTGAAGTAATCAAACTCGTCATTCGGATAATAATAGAGCGGTGTGACGTGGCCTGTTTTACGTTCCCAGTGACCATGGAAGTCATAGGTCATCACAGCAATCCAATCCAAATATTTTGCAAGGATTGGCACATCATAACCTTCATCCACTACTCGTTTATTGGGTGAACCTGCTGATGACAATAGTAATCCTCTATGCTTTAGGGCACTACTCAGTTCCTTGATCAGGGAACTAAAACCGTCTTTATCAGAGGCAGGTCCTCTCTTGCAATCAACCTGGAATAAAAATTGCAGGTAGATTAGTAAAATATTTAATGATATGTTAGAAATAAAACTGAAGGTTTTGTAAAGTACTAAATGTTTGTCATTACCTGCCAGCACACTGGGTACTGCCAGTTAAGGTCTAAGCCATCGAATTCATGTTTTTTCAGAAATTTCAATGCGTGAGCTACAAACTTTTTCCTTGCCAATGGCGAGTTAACTAAACGACTATACTTGTCTCCAGCTGAATCATTCCATCCTCCCACAGCAAGTAATACCTTTATACAAATACAATTTCGTTATACTACGTTGAATATCTGTTACAATTTGAATAAAAATATGAAATATATATATATAGTCTTGCTTTTCATCCTGTACCTTGATGCCCTTCTTTTTTAAAGCGACAACTCTGCTGTAAATATCATTATCGATATCTGCCCGTGTGTCATAAGGTTTAATTACAAGTTCTTTTGAGTCCAGCATAGCAAACCCATACACGATATGGGTACAATGTTCTGATGAAATATCTTCTGGTAGATATTTACCATCTCCAGGTCGATACCATGCCCAATTTGTAAAATAACAAACTAATTTTTTCGTTTCATGTGAATTTTGTTCTTCTATCTGTGGCTCAGTTAGTCTCACAGTTGAATTAAATGATTTCGTCGACTTCACAGGGTTTCCAGGACGTACAGGTTTTCTTGGTTTAAACGAATCACCCTGTAACAATTATTTTTTCATTACTTCTACAAGCAGGTGCAATCTAGTCATATTGAATTAAACATATTGATTAAATTTTACATACATCACCATCAATACGATTAGCGCAGTCTGAATTTTCAGGCCAGTCGCATCTGTCCTTGTTCCAATGCAATCCGCCAGGACATGTTTGCTCAGAAAGCTTTCCAAAATTGCAAAGGAAATACTTTGAACAGTCCTTATTATGAGGCATGAACATTCGACCTTGACAATCTCCAAGTGGTAGATCTGGCAAAATTGGTGCAGCAGCGTCAATTTCAATTGAGTCATTTGTATTTGATGAGGTAGATTCTGTTGTTTCTTCCGACGGGTAATAAGTTGTACTGGGAGTAGTTGGGTCTGAGATTGGTGCAGTTGTTGTAGTTGGTTTTGGACTTGGTGGAATCTCTATCCCAGATTCTGTTAATTATAAAAATTAAGAATACTTTCTTCTAATTGCTCGTTCTTATTATTACTTACCTGTTATTGGACATTTGGGTCCTGGAGGATAATCACGAAGGACTCTGTTCATAGTTTTAAGCAAAGGACTAGCTTCACAGCCACATCGATTCCGGAAGTCATCCAGGTCCAAGGCCCAAATCATTCCACCACCAAGACCAAGGTTTTTAATGAATTCAGCCTTTAGACGAATCTGCTCAGTATCATCGAAACTGACCCATTGGTCGCCTTTGTAGGCATAAGGCCCTATTCTTCGTAGAGGATCTTGTACTACAGTCCATCCTTGCTGCTGGACTCTTTCACAGATCTACGAATATATAATAATGAATGGATTATAGAATTCTTTTCATTTTCATTATAAATTAACCCCATAAGAAACTTCTGTTACCTCGTAATAAGAAAGGAAACCACGTGCCCTGGTTGCTTCACCTGCTTCTCCACCACCATAAGTTGGAGCATTAAGTCCCCTTTCGTTTCTATCTGCTAGAGAAAATGATTGTCCATAAAGCGGCGCACCCATCACAAGCTTCTTCGGTGGAGTTCCTTGATCCAGCCAGTAGTGAATGGAAAAGTTCTAAAAAGAAAATTGACAAAGTTTTATTTAAAACTAAAAGTTAATTTGCTTTTGACTCTTGCCACTTACAGCATTGAAGGTAGGTTCCCAATCTTCAGGATGTTCGTACAGAGGAGCAACGTGACCAGTTTTTTTATCCCACTGTCCATGATAATCGTATGTCATTACAGCAATCCAATCCAGATACTTAGCCAATGCGGGTACATCGTAGCCTTCACTGATAACTCGTTTACTTGGTGATACTGCAGATGACAACAGGAGCCCTTTTGGTTTAAAGATGGCGCTAAGTTCTTTAACCAAAGCACTAAATCCTTCTTTGTCAGAGGCTGGTCCCTTGTTGCAGTCGACCTGACAGAGGAATACTTTTTAGTTAATTACAATAATTTGTAAAAATATAGATATTGACTTTTCTGTCTACCTGCCAACAAACTGGATACTCCCAGTCAAGATCCAATCCGTCAAATCCATATTTCTCAATAAATTGTACAACATGTGTGATGAATCTTTGTCTAGCGGATGCTGAATTGACTAAACGGCTATACTTGTCACCTGCTGAATCATTCCAGCCGCCTATAGCCAGTAAGACTTTAATACCTTTTGCTTTCAAGGCCACGACTCTATCGTAGAATTCTGGATAAAGTAAATATATGCGTGAATGAATTCTTATCTATTAGAAATTTAATATTTATCTTTAACAATTACTTACTGTTATCGATATCAGCCCAAGGATCATGAGATTTTATTATGAGGTTGGTCGTATCAAGAACTGCGAAACCGTAAAGAACATGAGTGCAGAGGTCCGGGTCAATATCCTCAGGTAAGAAACGACCACCTTCTTGTCGGTACCAGGCCCAATTTGTAAAATAACAAATGACTTTGACATCGTCGTCTTTACCAGTAGCACTGATCGTGGGTGACATAGTCAGAGAAGACATTGTGTATGGTGAAGTTGGAGATTTCCATTCGAGCTCTTGACCAACCACTGGGGGTTTTATGGCTAAAAGGAAAAAGAAGAAGCACGACAGTGACAATCAATGAGCAACATTAGTGAAATACATAGATAACAGTATGATATTTACGTCTGTCGTGCTGATTAGGTGGTGCAGCAAGAACCTGCTGTAGAGTATGCATAAGAGGATGAGGCCCTTGACCACATCTGCCACGGAAGTCATCAAGATCCAATGCCCAAACCATGCCACCACCAAGCCCCATATCTCGTACATATTGGGCCTTTTGTCTTATCATATCAGCATTATCGAAACTGACCCATTGACTTCCTTTAAAAGCATATGGACCCATTCGTCGTTGAGGATCCTGGACCACTGTCCAGCCCCGGTTCTGGATTCTGTCGCAAATTTCATAATAGGCAAGGAAACCTGCAGCTCTTGTGAATTCCCCAGCATTTCCAGCACTTGCTGGAGCATTGAGACCTACACCAGCTTTTGGATCATTTATAGTAAATGCTTGTCCGTATAGTGGCATACCTGAAATAATTATTGTGTCATTGCTATAGTACTTTTATTCATTCGTTAAAAGTATTTAAATAGTCATATTTACCCATTACTATACTTCTAGGCGGTGCACCCTTAGATATCCAATAATTAATAGAGTAGTTTGCATTGAAGAAATAGTATTCGTCATCCGGATGATAATAGAGTGGTGCAACATGGCCGGTTCTCTTATCCCATTGACCGTGGAAATCGTATGTCATTACAGCAATCCAGTCAAGATACTTAGCCAACGCAGGAACATCGTATCCCTTATCAATGACTCTTTTACTAGGCGATACTGCAGCTGTTAAGAGTAAACCCTTAGGCTTTAATTTTCCGCTCAACTCCGCTAGTAGATTAGAGAAACCTTCTTTGTCAGAATCCGGTCCTTTCTTACAGTCCACCTGTTAATTATTATTAATTATAATTATACTATCTTATTTTATGATATTAACAAGCGAAGTGACACTTACTTGCCAACAGACTGGGTATTCCCAGTCAAGATCCAGACCATCGAATTCATATTTCTCAATAAATTGCAAAGCGTGTGATACAAATTTACTGCGACTTGATGGCGAATTAACTAATCGACTGTACTTGTCACCTTCTGAATCATTCCAACCTCCAAGAGCCAAAAGGACTTTGAGACCACGTTGCTTGTAGGCGACAACACGTTCGTAAAAACCTTTATAAGTAATTTAATATATAGTACAATTTATGGTGAAGTGCAATGCGTATTGTAATAAATTTTTATAAATTTTCTATTAACGTACGATTATCAAAATCAGCCCATGAATCATGAGCCTTGATAACGAGGTTCGAATAATCCAATACCGCAAATCCATAGACAATGTGTGTACACAATGTGTGGTCAATATTTTCTGGCAAATATCTTCCTAATCCTTTTCTGTACCATGCCCAATTTGTGAAGTAACATACAACCTGATAATGAAACAAATTTTCATAGTAATTAACCAAGATAGCATGAATTGTGACAGTAATGATGCTCATGAAATTTGATGTATAATAGTAACACCTTGAAGTGACCAGAAAGTGGAGAAACTTTATCAGGATCAACATCTACTGAAGGTATAACTGTGGTGCCAGATGTAGCTGGTTTTTGAGTCCAAGGTTTTGAGGTTGTGGTCGATCCAAAAACAGGTTTCACAGTAGAGCTTGGAACATAGATCTCATCAATGTCCTCTGAATTATCATCCTGACAGTTAGCACGTGACGGCCAGTCACATATGTGCGTATCTTTATTAAAGTGAAGACCTGGTGCACATTGGAAAATTTCATGACGACCCCATAAGCAAGCTCTGTAGCTTTCGCAATCACCAGGTACGCCAGTGTAGCTGCCTGGAGTACAAGACTGTAGAGACAAGCAAAAAAACTCATTAATAATAATTCTAAATTCTTCATTATCTTTCTTTCATCGTGATTACTTACTTCCTCCTCTAATTTTTGTGCTGCCAATGGTGCTTTCTTCCTATTTTTATCCTCCTTGCAAGGATGCTTGAAAGCCCAGTCGCACATTTTTTTATCTTTGTTCCAATTGAGTCCTGGACCACATTGTTGGGACACTAGATTTCCGTTTACACATATGAGAAAGTTTGTGCAGGAATTTGGAAACTCGTAGTACTGGCCATGTTCGCATTCGGGTTTTGTATCTGCTGGAGTTGGCGACGGATCCGTCTGTGGATTCCAGGACGGTACAGTGGTAGGTCGGGATGGTCTTGTTGGACGAGAAGGGCGAGTAGGTCGAGAAGGTATGGAAGACAACGGAGGGGAAGTTGGATTTTTTGATGTCAATTCCGTCTGCCAGTTTGTAGTCGAGCTCGCCGAGGTTGTCCTTCTTGGTGGCTTCCATGAACTAATTGTAGTTGGTGATGCTGTAAAACATCATACGAGTCGTATCAATAAATAAAAACATATCACAGATTACATGTGTCTGATAGATAAGATTTATCGTTAAAAACGAATTGTTCAGATCACGTAGGACACTACATAATTACTCGATTTTAAGAAGGCTCGTTACTCATTGTTTAATTAAACGATACCTTGATGAATTTCGAATCGTACAGCAGCAATTTCCCAGTTGATCTCAGCAAGAACGAGAACAAAGTAAAGAACGTAACGCATTCCGTCCCAGCGCGAGTTTCAAATAGAAATATCAGAGACGTGAGGATCGCATCGGTTACACAGTTAAACTAAAGGAGTTCTTGGTGTTTCGTAAACGTGTATGAAAAAAAAAAACAAGTCTTCAATGCCAAAGAACATTCAAGAGGATAGGGATGACTAACATAAGCAAAGGCAAAGGAATTCGTACAAGAGTGTTTGTAACAAGTTGCGTCTTACAGAAGTCATGGACACTTGCGAATTTAATTAACGACTGGTTTTTTAATACCCATTTGTTATTTATCTAAGAATATAAACAGCTTCCCTACAGAATTCATAGGTTTGCCTTACTCTATGCGCATTTCATTGCACAATGTAGCATCAACAGATACGACGATCTCTCCTACCGGTTTCACTTATGGTATTTACATGGTGACTTACGAGATTTATCAAGTGTGTAGTCTTGGATAAATATGACACGCGACAAACTTGATTATTTGATTATAAATTTCATTATCAGAATTATTCAATATTTTTTATCTTATTTACTGAACGATTTTAATTATCTTTATTAAAGCGAAGATACTTACCTACTTCGCATCGCGCTGCTGCTGGCCAGTCGCACAATCCACGATACATATCCCAGTGCAATCCCGGAGCACATTGTTCCTTCTTTAGTTCTCCAAGTACGCAGCGATAATAATTGCCACAGTTTTGTGGATCAGCTTTGTACTGGCCGATCTGACAAGACATACCTTGTGACACGGCATCAACTATTGTTGGAGTATTTATTGTTGTTGTTTTTTGTGTAGTAGTTTCCCTGTAATACCAAATTATTGTTAGAAACATTTAAATGAGATTGAGAAATTTCTTAAAGTCATAGATGCACACCATGATGTTGTCCAATGTGCAATTGTTGTACGTGGTGTAGTTGTAGAAGTTGGATGATTAGAAGTTTGACTAGGTTTTTCAGTCCAGGATGGCCATGTGGTTGTAGGTCTTGCAGTGGTACTAGGAAAGGGTGTAATGGGTGATGTTGGTTTAGGGTGTTCATTTGCGGCATCACTGTGTGTTGTTAAAGTTGGAGGTTGTGGTGTTACTGGTGTAGCTGGTCTTTCACACAAGTCACTTGCTGCTGGTTGACTCAATAGACGACCTATATATATTTGTTCAATTAAGGAATTGTGATATATGTATAGATTGCAGATGTTAATTTTTTTAAAACGCCGTACTAACCTAGAGCACGGTTCAAACTTCGAAGTAAAGGGAACGGTTCGAAGCAGCAATGATTCGTAAAATCATCTAGATCAACAGTCCAGGCAGCAACTCCGCCGAATCCATTGTTAAATATGTATTCACCTTTTTTGAAAATACTTTTTGGATCTTCAAAACCTACCCACTGGTCTTTGTAATGTGCATTTGGACCTGGTACAAAAGAATTACAGATTGAAATGACTTGAAGAATATAAAAAAAGTAATTGTTTTTGCAAGCTAAGGCCAATATTGATAATTCACCTGGTCCAAGTTGCCATCGTTGTTGTCTTAATCTGTCACAGATCTCGTAGTAGGCTAACATGCCAGGCTGTCTAGTAAATTCACCAGGCATTCCAGGACCTGCAGCAGGGTCACCCAGTCTGTACTGACTAGCTTCTGCCAATCTATAACTCTGTCCGTAGAATGGAACTCCGACAACTAATTTAGATCTTGCAGCTCCAAGACTTAGAAGATATTCCATAGTAAAATTCTGATGAAAAGACAGAAGACGTTTTACAGTAAAAATGTTTAATATCAATAAAAAAACCATTTCACAAATAACTTACCACATTATAATAAGGATTACTGTCTCCTGGTTGCGCGTAAAGAGGTGCGAGATGTCCCGTACTCCCTTCCCACGCACCATGGTAATCATAGGTCATGACTGATAGAAAATCAGCAGCGTATGATAATTCAGAAACTTCATATGCCCTGTCAATAACTTCCTTGTAACCGGAAATGGCTACTGCCAGTATCAATTTAGGTTCTTGTCGATCGAACTCATCCCTTAAGTCTTGAACCAATTTCGTGAAGTTTGGTTTATCTGATGCAGGTCCTTTTTTACAATCACTTTGCCAACAGTGAGGATAATTCCATTCAAGTGAGAGGCCATGGAAATTGTGTTTTTTTAGAAAACTGACAGTTGCTGCTACAAATTTCCGTCGTGAGCTCAAACTGCCAACTAGTCTTGAATACTTGTCACCCGAACTATCGGTCCAGCCACCAAGAGCGAGTAAAATTCTTGGTCCCTTTACCGATGTAATACGTTCATAAAGATCTGGAATAATTGAACAATTAATTTCCTATATTCAAACGTTCTAGAAATAGATTAGCAATCAATTGCCACTTACTATTTTCAATATCTGCCCATGGATCAAAGGGTTGTATCAAAAGTGTATCAGGATTGAGACCAGCGAATGCGTAGATTACGTCTGTGCACAATCGGGTATCTAAATGTTCTGGTACAAATTTTCCTTCGCCTTTTCTGTACAAAGCCCAGGAAGTGACATAGCAGACCACGCGTGGTGACTCTTCTTCCTTTATTTCCAACTGTTGCAGCTCACCCATTCGATACTGAGACCCCCTAGACTCTCCAGTTGATATACGAAGAGAATGACCTGGGTTACATATATCCGGTCTGGCTGTGACGCAACGGCCCTTTGAAGCATCAAAGAATCGACCAAGACCACAATTGCCTCTATACAAATGTCCTAAGAGCAATTGTTTAACATTAATACTGTAGATATATAATTTGACTTTTCTCTTCATCTTCATAAAAGAATAAGATCTCCTAAAGCAAGTCGTCTTCACCTTTAATGCATGATGAGAATCCTGAACAGCTATTTGGGTCACTGAAAAGTCCATCTTCGTAACAGCGTTCCTGAGGAACATCATCATAGTGTCCTAGTCCCCTGGTTGCTGCGTTTAATATTGGCCAGGCATCACCACATAATCCCTAAGACATTTAATTTTCTTCGTGCAGCATCATTCACGAAAAATTTCAACTTTATTATGACTACATAATCTATGCATAATCTACAATTTCAATGAAAACCAGTTCGGTAGCTAGAACGCATATCATGTCGGTTCTTATATGTTTTTTATTTTGCTGCATTGCTTACTTGAAAGTCATCTAAATCGACTGCCCAAAGAGAAACCCCGCCAAGACCGGCTGATCGAAGATAAGCCATTTTGATTTTAATTGATATCGGATCATCGAAACCTATCCATTGATCTCCACGTTTCAAATAGGCTCCCTCCTCGTCCCTTCCGGAAATCCACAGATCTTCCATTTTTTCACATATCTAAACGCACAAGATATTCATAAATAATATTTTCTTGAAATCCCAACATTAAAAAACTATAGTTCAAACAAACCTCATAATAAGCAAGCGTTCCACGGTGTCCAGTATAAGGGCCGCTCAATCCAGGTCCTAGAACCGGAGCCCCAACATTCGTGGCATTGCTAAACTTCAATGTATAGCTTTTCCCAAAAAGTGGTACGCCTACTATTATCTTCTGTGGCGGCACCCCAACTCTTGTCCATCTTTTTACAAACTGTGACACGAAGTCTAAAGGTGCTGGATGCTGAGCTACGTTCTCTCTCTCGTTCTCTGCTCGCCATGCTCGCAATATAAGCATATCAGTTAATCCGGCTATTTCAGGATCCACATGATCTTCAGGTCTCACTGCCAGTGCAAGTATCAATCCTTTACGTGAGAAGGAGTCACGTAATACACTCAAGAGGGATCCCAATTCTGAACTGGATGATCTTTCCCAATCAATTTCAACTCCATCAAAGTCGTGCAGTGTAACAAAGTCCAAAACTGACTGGACAAACTTGCGGGTAGCATGATTCTTTCGTAGATCATTATAGAGACGTCCATGGTCCGGAGAAACTATAGAGATCAGTACACGAAGTGCTGGGTCCTTTTTACGTAGACCTACTGCAGCTCTGAATCCACCTGATAAATAAAAATAATTATTTAACAGTTGAATATACACACATAATTACACGAGCAGCGTGTATACATTTATTAAAAATTCTCACCCTTGATTTCATCATATTCGGAATCCCTCGACATAACAACCAAATCGTGTGGATCTGTAAAATAATAAATTAAGCTTGCATGTTCCTTGGATACGAAAATTGTTTAAGCTTTAGCATCTAGTTTACCAAGAGTAGCAGCACTGTACACCAAATGCGTGCACTTATTATTTGGCAGGGCTTGAGGCAAAAGTCCAAAGGGTTCCATCCTATACGCAGCTTTGGCTTCCAAATGGCAAACAACATGTGGTGGATCTTCCGATCTACGAATTCCGGGTGAAGCAATCTGTTCAATCCAAATTGAATCATGATCGAGTCCCCCATAAAATGGTGCAACGCGATACTCAACAGCATCACGCAATGGAATTCTTTCACCTATCCTGCATACAATTAATCAATCTTTAGTCCCTTCAAATTGTATTAATTAACTGTTCCTCAAAAAATCTATCTTCTTACTCTTCTGGTATTGATTCCACAGCTTCGCGTAAAGGCAGATCGTGAAAACCGATCACACTCGGCACGGCTTCGACAGCGTCCCTGAGGGGTAGACTTTGGCTACCGTATTCATTGTTCTCATTAATCTCAATCAAAAAATCTGGACGCTTCTCGACTGAATCACGTTGAAAACTGGGCACGTTTTCTGGTGGAAGATGCTTTTGCTTCACTGGAAAAGGCTTCTGACGTGAAACGGTTGCTGTATGTGTAAGGGCGAGGATCGCGAGAACCAATGGAACCCCTAGAGACCACCCCATACCTGGAAATAATAAAAATACATACAATTATGGCGTATGGTATAATCATGACTTATTTGCATAATTATCTCCGTATCGTATGTTCTGGAATCTTTTTAATTTAAGACGTGCTAAGTAATGTATTATTTAACACTAATCGTACCATCGACGGGTCATTTGACCCTTTTCAAGCCAATAATAAATTTATAAAAAATTGTCGGTATGTTTAGTGTTAATGTATACCGGTGCCATCGCGAATACGAGTGCCGAAAGAACAATGGGGAATAATTTCTAAATGATTTTATACCTGAAATTCCATATAATGATACGCAGCGGAAATGAGTCAATCAATGATAATAATAACGTTTGCACCGACAATATATTTATCAAAGGCGCGGCTCTGTATTCTCTCGCATTAACCATCTCGAAAAATGGAGGATAAATACTTGTACTAGCGCCATTTAAAAAATAGACAGTCAGTCACTGTTGTTTTGTTAAAGGTAAATTTATTTTACCGGTTCATGGTATGCTAATAAGAATGTATGACTTTTAACGAGTCGCCACATACCAAATACCGCGTTATTCTTTTTCAAGAAATAAATTCAATTGATGAATCACGTTATTTACGAGTTTGACTCATTACATAGTTTTTGGGTTATATCTTATATATCGAATAACAATGTTTTATCATAAATTGACGCGTTGTCATTTTGAATTACTTTTCAATTACTAAAATACTCTTGTTACCGCTTAAAGCGATGTGCTGATAATTTTTATATTGTATATATACACGAGTTATGAATTCTTTTATATTTTGTAAACCACCCTAAGTCCTCACTTCTTTTTGTTCACACGTCACTATTTAAAATTTAGATAATTGACTGATATTTAAGAATATTCGTCTAATGAAATTCTATGTTATTCACACTTCGGTCAATGAACGTGAATTATCTTTGAATTATACAATATAATTTTTTCAATAAGAATAAACGTACTTATGTTATACTATAGTGACGCAACAAGTTGACGTTTGCTTTTCCCTTGAACAAAGAAACGTTAATTCACAATGCACTCGACTGCCCTAACGTGTTAAGTCCCATGGAGTGTAATGGGTCCGCCACAACTTTGATAACGGACAGAACTGACTGAAATGCAATACGTATGGGGGCCGAATAACGAGACTTAGCCTTGCGGAGAGCCTTGTCCAACCTCGAATGTCGTATTCCGGACGCGTATCGGGCCCATTTATACATGCGACCACTGCGCGTCCACCTCCTTTTTCACCACCATCGAGTTCCCATGGATCTGTGGGCCCATTTCCATAGCGAAGAGGGCTCGTGCCGAGTTCCTCTGCATTTATGATACTCTTGAGATTCAAATCTCTGACTATTCAGGGGTAACTTGCTGAAAGGGCTTCCATTTTTTCCATGAACATTTCCAATTTACTATCCCCCGTAGACTTTTTTTGCTCATTCCTTTTTTTCCTTGGGACTCTTCACTTTGACATCCCTTGAAGAACACCTTATAAAATATATGAAATATTAATATAAGGATAATATAACAAAATTATTGAACTCTTGAGCATATTTCATACTGTTTCATCAGCCTTACCTTATATTCGTATACTATCTTGATCTGAATGTATTTGGATTTCAGAAAACTAATAATAGATAAACGATATTAATGACTGTCATCATTTTCAGTGGTAAATAAAATACGAAATGAAAAGTCTGAATACGAGGACATCGACATCGTACAGCCATGTTCTCGACCTTCATAGAAACGAGTGCGACCTACAGTTGTCCATCATAAAATTCATAGTGCATTTTTATTTCTGCAGTAAAAAAAATTCACACGATCAGTTAGTCTATTGAATGGCTTATTGCACATAAATATATATTATGAACATCCTGGCAGATATACCCCAAGGTATCCAGCACAATCCTATAAGATACTTTGATAAATATACCACTTAGCCTTATGATTACACGGTTGGCATTGTGTACTCCCTTAGTGTAAACTAAATATCAATGCATACGTAAATCATAAACGAGTACAATGTCCACATAATTTTGACCCTGAAGCCACAAGACTACATATGATGGAATATATAATATGAAAAGACTTAATCTATTCTACCGTACACACCCTCTGTGTGCGTTAGTAGAAATTGCTTTAGTTTTAGTACCATTCAGTGTACATACCAACATATGTGCCTTCAATCACATGACAATGCACTCATACAAAGTCAATGGCGCACTACTCTCAAAATTCATAACGGGATCTCATTGTGTCGCGTTGTCGATTTCATAAGTGTCAGTCGACTCGTTAGAAAGACTTATCGTAATGCACCAGAGTACCTACATATGTATATCATAACGTTCGTATACTTTTCTCATCTTCATATGACTCAACCCCCATGCAATGAGTAACTCAAGAAAAAATCACGTGATAGTATATGATACATGTGGAGTTTCAATAACTAAATATAACTGTATGATAAGATAGAATTTTGCAACATTTAATTATATTCTGAGTAATAAAAAAAATACCAGTGTTAATTCTCTGAACGGCTAAACAATCTACAGGCATTGCTGTGCTGATCGTCGGGTTTGGTATGAATAATCCAGGAACGTTTGAGTGTATAGACGAAACGCCTCTTGCATAAATAAACGGCTGTACTTAGTGATAAAAAGAACCACGAACAATAGTACTGTGTGGAAAGAAGAAAAAGAAAGAATGAAGTTACAGAAAAACTCGGTGCCTTCGCTTAAACGCGAGAGACAGCGACTAATGCACTAAGCCATTGTCAGTTATTGTCGTAATATAGTTTCTTGAAGGAAATCTTGTAGAATTCCAAAAGACGTAAGATACTGGCTTGAATGATCGGCTTTAATTAGTTCGACGGCAACAAGGAGCAACTGGTTTAACACGACAGCGAAGGTCTTCTTCTTATCGGCGACAGATCGGTTCTTCTTACACGACAAAGTCATCGGTTCTGAGCCAACTCTTCATGCTTTAAGATACTCCTCCGTCACTTCGTGATGTACTGTAGTAGCGAATCATTAACCTGAAATTTTAATTAATAATTATCAATGTCACGTAAGACTGGATCTTGTTAAATATTGGTAGGACTTCTAGAAGATTTCGAAATATTTTGCAAAAATAAAGTTATACAATTACAATAACAATCTGTTTGGAAATTCTGTTTGTTCATGTTATTTGTAAACAGATGATCCCTTCACTCAGCACTTGGGAGACTTTAAAAAAATTGTCATATTTTACAGTTTAACGAAAGAGAATGTTACCTGTACCTAGTATGATAAATTTTTAGATATTTTTCTCATCGATGATACATCTTCTATACACGAGGGCTATGAGAGGCCATTGAAAACCACGCCACATCCTTCGACGCACACGCATCTTTCATGCGAAATGTGTTATTATCCGTGTAATTTATAAACAAAGGCCCCGAAGACTCGACTTAAAGTTCAGCACCAGCAGCAGTAGCAACAGCAGCAGCAGCCGCAGCAGCAACCACAAAGGCTGCATCGTCATGCAAAAGCAAAGGCAGCAACCTTGCACATCTCATAGTCTGGAACGTTGCCCGAAATGAATAGGAAAGCATATCTTATTAAAAATGCTCATTCCTTTGTCAATAAATAATACAAAGATCGAATAAAGAGAGATTGACATCATTGAACTGTAAAATAAATAAGGGTTGATACTTTTTTTATATACATTAATAATACTGCATTACAGCACGTCCGTTATGTACAGACAATAGATATAAATTTAAAAAAAAATCATTTATAGAATTTACTTTTGCTTAACCATCAAGATATTACGAATGCAATGCGCGATGCATTTCGTTGCAATGGGGCGAAACGAAGATATTCGGAATAGCAACGATTCGCCTTGAACTTGCAACCGGCCCAATCGGTCGGTCGGTAAACCGGTAAGGCCCAAACTCAAATCTGTATACTTATTATGAGACACGCACTCTTACCTATAATATTATACATGTAGACTACTACATCATTCAGCGAAAGGACTCATATATGTATACTTATATATTCACATAAATTTGATCTGAACTGTTTTTGCTTTCTAGAATGTGATATCATTTATTAAATCCAATAAATATCTCTTGAAGTTAGTAAAGTAACCATAGGACATTTCTATTTATGCCTTTCTTCAGGTCCTGGAAAAGAACAAAAATATTACCAGGATGAAAAGCTATGGAAACATTAATCACTGATGGAACTTCTATTATGATTTGAAATGATGTAAACCAATCGGATACTTATCAAATCATGCACTCGCATAGTAGTGAGTAGTCAGCCAAGTCTTGGAACAGTGATACGATCCGATCTGGTTTTTCGCCTTAATGAGTTCACTCATCACGGATCATGTTGAGGTGTCACAAACGTGTCACCGATTTTTTTTTCGTCAAGGATGTCCACGGTCATTGCCTTCTGAAAATATCATATTATTCCATGTTTGTATGTACTGCCACATTTAAATAAAAAGAACTGATTGAGTGCTTGATAATTGTTTCATTGCTTTTATTATACAGTCATCAAGCATTCGTGTTTATTTCAAAATTTATACTGTTTAGTTCTTTCATTCTCCTTAAGACCTTTTCTTTACCGTGTAAATAAAACTTCAACAAAAATCTTGAAAACAGGATTTTTGCATTTTGACATAATTTCTGCAATAATTGTCCCAAAACTGAAAGAGTATTCTGATATGAAGGTTTTCATTTTTTTTTGAAATCCACATAATTTACTTTGCTTTTTCAGTATTTGGCTAGATATTGCAGAAATTATGTCAAAATGATTATTGACCTTGCGAAATGTGCACTGAACTATGCTTCGAGGAAGAATCTCTTCGAGGAAGAATCTTAATGATCGATATTTATCATTAACCCAACACCTGAACTGTAAGGCTAAAAAAATTTGTTGTTTTCTTTGTTATCAAGTCTGTCATTCTTTCTTCTTAATGATCGATATTTATCATTAGTCCAAATAACACCTGAACTGTCAGGCTAAAAATATTTTTTATTTTCTTTGTTTTATGTCGACAATATTGGCTGTCATAATCAAATAAACCATACCTGTTAGGGAATTTCTGTGCTTCAACATTTCGTTAATGGATACCATGAAATGTAATCTTCGTTGCGCATATTCAGAACCGTTATCATTCATCGTAGTTCCGCGTTCAAAACAATTTCATTTTAGAATCGACCACGCCAATCTGTACAGTTAATGATTTATCCTGTTAACGATTCATAGAGAAGATTCATCCATTTCATCATGCCAATTTCGTATTGAATTACGAATTAAAATAAATACTATGAAAAGGCTGCACTTTTTAATGAAATTGCTTATCTGCTTTCAGATGGAAAAAATGATAGAAGAATAATATTTCACCTATTTGAATATTCAGGAGTAGAAGTGATGAAAATCAAGGAACTTCAAGCATGACCACAAGAAAGAAGACGTTATGATATAACAATATGATAATAAAGTATGACGATGACGTCAAAAGCTAAGAGAGATAGCTGTGTTTGTAAAAATAAAATATTTATTTAAAAAAATATCCTTGACTATCTTTATTAGATATATATTTTACGATCATTGATTATTAGTCATTAGTTAGTATCATAATGTGCATTCTTCAATGATATACTTCCTATATAATAAAAAAAATGGACATAAGTATATAAAAACCTTTTGAAGAATCTATCCATAAGTTAATTTTCTACAAATATCCATATATAGCTCAAGATTTCTTTTCCTCATTTCTCTGCTGTATTATCATTACTATATTGACTCCAGTAAACGATTTCGACAAAGTGTATTGGCCAGTTCAAGGCTCAATGGTTAGTGACCCTCCCAGTCATCCGGTAAATCCTCTTATTGTCCCGTCCAGCTTAGGATTTGGATCCCAGTATGCCTTTGACGTCCTTTTTGCGATAAACCGGCTTTAAAAAAAACCAGCCTGTCCATTAGGCGTATCTGTAGATGCTAATTTTTCTTAGCCAGCGAAAGGCTCTTGGCCGATACTCCCTTTCCTCTTTTTTATACAAATCGTGCAATTTTTCGTTAAACTTCACTCAGTTGCATATATTGCATATACCTTTCTTCGAGACGTAACATAGTGACGACATATCTGTAAGCAAGCATAAATGTAATCTGACATTTATTTGGTTTGTATAATCTTTTATATACACCCGAACGTTTTAGTTTTTCTACAACTATACATGATTACATGAGAGTTCTCACTAAATGTTATTATATTCACATAAGTGAAAACCTCTCGTTCGTATTCATATATTCAAATAGCAACATTAATTCCTGAATTAATTAAATCGATTCTGGTTTCAAGCACATTGTACATACGTTTTATGCAGTTCTCAGGAACAAAAGAAAAGAAAAGGAACCAATTCATTTTATAAATGAATAACAATCATAAAACATAATCGACTGCTGTCTGCAAAAGTTTCAATGAACCTAAAAGACAATAAACAAAGGGCAGCAAGTCATGAACATTATTATGGAATTATATAAATAGTCAAAAGAGAAAAGATTGTTATCGCAATACAACATGGTGCATTTTAACGACTCGCTAATAAAACTGTACCGAAAGACTTAACGAGTGAAAAGCAAAATTAAGAATAAGAGCAAATAAAATTTTCTTGCCGAGCGCATTCGGGAGGAGTTTCATTTTTTACGTCCGTCGACCCTTCGCCATTTCTCTCGAAACCCTTAAGTATTTTTTTTCTTTGCTCCCTAAAATACCCACGTTTCACCTTGAAAATATCTCGACGTAAAGTGTTGCAGCACGAGAAGGTATTATTATTGAGAATATAATAAGAATCTGTAAAAACTCGTTTACAGTATAGGTATATATATATACTAAACATTATACGTATCGCAATTAGTTTGTCATTAATATATAATATTAATTAGTACCTTTGTAACAGGCGCATCGCCCACCCTCTCTATAATGCACGCCAGAATAAATTCTACGAGCAATTGCTAAGAGGACGTATCCACTGAACTGACGCATCCAGAATTTTATAAGAAATCTGCGTAAGACAAACGTTCCCTTAGAAGACATCTGTCGTTTACATTCGAATGTTGCCGACAGGAATTAATCACCCTTGTAATATACGTTGGGTATAAAAGAATCGGTTCCGCGTACCTTAATACACTAGTACAACAGCTGATCTTGAGGATACATCTTCGGTAGCACTTGACATAATAAAAACTGAAGTAAGTAATTTTTGTACATATTATATACTTGCCATGACTCCGAGAGAAACGGACTTATGGGCTTTTACATTTATAAGAAGAAGATAGTCATATGAGTCGTATCGCGAGCAGGTACCTTTTGATATGTAATTTGATATTTCTAATTAATAATTTATCATTGTTCTTTACCTAGTACAGGATGAGGGTTGCTGCAGGTTGCACTATAGCTGTTGTTATTTTCATGGGAACAATTCTTAATATTCATGGATCGATCGAAGACACTCAGAGAAATTTTGTCTTGGCAAATTTTCCTTATGATCGAGGACTGGTAACTGTTAATATAATATTTATAACATCTTAATGCACTATGTTAATCGTATAAGGATATCCTTGATTTTACCTTATAGGATAACGACCTTCAGTTGGCGAGGATATTATTAGTTCCTCAGAGAATGTACCATATCAAACGGAACTCCGAATTGATCAATTCATTGCTTGGCCTGCCAACAAATATGAACAATGCTGGAAAGTGAGAAGGAACGATGAAGAAGAACGATATTATGACTAATGTGCAGATACAATATTGTTCAGCCATCGTATCTGTTACAATGCTTACTCACGGATCTATAGAATAATTGTATATGCAATTTTAAAAGTAATATCTCCATAGAGATTTCTAAGTTGCTTTATAAGCTTCCTTGTAGATTCAAATTCATAAATAATTATAACAATTAGAGGAGCGATTAACGATGAATTATAATTTTGAATGAAATATTAAAGATATTATCGTAAACTGGTATTATTATTTACACCCTGTGTATCGTTGTTATCAAGTCTAGTTATTATACTATATAGTTGTTACATTGATGGTACACGGTGAGATTTGATATTATATATATTACAGAAATCGAGTTTATGGGAATAATAAAAAAAGGCAGTCGACAGCGTAATTCGTACGTTGTACTTTTATGGGAATAATTAGATTGTTATACAAAAAAGCAGAGGATAATGTCTAGTTTAAATACCGCCTGCGTACCTGCAACCCTGCATGCGTAGTTGTATTAATGGGTTGGGGTTTTTATAACGTAAGATGTTACAATTAATAGAATTAATTTATAATTTTGTCTCTCTGTTTTCTCCGACTCAGAGAAGACAGTGAAAATGCTCAATTCAAAATTATTCGTTAGACTTAGACACAAAATAAAACGCTGTTACTGGCATTCGTTAGAAAATCATGAGCGCCGTTTCCCTTAACGTGGATCGTCAACATGGACTGACATGGATTTTATCTAAGAAAAAAGAAATTTCCTGCTTCATTTTGATTCCATAATTACCAAATATAGCAGCTTTTACATTTGGTGTATCCTCCATAGAATTTCCTTATGAGAATCCAATTCAATTATGGCGTACAGGTCAGGGCATCTTGAATGCAAGATATGAGAAATAATCGATAGTCTCGATTAGTCTACGCAATCTGAGTTGAACGATCGATCTTTACCTTGCAATGGAAATTTGATAGGATAAAAAAATTCAACGTCTAACCGTTTTAATAGTAACAACTTATTTATTGCAATTTAATAGGTAAATGACACATCAATGGTGTTTATTTGCATTATCTATATTTGAATGTCGTAGAAGAAATTACATGTTTGTTCTTATATTACATTGAATGTACACATCGCAATTTTAAATCTAAGCTTAATCTTGCGAATAATCCAATACAATTCACTCATGAAATAAAACATATAAAAATAAATTTATTTAAATATTTATATTGGAATTATTTCATTGACTACAGAATAAATATTACAAGTAATTGGTGCTAATGATATATTAAAATTTCAAATGGAACCCACCACCCATAGGAGGAGGTCTACCTCTTTCCAATAGTCCCATATGAAATCCAGAGGAAGATCCGAGTTGATCGCCATCATCTCCATCGCCAAGTTGTTTATATTCTCGTCCACCACTTGGTGGTTTTGGAGAGGCATTTGCTGTGCGTACACCCAATTCAGACTTTGCTGGCCAGGTTGGGAACATTTCAGGATCTATGGGTAAAGGAGCTTCAGTGAAGTAACCATGTTTTAAAGCATCCTCAGCTGCGATTCTCTGTTGTGGATCATATGTCAAGAATCTAAGCAGGAAAGAAAGTTGTAAGGAACCATTAGTTTTAGAAGTTTTAATGTTTTGACAATATGTTCTAACTTTTCTCCTGTCGAAGGAAACATACTTATTAAGGAGCTCGATGCCTAGATCTGATAAGGATAGGCTGAATCTCTGTCGAAGATTATTAACAGGATAATGAGCAAATGGTATTTTCTGAACCATTGGTAATTTACTATATCCTGGCCAAACGCGATCACTTGGTGTTCCAAGTTCTTTGAATATTCGATTTAGTTGATCAATCTCCGACTTGCCAGGGAACAAAGCTTCCATGCGGAGTAACTCAGCAAAGATGCAACTGTAAATGACAATCATTTAATAAACGTAAAATCGAAGGTAATCTTTTTCTTTGTTTTTCAATAGACCTAGTGAACTTACCCAACTGACCAAATGTCGATAGGCGTACTGTACTCATTTCCATTAAGCAGAAGTTCTGGTGCACGGTACCAAAGTGTCACTACAACAGGTGTATATTGCCTTAAAGGCGATCCATATTCTCTGGCCAGACCGAAATCGCCGACCTTGAGTATTCCTCGATGACTCAAAAGTAAATTTGATGTTTTGAGGTCACGATGAAGAATCCAATTGTCGTGTAGATGTGTCACAGCCCGCAGTAACTGTTGCATTAGACACTTGACCTCTCCTGAAAAATCAATTAGGATTCAATGAACGTAATCTTGAATAATTAATGGCATACAGTCAAAGCCAAGCGTGAATTGAATGAGTAATCACACTTTTGATTTTTGACATTAGCATAAAACAAATATTTTGGTTTTTCTGTTTAGTTACCTGGAATGAAGACTTGCTTTTTCTGCTTCATGGTTTCCATTAGTGACTTCAAATCGTGTTCGACGTAATCCATCACTATGAAAATCTTATCCATGTTACTTCCTACTACAATTTCACGTACCGTAACAATATTTGGATGCTGTGCTTTTAACAAGGTATTTATTTCCCTTAAACTGGTTATTGGAAAGCCTTCTTTCTCCTTCTCCATTTTCAAACGTTTTAAAGCAACAATCTCTTCGGTACGTTTATCGCGAGCTCGATAGACGACACCATAAGTTCCCTCTTCAATTCGATTTAGGCATTGGAACTCTTCGACGCTTCTACATCCTAACAATACAAAAATATTGCTGATTAATTACACATCGACATAAAAAGATTTTAAAGTATTATTTTACTCTGAGATTTCTGAAATAATTAAAAACTGTTCTTACCTTGAATGGCTGGTAAATACGGTGGTAGCACCGGTTCCGTTTCCTCCTCTTCTTTCTTTTCCGATTCTTCCACATCCTTAGCAGCGCCATTCGAATCAATACGACCTGGTGAATCACCATCGGAATGATCAGATTTTGCTAGCCTGTCTACGGACAATGGACTTGGGTTATTATAATCTGAGCCATCAACCGACTCTTCATTTGACCCTTTGTTCGACTCGTTTGAGTCTTCGTCTTCATCACTACTAGAATCTGACGAATCTGATCGCTCAGATGATCTTTCCCTCGCACTTCTACGCTCCTCTGACGAATGTTGAGACCTATGAGAAAGACATTGCCATGATTGTTTTATTATTCAGTGCAATGTTAAATTTGATTTATTATAACTAAAGGAATCTAAGTGGAATATAATGATTTACTTACTCAATAGACTTTGAGCGGACCTCATCTGAATGAATAGGGCTAGGACTATCATCAGATAACTCAACGATAGAAGGATCCTGACTTGGATCGGGACTGTGAGATCTCTTCTCACCTCTTTTCAGTCTTCTAGCTTCTAACTCCATTCTTGAGACTTCTTTTCTTCTTGCCATTTCTCTGTCAGCCTCTAGTAACCTTTGGTACAATGGCAAGAGGGACAGTTCATTACTTTCAATGGAGAATATTTAGACTGTACTATATGTAATAGAATAATTTTATGCTCTTGATATATACCTTTCCTTACGAAGCTCCTGTTCACTCATCTCCTTAGGATCTTTTGTCTGAATCGTAGACTCTACTTCCATTTCATCAATGTCTTCAGGTTCCTCAACAACGTCCATAGCTTCGCGCAATTGTTTCTCGCGATGTTCTCTTTCTCGCTCAATCTGCAACATAGTTAATTATAGTATATTTATTATTTAGCCTATTTTAAGCTTAGATTTGAATTTTGTTATGTTATGATTTATGAAGTCATATGCGAAGTACTTTATCACGGTGCTCACGATCCCTTGTTCTTTCATGCTTGTGAGACCTTTTGTGCCTCTTTTCTCGTTCAGGACGTTCTATTATCTCTGTTTCTGAGTATTGCTCTTCGATAACACGAATGTGTCTACGATCTTCTACTCGTATTTCTCTTCGATCTCGCATTTCGTCAATCCGGATCTCACGTCGTTCTCGTATTTCTCGAAATTCACGCGTGTCGCGAATTTCTCTAGATTCATCCCTTCTGGATTCTCGCATTTCTCGAGGATCTTCTCGCCTTTCTCTTCGTTTATCCAGTAGCCTGGAATTATTATAATGAACTGAAATACTACCAATAAAATTATAAGCAATCTATATATTCCTTAATAACATTGCAAAATGCAAGGAGAATGTAAAACATAATAAAATAGGCAGATAGTACCGTTCTCTCAAATCTTCTTCTAGGACACGATCTCCAGCATTTCTCTCTTTTCTTTCATGTCTGGATTCACGTTCTCTGCCATGACCTTCCATACGTTCAACTCTATCTCTCTCTCGTTTGGAACCATCTGAACGATCTGAACGTTCCATGCCTTCTATGTGTCTTCTGTGTCTGTGTTTATCACGGTGCCGTTCTTCAGTTCTTTCGTGATGTCGCGATTTGCGTTCTTTCTCTTCCCTGCGCTCGTGACGCTCACTGTGCTTTTCCCGTCTATGGGAGGAAGTTATCTTACGGTGGCGAATTACGGCTTGTGGTGGTTTAATATCGAGTGAATCAGCAGTATCGGCTCCATCTTCCTCAGAAAAGCTATAAAGAAAATAGAGTTAAATTAATAAAACGTTTACATACACAAATATTAAACACGATTTATAGTAAATATTACAAAATATATGTAAATACTAGTAATATTTTGTGTATTACTCTTATTTAAGTAATTGAAATAAACCATAGAAATAGTAATTACACGTGTATATATAATAATTTTGAAAGTTTTATTTAACATGTTATAGCAAATGTATAACCTATAACATGATTTGTCTTACCTAAATTCATCCATATCTTTTGTTGGGCTTTTCTTAATTTCTCCGTCTTCACTTTGGTTATCCCCGTCCATGGTCTTATATGTATACAGGTCTGAGCACTGCTGGGCACTTAGCAAAAATGAACGTGCCGGTTGAGATTCCAGATTTTAGTTCGGAATATGAGGCACTGGCGTCGGAGAGCCTGTTTGTACGCATGCGCAATCACCCGGTTTATTTCATCTACTTCCAACCATAACCTATTTTAAATCGAAGTATTCTGTTTGTCGTTTGTTGTCACTTTTTTTTCCGGTATTATTCTAGACAGAGATGAATAGGTTATGAATATTGTTATTTTTATATAGTAAAACACTGACACAAGTCCTGTCAGATTGTAATATAAATATTCTATAAATCTGGCTAGGTGCTGAAATCTTTACTCTGGTTAAACGAATAGGAGTCCAACAAGGTTGAACGCGCCATAACCGAGCATGAATTCCTAAGCGATAGCTCTGCGGAAGGGCTTTGCGTTACTTTGGAGTTGTCTATTGAAATGTGCATTTACATACGAGACAAATTTCAATTCGAATACCTTTTAACCGGAAAAATTAATCAAGATGCATTGGAGGTATAATCATTGCAACCTTGATGCTTTGCTCCAATAACATTCGCGATTATTTGTTTATTTCATTAATTTTTTGGCGCCATTCGGCAAGCAGCTGGATCAAATGAACACCCTGCTACGCTAACATTTCTTCAGTTATACAACCTCTGTGCAAGTTACAGTAACTTGAAACCGCCAGAGTTCGCAAATTGCACAATTATTGAATAAAACACTCCAAACGTTTTAGTCACTGTTTCTGATTTTAAAAATATGTAAAAGTAGGAGAAAGTTAATAAGGTCGCGGAGATTAAGGCAAAACTTGATTCGCTGATCCAACAAGAAGAATAAGCAGAAGTCGGAATTACTGATTGCGATTATGCCCTTGCAGCAGTCGTTGATTGTCTTGTAAACTACGTAAAAGATTCACACTTCTCACTAGTTATTATAAATATATGTAAGAAACTTGATAAAAGATTTCTTTCCAACGGTTTCCAGTTGATGCAATAAATATTGCTACTCTTAAAATAGAAAATCACAGTTAGTCAATTTAGACTCATGGAAAGTTGATTCACCCCAATAAAGCGTTTTTGAAAATGTTACAAACTTAATAATCATGTTATATGCAAAATTTTGATGTTTCTAATTGTACGATTGATGATATGTTCATATCACTTCTCATTTCATTGCATACTGAAACATACTAGTAATTTGCTCGCATACATGATGCATTATTATTTAAGAATGCGTTTGCAATAATTTTCACAGCACGAAAAAAAATGTTACAAAGAGGAAACAAGCTAAATTTTATAAACATTAAATAACGAATAGAACGTTTATATATTTTTTCAGGAATACTCTCATTATATTTATTTTTAAGCCTGAATATGTCTTTAAGTGCAATAACAAGACTTTGGATGTTATAGGGAAATGATAAAATTTTGTATGTAATTTACGACCGCTTATGGTCCAACGGACTCTGGTGCATATGTGCCATTAGAAAGAGAAGATGCACTAGGCTCCTCCGACAATAGCGCAGTGGTTAAAAGTTAAAACTTTCAGTGTCTTTATTGGGTCGATTGTGTAACTCAAATGTAGTGAAAATCCGAAAATACGTGATTGGCTAACAACTATTTACTTTTCATATTTTCACTACAATTGAGTTACACAATCGAAGTACTGTGGGAGCAAACAGGAGATGATTGTTCGAATTTTACACTTTTACAAGATTTGTAACAATTAACCAATCGAATGCTGTTTTACTATAGATCTCTATTAAACGCAACCAGTACCAAGAGGCATAGCAATAGAGCTAATAAAATAGGAAAAACTATTGGTTCTGAAGAACACAATTGAAAAACAGCCAATAGCATGCTAACTTTCAGCCAAGCATTACTGCTGCTACACTTATGAAAAACTCATTAAATAGTATAATCTGATATAAAATTAAAGAACAAGTAAAGGCGAGTTGAATTCTATGTTACATTTTAAGCTCCGTTAAAATCCTAATTCCATCAATCATCCTACAGGACTTTAGCTGGAACATAAAATTGAACAAAAAATGGTACACAGCTTAAATGATAACAACCCATGTTATAGCTATATCGCATGTGAAATTTTATTCACGGTAATGATTACAAAATTCAGTTAAATCGAAAAACATAATTTACTTCCAGAGTTTCTTGATGGACATATTCTTCTCTGAGTCCTTCTGCATTACCTTAGCTACAGCCATTTCAAAATCTTCCTGAGTTACATGAACTCTGCGTTCTCTCAGAGCATACATACCAGCTTCCGTACAGACACCCTGTAATGAATTAAACACATATTATTCACCGATCTACAATTTTCCCAATTTCTGCAACGTATACCTTGACTTCAGCACCAGAAGCACCTGGCATTAGTTCAGCAATTTTTCTTAAATTAATACCACGAGTAAGATTCATCTTCCTTGAATGGATCTTCAAAATGTCCAATCTGGCTTCCTCGTTTGGTGGGGGAAATTCGATCTTTCGGTCAATTCTTCCAGGACGAAGAAGAGCTGGATCCAAAATATCAATTCGGTTTGTTGCCATTATCACTTTGATGTTCTTTGTTGCTTCAAAACCATCAAGCTGATTTAGTAACTCCAACATTGTACGCTGCACCTGTATAAATGCGCATGATTAGATGATTATGTTTATAGCATAGTTGGATTTATGGGAAAGATAACGAAAAAATCAAATTATGAAAGTTACTTCACTGTCTCCACCAGAACCAGACTCAATTCTGGAACTTCCAATGGAATCAATTTCATCCATGAAAATAATTGATGGTGCATGTTCTCTGGCCATGACAAAAAGCTCTCGTACCATACGAGAACCTTCTCCAATGAACTTTTGCACTAGTTCTGATCCAGACACACGAATAAAAGTGCATTCGGTATGATGTGCAACAGCTCGGGCTAAAAGTGTCTTTCCAGTACCTAAAAAAATTACATGTAGTTAGAAGTTCAACTTCTTTCTTTAAAGATCATCGGAGAAAAATGAAAATTTCATTTAATTTACCAGGTGGCCCATACAATAGAACTCCTTTGGGCTGAGCAATACCAAGTGCATCAAAAAGTTCAGGATGTTTAACAGGAAGTTCAATGACTTCTTTAATTTCTTTGATTTGCTTATCAAGACCTCCAACCATCTCATATGTAGAATCAGGTACTTTTTCTACCATCATTAATGACACAAGTGGGTCAACCTTGTTTGGGAGTATTTTATGCAAAGTGTAACTTTCATTTCGTAGAGCTACACGCGAGTTTGGGGTGACATCATTTATATCAATATTTTTATCAAGATCCACTACAAACTTTCCTTCAGGATGAACCTTTACAAGGACTTTTTTCTTATCCATCGGTTTGACTACTTCACCCACATATGAACCTTGTTCTTGAAGAAGCTGCAACTCTTCACGTAACATTCTTACTGTAAATAAAATAAAACTATATGAATATGTGAAATTGTATTCTTATTAACACAGTCTCAAATCTATCAACATAAATATTGCATATACAGGGTTAGTCAGTAGAAACGCACCAGCAGAAGTTGGCCGCAAGTGGCCGACACGGCAATGTGGTCTCTTCAAAAAATGACATGTGACTCTGACCGATTCCCATAAGCGCAAACTGACAGTTTGCATAGCAATAAGGTTATTGAAATATTTCAATAGTTAGGTTACTGAAATAATTAATTAATATTGCAATGACAGAATGTAATATCAGTTAAGATTTATTTTCACAACAGATTGCAATTAAAATAATGTAAAGTTTAAAATATTCATAATTTTGATATTTCCAAGTAATGATCACAACTGAAATTCTGCAATACAATGCTGCAATTAATTAAAAAATCATTTAATTGAAATGTTTTTATAGCAAAAAAGTGCAGGAAAAAATCTGATGTGAAAATAAATCTTAACTGACATTACATTTTGTCATTACAATATTAATTAATTATTTCAGTAACCTAACTATTGAAATATTTCAATAACCTTATTGCTATGCGAACTGTCAGTTTGCGCTTATGGGAATCGGTCAGAGTCACATGTCATTTTTTGAAGAGACCACATTGCCGTGTCGGCCACTTGCGGCCAACTTCTGCTGGTGCGTTTCTACTGACTAACCCTGTATAATAGTACATGTATAATAGTATTACCCTTTGCATTAAGTTCATTACGCTGAGCTTGTAATCGTCGAAGATTTTGACTTTTTTCTGCGACAATAAGCTGCAGCTCTTCAATTTTTGTAATGTAGTAAGGTTTAAATCCTTCTCCCTTAGCCGTTTTTTCGTCAATTTCCATCTGAAAACATGAAAATGCATAACCTAATGTAAGCTTTACTATTTATATATAATATACAATGATTATTACCTTATTTATGAGTGTCATGATTGCACTCGTCTTTATTGTTCTACTTGTAATTTATGAATGAATTTTAGCCCTTCATTTATTTGGGTTAGCGGAAAACGAGAAAAATCTTCTTCGCGATATCACGAATTTCAGAAACGCTTGTCACTGTAGTTGGATAACGTTAAAAACCCTAAACTTGATCTTAAAACTACACTAGATTTTATTGAAAGTATAGGTCTGTTCGTATAAGCGATAGTACGTGCTCCGAAGTCACTATAGGTGTGTTCAAAAATGAGTCGAGAGCGCTGAAAGCATTTCGTGTCTCGATTGAGGGCATATTCGATATTCCATAATAAGTTTTATGGTGACTTCTCCTTGAAATCTTATGCTAACGGGTGTGTTCCGAAATTTACTGACAGTACTGTAAAACTAATTACATCTCTCTTAGATAAATATGAATGAATAAGGATACAGCGTTAATTACGTAAAAGTCGTGCAATTGGAAAGCACCTATAAATATTTCCCAAATGGTTCTGGTCCACGGTCTTGTATACAGGTCTGAGCACTTCCCTATCCTCGCCACGTTGTAGCTCGTAACCGTAACGTGGACGATTTTGCCCGCAAGCGGTAGGGTCGAAGAAGCCAGCTGAAACAGCGCATATGCGCATCTGTAAATTCACTGCAACCTCTTATCTCCGATTCAAAAGGAAAGTTACACACAGAAAACCAATGCGATGCCAATTAAATAAATTTTAGCAATCTAATTTTAAAGTTAGACAAATAAAGAATTGATGATTTAAAAAACTAAAGTTAAATGGACCAATTCACCTAAAAGTCGTGAAACTTGAATGACGCTATAATTGCGTATATGCTGAAAACTTTTAACTTGATGAAAATACCTCTGGACAAGTACAAAAAGTGAAATATCTGCACAAGTAGAATTTTTTTCGTAGTTAAGTTCAATAGTATAAATATTTTCTCTGTTTTACACTTGTTGAATTTATGTTGCATCACTATATGAAATTGGTTCCATAGGGTCCAATTCTCTTTGTAAAAAGTCTTTCTCCGGTTTCAGTGTAGGAATTTATAATGAAAAATTTTTCATAGGAGATATACTAACGTATACAGTCAATTTTTGCTTCTGTCGTAACTTTTTTACTCAATTTATTTGTAACTCCTGTAAGATTTTCAAATGCAAATTCCTACCATTGTGATTCAAACAGGCACGATGCACTTTCTGGTCATTGTTGCTTCTTTCAATTCCAATCACGGTATATTACACATTACGAACAAAGCTGCAAGTTACGTATTCAAGAAAGAGATAACTGTGCACGCGTAGTCCTACCACGTGATAGGCTCTTTCAAACCTAATACCCCTTGCGGTAGTGACCACCTTATGGTTACCCGTTTTTCGCCTAAGTGCCCAGACCAGGGGATCGATTGTGTAACTCAAATGTAGTGAAAATACGAAAAGTGAATAGCTGTTAACCAATCATTGTGCTTGATTTCTTTTGAACCTAATACGCGATTGGGTAACAGCTATTCACTTTTCGTATTTTCACTACATTTGAGTTACACAATCAACCTCCTGTATACAAGACCGGGTTCTGGACAAATTGAAATAAATAATCAAGTTACCAATCTTTGTTTACATAATGTTATATGATATTATTGTTAGAAACATCATTGGCGGGAAACTACCATTGTCGGCAACTGCGAATTTCATCATATTGCGTATCCATTTAACGCGTTGAGTACACATCTAACATTAATACACTATTTGGATTATATAGCACGAAAAAATGGGTTCTCTAACGGAAGGAGCAATAGATGTCAGTTTTGTAATAATATATTTACTAATCTACCTTAGCCTCTAGTCTAAAGAAAGTAGGACTTACCGGAATTTTCGTCTTTTGTTCGCAGAACATCATGAATGGTATCGATGTAGAGAAACCAGTATTGCAAATCTTGGTAATGTTTTTTCAGATTAATCGAAAATATTTATTTACTGTGTATATGAATATATATACATGCATCCTATGCTTATTTACATTGGAATTGATCACAATAATGCTATGCATTTATGGGCTAATAATATTTTTGGTACAGGGAAATAAAAAACTATCCACATCAAGTACTGGAGAGCGATACAGATTACTGGTATCAGATGGTGTGCGAATCAATTCATTTACTATGCTGGCTACACAACTAAATCATTTGGTCACTGAAAATATCCTGTCTGAATACAGTATTTGTCGAATAGATAGATATGCAATCAGCATGGTCAATAATGGTGGGAAACAAAAGTATGTCTATCGAACTTACAAATTGATCTAATTCATTTGATTAGTTTATTTATATTTAATGTCTCTTATTCTCTAGACGAGTCATGGTCATATTAAGCATTGATGTTATAAAGCCTGGTAGCGAAGTGGGTAGAAAAATTGGAAATCCGATGACTCAAGATGGCAATCCGGAGTCTGAGTCAGCTTCATCCAATGTCAAAGCAGTATCACCTCCAAAAGCTAAAAGTATTATTTCATTATTCCTCCCCCTCCCCTCCTTTTATTATTAATGTCGCAAGTTCTTGAGACTAAATAACTATTTTTCAGCTATTAAGCCATATGTACCAAGTCATAATATTTCTACTACTGACATTTCTACAACACCAATAGCTGGTCTTAGTCCATATCAGAACAGGTAACCATATTTATGAAATAGACACAAATATGCTTATTACCTTATTCTACGGTAAATGAAATTTTTTAATTATCAATATTTTAGATGGGTCATCAAGGTTCGTGTAACTAGCAAACCCCCAATTAGAACTTGGAGTAATTCTCGAGGTGAAGGCAAATTATTTTCCATGGACCTTCTTGATGAAAGTGGGGAGATCAGATGTACTGGCTTCAAAGAACAGTGTGATAAATTTTATGATATGATAGAAGTACGGTTTATGTATTATAAAGTTCAATCACACACTTCCTACTAGTGAATTTCACTTCAGTTATCAGTGTCTTATTGGTTGTGTACATAATGCTTTCAGGTTGGCAAAATATATTACATCTCACGGTGTGCTCTGAAACCAGCCAACAAGAAATTTTCATCTTTAAACAATGATTATGAAATGACTTTAACTAACGATTCTGAAATAATTCCTTGCGATGATGCAAGTACAGACATTCCAACAATCCAGTACAACTTCTGTCCTATAAGCGAAGTGGAGAGTAAAGCTAAGGACGAACTCATTGGTATAAATAAATTAATATTTTACTTATTTAAGTAGTGTATAGAGAATTTACGGAAGATTGCAAAAATGACATATTTCACAGATGTGATAGGAGTCTGCAAATCGTACAATGATGTTCAGACGTTAGTTTCTAGAGCAACGCAAAAGGAGCTAAAGAAACGAGATGTCGAGTTGGTAGACGAAAGCAACCTTTCTGTAAGTTACAGTGCTAAAGTTTTCAATCATAAAGCATTTGTGAGTATCAAATAGTTCAAACATCTTCGAATTTTGTTATACAAGGTTACTCTCACATTGTGGGGCACGCAAGCTATAGATTTTGATGGTTCAAATAATCCTGTATTAGCAATCAAGGGTGTACGTATCGGTGAATTTAATGGTGGTAAAAATTTATCGCTTCTCGGTTCTTCTAATATGACCATCGAACCAGATCTACCAGAAGCTCACAAGTAAGTATCTTCGCAAGGTCTAGAAGAGAAACAACCATTACAGTAAATATTAAGTTCTATTTTTGAATTACTATTTCAATAACAGATTGCGTGGATGGTACAATACAACTGGCAAAATGCAAGAAACGAAATCCTTGTCCAAGGTACTTGGTGGTGGCGGATCTAATTCGTTCAATGGGCCGATATTGTGCTTTAAGGAAGCAGTAGATCTGGGACTTGGTCGTAATGATTCGGCTGATTACTATGTTGTTAAGGCTACTGTGAATATGGTACGAGCAGAAAATTCACTCTACAAAGCATGTCCCACTGAAGACTGCAAAAAGAAAGTATGTAATTCCATACAGTTAAAAAATAGACTGTGGTCAATATGTATTATAAAAAATCTGTTAATTTCCATGAGGTGTCGGTATAAATGATCAAGTATAACTCTTCGTTTATAGGTGGTTGATCAATCAAATGACATGTACAGATGCGAAAAATGTGACAGAGATTATCCCAATTTTAAATATCGTTTGCTGGCTAGTGTAAGTAATACTCTGGTTTGAACGCCTATACTGAATAGCTTTAATTATATAAAGTTTACTCGAATTGTAGGCAAATTTGGTTGATTGGTCAGGCAATGTTTGGGCTACAGCCTTCAGTGAGGAAGGAGAGAAACTACTGGGAGTTACCGCTCAGGAACTTGGTGAACTGAAAGAGAATGATTCGGACGCTTTTCTTGAGAAATTCGCGCAGATTTCTTTCAATTCATTTATGTTTAAGCTACGCGTTAAAATGGAGGTGTTCAGCGTAAGTATATATTTCTATATTAATCATTAAACTCAGAAATGTATATCAAATATTTGGAACTTCAACAGGATGAAGCCAGATTGAAAACAACAATTACCGCGGTGTCGCCACTTGATTTTAAAGAATATAATAAATTCTTGATCTCGAAGATAAAGGAACTCGCAAACATTGGCAAATCTGAATAAGCTTCATCTGCATCCTTTGTATTTAATTTTTCTTTCATATCTATGAATATCGATAAATTAAATTTATACAGATTGCTTCACAGTTTTATACAACTCATATTGCTGTTCTATTATGTATTATTATCGTAGTGATAAGAATGTTAAGATAATGCATTAAAATAAAGTTTTTCATTGGATACTTTTCTATAATTTATTTAATAATAATTGAAATTGTTCAATACTTTTTTGATTTTTATAAAATATTTGTATGAAATGTATACAAATTTTTATTATTTTTGTATAAATCGCTCAAGGAAATCTGTCAAATGTTGTCGAATCATTCATTCTTCGGCCATGTTTAAATTTGAGAGAGGAACGTGAAATTCGATACAAGTATGGCGCCATGATTCAATTATAAGTCAATAATTGAAAACAATTTCATTGATGAGCTGTGCTTTACCATTTTTTGGTAACAGTAGTATTATTGTAATGAAGATTTATGAGTATTACATCCTTCTGTCAACTGCTTTCAATTTTAATTGAGCAAATTTTTTGTTCAATTTCCGGTTCGGTTTCTCCGTTTCTATAGATCAGTATTGTCGATACGACTCGGCGATACCTTTTGGTTACGATCGTGTTTATTATTTCTTGCTTAGATTTTACCCAGGCTAATTTAACTTTTCAATTGTAAATTATTAGACAAGCACAATGACTTGCCCTACGTCTTCGTTACGCCCGGACATAAAAGTCTATAAAGATGAGTGTGTGTACTCTTTTGATAATCCGGTAAGTCTTTTAGTAGTCTGACAAGAATAATTGTCATAGGTCACCGGTAACCGCAAATCTTATTTATTTAATTCTTAGGATTCAGAAACTGGATTATATGTCAGCCTTACAAGTTTTCTTGGACTAGGTCGTGATCATGTTGAACGCTATTCTAATCTGACTGGATACCATGATTATCTCCATATTAGGCGAACAAGAAAGAAGGTGCGTTAGCTACATTGGAGTTTTTATAAGACTCCGATTACTTTGGGATCATCTTTCAAGAATATTCACAGGAAGATTCTTGGAAAAACTGTTAGTTCTCTATGCAACTTGTGTTACTTTTCATAGATTCCTTCTGAGCAGCAAGGCGATGGACCAGAGAAAAAGATCACAAGGTTGGCCATTGGTACTGAAGGAGGATTTACTCCTGATCAACAGAAGTACACTTATGAGGAAACTTATTCACTTGTTACGTTGCCAGAGTTTATGACAAAACCTTATCCCAGTGATAAAATTCCTAAAGATGTATGTTATAATTATTCTCAATGCATTCGATGCAAGAAAGTATGGAAGTTATTAACTTTCACTTTCTATAGGTGGCCAAACTCATCAAGCAAGTTATTGAAGCAGAATCTGCTTTAAAAATAGCAGAAAGGGAAGCACTTTCTGGAACATGGGATGGAGAAGTTAGAATGATATCTAAGTAGGTTAATTGAATTCTCCTAATCCTTTATATATGAGAAACGAATTAATTGAATTGTTTCCTGCAGACACGCAGCTAATCTCCTACAATTGGATAATGGGAAAAAGATTCCTCCAAGTGGATGGAAGTGTGAAAAGTGCGATCTTACGCAAAATTTATGGTTAAATTTAACTGATGGCTCCATACTCTGTGGTCGTAAATTCTATGACGGTACTGGTGGTAATGATCATGCTGTAGAACACTATAGATCTTCTGGCTATCCTTTGGCTGTGAAACTTGGGACAATCACGAAGGAAGGAAAGGGAGATGTATTCTCATATGATGAGGATGACATGGTTGAGGATCCTAATCTTATTGTGCATCTGGCACATTGGGGCATCAATATTACCCAAATGGAGAAGACTGATAAATCAATGATCGAATTGGAATTAGATCTCAATCAAAAATTTGGAGAATGGGTGGCTCTACAAGAGGCAGCCAGTAAACTTACTCCATTATATGGACCTGGTTATACAGGTCTCACCAATCTGGGAAACTCATGTTATCTCAACAGTGTCATGCAAATGATCTTTGTAATCCCGGACTTCATAAAGAGGTCTGTACGTTGCATAGCAATGTAAAAACAATATGAAAAATTAGTTTACTACCTATGTCAATATTAGCTCATTTCTTTTTCTTTACTCGTTGCTTGTTTAATATTTTATATTGCAAGGAACAACCAATACAGGCGTCATGAAAGTATCACGGTATTCACATAATGAAATCTGTTTCAGATATGTGAATGAAGCACCACAGATTTTTGAAAAAAGTATAAAGGATCCCGTCAATGATTTTACTACACAAATGTAAGTTTGAATGGTGACGTGCTAAATATACAGTGATACTTATACCTTAAGAGTGATGTATACAATATATATAATTCTCAGGGCGAAACTTGGCTCAGGTTTACTTTCTGGAAAGTATTCAGTGTCTCCAGAAGATGAGAATGAAGGTCGTCAGGGTATTGCACCTAGAATGTTTAAAACCTTAATTGGTCGTGGCCATCAAGGTTTTTCATCAACCCGACAGCAAGATGCTCAAGAATTTTTCCTTCATCTCATAAACATACTAAATGTAATGATCTTATTATCTTCATATGAAATAGCTACAGCAATAGAATAATAATAGTTACATATTTTTATAGTCGCTTATGTCTTTCTCTAAGTCAATCATAATTTTGAATAATTTTTAATTATTGAACAGAGCAACAATGCACAGAAGACAAATCCTGCAGAATGTTTCAAATTTAATGTCGAGGAGAGATATCAGTGCACTGGATCCAACAAAGTCAAGTATACTCATAGACCAGAATACTTAATACCACTTCCAATACCTTTAAAGGAAGCAGTGAACAAGGTACGTTTACATCTCTAGAAAATTTTAACAAGTACATAAGGCACAGCATCTTCAATAATACTTTTTGTAGGATGAGGTTGCCGCATATGAGGCTAAGAAAAAGGAAGCTGAATCAAAAGGAGAACGGCTGGATCCTAGCAGCACAGTCAGGCCACGCATAAAGCTGTCATCTTGTCTTGATACATTTGCTCAGACAGAAGATGTCGAACAGTTTTACAGTACAGCATTAAATGACAAAGTTACAGCACTCAAGTGAACAACTTTTACATATAAGCATATTAATTTCAATCGTAATCTTCAAACACTTGGATAATTGGTTAATTTTCAGAACGACGCGTCTAGCCAGTTTCCCAGACTACCTGTTAATTCATTTAAAGAAATTTACCGTAAAGGACGATTGGACGCCAATTAAATTAGATGTGGCGGTTGAAATGCCAGATTTTCTAGACTTGAATGCTATACGTGGTTTTGGTTTGCAACCTGGCGAGGAACTGCTCCCAGAAAGTGCTGATTCTGCACCTCCACCGCCTGTGTATAACCAGGAGATACTCGATCAGTTAACTGATATGGGCTTTCCAGTAGAAGCTTGCAAAAGATCTTTGTTCTTCACAGAGAATAAAGGCTTGCAAGCTGCTACCAATTGGCTTATGGAACATATTGTGGACTCCGATTTCGCAGATCCGTTCGTACCACCAGGAACCGATAACAAACCCAGTAAATCAAAGTTTATTAATCGGATTTAATAATGTTAAGTAAAATTGCATTATAACGATTGATAAATATGAATATTTTTAGAGAAGAGAAAATTCGTATTAGACGATGGCGCTCTGGAGACGTTGACGTCGATGGGTTTTGAGATTAATCAAGCGAGAAGAGCTCTTAGGAAAACAGATAACAATGTAGGCCGTGCAACGGATTTACTTTTTGCTCCAGCAGATGAGATGGGAATGGATGAGGAATCCGCGGAAGAGGAGGAGGCGGAGGAGGAATCGCAAGATACGTCGTTCAGAGATGGCCATGGCCGTGAGTTAAAGAATTTCAATTTACAATCGTGTCTTTCAGCTGATATTCTTTGTTACTAAATGATTTTATAATTTTTTATGTTACCAGGTTACAAGCTAATAGGATTTATATCACATATGGGTACTTCAACAATGGTAGGACATTACGTTTGCCATTTGCTAAAGGAAAATCGCTGGGTTATTTATAACGACGAGAAAGTACGTTTCTCTAATTAATTAAAAAAATTGTATGATTCAATACAGAATTAAAATGTAATATTCTTTATTGTTTTATCACAGGTTGCATTGTCTGAAAATCCGCCAAAGGAGCTAGGATACATATACATGTATCAACGCATAGAAGAGTAAACTTGATTTGCCCACTGCCTGTTTGTATAAAAAAATATATTGTATTACCATTTATCAATAAAAACTATTGTCAAAGATCGTTTTCTTTCGAATTATGAATCTCCAGTTTTATTCAGAGAGAGTATAAATAGGTGGGGGAAAAAATATACAAATTATTTGGATATATTTATTTAGGCACTTGTACATGACGCTTCGCGATGGGAAGATCGATCGATATTAAAACTTGAAAATTCATATATACTTAATATCTTTTGAGAGAGTCCAATAACTGTCTTTGGTAAATTCCCACGATAGAGTCAAATAAAATATATTTTATCCACTAAGAGGTACTTCACAAACTGCTAAATAAATGCACAAAAGGATCACAATGATTTATGGCGTTACGCTATGCTGTGTCTTTCTTCGACGTCAACACAGTTAAACGTATTCTCTGATATGTTTAAATAACTTCTTTTTCAATTTCTCCACAGTCTAGATACGCATATCTGTAAAATACCTCTTATAGAAGTTGTAACGCATCTCAATTCTGTCGTAAGTAACAATAAATTCTTCTACACGTACAAAACCAGCAGCGTACATGTACCTGGGGATCTTATTTTATTTCACTCAAATAATGGCACAATAATTAATGCATTTAAATTCTTTAATTCTTTATAACTCTACGCGACCGGTAGTGAAACTAGTTTTAGGAAAAAGAAAATGAACGTGTTTGTATAATTACGAGATGTAAATTAGGCAGCAATGTCAGCTATATTAGTGATGATATAAATAACTTAACGATGTCCAGAAGGAGTCCAACGCTAATCGTTGTTTAGTTTAAGTACGTCATTAAAAAAAAAAACAAGAAATCGTAAATTCTTTGGGCTGTCGGATACATCACGAATTTTTCTTTTGTTCTTCGTATATGTCGAATAGCAGATAAATTTTTTTTCAAAAATAGCCAAAGAAACATCGACATTAAATGCATTAAAGTTAATTCCATCAAGTTCACTATCTTGTACCATGATTCAGGAAACTTCAAAGTCCTTATATGTTTCTTTTTTTACATACATCGTACTGCGATGAGAGAATTCTAAAAAAAAATATACGTATTTTAACGATTACTACTATAAGGCCGTCTCGTGTCATAAGCACCATTTTTTTACTTTATACAGGATATTATGGAAAGCAGGAAGTCAAATATCCCCTTGACTCTAATGGGAAATATTTCTTCCTATACGCGACATGACACCGCTCCACAGTGTGAATATGCTGCTCCGCTCGTTGAACAATACGAGTAGAAATCGCTATTTGAAGTAACAAGACCTTCTATGTATACAGGGTGTTCCGAAACTACCTGACCCGGTGGGTATGGTGGTGTTCGGGAGGCTTTACTGATCACGAAAATGACCTTCTTTTTGTCCGGAAGGTCATAGTTTTTAAATGGGAGCAGGTCAAAGTTGACCAATCAGAGGGAGGCGTCAAGAGAAACGTAGACATCTGCGAACTCTGAGTTTTCTTCCCTCGCTTTTGTTTCTCGGTGGCTTCGGGCAGGATGACGTTAGCCGAAGACATGCCTATTGGAAACAAGAAACAAAAGCGAGGGAAGAAAACTCAGAGTTCGCAGGTGCCTACGTTTCTCTTGACGCCTCCCTCTGATTGGTCAACTTTGACCTGCTCCCATTTAAAAACTAAGAGCTTCCGGACAAAAGGAAGGTCCTTTTCGTGATCAGTGAAGCCTCCCGAACACCGCCATACCCACCGGGTCAGGTAGTTTCGGAACACCCTGTATAATAGCCGTTGTAAAGCTCAAAACAATTTTCGTGCGAATGAATTTTTTGTCATAAATGTAAGAGAAAAAAAGAGTATAAAGATTGGCAGATAAATTTTTGAAGATAAAATTTCATTTTTCAACGTGGCCTGATAGCAATACCCATTTCCGATCGTCTGATACTTCCTTAAATGTTTTGCTCATGATTGTATATATATATATTAATTTGAAATTCGATAAATACTAGAAGAAATAGAAATTATGAAATTTCTGTAAAACAATCGATCCAAAAGCAAATGCTGATGTCGCATTTGAAGTATACGAGTCGAAATTAGTAACTGTATCCTAGAATCTATAATATATAATAAAGAATGTATAATATTTACAAAAGAAAGTAGTGATTGCATAACGCATAGCCTATTCCTTGATATAAGTCTATTATCAAAAAACAATATAACAGTCGTGTATATTAGTAAAAATCGGTCGGATTGAAAATTTCGAAAACTATCTGTAATTTTATCAATTGTTGAAGCAATAAAGTCGTAAGCTTAAGTCAATTAAAAACAACAAAAAACTTCAAGTTTCACCTACGATATTATGCACACGTGCACTCGCCTATTAAGTGTCGTTATGAAAATATAAATTACAGATAAACTAATCTAATAAGTGAAATCGAGTACAGCCGAATGTAAATTGAATGAAAAAAAAAGGAAAAAAAAATGAAGAACGGAAAAAATATCGACCAGTATCCATTAACTGATACAATATTAGAATTTACGAACGTTTTAAGTCCCATTGTTAATACCTGACGCTAACGATCTTTCTTTCTTGACCATTATAGGATATGTTGCAATTCGGAATTAGCTGGCTGTTTTGATTTGCAATCGAGTGTTGGCCCCCACGTCAATTATTCCAGCTGATGGTGGTATGGCGTATATTATGTTGCCAGAGTCCTTTTTAAATGTCGGTTCTATCACTTCAGGTATCACTTCTATTCGTAGCACCTTACTCTTATTTCCAAGCATGCACTTGAATTTGGTATCTACTGTCACGAGTAAATCTGCACCGCGTAATCTGATGGAGTTATGACAAAATTTATTAAACGTGGACTAAATAGGTGAACGTAAATAAATTCATATTTACAAATGGTTATGGGTTTACGAAAATTTTCGTTAAACGTCATATTAAGTATTGTTTATGTGATGATACTCACTGATAGTATCTGTTACTCAGGATACCGACGAGTTCACCAACTCTATCTTCTTTAGTGACGATGGATGCGATAAAATCATTGCCACGATTAGAGTGAATGATTACTAACTGATCATTACCAGGAGACACACTCAGTCCTGTGATTTCAACAATTTGCACGACTTTTTTCATAGTCTTAAACTTCGAATTCTCCATCTTGTATATAGCATGTTCGGTTACCAGCAAGACACGATCCGCTGGTTTGTTGAATCTAAATAAAGAAATGCATTAGAAAAGTATGTAAGAGATTCATCATTTAAACTAGTTTATGAATAAGAAAGAATATTACTGACCTATTAGTTTTTCTGATGAAAGCACTGAATAAAACGGATTTGAAATGATCAGTGTTGCGTAGATTATTGATGGAAGAATTAAAAATGTCGCTATGAACATTCTCATCTGGTTTCGAGAGATAGTTACCCTCCCATCTTCTCTCCTGTCCCCAGTGCTGTCTTTTAGAACGCAGCAAAGAAGCTGCTGATATCTAAAAAATGAAATTTTGATAAATTTTGTGAATAACGCATATAAAGTTTCCTGTGTAATTTAATAATCTACAGGATTTACCTTTAATTTTAATTGTCCCCAGTCCTCTCTTGGGATTACTTTGAGTATCATCCAGGCTCTCCACCTGGCGTACATCATCTTCAAAGTCGGAACCACACTCCGTACCGCGAAATTTTCTTGCGGCCATGGAAGACTCTTACCATAATCGCGTAACGATTGAGCATTCCTAAATGTGTTCTCTAGTTCCTTTATGTAAACACGCTTTTTATATCGACGATAATAGTCCATGATCACAAGGGCAGCTTTCATTTTCTTATACCGTTGACGGCATAAGTAACCGCGCCATTGCTTTTGCAATAGAATTACAATACCTGGAATAAGATCGCTCCGTGCCTACAAGAATAAAGCGCGTCATTTTAAGAGAATAATATTTACACATTGATGCAGCAATCCCGAGAATTGACTCCAGAGACGCGACGATTGGAGATTCTAAAAATATAATCTGAGGTCGCAAACCTTTTCCAGGGCGAAGAGCGTGCGTGGAGAACGAATGAATATTTTTGTATGGCCATATTTAACGTCGTCGGCAAAGCCTTTTTCTTCCATTAACGTTCGTACACCATCCTTATCATTTCCGCCGCGGAAATTTGGCCAAGTGTATTGCGAAATCATTTTGTATCTATTGCATAAAATTGAAAAGAGACAAAAGTTCAGTTAAAAATAGTCGCTGTATATATCTTAATTAAATAATTTCACTAAATTATTTTTTTTGTTACCGTTTTAAGAATCTATCGTAACGCTGTCTGTAAACAAAACCGGCTCGTCTCACTAGAACGTTTTCAAGAAGTCCCAAGTAACGTACTTGATGATTTACTCTCTCTTCGTCGAAGACAACGGGTGACTTTACATCGTTAGGTTTAATGCAACGAATGTAAAAGGGTTCTTTGCTAGTAAGATTCTTCACAAGGGCTACCATTGAGTTACGGAACAGAGTGCCGGCGGTCAATGGTCTCTTCGTAGTCTTAAAAAAAATATTTCTATAGTACAAATTTCTATAAAAAATTGTAATATTGCTCTTAGAAATATTACTAGAAACGTACCTTACTTATATCCTGAGCACCTTCAGGCCACATACTACTAATTATTGAATTGCTACTCCTAAAGAGTAAACGCTTGAAATCTTGGAAGAGAGTGTCTTTATTTTTATCAAGAAAACCGCTAACATTGTACACGACATCGCCTGCGTAATGTTTTATTCGAAATTGAACTTTGTGCAGCAGTACTTTGTCCATTGGATTCAACTGGCGAGACGTGTAATGTTTGTGATCCGAAAGTTTCTGATCCATAGCTTCGAGAAGCATCTGTAATAATATTACTGTGATGAGAGATGGGCACGCTGTTTTAAAGACGTGTTTGATTAATAATTTACATGCTGTACCTCGTCCGTTACTTTTCCAACATTGAGACAAGCCTCATCCATAATTGCTATTATACCCTTGTGTGGTTGCTCTACAAGATCACAAATTATTTGATTGTTAAAATATTCTATGTTTTTCCAGGTGATTCCTTCCTTTCTGTATTCCTCCTGTTCTTGCTTCAGGACCAATTCTAACGAGAAACAAAATATTTACATAAATTGAGAATGTCATGGTCACATATTTTATGTAGTTATGAGTAAGCGTACCGATGAAAAGTTGCTGTAGCTTTTCATTGCAATAATTAATACAAAATTGTTCAAAACTGTTGGCGTCAAATATTTCAAAACCATAAATGTCAAGCACTCCGATTACTGTATTCTTGTAAGTCTTAAAAATGCTGCTATCATCGACATTAATAGAGTCATTAACACGTGACACAATCCACGAGAACAGTCTCTCATATATAGCCTGTAGTACACATAATAGATTATTACTGACATAACAAACACTGTGAAATATTCCATAAAATATCGAAGTTGTTAATCTGTATCATTGAACTCTTTAATATATTTTACCTTGGCCAAAGCATCTCTACCATATTCAGCTTCGACAAACGTGTGAGTTTTTTGCATTATTTCACCACCAGCCGCAATAACTCTTTGTGAGAGTGCCGTACTAAGTTGATTAGGACTGATGGAAAGTAATTTTGCAGTATCGTTCAGTGAACCACCCTCTCCAATTAGTAATTTTTCCTCATCCAGTGTAAAAGTAATATTACCCTATCAAAGATCAACACTTATATAGCATACATATCAAAATTATTTTTAGAAGTTTATACTTTTGCTATTACCAACCAGATGCAAAATGGCACCAACGACACTCCAAAGTGTCTGAATCTCATTCTGGGAGAAACCAAGAATTGGCATGGCACTAGATACTTGTTTATAATCAGTTCTGTCACTACTACTTCCTCTATTACCATCACCCTGACCCATAAAGTAGTATGCTGCAGGATCTCTAACAAGTCGTAACCTGTTCAATTCAGATTCACTGCAGCCATTTAATAACTGAAATATTATGTAATATTATTGTTACCGCTTTGATACCAGTAAATAATATTCATAGGAAATCAGATGATTTCACGTTACAATATACAATAACAATAACTGTCATTTCATACTTGGTAGAAGCAATGGAAATTACGCTCTCCAGGTTGCTGATAAACAACGCGTGATTTCTCAAGAAGATAATTCGTAATATGCCCTCCTAACGGATCACCCTTGAAATCAAAATTGATATCCATGTATTTGCCAAAACGAGAGGAATTGTCGTTACGGTTTGTCTTAGCATTGCCAAAAGATTCCAATATAGAATTCGACTGGATAAGTACATTCTTCACTCTGAAATTAGCATTATTATTATTATAATGATACAAATAATTAATTTAGATCTCGTTACACCTTTCATGATCAAATAATAAAATGAAACAGTGAAAGGAACAGAGATAATAATAATAATAACTTATTAGTAGTAATCTTATCACAAGAAAATGATGGATATGATCAATTTATATAACCTTAAGGAAGACTAAATATATAGAATAAGATACGATATCATTAAACGAATAAAGTTAACTACGTGTCATACAAAAAAAATTGCAATTAAGAATTAATATTACAGACTTGAAGTACGATCTGACGTCTAATGCTTAATCGTACATAATAATAATCATATATGACAACGTGCGATTATTACTTGGACTTTAATTCAAGAAGATAACTATTTTTCTAAGCAAACTTTTCTGTGCAAACTTTTTTTATTTTTAGCTGCATTTCTATTCCCTTGAACTAGTTTCACCTATATCAATATTTAACAATTATACGGGTAGTTATCAAAATATGAGGGTTACTTCCGACATGCGCGTGCTACTATAATCTTTTCAATGCGAACACAGGAAAATACTAATTACATGAATACCTTTCGATTTCCTGCTGACCATCTATATTTGTCACAGCAGCAATATACTTCATAATTATTTTACTAGCTTCTGTCTTTCCGGAGCCTGATTCTCCGCTGATAACAATACAGGTATCTCGACCCTGTTGCTTCATCTCTCGATGGGCCGCATCAGCAATTGCAAAAATATGCGGTGGATTTTCAAATAGTTCTCTTCCTGAAAGCCAGAAGGATTTCATTAATTTATGTAATTTTTTATTCGTTTCCTCCAGCTGTCTGTGGATTGGTGCAATATTAATTGCGATTTTAGACATAGTCAGAGTATTCGTTAAATGGAGAAGTCTGGATATAAATGCCGTCACGAGAACGAGCAGCTAATTGTGCGTAAACCGCTGTCGTACGCTTAGGAAGTAACCGATGCGTAAACTGTAGCATTATGATTAACGGATGTAACGTGAGATTCAGGATTTCATGCACCCGTAATTAAATTTGTATGAAATTACACGGTGAGATATTGCGACTTATATACATCTACAATAGATAGTATCGTTTTGTTTCAGTGAACAATTGAGCATTTCAAAAGTGTTGACGAACTGTGGTTAGCTTTCTCCTGTTACCATTACTAGCCAAGTAAGAGAGTCCGAGAGTAACCTTCATTATCTAACTCTCTCTGTGTCAAAAATCTAATTACGTAAGTGCAATTGTCCATAGAATTTGTACCATTTTTCGCGTGCAAGTGAAAATTCTGTTTCACCGATGGAGCTACTCGCGATGCTATAACATACGGGATTGATTAATTTCATCAAACTAAATTTTAAACATCTGTATCTTTCTATTTGAATATCCTTAACTATTCTCAAGTACAAAGCCTATACCGGCAGCATGTGATCATGAAACATAGGCAGTAATAAATATTATGCTTATTCAATAATAATCGAGCTTACGTTTCTTAGCCTTTTTACTCATTCAAAATGCCCCTGACTTCATATGCTATCAGGCGTTTCCTGCTCCTATCTCGTTTACAAAGACATCAATAGTTCCTGGTACATGTAAGCTAAAGATATACTCGTTCATTTTGCACATAACTTGCTTTCTGCTTGTCTAACATTTCGTAATCTTTTATATTCGAGGACTGACAAGATATCGATTATCTCACCTTTAAAGAATGAGCGATATTTTATAATAATGTAGAAACACTGATAATCTATTTTATAGCTGATAATGTTTTAAGTCAACTATAATGTACCTATAGTCTGAATATGGCCTTTGACTCCTAGATAGTGTACCATTATTATACTAGGAATACAGTCAACTGAAATTTTATTAGCTTAGTATTAAATATATGATAAAACCTTTTGCATTTGCGTAACATATTCATTGGCAAATTGTGCATAGCTGTTCTTATAGTAGAGCTTGCTTGTCTGAACACTGCATATGTTATAAATTGTGATCTAATTGATACTAAGCAGCAGGACTGTATGATGATTGTTTATAATGAGAGTATCCATCGTAGAAGCATTATCCATTGAACAATTTGTTGTTTGAAACAAGAAAGGTTACCTTTATATTTGTTAATTTGATCTGGCCCATAAATGTTTGTTGTCCTATAAGGATTCACGCTAACACAGACCTCTCCAATGTATGTATAAAGTTTGCCTCCATTAAATCTGTAAATGGTAATAGCATGCAGAGAATTATTAATTGAACTATTAAATATACATGATTAAGATATAGTTTATTAAAAAATTATTTAGAATACTCCAATATTGATTTTGTAAGCAAAATAAATAAATACATGTGCTTTCCTGGACTTAAATTTAAAGAATCATATTTAATTTGGAATAACACATTGAATCATACGACACACGTCTGAAACCTCCGTTGACGTCCTTTATCTGATATTATTGTGACTCATACCCTCAGATTTCTGATTTTATGTAGAATAAACTATATACAAAGATATAACAGGTTTCACAGATTAGTAATCCTAAGTGAATCACGTAGCATTGGCCTAATGGGAACACCCGTCAACGTAAGAATCAGGATTATTCATTACGCGAGTGTTTTACGAGCAGTTATAGTAAACGTCATGATAATGATCCCACGCTCTATTTTATACCCTACTGTATGTCTGAAAATAGTACGTGAATAGAAGAAAATATTAACGTTGATATACAAATTTCGAAATATCAGGTCTTACATTTAAATAGAGATTTAACTTTGGCGCGAATTACAGCGTTATTTTGAAAAACCGTGGAAATTTAAACCGTTCAAACTAACTTAAAAATCATCGGCAACGTTAAATTTTTCTTGTATCCTCAGTGTATTATAATTTCCATTGAATTAGCGGTAAACGAGTAGCGCAATGCATAAGCAATTCGCAGCCAACGAAGTCGAGTTTTCTTTCAAAAGATAAGAAAGCGGCTTGCGTACCCACAAGCAGAGAGCCAAGTAAAGCCTTCAGGAAATCACGTATGAGCGATTAATTATACAAAATTATCCGTAAACTCGAGAATCATTATCGCATCAAAAACGCAAGGCTAAACTTTTTATTGGATCTGTACGTAGATACGGGGTGGTCAGTGGAAGCATGTAAGTAGGTGAGTCACGGGCATCCCAAGCAGCGAAGGTATCATTCGCGTGTATCGCGCGAACTCAAAACGACCTCGAAATTCGCGTCAGCATTTGAAAAGAGGAGTGATGAGCTCATATCCCAGGGTAGAAAGTGAAGTGTCCCAGAAAGAGAGAGAGACAGAGAGAGACTACTCAACACCCCCAAACCATATTTAGTCACGGACAAAGATATTTGCTCCTTTTTTTTGTCCTTTCCATAGAACTATAGATACGGCTCAAATTCTACGGGTCAAGTTCAAATCGCAACCACCTGCTACAATCACAGACCACGCCCTCAGTGGTAGTTCAATGAAGTATTGAGAGGCTCTAGGTTGGATGCACCAAGAACGTGACCAAGAAGATATCTTTTTTTTTACCTGTCAACCTTGGGAAATAATAATCAGCGCTTTTCGAGCTATACCTGATGCATCTTTAAAGGTACCGTTTCAATGATAATCACCTGACACGTAAATTCTCCACAACCTTCTCTAGGCTGACCTCGTCCAGCAGGACGAAATCGCCGATGCCAACCTCCTCTTGGGCTGCCATTTATTTTAACCACCGCACACCACGCGCGCGTGCAAACACTTCGCTCTCAAGGTGCGTTCTACGAACCACTGAGAGACTCTGTCGACAAACGAATGCGGTCAGCCCTTGCCACTTGCCTGGCCCCTCCACTAGAGCGCTACTTCGGTTATTCAGGTACGTATCATTTATTCTTTCCTTAAAGGTTATCATAGTGGATTTTATCTATATCTGTTATTAAGAATCCTAACAGTGCACTTGACTTGATTGCACTATATATACTAGGATTCAAGAATTGAAGCACCGAAGAAACTGACATTAGTAAAAAGGTCTTTTTGTTTTAAATAACTGTACTTAAAAGCGTTAGAAGAGTGAAACTCAGATTTACTGTAACAAAGGAATATAATAAAATTTGTAGAAACAGAATATTACAGTTAAATGTTAAATTTTAACTGTATCCACAGGTTTGTAATCTTTTTATAATGCTATAAAACACAACTTTTTGTTAACAACGGCATAATAATTTTGTTACAGTGTACGCTACTGTCTGAGTCTTGTGCATCTTATAAATGGCGCATGCGTCATAAGAGCCTGACGTACACTTGATCATTCTTATTTTTGGCTTTACTTGTTAGCTTGATTTCAAAGCTAAGTGTTCTCAGCAGTTCCTAGAGAGAGTCTTTTGACGAAGGAGTCAGTTTGTTTAAAGTATTAGTAAAAAATGACAGATACTAAAATGGATTATCGTGCGAATGGTAGAAGCAATGGATACGTGGGAACGTATGTAACAGAAGGACAGAACGGTTTTCGTACAAAGTTACAAATAAACGAGTGGACATTTAGTTTATTTCTATTTGTCCTGTCATTGGGAATCGTCATTGGAAAACTATTCGTCAGTTACGGTAAGATTATCAATTCTTGATAACGTATGACAGAACAGTCAGACGTTAATACCGGCAAAGTGTTTGTAAGGCCGTGGCGTCCAATTATTTTATATGGCAATCAGGTGGGCTTATCTTTAATGTGTGCAAGAGTGTATAACCTGGCTTAGGTTAAATTATGCCTATACCTATATTAAACTGTATATATGCACATGGAATGGGTAGCGCACGTGTATAATACTAATGTGTATTCTTATACCATGCAGGTATAGTCTGCTTCAAGAAACACGCTTTGTTTTCATTATTTTTCGTGGGAACGACCAAAGGTTCTATAACATTATCTTCTTCTTTCATTGATTTTCTTTTCATTTTACAATATTTCCTTCAGTTAAGATGCAATTGTAAATAGGACTACATTTGCATACCCAGAACATATGTAGTTTGTGAGAGATATATGCAATGTATAGAATTGCGTTATATCATCTGATGACCAAATTTGTTGAGGGTCATGTCCTCGGCTCATAAAATTGCATCATCCCGTTCGTCGTCATGACATACTTTTTTAAGGTGCATATTAACAAGCCTAAAGAAAGGACGCCACAATGGTCTATTAGACATGTAAAAATGAGGTGAAATTTATCAAAACAAGATATACTTTTTGTTTTAATAGTTATATATAGATATCATTTATAAGACTGGACTATGTTTCATAAACTTGATGCTTTAATAAGAAGCAAGAGTGTTGCATGTATTTATTTTTTTGTTATATCTTTCTAAGGATCAACAAGGATGTATGAAATCTTTGTAAGCAATCATTTTATCTTTGGACATATGAAGTTGTCATATTACAATGGTCACGTACGATTATATTTTTTTACTTGAAATCAATTATTTATATCTCACCTTCAGGAGGTGCATTGCATTGGCCAACTAACGGCCAATACACTCTACCATCGCTACCAACCCTTTCTCGTGTTTCCCATCTATCCAACGTTCTAAATCTGCCTCATTCAGTTGAGTTTGATGGGAAACAATTGGCTTCAGCCAGTGAGAAATTTTTTAATGCCAGTCGTCGATATGAAGAGGCTGTATCTGATGCTGTAATTGGTATATCCAGTAGATACGGATGGTTGATAAGGGCGGCATTGAGTGGGCTGGCAATGATGGGTTTCACGTGGTTTATCATATACAAGGACAGCAGTATTCCTGGAGTCAACCCACCATCGCCCTTTAGCCCTTCAAAACAACGGTAAGTTGTATTTGCCTGTAGAAATGCATCATATAATTTAGAGTTCTCTTGAGAATAAAATCATGTAATGGTATGACTATGCACAGTAGCATCTATTTCTTTATAATTTTAATTATGTAGTTGTTGGAAGTTTATCGTTACAATAGGATTATTGTTTCTAATAACCCTCTTCTTCAAACTTTTTTAGTTTTCTTAAAATATAAAGGTACAGATAAGTAGATATATTATTTATTATTCATTTTTGACATGAAACATGTTAATGATGATTGCACTTATTTTTTGTATTATGCGGAGGCTTTATTGTTTAAGATTGGTTTTAGCATGTGCATATAAAAAACGAGTATTAAATTATTTATTATAACTTCACTTTTTTCCTTCAGAATACTTTAAGGGTATTGATTTTTTAAATGTAATTTAATGCGAGTATGTATAGCTTATAAAGGACTAACATGATGTTTGCTATGCATGTGTATAATTTGTTTGTAGTCATTTGATTTTGTAAAATTGTAAAGATCTATAAATATTATTTAATTTTTTTCAGAATTCCTGCAAGTTCCAGATTGCAGATAAACTATTTTGTTGGAGTTTTGATTGGATTTCTGATTTTTGTCTACATGTGCCTCTAATGTCAACTTCTCCATGAAGTGTTCATTATGCAACGAAATTTACTACTGCAGTTCATATGCTATGTTACTTCAAAGCATACCCTGTTATTCGGTTATGTCCCTATTTATTTAAATATTTAAATCTCTATTGCTACTGCTACAAAGCATGATCAACATTAGTAATTATATAAATAAGTATTAAGTTATTTACTAAACGAAGAATATATGTATTAATTTATGCAATACGGGTGGTTCAAAAGTATTTCTAGTATGGTACACAAAGCTGTGCCACATATAAATATCACTCTCAGGCTTGTTTGATATATGAGTAGAGAAAAGTTGCGAGTACATTATGTACTAAAAGATAAAGAATGTATATACAAATGCGTGCTTCTAAAAAGAAATGAGTTCTATCAAAATATTTAATGTCAAGCACACAAAGCTATGTTGTGCTACATTCATACTTACTACTGATACTATTATACTTTTGCAAACTTGCATCTGAACGGTTGCTATGGTACAAATAGATTTTACTAATATTTAAAAACGTTATTTAGCGTTTGTATTATAAGTATCAAGTATTTAAGACTGACTAATCAGCCGCAAGATTAATTAATTCCGGTGTACTGTGCAGCTCAGTGTTTACATAATGTTGTTTTACTTCTTCTTTGATACTAAATAACTTTTTGTTTGTGTACTTATAAAAACTGATCTGATATGTACCTTGCTGTGATCCTATTATCTCTTTTCAAATGAATTATTCAATTAGTTTGTGCTACCAGTGCTTTACTACAATTCAATAATGAACAATGATTATAATGCATTTACTAATTATGTGTTATGATCAAAATTATGAATTTGAGCATTATTAAAATACCAATGTGTCATTTTATTTGCTTAAAATTAACTTACATTAAAAAGTGTATTATTTAAAAATTTTTTTTTTTAATAATTTTCAATTATAATATACCTAACTTGATATTTGATGTTAAAAAAAAGGTATATTATCAATTGCACTGTAAAACTATAGAATTAAAAAACATTGTTCATGTGCATAGTGGTAATTATTTTCAACTTGACACACTGCCCAAATCACAATAATTGCCAATAAAGCCTTAATCTTGTACATATATTAATATCTAAAGTTTTATGGTTCTTCATAATAGCTGCATAAAAGTTATGAAAATATTTGTAAGAAACATCTAGTCATCACAAGAGACAATCGTAAACTTCTGATTTTATAATTTATATAAATAATCATAGATTGAACAACATAATATGGTATATGGAAAACAACTGCATTTGAAATATTAATTGAAATCTATCCATATTAAATTATGGAAATGTTTCAACACAATGAAGATGTATTAAGTTCTACTTATTGCTCTGAAAATTACTACTTAATTCATTAAGATAAATCTATTTGTTTCAGATTTAATATTTATTATCCGATCATAACATATCACAATGTTTCATAATCATTAAGTTGTACTCAATTTCAATAAACTAACAAATTATATAAACTAAATGGTCATATCTTATTGTCAAATTCTTTGCCCCTATTCCATGCTTTAATTTGTGACAATTTTTCTGTTTCCTGCACGCTAATTTTGACAACTCTTTGGCATCTTTCATCAGACGAATCAAGTAACGCAATTTAAAAATGCATATCTATATTTATAAGTTGGATTTAAGAAACCCATGTTACGATGCATGATTTTATAAACGCCATTCTATTCAAAGTTTGCGTTGTAAATATAAGAATTGCAAAAAATATATTCTATCCGATAGATTTTTATCGTGAAACTTCCTGCATGTTTGGACAATGAATAATACGCAAGATGATGTAACCATAAATTTATAAATGTAGTTATGTTGTATCTAAACTAGTAGTAGAGTCCCTCTAGTAAAGGCCTTCATACATAAAACGACGTAACGACTTAACACGTAAGCGTAAGGAAACCAACCAATCAGAATCTAGTACTGTCCCCTCCACTTTTCTCCGTAAGACGTAAGCCGTAGTGCCGAAAAATATCGTAAGGATGAAATCGTTACGGCTTACTTCTTACGGACAACCAATCACAAACCTTCGCGCGTTCTCGTTTAAAAGAACATTGTTTACACGTGAGACGAGTGGCTTTGATGTGCTTTGATATTGAATAAAACCAGCAATGAATGATCATAAGCACTATTGTTCAACAATGTATTGTAATAAATAAAATTATAGTATGTACAATGACGACACTTTGATAAAAATGTGCAATTCTTTCTTGAGTGTGATTGGCCCTAGCTTACTCCTTACGCGTGTGGTGTGCGATGGTGCTTACTGATTACAGCTTACGGTTGCGTCTTAAGTCGTTACGTCATTTGTGTGTGAAGGTCTTAAGAGTCCGGCCAATACCCGAGAGGGACGCCATGTTTAGAGCTCGTTTGGAACCGCCATGACATTGCGCGCGGATTTTCAAACTATCAATCTTTACCATCAAGAGACTCGGTCGAGTCTCGCGCCAGGTACAGGCAACCCGCCATACAGGGCTTAACACTACCCCCACTACACAATGCGAATCCCTCCGATATACGTATTCACACACAACATCCTATTCCGGGAAGAGTCCTCAAAATGGTGGAGCCAATCAGTAAGAGGCCCATCGTTGGCCGGACTGGGCCGGACTCTTGCTAGAAGGGCTGTAGCTAGTAGGTGCTTAGCACGGCCTCTTATTTGCTGTCAGTTTTCTGTAATCTTGAAAATTTTCGCAAATTTAGTTATATTTATGTAAATCTTGTATTGCAGCATATTTTTAGTTGGTGCACAGTAAAACGATAATATACAGGCAGAGAACTCAATCATGAATCATCAGATTTATAAAATATATAACCAAGAGGATTTCAATAGGATCACTAAAGGAATTAAAGTTGCGCAATGCATGCAATCCAAATCTACATCTGGTAAGATTTACGCTATGATAATCGAAACGCTTTTTCATTTTACACAAGATTTTAATATACCATTTAGCTTATCTGCGTATTTGCAAATAGTCTAGACTGTCGTGTTATGTTCGCCATACTTGTATTTGAGATTTTTTTGATACATGTCAAAATATTAGTTAACTTTTCAACAATGTTTTGTGTTATCTTTGGGGGCTAAACTGCAGAATACGACTCCTATTTAAAGTTAGCTGTGGAATTTTTAATTTTTTTTTCGTGTAGTCTTTCAAGAAGTTGTATTCTGTAATTTTACCCCTTTGGGTTACGAACTTATAAAATTCCATATGGAAAATTAATTTCCTAAAATTTATTCATTACTGATAATTACAACAGATCGCACAATGGTGCAAATAGAAAAATGACCATATTATTAGATGTTAATATTTGATTTAATAATAAAGTTTATTTCAATTTATCTTTAAATAAGATACTATTCGTAATGTGCTTTTAACATTTCTTTTTAGAATTATTAAAATATATAAATGGTTATTCAGTACTATTATACTACCTGAATATGGTTCTACCATGTGAATTAACAGAAATCAAATCGATAGAATCATCTTTTGGCAGTGCAATAATCCTAATCAAACTTGTATAGTTAACAAATAAAACTTATGGGGATGTATTAAATTTTAGTTTATAACATATTCTCATGCAAAAAACATACTAGTTTCAGACACAGAAAAAATACTGGGCCAACTTGATGAGTTAGTTGTATCTGACTCACTAAGCTGTTCATTCTGCAATATTGTTTTTGAGGATCAAGCAAAGCAACGTGTTCATTATAAATCAGATTGGCATTGCTATAATCTTAAGCAACGGTTGTATGGCCTTAAATCTATTAGCGAAGATGATTTTGGTTTATTAGCTGATAAAGGTAATCACATTGCCTTTATACACTTGTTCTGATTGGGAATTATTCCCTAATAGTTTTTGATAATCATTATTTATATGATTCTAGATGATGTATCTAGTACACCTGGTACAGAATCAGAATCAGAAAATGAAGAGGAAATGTGTACCTCAGATACAGGCAGTTCACCAAATGGAAATTCTAGTAGTAAAGAATCAGGAACGAAGACCAGTCCAACATCCATTGATAACAAGAATAGAAGGCAAGAAAATAATAATAAAGCAGTTGAATTTACGTCTGATAGTTCTGATACAGAAAATGATGAGGAAGTTTTGAAAAAAAAGAAAAATTTATTAGTAGTAGCAAGTCGCCACTCTAAAATTTTCTTTGAAAATGAGGAAGGAAATATCTTCAGTATATATAGATGCTTACTTCACAATAAGAAGGTACTTATCATCACTCAATAAGCTTGGTCACTGTTATTCAGCAATGTTATGCACATGTCATCTCTGTCATTAAACATACTACAAAGTAGCAAGATTGGATGTTCAACTGACAATAAAGTTTTTTTTAAGTATAACCAGTAAATTACTGACAATAACTGTGATAGTTCACATGTGCCCAAGATTGCAAACATTCTGCATATTTCACATATATTATCTTGTGATCTCGTCTATTTTGTTAGAAAATCATGGCGGGTCTGTAGTTGTCCGATCAGGAGAGTTGCAATTAAATTTTAGGAAGTTCCTGAAGAAGATAACGAGATAATAGCTCAGGCTTTGGAGAGTGGGAAGAGAACCAATTGGACCGTGATAATGCTTGGTGGAGGCCATGTAGCAGCTGCAGTATTTCAAGGTATAAATTTCAAATAAGTTAAGCATATTATGAATAATTAAAAATTGCATGGTATATTTACAACATTAATTGTAGGTGGTGAGGCAGTAGTGCACAAAACTTTTCACAGTTATACTGTACGTGCAAAACAAGGCGGTGCGCAATGTTCCCGAGATATGCGTACAATGGGAAGTCATCCAAAAAGTGCTGGAGCAAATTTACGTCGTTATAATAGAGCCTCCCTCATTCAGGTATATAAAAATTATAAAAATCTCAATCTTTCAAAATATTTATAAGATTATAAGTATATTAAGTATTATTCAAAACACTTACGCATCTAATACTCTTCTAGCACGTACAAGAAATATTAGAATCCTGGTCTACGGAAATTGCCAATTCCTCATTGATCTTATATAGAGCTGTCGGTCCTTACAATAGATCGGTGCTTTTTGGTGGGAAAAATCCATCATTAGATAAAAATGATTCGAGACTAAGACCTGTGCCATTTCCTACAGCGCGAGCGACATTCAGCGAGGTTAAACGAGTGTATGATATACTGAGCACAATGGAAATTTATGGTAAATAATTATCACAATTATCATGGAACATTCATAATAACAGTTGGACGAATGTTGATTAGGATCAGCAGCACAGTTCACTGATTGCTTTCCCATCTCACCGCGCCAACCTATCCGTAAAAAGGTCTTGAAGGTTGATGTAGAGGAGACATCTGAGAAAATTCTTGATGATAAAAGTAATCCTAATCCCGGAACTGACGGTGTTAGCGAGGTGCAGAATAATGAAAAGACTAAAAACTCATTGCAAACAACACCTGAAAGACAATATAGAAGTCCACGTTCTCATATAGACAGAGCAAAACCTAGAAAAAGTCCACGACGTCCGCTACCAGGTACTTTACTTTTCAGACAGATATAACATTAACAACAGTGTAACAACGAAGTTATATACATTGCAGATATAGTGGCTCGACTAGCTCAATCATCTTCAGGATCGGAGACTGACGAGAAAGAGGAATGTTCTAGTGGTAACATAATGGACATTCCGTTGATACATGAAAATTTTGAAATTGAATTCAATGATCACTTGCAAGCCTTCCAGGATACTGTTCCTAGATACATGAAGAGTAAAAAAATTCGACGGCAGAAGAGAAAAGTAAAAAAGGACCGCAACGAAGGTACTGTGTTGAGTTGACATTTTTGGCTTCACATTTTTAATTCTGTATCGCTTATGGTAAATGAATTTCAATTTAGAAATTCCGGTGAACGAAGTATTAGTCAGTGTAAAGCAGAAGTTATGGGCAGCTTGTAAGCTTGGAGACATTGAGTTACTGTCCTCAGCTGTGGAAAGTCTTTTAACTGAGATACGTAGATGTCAGGTTATCGAAGAGCAAATTAGCAAAGAACAGGAGCAAGCCTTAGATTCCGTTGCACTTATTACAATGGATGATGTCATTAAACTCGTAAACGACCCCAACACAGATGGTAATACAATGTTGCATATGGTAGCTGCTAAGGGATATGTAAAATTAGTTTGGCAAGTGTTTTTACAACATAATAATTTTTTTATTGTAATTATATAATATTACTTTAGTAATTTTATCTGACAGGTCTTTGCTCGAAATTGGATCGGATCCTTGCAATAAAAATAAAAAACGTGAAACACCTTACGTAACCGCTGCGGATAAAGAGACAAGAAATACCTTCAGACGATTTATGTGCGAGAATCCTGAAAAGTTTAATTACGATAAGGTAAGTCAAAATTGACAATAAATATTTCACCGACTTAAATAGTTTTATGCGAAATATTCATAATTCGTTGTTACCAGTCTCGGATACCTGGACCAATGACTGTCGAGATGGAGCAAGAGATCCTCGAGAAAAAGAAGGAGCAGAGAAGGGCAAAACGTAAGAAGGAGAAGATGAAGAAGAAGGAGTTTGAGATTAAAAAACAAGAAGAAGAGGCAAGGCAGAGGTTTCTTCATCTTAGTGACAGAGAGAAGGTACTTAAACAGATCTTATATCACTGTATTACTTTTTACTTTATACATTTTTTATGTTCTTACATTTAACTTTTTTTCTTGTTACCAGAGAGCATTGGCAGCTGAGAATCGAATTCGGCAACAAGGCGGCAAAGTCGAAACACGCTGTTTCCAATGTGGCTCCGATATGAGTGGCAAAGTGCCTTTTGAATACAATGCTAATCGTTTTTGTTCTATGCCTTGTCTGAAGGAACATCGTCTCCGTCACAAAGCAATTCTCTGATGCCACCCTACATGTCTGTAGGACAATCCTTTCATCTATTTCGAGATGTCTAGATAACAGCAGGTCTATGATGAGAGTGAAAAATCATATGGTATAAAATAACCGAGAGATTGCAGTTGAAAGCATCTTTGTTTTCAATCAGACACGGGTAGGAACTATTTCAACTATAAAATATATCAGGTTCTAAATGTCGCATAGTAATTTCGATAACTATACAATTAATTGCCATGCCAAACAGTGTTGCCAGAATTATTTAAAGACATTTTGAGAATGTTTCAGGTTAAATTACACTCTTCTTTCAAATAATCGTCTCGTTCCTTTTAGATTTCCTTTCAGGTTTCAAATAGACAGGTTTTTGATTTTATACGGTAGCCAGTGTTATATACAAAACAAATCTCAAAGTCCTTAAGAAGTCCCTAAGATTAATTACATTGGTAATACAATCCTAAAGCGCACAGATTTAGATTACTCAGTGGCGTTTAAGGAATTCTTTGTGAATGTTGCTAAAGATAATAGTGATCTAGTTTAAAAGTGAGATATTCTAGAGTTTCAACGTTTTAGGGAGGACCCAGTTACGTTTTTTTTTCATTTTTTTTTGAATAAAATTTAACATATATTTGTAAAGATAGATGCCGATGCCGATGGGTGCATTAATCTGTGGATACTTTTTGTACATGCATGTAAAATTTTAAATACTGTTCACTTAGCCGTTTCAAAATGAAAATTTGTTTAATATATACAAAGCTCTATTGTTTATGGGCATTGTATTACTAGTTAATTACAGGTGAAGGTCTTGGGATACAATATTTTATAACATTTGTTTCTTCATTAACTATCCACATTGTGGTACGATGTGTATATATTCTGATAAATAGTATCTGCGATCTAAGGGAAGATCTCTTTGATTTTTTACTCTTAACTGTTTGCAGTGACTCTCATGCATTTATTGCATATCATACCGCGTGAAAAACTTGACATTGTGTGTATTCTAAGTAGATAAGTACACATGTGCAGATATATTCAAAATGAATTGATTAAAGCATAATTATGCTAAAAGTTAACGTACTCGTAAGTTATTACGTATGCAAAATAAATATTAATATGAAGAACAATGATAATTGATAACTGCTGCATATTGTCGATTCTTAATTGTCAAACATTTGACATGTGACAGACAAGATAACTAGATGTATTACAAATAGTGAATCGTAGAACAAAGTGTAAGTGTAGCTGAAATTTCACAAGTGTGAAAAGTGTGACAAAATAAATTCTTTAAAAAATATACAGTCATTGTATCATTACATCAGTAGGTACTTCAGTGCAATTTTTAAAACGCCACTTTCCTGTCATAACATAAAATAGAGATTTTCTGTTCCTCTTTACATAAATAGTTCTATGGACATAGCTACTTTTTAACTATAAAATATTTCATTATCGCTGCTTATTATCTGAAGAAATTCAGGGTTGATAATATCATCTGATGCTATTTGCATATCTTCATAATCCATTTGTATTTCTGGTGTGCAATCCTTACCAGTTAACCAGTATGTATTCATTAGCCCTTTGCCCTAGCATAAGAATTATTCTTTTGTCATATCGCAGCCATAAAAATTGTTATAGTAATGTACTCACTAAATGCCTCTCTTTACCTACTACATACTCACCTTGACTTCCATACTTCCTCTTAATTCGGTTGTATAACCACCAAGAAGATCAAGGGCTTCCTTTGTGCTTTGAGATATGTGTATCTTCATAGCTGCAAGATCAAAAATTGACAATGGAACAAAACTACTTAAATACCTTAAGAATGTTAATTAAACCTTCAAACCTTCCCCGGTGGATTCCATCCGGCTAGCTGTGTTTATGGTATCTCCAAAAAGACAATAACGTGGCATGGTGGTTCCCACAATTCCAGCAACACATGGTCCAGTATTAATTCCTATTCGAATTTCCAGTTTCTCTTCTGGCTTGTGAGGTATTACATAGCACCGAATACCAGCCAATAAATCCAGGGACATCGTTGCAATTTCGGCTACGTGACGACTACCTATGTTAAAAAAATATAAAATTTCTCATTCAAATTATGAGGCAGCAGATCATAAATGTAGTACACATACCATTCCTCTGCGGTAGTCCACTGACTACCATATACGCATCTCCAATGGTTTCTACCTTGTAGACGTCGTATTTACGAATTCGCGAGTCAAACAGCCTGTAAAGTGTGTTTAACAAATTGACCACTTCCATGGGCGTGCTTTTGGCACTTAATTTGGTAAAGCCGACTATATCGCTGAAATAAATTGTCACTGAGTCAAAGTTCTCTGCTGGGACCTATGACAAGGTATTAAATTTCAAAGAATACATTATACAAGAATACAATATTTTATTGCAGAACGAGTCATCGAATTACATATAACTGTCAAAAGAACAATTACCTGTCTTTGTTGTTTTAGCTGCCTAACCACTGCAGGTGGTAACATCTGATAAAGTAATCGATCGCTTTTACCCTTTTCACATCTGAAAAAAAAATTGAATAAAATTCGGAAAGAAATGTAAAAAAAGTATACTTGTCATACCTTAGCTCGTGCGCTCTTAATACTAACGTATCGGCAAATTTTTGAATGGTCATGGTGGCGTTTCGCACCAGTAGTATAATGATAGGTGATATAATAAGTATTAAAACCAGAATGGCTATTAGAGCTGCTTGTTGACTGGATGCAGATCTCATTTCGACATAAAGTTGCTGCCTATCGTTAAAGTATAAAATAATTAAATTGCACGTGACACAGTACATTAAAAGTGAACAAAATTTGCCAAAACTACATAGAATATTAAATACTATAATGTAACTGTATATAATAAATATTAATATCAAGATCTACCTTATTGCCTCTTGCAGTTCACTCTCGCAATTGCGTAGCAAGTGCACGTAATCCTCCATTATTGTGTAATAATTATTCACCGTATTTATTTTGTCAAAAGGTCCCATCTCATTCGTATAAATGTGTCTGCGACTATGAAACAAAACGAAACCTCCATTCTGTATTGAAATATAAAACAACCCAGTGCTATTAAGCCATGAATATACTGTATACTATAATATGATTAAAGCTGCAGAAATTAAAGCAGATAGATATTGATACCTATCCATCATTAGGCCGTATACATCGGACTGTTCTGTTTTCTTTGTAAGATTCGGCGCGAAATGATTTATGGCATTCAAATACTCATGTGCAAGTGTATCATGCTCTACGTAAGACATGAGTCCAGGAATTAGTAAGTGGCCGCTACTGTATTTTTGCAATCCATACACTATCGATATAGTCAGATGCTCTATAGCCTGTAATATGTACTTGTAGGCGATCATCAATCTGGAATAGTATATAATGGCGTTGAATATAATATTATAATCAATTAATTACAGTTGACGATGCAAATATTGACGAACTTGACATCAAGTTGTATACCTCCATGTGTCACCTGTTGCCGTTTCTCCAATTCTTCGGGAAATTTGTTCAAGAATGTAATGATTGACATTGACGTACCAACTGGTTGTACGTTCAGCTATTTCACCTTTGACGGACGAGTTTTCAATTCTGTACAAAATAAATAACATATGGATAAATGAAGATTCTGCATTTTCGCGCGATGTGAAATATTGAAGCATTTAAATCGTCTGGTATATCGATCGTTAAATTGTAAGCTCGAATTTTAACCAGTCGACATGTCTAAACTCGTCCACGGGAACCTTGAACATTAGCATGCAAATTTGGCCTTGTTTACGTCGGAACTACTAATTAACTTCGTTTCGTCACACTTCATTATAATTTCATTGCATCCGGAAAAGGTTTCTAAGAGGTTCCGATGCCGACTTCATTCCAATAATCCTGACCTTCGTACTGATCACATAAGTCATCCACGAATAAGAAGATTCATCGACTTACGCCATTTCGATGATTTCATTCCGTATGTAGCTGAAAGGAATTACAGAGAGGTTGACGTCTTCAATTTTATTTCTAGACATTTATTAAGACTACGTTTCGAACAAGGAATTGAAAGAGTTTTAAAATTGTATTAGTAAATTAAATTTTGAGGTTACTGATTCTTCAGATGCACATTCTAGGAATTTAGATGCCTTTTTTATTATATGCGTAACAGATGTACCTAAAATTTGCCAAATGCAACAACATGCCTCCGGTGGAATCGTCGTTGCTCATAGTTCTGTTGATATTTCTGAGGACGTCGTTGGTGCGAGAAAACGTATCGTTCAAGCTCGTCCTGCGTTTAAAAAGCAAAAAAATATCGATTGCATTCAACGAAAGTTGTACTTGTATCCGTGATCCAGAATCTGATACATTTTCATATCATGACAATTCTGTCATTGTGACAACTTTTTAAAAAGTCATAACAATTCAATTGAGCTAAGCAAATGACAGATTTCTATCGAGATATTACACCTACGAATTTTATTATCGATTTACATAGGACCCACCAGTTCTCATTCTTTCCAATAATGTAAAGCGCACTTTCAGCTCGTTCCTTTTGAAAAGCCACAAGTAACCGACCGAGTTCAACTGTGAGACTGATCTAAAATTTTGTTTAGGACAAAATATAGTTTATCAAGAAATTGTTCAAAAGTTCATTGGATTAGGTTGGTACAATCGTTAAAGTGTATGTAATTGTAGATAGACCTGTTGCTTAGTATACTCGGCATAGCGAAGTGCACGGGAAGCGGAAGCCATGTTGTGACAACTTTGAGCAATCAAAGCGATAATCGGTACAAACGGAAGTAGGATCATTTGTATTAAATAGAGCCGTCGTCCTTCTCGTGATCCTGGATTAACGCGGAAGCAGCCCATTCTTACTCCCACCTGAGATAATTGTTCGGTTCAATTTTTGTGCGATTTTGAATCATAACCTGTTCATAACACTTAAAGTATAATGCATGTTACCTCGTTCATTATTTCCGTTGTTTCTGTTTTTGTCCCAATAGATATTCTTCGTGATCTTGGCTGATCGGCAATTGACAGTTTCATAATCGAAGCTCTGCAGTTATACAAAAATCATTTTAAGGTTAGTAGATCATTTTTAAAATGTCTTTATATACATTCGAGTATATCAATCCTTAGTTCCTAAGCCTCCCAATTAAAATAGATTAAAGATCGACAATTAAATTGTCTTTCGAACCTTAAAACAATATACCACCCCATTCAAGGTAATCAAGATAGAAAGGGATCTATATCCGTTATAAGAACCGAGAGGAGTAATGCGAGATAATTCATGCCTAGTAATAAACTTTTTATACTTGACTACGAACTTGAACCCTCTGATGCCATGAACTTGGAACGGTATGCGTTATCTCACATTTTATTCTTAATTGAATTTCTTCTCTCTAACTAATTGGTATCATCTATCCGATTAGTCATTCGTTATCGCTCGGAATCTTGAAGGTCTTTAGAATTTTATCGATGCAATGGAAAATAATTAGAACTGTTCTTTGATGAAATGGGATTTAAATTTCTGTTGTGTCAGTATCAGCTCTTATTACTATGTATATGTATATATATGTAATGAGTGTAAATAGCGTAAGTAAACGTTACATATTCGTTTAAGGACTTATGCAGATTTCTAGCGCAGTTGCACGTGGCGAAGAAGTTATAATAATAAAGCATTTACGGTTCAATGAAAAATATGTGATATCGGAGATGAATTTCGTTGTCTACGATTTCATGGCCGTACCTCTGATATTGAGATTTTTTTTTCAATCTGAACATTCAAGAAATCTTGGCTCTTCTTGGAACGCATACTATATATAACGACGTATACACGTATTTCGTGTTGTTCATCGAAGCTCTAAGAAATTACGTAGAGTACAAGAAGAACCGACATTGTATACATAGAATAATTCGGTTTGCGAATAAATAAGATAAAAAGATGTACCTACCTACATATGTTTATCACAAGTTTTGTTTTACGTTTTTGTTATTGCTTCTTACAAGGATTCTTTATTTTAGAAAGTTTTTTACGGGTTCTAAAATTACTTTTTTTAATGTATCAAGTTTTTTTTTTAATTACTCTCATATTTAATCACTGTCGTGGTTTTGAATAATGTTTTTGACAATCGCTCATGAATCAAAAATGTGTATGTTTAATGTAACGGATGGAATAGAAATCCAGGATAATTAAATTTATCCTGGTTGGTTTGATTGCATGTGCGATTAACAAGAATCTAAAGTGTACTAATCCGTGGCTTAGTAGTTACTGAGTTTAAGGAATGCCGCGATTACTGCAGTGAAATATCCTTAGCGAGCTCTTCCCAGGAATTGGACTTAAGTGCATCCTGACGTGTTGAATTTTAGCTGCGTCGCGTAGGCGGCAAAAGGAAGATCCAAAGCGAGGGAAAGAGAAACAGAGAGAGAGAGAGAGACAGAGAGAGAGAGAGAGAGAGAGAGAGAGAGAAAAAATGTAATTATAAAAAATACTTAAGACGAGTCTCTTACATTTGCTCGATATAAAATTGATATTTTTCTAATTTTGGCAACGAACAATTTCCATAATTCATCTTCAATTATGCTTTACGTAGTAAATCAATTTCATCTTAACAAAGTCCTATCACTTTAAAAATGTCTAATTATAATACTTTCATAAGATATAAGTATTTCGGTTGTGACTGTTTTCTAGTAAAAATTTCATTATCAAAATTGAGGGATCGTCGAGGTCCTAGTTAAGCCTAGACTGGCCCTGTCGGGAACTACACAGGTCTTGGATGTATCAACAAAAATTTTACTAGAGTTGCATAAGCTAAAAACTCAGTTTTAATCAGAAGCTATAGTCATATAAGCGATATGGATTACAAGAAAAATTTATTTGCATTAAAAAATTCCTTTCACTGTGTCGTGTCCTTATATTTTTGATTTCGGTATTTGGGCAGCGTCTGCGATTATGATATTTGATCGGGTCTGATCATTTATTGATCTATCGACGATATATGTATCAAATCAAATTATGTCGGTTACATTACATAAATATTGAGATCCAATAATTTCAATGCAGTGAATTCACTTCTATCGAGTGCCGATAAATGTTTTGAAAAAATGACAAAAAAAAATACGAGTAGTTATATTTTTAAAAAATGACACTTAAAAATTTGTGTTTACAAAATTATATTTTAATTCGAAAAAATCAGTGGCATAGACATCAAGATCATGCTTTAGTCTAAATTTTAAACACTTAACCACTTGCCTCTATATTATTAAAAGCAATTTAATTTCTTGTCAAATGCACTACCTCCATCCTGAATATAACAAATAATTAACGACGTGTGAGACCGGGTGAATTTAAAACGACAAACAATATTATGTAACAAGTAAACGACAAATACTTGCCGAGAAATAATACAAAGCACTCGATAATATGTAACAAAGAAAAAAATACGAACAACAACAATGAGAAAAGTTTTTTAAAATATCTATAAATCGAATCGTCCTATTCCACATAAATCGATCAGCAATAAATCATTCGATATTCGATCTCGAGATATAATCATAGAACATGTATGTGTTCGTTTCATAAACAAAAAAAAAACAAACCAAATATTCCCACGACACAATTAAAACAGCACACATTACCTTGGTAACCGAAATCGGTTTCGTCGTTCCTCAAGTAATTTTATTCCGTAGAATATATTCGGTAAAGTGACGTTCATAAGTGAATCCCAATCTCAAAAGTAGTACGAACAAAGGTATAAGGAGATTGAGTACTTTTTTCAATTTCTACCTATCAACTGTTCAAAGGCTCTCTTCGTATAACTGTGAACGGTTGCGAACTGAATTCTGGGAGATTTACCTGAGTTGGATTTTTGCACGACAAGGAAAGTTTGGCGCCCGCGCAAAACCGACCCTCGTAATTCTGACATAGGCAGCTCCATTGGCGGGCAGCTACGACATACAGTAATATAGCTTAACCTCAAAATCTCTGTATCGTACTAAGCGAAGCTTTAGCAGAATTGTACCGAAGAAGGGTTAATTATTCATTAAAATTTTGGCCATTAGAACAGATTTTTTACGTCGCAATCGATTGAACGTATTGTGTTTCATTCAGTGAACGAGGCCTACTATAGCGCTGTTACGTAAAACTTAGATACGAATAATCTGTTAAAGTAATACCATGTCGTAACGATTGATCGAGTATAATATACTGGAAAATTAAAATGCACGCAATAACAAAACCCATGGGAAAAGAAAAGCCTTACATAAACCTTTTATGAAGCCTCATATAATCTTCCTAGTACAGAAACCAAAGTGTACACGTGCATCACTGTATGTAGCATGAAAAGCCTACCTGTAATAATGAAATTAAAGGAGTAGGAGTATTAGACAGATATTAGACAATCGATATAGAAATCAATATGATTTTATACACCTTCTAGGCTAGTTGTAATTACATCGATCATATTATAGACGCGTCGAACGTTTTAAACACAGGACGATTATAATTTTGACAGTGGGATTAACTACAAAAGACACAAATAATAGAGAATAAACCTAACCTAAATAAAATATTATTCCTAATATTCAGTCGAGAGATTTTTACTTTCGGTTTTGTTTTCACTATTTTTTCCAATTTCTTCTTTCTCTTCTTCCTTCAACATCCATTTCATTATCTTCTCTCGTACCGTTATTCATTCTGACGTGTGCGACGCGTTAATGACTAGTGTTATTAGGAGCTTAGGAGACAATAAATATTGTAGTAAGCGCGATGCAAGATGCGTTCTTAATATAATTTAAATAAAGGAAGTGCAGTACCCGAGTTTCTTCACGAAGAACAGCTTTCCATGACAATTTCCATTGTTATATTCCTTGAAACATGGAATCTTCATTAGGATACGTTATGTTTATGTACCTTCAAACTTTAAATGTTTCAATGCTTATTGAGTTAATTCAGTAACGTGATTGCTTTACTCCTTTGTGGAAGGTCCTGTCACGTTTCTCTTGACTTCTTGATTAAAATGCACATATAATTTTGGCTGCGCTATAGACATTGATATTTTGTTCCTCCTTCTTCTTTTAAAAGTTTTTCAGCATTTCGTCTAGGCCTGTCTTATATCTTCATATCTTATCTTTGGTCATAATATTGTTCATAAGTCTCTTTAGAGATTTTTCATTAATAATAAAATAGAGAATTAATAAAAGACCTTATACTGTACTGGAATGAATAAATGTATAGTATATGAACAATATATTAATAAATCTTAGATTTCGACTTGTTTGATAATTGTGTTACTTGGTCTTTCAATGGTTTTCATAGTAATACTGTAAAGATTGATTATTAATTAATGATGAACGTTGTCCAGTTCATTGAAAAATATTAAAATAACGTAATTAAATAAATGTATTAAATAGAAGTAGACTCGTCAGTATCTGTATCACATTCGAGACCATATAACCTGCAGATATCAGCTTCTGTCCAGCTAGAATCAATGGATACTTTATATTTATCCTCTTGGCCATCGTTGGATGTTCTGATTCTGACATAAGTATTTTTCATGTTGTCTTTTGGATCAGCCTGTATATCAGTACTCCTTAACAATGGACTATTCTCACCATTGTCGTTGGATCTAGACTGTGTCTTTTCAGTAAGAGTCTTTTCCGATTGCGTCTTCTCAGAGCCTATCGAATCCAAGGACTCGCGATTTGAATTGATCCAATTGTTTTTAATGTTTGATTTTTCCTTGTTTACATTTTTTCTTGCCACCTGAGGACTTTCGTTCTCTAGATACTTCCTCATCCAACGCGGCGCTTCGGAGGAATAGGCGTGTGTCTTCTTCGTGTACTTAGGGCTACTGAGGATCATTGGTATTTCCGTTTCTATCACTGTGGTAATAACCTGTTCGTTTTTGTCAAAATTACTCTCCAGGTATTTCTTCTTTGGAGCTACACTTAATTTACTTAACAAAGAGTTCTCCTCTTTGGTATCATACGTATAGGAATAGTGACGTTGAATGTGTTTTGGTTCTTCCTTTACAGGTAGTTCTATTACAGCTGTTTGTTTGGGTGAATCTTTCCAGGATATTTTTTCATTAATTTCCTCAATAAGCGCCTTTGGTGAGATCTTGGTCCGAGTCGTTTCTTGATTCTTAGTGATTGGTAATAAGCACTGTCTGAGATTTCCGGTTATACTGTGCCTCTGCTTTACCGGTGAATCGAGAAGACGTCTTAGACTTGAGTTGCGTATTTCCGGTACGGATAATCTCTCTCTAGGTGGTGCCACTTTTACCACAGGTGGTGGAAATACGGTGCCTGGTTTTGATAAGATTGGGCTCGTACTTGTTATCAAAACGCTTTCTAGACCCTCTGCAGGTTTTTTGGCCTTGCTTCCGGAAGAGTCCGGAGGGTCTGTCTTTGGATGAGTCTCCGAAATTGGAGAACTCGCTATTGGCAGTAACCTGGATCTTCCGGGTTCATTTAAGGAACTATCTAAGCTGAACCTCTGCTTTGGAGTTCCTGCCATTAGTCTGAGATCATTTGATGTCTCAAGTTCCGGTATTGAGAAACGGTCTCTGTTGAATTTTGTTACCGTTGATGGGAAGTCGCGAAGATTTCGGTATCTTGCACCGAAATCTAATTGCGACAATCGATCTCTCTGTGTAGCTTTCACGGCAACTGGCGAAACGAATCTCTTTGGCTTCAACGGAGAATGAATCACCGGAAGTTCCTTTCCAGTGCTCAAGCAAGGCTGCGATAATCTCTGCTGTACTCTGCCGGGATAATAATCTCCAGTAACCAGGGTGGGCTGGGAGAGACGTTCTCTTCTACTTGGTATATCGTGACGAAGGAATCGCGTAACGTCAGGCTGTGAATGCCTTGATTTATGATCCGAGGATCCAGACAGCTGAACGTTGGGTGCAGAGAGTCTTTCCTCTTCGATTTGGAAGTTAATGCTGTTGTCTCCAGAAGCTCGCAGACTGGAGTAAGAGAATCGACCTTTATTCATGCCGACGAAGTTTATTCCTGAAAAACTAGAGTTCAGGGTCGGCTGCGACATGCGTATCCTACGATCCGGTGATCCTGAAGTCTTTCTGGACTCGTTGTATGAGACCAGAAGTGTTGGCAGGTTAGGTTGGGAGTAGCGACTTCGCTGACTAGGCGAGTAGCTTGGACAGGGCGGGGTTGATCTTGTACCCTCTGTTATGATCGAGTCCTGAGATTCAATGCTGCTTTGTGATTGAGGACCTTTCACTGGGGTTATGTGAAGATTCGGATGCGAGAGACGGGTCTTTCTTCCGGTACCCGGGGGACACTTTAGATGATCAATTAGGTTAGGTTGGGATAGGCGAATGCAAGAATTAGGATGTAGTGGTCCTTGTTTATTAAGGTACCACAAATCCCGGCGAGAGTATGGTTCGCATCAGAGGGTACCCTCTTCGCGAAGCCTTCGCATGAAGACTGGTCGCACATCCTCGAAGAAGTACGGAAGGTCGAGTTCAGCGGCCCTTGCGATGCCGCCATCTTTACATTCTAACCAGTACGTGTCCATCAGGCCTTTACCCTGGAATGAGAGAAATAAATAAATTATTAACATATATTTTAGACTGTCTTTATCATTTGATATATCAACGAAACATGTATTACCTTGACGTCTACCAGTCCACGGTGTTCGATTCGAAATCCACCGACAGCATCCAAAGCTTTTTTCATCTCTAGACTAATATGAATTCTTAGAGCTGTAATGGAAAATGTTAGATTATTATTTAGAGTATTTGATATCAATTTAATTGAATAAGAATATTTATCTCAAATACGAGACCTTCTCCCGTTGATTCCATTCTGCTGGCTGTGTTTACTGTATCGCCAAAGAGACAGTAACGAGGCATTTTCGTACCGACAATACCCGCTACTACAGGTCCGGTATGAGCTCCGCTACGTATTTGCAAACGTTCACCAGGTCGCTTTGGAACTTGAAATACTGTCGAGGCTGCTAGTAAGTCCAAGGCCATTGTAGCAATTTCCGACACGTGTTTATCACCTAGAAAAAGAAATAGACAAAAACAATTGACAAATGTCCTTATTTCTTATCTTAACATGTAATTTGATTGAGGATAAATCATAAGAATCTGTGTACAAATAACTAATCAGCTTACACACCGCAGTAACAGTTGCCATGCGATTTCTTTTCTTAAAAAATTTGATTCAAGAGAAATTCAAAAATTTATATAACACTATCAGATAATTAAATTCTTCAATATAATAATTCTGGGATATTAATTGAAAGTCTTATACTTTGTCTCTATTTATCCGGTTGTGATTGGTTAAAGTTATCGAATGACAGCTGTCAAATATGATTAATTTGAGCTGTATATTCCTGTATAAATATGGAAAAAATTCAATTTATTCAGACCTTCTGCTGGAATTCGATTAATTCTCAATACGACACATATCCAAGCATGCTTTGAGTATGTACAAGACGACATGTGGATAACGCCAGGGGCTCGTACTTTTACCATTTCTAACTGGAAGTCCAGAAGCGACCATATAAGAGTCCCCAATTGTTTCTACTTTGTAAACATCGTAACACTCGATTCTTGCGTCGAATAACTTGTAAATCGAGTTGAGGAAGGTGACAACCTGAAAAATAACATGATTTAATGACTTCATATAAAGATGAAGTAAATTTTCAATATACTGGAAATTAAAGGAAAGACCAGCCACGGGCGTTTGGTGAATTTCCCCCCAGGTAAATTTATTCCAATTTTCGGATTTCCTAAGTCTTCCTTAAAGCCTTAGAGAAACACGAAAAATCGTCTCCTACCTCAAGGGGTGTATTTTCCGCAGCTATTTCCGTGAAGCCAACAATGTCACTGAAGTAGACCGTAACGGCCTCGTAATATTCAGCTGGAACCTAACAAAAGATGTATACTTAGTAAACTCAATTGCGCCCTTTATACACCCAATAAAAGCACCTCTTGTTAAAATACAGTGAGCGTAAAAAGTATTGGTACACCGAGTGTTTTTCGAAAATGAAGTTTTTCATATCATTAATATAGGTTTGATGAAAAAAAAGTCACACTGTATTATTCTTCAAACATTTCTTTATTTATTTACCTGCAAGAATATTCACAATGATTAATTATTTTGGCGTAAATTAAAAAAAGAAAAATGGACTCAGGAAAACAAACGCAGAAAGCATTCGTACAACAGCATAATGATAATGCAATAGAATAAGTATTAAAAGAATTAATATAAACCTATAAACCTATAAACCTCTGTCCTATGTAACCTCTCCTATCTGTCCTAACCTATGTCCTCTGCCGCACTATACATATATAGATGTCTATACCTAAGCTATACTATACTCTTAATCCTAGAAGGTTCGGATTGGAACGATCTAGTTTTTTCTATACGTAAAAGAGCTGTCCGAGTACTTTCTGCGCTTGTTTTCCTGAGTTCGATTTTCTTTTTTTTTTAATTTACGACAAAATAATTGATCATTGTGAATATTCTTGCAGGTGAATAAACAAAGAAGTGTTTGAAGAATAATACAGTATAGCTTTTTTTCGTCAAACCTGTATTATTGATATCAAAAGCTCTTCATTTTTGAAAAACGCTCAGTGTACCAATACTTTTTACACTCACTGTAAATAATTAAAATAAAATAATTTACGATTGTCAATCGAACGAGCAATAATTTATAGTTATATTTCATTAGCATGTATACCTCGATAAAAATTATTAATAATCGTTATCATTCAAATACCTGCTGAGTTTGCTTCAATTGCTGCGCAACGCTTGTCGGTAACATTTGAAAAAGTAGCGTGTCGCTCTTTCTCTTTTCTCGCTTCAACTCACGAGCCTTTTGCGCCAGATTCGCTGCGTACATCTAAAAAATAAAAATAATCCTGTCACATGGTCGTCCCTGAGGATCCTTTTAGGAATAAAATAACAGTATAACACCAGAACGTCAAGTGCAAATTTCGCTCTGAGTATTTCTCGAGTGGCGCCAAGTATCGAGCTGACTTCGAAAAGTCTTGGCCATTACATAGAATCCTTATACGTATACTATCTCCCGGCATGGTACGTGCAATCGGGTAAACAGAGTTATGACCTAGAAGTTTATAAGAACCGACCTGAATGGTAGCTACGGCATTGCGCACCAGGACTATAATGATGGGTGAAATGACGAGGACCAGGACGACTATCGCAATACCAGCCACTTCTTTATTGCTGGCATCCTGCAGTGTCGAATTGACATACTCCCTATTAAAATGGAGATAAGTCAATCGTGTGAATGCATACAGTGCTTAATGATATTATAAATAGATACTTTTCATCGGAGGAAGAAAACGGTTGGTCAAAAGGCGGGAATATTTAAAAATAAAAGTTTAATAAAAGTAACCGATGCGACTGACACTTTGCCATGCTTACCTTATCATGTGACGCAATTCACGTTGAAGTTTACGAAGTTCATCCACGTACGTAGCCATGCTGTCGAAGTAAGCAATGGCGTCCTCAACGCTTGGCTCCCTCTTACGATTTCTCAGAATCTCCTCTCGCCTGCATTGTAACAAGTATTATCTGACTGTACTCCAATTCAATTTCAAATATACAAAAACAATGGAAATGGCTTCATTCAAATTTTCATTGAATTCCCATTCGGGCCAGTCTCGTTACTAACAAGGAAACCCGCCCAACCCGACCCCACCGATTTCAATAATTTTTTGATATGTTGTAGTACTCGACAAAATAAGAGACACATATTTTTTTTTTCGTGCTGACATCCACTTTAAAGGGGTGAAAACGACCTCTGAAATTCACCCCTGAAAATCGTTTCATTATTGAAATCGGTGGGGTCGGGTTGGGGGGGTTTCCTTGTAAGTTTCATTCTCATCCATTCATCATGCCTCAACCAAATTTTTCCATGTAAACTGAATTTAGACTTGGCGGCCGATTTTTTTCTCTTGTCAAGCTCACAGCGTATTAGAAGACTTTTCTCACCTAGATTTAATTCGTCCATAGTCCGTCATGGTACGAGTAAGTTCGGCGTAGAAAGCTTTCAGAGAAGGCACGTAGGTAAGAGATCCATTGAGTAGATCACGACCAAGTGTTTCGTGACGCACGTAACTCACATAATTTTCACTCATGAGAATACCTCGTCCAAAGTAATTGATTCCATAGACAGAGGCGATACCAAGGCTCTCGATGCTGCGTAGTAAATTCTTAAAGGCAATCAAGTATCTGGAAAAACGTAATATAACACTTGACCTTTTCAAGTGCACTTTTGAAGCTTCGTGGCAGCTAGCTTAAGGATTACTTGAATTATCAACATCTAAAGTACTTTAAATTATGTTATCAAACTTTTTATACCTCCAGACTCCACTGTTATCTGTTTCCTTTATCTGATTAGTTAAATGATCCAACATGGCAGCGTTGACACTGGTGTACCAAGCCATCACTTCTGTTATACTACTTTCCTCGGAGCTGATCTTTTGCCTGTTGAAAAAAAAATACACGTTTCAAATGTTTAATACAACAATACAGAATTTTTATTATAGAATTTATTTTTCTACCGTAAAAATAAAAGAATTCACTGTGAGTAATTTTTGTTGCATTGTTTTTATCAAGCTTTTGTATGTCTAATGGTTATATGATTGAGGCCATTCAATTTCCTTTAACTGTTTACAATACCTAGGAAAGTGGACACTGGCTAGAATGCAATAGTTAGGAGGGATATTGGTTCGTTATTATTGAACGGGAATGGACAGGACTGTCTAAAAATACGTTGGATGCTCCAAATGGGCGTTCGCGCGCTCATGTGCGAGAACCTCGTACGTCCTACACAGAGAGACGGTGTAGGTTCTCTAGGGCACTTCTTTGAGGTAATTTATTACAGCGCTATGCGTGTATAACACGGACGATTGATTCTGACGTAGCATCTTTACTATCTTCTTCCTCCTGTACTATTGATTGAGTCTTTATTTTTATCTCATTCACTTTTCTGACCAGCAATAACGTCCCGTTATGAAAGTTAGGAAGAATTTTTCTTTTCTAAGAGATATATTAGAGCGCAGTGTGACACGTGTTTCTACAGTACGTTTCCATGGATTTTACTGAACGCTTACGATAAGTAATCAACTTTCGTGACAGATAATTGAATTGTAATTAAATTTTTTGGTTTCCTCTAAGATAATTTCTTAACAAAGTTTTTTATTATTGAATACACTCGAGGGATTCGTTGATTGGTTCACTGTTGTTTCTGTTGGACTTGACGTTGATGTATATCCTTACTAATAAACACTTTAAAAGAAATTTTAACAATTCTGGACAGAGAATCGATAATGACCAGATAGTGGAAAATTTGAGTATACGAAGTACAGTATATAACGTGGAAATTTTATTATCGCATTTAAAATACGAAGAAACTTTGACGGGACGCGTTTGAAGTTTACAGAAAGAATTTGAAGCACGGCCATTTTGGAAACTATATAAAAAGTGTGAAGCATTAGAAATATTATACGTAAAGAAATTACTGAAACTACTGTACCCAAGCACCATAGTCAAATTCGTGCGGAGTATAATATATGACAAGTGCAGCGTGTATATTTGAATAATAAAATGAGGCAATAAAGTTCTACGGTTAGTTTCAGTCTTAGATGCATTCAAGCCAAGTGCACGCATTTCAATGGACTTCGAGAGAAAAAAATATTAACGAAGGAAAGTTTCAATACTAAATATTCCCAGGCTACGACGTCCTAACAAATATTTGTTTTTCGTTCGCGAGAAATGGGATATTAGCAAATACAAACAGAAGACGTAGTAAGCATCGCGAGCGATAGTTGCAACGGCGGTTAGCGAGAGGTATTATTAGCTAATGCGTTGGGTGTGACAGTGGTCGACTCCAGTGTAAATTTCTGTTTTTTTTTTTTTTTATGTACATCGATACTATCAGCGCACTGCAGCCTCGTTACATTTTAATATTTAATTTACTTCACCTCTGCACGTTCCCTTTTCAATTCCCATGACGTCGTGCGCGTGGTGGGACATGACAATAAGAAAGATTGAAAAAAAAAAGAAAAATGCCATCCGAAGAACGTGACGGATCTTAACTTTTTATAAGTCTCTCCGAGATTGTCTGTTAAGTTATGCAAAAATAGTCGCCCATTTGACCTTACCTTGGCAATACCATAAAAACAAGCAAACTTTTCAAATTCTAATATTATAGGAATATTTGACTCTATACAATACAGTGGGTATCGGAAATCCATTCTTATCCTGTAGCGCAACAGGTCCACTTCCTGAAAGCCATAGCTCTGCGTGCTACGCCAGCTAAAAATATTTAATGGCGAATTAAATGCTTTAGGATCTACATTGAAAAAGAAGAGAATGCTTTTAGAATTTTCTACTATTCATTCTAATCGTTCTGGGAATTTCCATGGAGTTACCTTCATCGTACAAGTACAGTATATACTCTGTTAATATTATGTACATAAAAACCTATGTATTCTCGTGCACGTCTCATGGAGTATCGATCGCAAAAGCTTAAGCTCTCAAGCCAACGGTGGTAAAGACTCGCATATAATAATCACGTTGCAACGAACGTAAAGCCGTCATCTTAAAATTACGTCATAAAAGACAAAGAGCCTTAGATACAGCTATTTGTTAGCTTTCCACTCTATGTGCTACGTTACAGAATAGGATAATGCGACCTAGCAATTTATAAGCTCAGAGTAAGTTTTGACCACACTTGAAAAAGTTCCATAGATCTTGTGCAATGTGACAGCTGGATTGACAAATCAACAGATACGGTGATTGGATGGTTTTCAATTGACTTTCTTTCTTCTATCTTTCTTGTATCCACTCTCCTGTTCCTGTCATGTACCATCCCCAACTTTAATCAAAACTTAATAGTAAATCTATACGCATCAGATCGTAACAAGATGGCAAGAAAACTCTGGATGGTCGAGTATGACGAATGGACTGTCAAGATGTCAATTATCTCATTCCTCGAAGCGAGTTTTGGTGACACTTTCAGTTTTCTTGGATGAATGATTAGCATAATTATTTATGTATTCGGGCACAATTTTTATACTAGTTTTTAATATACATGAAGACCTGTTAATATAAATAAACCATAGGTGAGTGAACCAGTGCTACTTTATGCTATCAAATTAAAGAATTGGATTAAACGAGAAACGTTCTATATACATATATATATATATATATATCATCTTGATTCTGATGAATGTCACGCAACGCTCACGAGCATCCTGCGACCGTTCAAGGCTTAATCAGCCTGAAGAATCCCAAGGTATACCACGTTGTTAACGCGTGTTCAATAAAAGAAAATGATATATCTGAGAGACGGTATCGACAGTTCTATTTGCTACCCATAAAAAACTTGTCAACACGTTTATTATGTCTGACTGAAACAAATGCAGTTGGTACTTTTATTAAAGTTAACTATTGCGTTAAATTCCACAATACCTGAAGTCGTTAAGACGAGCCTGAAATGCTTCCTTGTTGACGACATCGTACGCCTCGGTTTCGTCCCTTGGTACAGAAACTAATGGCCACATTGTCATATTATGAAGTGCCTGATCCGTAATTGCGAACCTCTGCGTTAGATTGGACCTCCTACAGTTAAAGGAATATACAATAGACATCTGTTTGTACATAGAGATTCTTTTTAATTGTTGATAACAATTGTTAAATGCATATTGATAAAAACATATAATAAACCCAATAATTTGCCTCAATTGTAATTATCAATCATTTTCTTAAGTAATTCTGGAAAACCGTATACTGCAACTGCTTGAAAATACCAAGCAAATGAATCACTTTGGTCTTGCAAACAGACTAAAGGTATCGTAGGACTACTAGCTTGATTAGAAGTGTCGAGACTCCATTTATTTTCATTGCCAACGTGTTACTTCATTCAGAAAATGGCTTCGTCTTTGGGTCACGTAATGCAGAAGATCGAACGCCATGGCAATTGCATTGAGTTTGTCAATATAGTTCCAAAGTATAAGATCGACTCGATCGCATTTCTGCAGCTAATCGAATAAGCCCCAAGTGAGAAAAGCATTGCATTCATTCTTATTCGTGAATTAATGCATGTAATGCGGTTGATTCTTGGGAGAAAAAAATCATTAGGATTGAAGAAAACAAGCAAAAATCTCAGGCACTAATTCTGCGTCAAATATTGACACAGCTTCTTTGGCTTTAGGTTTATTACTAACCTCAAGGTATTTCCATTGGTGTAAATGAAGAAAGCGACCTCTGACCGTTCCAGTTGCATTCTGGTCACTACTTTTCCCAGGTCCGTTGCAATTGTTACCTAAAAACATATCATAGATATGAGTAACAGAAACACGTATAGGAGACAGAGGTAGAGAGAGAAAGGTAAAAGCTGTTAATGGAGAGACTAGGGCGTTTTGTTATGTACCATGAAATTTAGAAGTTTCCTTTGATATTATCAGCTAATGGTCGGCAACTTCAAAGCTCGGAGCTTTCCCGTAACAGGACATGTCGTTACTGAGTGAAGTACCGTAACAAAGTAAGGAAGACAGAGTGAAAGGTACTTTGATGGGTAGTGGAGTACGCACTTGAATGTCTAAGTACTTAAATGGCGAGTATTGGTTATGTACGATAGATACTGAATATGTGTACCTTGACTCATTTAGTTTCTTACAGTAGCTAACATAAGCCTGTCTTGGCTGGTGATTAATCGGAGAACTTGAAAAGTGGCTAAGTAATTGGATGTACTACTTTCTGATAAAGCGTCTAATAAATTGTTGAAGTAGAGTCTGGACGCTGATCTATTCCGCTTGCAAACAATATAAAAGTATAATGTCAGGTAAGTAGAGAATTTGGTGGAGTTTCAATAAAGGGTCAAAGGTGATTTAAAGCGGGACAATGAAGAAAGGACATATCCAACGTGGTCTTTATGATTTGGTAATATTGATATGATAGGGAGGACCAGGGGTGCTGTTAGCCTGGTAATAGAACTCTCACTGCAGCAGCTAAATAATACGCGAGGGGTTGATCCGTTAACATGAGAGGGAGGGTGTCTATCGAATGAAAGAACGGTCGAATAAAAAAAACTAACTTTTATTAAAGCCCTCAAGTTTCGGTTCACCGAACCCCGTTATAGCAGTCCCATTACTGTATAAACTTTTTTTTATAAATTTCAATTATAAGGCAAAACAACATCATATCTTTTACTTGGTATGACTTCATCTCTAAGTCTAATGCTTTTAAATCGAGATTAAAGGTATCTGTGTGAAAATCAATCTTTTTCTCATAATTATATTTGTTTATAATCTTATGGAAAATCAAAGGACTGCGAGATTAACGAAATACTTTAAATTAGCACAGCAACGACTGCTCTTATATCTTTCGCGTGAGTTCATTACTCTGAAACAAATGAAGTATTACAGTGATTAATGATTATGATTTTATATTCTGACGCACGTGTGTAAACAGTTCAATCTAGTGATGTTAATTGTAATGGAATATATTTATGCTCACAATCAATGGCCACTTTTGACTATATACGACTATGCTCGTGATCCTAACAATGCAAGGAGGTTAATAGAAAAAAACCGTGTGGTTCTAATACCACAAGAGTTTGTCAGCTGTGGTAATCGGAGAACTCGAATAAGTTATGGGCTGTATTAAGTTAATGGGGTTGAAAGTAGGTATTGCACACTGAGTACGAACCGGCCTAGGTTGACGTATACGTATCTCTGGGAGCATAGGTGCGGTGTATTTGCTAACCTCTCATTACTTTACGATTCATCGATCGATCTCATTGAGTTATGGAAACCTTTGGTAATTACTCTCCCTTAATCATCCTCGTCATTCTCTTCTACGCGTTTCTCCTCTCATTCATTCCTTTCGATAACCATAGGTGAATGTCTTCCGAGATACTACACGGTACGTTATGATGTATTTTAAGAGAGTAATTTTAAAAGAAGATATATTTACTTGAGTCTCAATATCAGAGACTTCCTGCCTGTAGATCAGTATATCATGAAGTGTATTAGCTGTTTGTACAATCAGGGCCAGAATTGGGATGAAAGGAAGAACCAGCATCTGGAGCAACTGGATCCTCCGACCCCGACGATGCGCTGGATCAGTTGCCCGTGCCCAGCAGGATTTCTTTTTGTTGTTCTTTGTTCCAGAGACATCGTCCGAGGATAGACTTCTCACGGAGCTTACCTCAGCTACACAGGAACCATTGCGCGGTGACATACTACAATCAGTGATAACGTTATTATTAATTTATTGACTCATTATTAATTTAGTAAAATGTATATCGAGAGTTGGACAATGACAGCTTGTGACGTCGAGAATATGAATAATAATTTTTACAATTGATTATTCATTTTATACTATAGACTGCCGACCTAAGAATCGTTAATGATGGGAATTAAAACAGCAGGTATTTCGGCAACGTTGTCCGGAATGATTTAAGGCATTCAGGGTGAAACCGTTGAGCAGCGTTAGGACCCTAACTTTCAAGTTTTTCGTCGACGTAACATTAATAGCCTGTCAACCCGTCGAAACTTTCTCATTTCAATTCAATCCATGTATCTGTATCCAGTAACAGTATTTTCCAAGAGTTTCAAGACAGGAAGAGCCTACAGGAACATTGAACTTCATTATACTGGTGTAAACGTTCTCAGTAAGATATACATGTAAAAGAAAAATACTGGACTCATTTCAATATAATTAAAAGTTTTTTTGCCAACGGTTTTTTGCCAAATTCTGCTACTGGTATGAATCCTGACCTAATACCCTGGATCGTAGTGTCCTCTCTTGAAATACCATCTGTAGGATTTTGTAAATAATTTTTCCACTTTTTGTAGCCTCGGCATACCCATATTTAGTCATTTTGATGGAAAACTCTTGAGACTATCTATACAGATGAATGAAGAATAATTTAATATTAATTATGAACATTCACGTTGTGTTATAATAATTCAAAATAGAATCATTTTTCAAAGTAAAACAGCTCGTTATTAAATACCACGACGTTGTGGGACTTTGAACAATCTTAGTTCATAACATGTTTTTTCAGTTTGTAAGAAATTACATTTTCATCATCTCACAGAAATGTCACAGATAATTGTAGTGTATTTTCCATATGACGAAGTTAACGAAGCAAACTGTATTTTTAGAAATAAGTAATAAAACCCAAGAGCGAGTCTTCAATACGAGGTCGTGAGTAGAAGTCAGTAGATATACGCCCTATGGTACCTTTGATGAATATACAGGGTTATTCAGTACAAACGCACCAACCAATGGTTGGTATGGTTCTACTACAGAAATCAAATGGACAGTCTAACTTCAGACGGTAAGTTTGGTCTGAATAATTGTGTATATTTATATCAGGAGCAACATCAACTAAACAAAAAGTCAGATGATCGAATAGCTATGGCGATTCTAGAATTCTTTGAATAGTATCTGATTATATAGTCCTCCACCAAGAAACGTCGGTTTTCTACATCAGTTCTCTGTCCTCTCGTTCTAATTATAATTTCAGGGTCTGCAATCACGTTAAAACGAATGTCGATATTTAATTCCACGTTAAAAAAATATATCAATATCATACAAAAGCAAGAAATTGGCACAGTATAGTACAAAAGCCGTGCGTGAAGAATTATGATGATTTTAATGAACTATTTATAGATAAATTAGTTACTGTTCTCGTAATTTATTCAATACATTTCTAACTCAAGAACAACAAGACTCTCTGGTCCTTTGAGTGTGACAAGTTAGTGCCATTTCAGACTCTACGTTCTACAATTGATAACACTGATTCAGTACTGCGCGAAAGCAGAATCGCATTAACGGTACATAACTTTCTGTATAAGTTACCAAGAAAATTTACTTCGAAAAGTAATACAGTTCGTGATCCCGATCAACTGACATTTACGCAATTGGGTTCTTGTTATTGTTTTATTATATCTCTAATGCGATATTCATATAATATTATATGTATAACAGGTATCAATTGCGCAATTAGCTGCAGCCAATTCGTGTAAGATTCGGTATAATAATTACCAAAAACACTTTCCATCTAAAAAACCTATACCCTGTACTTGACGCAAGACTTCAACCTAGTCTCGTGATTCCCATCATGAGTATAGTTGAGCCATCATGGCTGACAAGACAATTTCCATCCTGTCAAAGGGAACTCTTTTAAAAGACGTCAGAATAACGTAACACGTGTACCAGAGACAGTATGGCAAGTACACGCTGCAATTAACTACCTAGAATCCCTCAACGCCACTACTCTATCCTTCTATGCCATAGGGCTATTCCTGCCGGAGTACCAGCGAACACGCCATTAGATTACACAGCCTCCCGAAGGTTTATTACCATGCTACCAAGAGAACGTAGGTTCGACGTTGCATCGATGCTGCCCATTGCATAGTAATTACTATCAGAATCATGTCACGTCAAATATACTGGATGATCCAAAAGATAATATAAGACAAGGTGCACCGGCAAATCTTAGGGTCATCAGCGGCAACTAGAATCAATATACTTTGAACACTATTTACATCACTTGTACGAACCTCAAGAATTGAAGACTAAACTTGATCAAAATAAAACTGGAAGGTTCTGCCTTACTGGCTTTAATTATTTTTGAAAGGGGTCCCACGATGGTCCTTTGATGATGCGCACGAGGCTGTGCCATTGGATTCTTAAGTATTACCATTAACACATGGTTTACCGAATCATTGAACTAGGTACTTAGCTAGTGTATGCTCCTGTGCAGGATCTGAGGTTAATGTTACGTCTTTAAAGGGTTTGCGGATTACGAGGGAGTCCAATGTTCACTGGGCCTTGCACGGTAAACTCCTGGCTCCTGTGGCCGCTGTGGTTAATGACTCCAGGTAGATTAAAGGCTTTGTTCTACTAGAGTGTGTCATAGCTTTCCCTCTCGTATCCCTTTGCTCGTTTAGGATCTCATTGTTCATTTTTTTCACATAGCAACTAGATACTCTTGCAGTACACATATACATGCATCATAAATTTTGTCTCCTTATAACGTAATTTTGGCTGGACAATGAGAAGCCTGTCGCGTATCGTTCATGGAATGGAGAATGACATCGTGTGTTGTGATCTTCAACTATTATTCAAGAACACTGCCATTCAACAATAGAACGAACAAAAATAATTGGCAAGAATAATACAAAAGAATTTCAGAATGCAATACAGTACATTGAATGGATAACGTCGAATGGTTGATACCATGGCACAGAACTACGTTATGATCAATGATTTGAATATAGACATTAAGTAATAAAAGAGCGACAATTATTAATGTTGCAACAATGAGAATAGTGACTTTAAGAAATTCTACATTTTCTGATTAACCCTGAACATGCTGACCATTAACAAATAATATAAAGCCTTCCTTCCTTGCGTTTGTCTCTTCATATTACACTTAATAGAAGCAAAGTAAAAATTAACAAAATTCCACCATGCTTTGTAGCGTACAGATGAACGAGTGAACTCGCTTTGCCATTTCTCTTAAAAGCAGTATAGACCACAGGATCATGAAGCAATTGAGATCACAGACAGGTTGCAGTTAAGCACAGGGTAGTTAGGCACCTAGAAGCAACAGCAAGATCAGTAGTGATGCTATAAGGTGTATACGAATAAACTAATTAGCCAGGTCATTAACCTACATATATGTTTATGTATATTTTTTTATACTCACTCTCTCTGTATGGTGAGCATGTCGCAAGCATGCAGGCTGCTGCTGCCGCTGCTGATCCAGGCTCACCTCGATTTTGCGATTTGACAGTGTCACTTCAGGCCTGAATGCGTAGCAGAGCCAGACGTATTATCTCATAGAGGAGGATGCTTTCTGTCCATTCAGTCTTGACATAAAGGTATGTGCACGGGGAAGGGAGTACCATAAAACCATCTCAATGCCAACGACTACAAATATGTACGCACTGCATATTATATACGACAGTATATAAATCATCCGTTTTTAGATAATAAACCATAGGAAATTGGATGAACGTGCAAAAATTATATAATTTCCAATCAATTTTCACACTTATATCCAATATTATAATCAGGAACACAAGTGCCAGGGTATGTCAATTTTACAATATGTAAAACTACTGGGTAATAATATATACCGTACTGATTAATTACAGTTTTTTAGTTGCGTAGAGGTGGGGTACATTTCAAGCATAGAACAAACGGTTTATCTGAATTATTTAAATAACATATCGGTGAAGTTCATCGAGAACAGTTTCCAGTTTATCATTAATCGAAAGTGACCGAAAGAGATATACTGTCCTTATTTAAACAATTGTTTACGTCGTTTGAATAATTTTTATGGGTGAAGACATGGGTCGACCGTTATATTTCAACGGATTGACATATCCTTGGATGATAATGGCTTTCATGGAAATTGAACGTATTCATGATATCGAATAGACATATTTCATTATTTCTCTGAATTTCACTAGCTCATATCAAGTCACTTGTTATGTACCTAAGATATAAGCATTTACCTAGAAATTGACAGAAAAAGATGCGTAGAACCTTCGAGGAGTAATACGAAAGGTCGTAAAGCTCATGAAGTGTCACTTGGGATTGGGGGATATACTTTTCGAAGGAACTTTCCACGTTTAGCGGCCATTTTCCTTGACCAGAATGAACTAGGGGACATTAGATCTAGGCGTGAATAAAAATAGTCGTATAACAAAGATCTAATTCCACTGATTCTTATAAAGCAAATCAGAACTTGATAAAGAAATAATATATAGTATATACAGATATAAAAACTAATATCTGAAACGCAAGTCTTTCTTGTAAGCAAAGTACTCCTGATCAGGAGTATATGGGTTACATATATATTATATAATTTTACTTGTTTACTTTATATATTTGTATAATGTTAAAGACTTTGTCATCGACTTTTGCATGGGCATTTGTTATGCCCATTTGATTCTAACCAATAAAATTCCTTTGGAAATGACTTTCTGAATAGAAAAATCTACATTCCACGGCTTACTGAACATTATTGGTAAATTGGTAATAATAATATTCTCCAGTACACGTGTAACGAATTTAATTATGAAATTGCGAACATTAAGGAAAAAGCTTCTATCCGTGCTCATTGTCTGATAGATATTCAGAAAGTAATTGAATCGATGTGAATTGATTGAAAACAATGAATCACTATTGCCCCGCAAATTAACGCCGCAATTTACTGTAATTAAATACTAATTGCCTTTTTTGTAACAACAAACGAAATAGGATAAATTATTCTTTACCGGAAATTAGTACTCAAGAATAGACCATGAGAAGTAGGAATGAGAGTTTATGGCAAATGTGTGTACTACGGGCTTTATATAATATTAGATAAATATATATATATATAAATAAACGATAAATAATCTGGTACTAAATAACGTCTATTAAATAATATACGCCATTCGCAGTGAAATAATAAGAGATGGAATGTAGATAAAATAAGAGATAGAATGTAGATAAAGTATGTAGGAACCTTCATTTTGAAATGGCGTAAATTCAATAAATAATACGTCTCTTACGCATATCGACGTATGTACATAAATGACGGTAGATGGTTGATCTAAAGGAGCCTGTGGTTAATCTCTCCTTGAATTTCAGGTAAATATAAAGCCTTTGAAATCCAAAAGTTCTTCAAGTTTCGACCAACTTCTGTTTCCATGTTTAACATTATACTTGTTTCGAATGTATTAATCTTTGATGAGTTCGCAAACAAAATATAAATTCTGGAAATTTTCATATTGATACACTTAAAATTACTGAACCGTGGCCCTAAGGATAAATTGATATCTAGTACAATGTACAATATCTTATATTCTTTCGTTATTATCGCACGAAAACTCCTACAACAAATATTGACAAACTTTAAAATGAAAAATATTGCGCAACTCCTCGCAGACACACTATCGCAGTTTGTGAGTTAATTGTAAGAGAGACTCAAAGAGAAATTCAAAACTAAGAAAAAAGTATATAATTAATACAATATTGGATATTGAGTATTATAAATTTCATCGATTAACAAACATAGTGAGAATTTTGAAATTAAAAAAAAGTTAGTACAAATTATAGAGTTTTGATAATATGAAAAAAAACTAGAATCCTCTTAAGTATCCGTTACGGTAGAACCTCGATTAACCAGTATCTGCTGGACTAGAGGTGCCACGGATAAACGACAATAATGTAAAGTCTATCAGTACATGGATACTTTTTTTTTATTATAAAAGATTAACGATCACATACTTAAGCCCAGTTTAACCCTTTAAGGTTTAAACGTAAGTTTAGTTAAACCCAATGAGTAAACGTTTATAATTATAGTTAGCTCGACATTAATCACTTCTGAATAAATTCAATTAAGCATGAAATAAGCTTGACTCATATCCTGGTATGCAAGGTTAATCCGCCGCACAGATAACCCGCACCCGGTTAATTGAGGTTCTACTATATGTCGTACTTAGCCTTGTGCGTGTTGTTAACGCGTTTAAGTTTTGAATATTGCGTACACGTCTAATGAATTTTCAAAGTTTCGCAAAAGAGCCACAATTACTTAAATTGTCGTTTGTGAAGGTAGGAAAAGGCGCGGGTAGCAAACAGGTGTTCTCGCGATGAGCGCGCGGCCGCATACTGAAGGACACGATCTCAAATGCTGATGACGCGCGAGAGAGGGCCTGAGAAAACCATGAGAGACTAGAGAGAGTAAGAAGAGAAGGGAGAAATTCTGTCCAACGCGCAACAACCCTCCTACACATACATACATGCTAAGGGTTCGAATGGGGTGACCCATCGGACTCTCAACGTCCTATGCTTGTCTTATACACTTTTCTCCCTATACTCGCACTTCAACGTACTTCACTTCACTTATATCTCTACCCTGATACGAATTACGCAACGAAAATAGTGATGAATATATTGTTCAATGTACTTCCCTAGGTACGCAAAACGCCCCTATTAGTCCCTTATTAAACTAAAGATAAACATGGTAATTCAGTACCCTTGTTAGACTGTGACTTTCATGTTCGTCTGTTACAACTGACACTATTTGATTTTTAAGCATATAAACCCGTATTCACAATTGGCTCTTAAAGTAACTAACAGAGTCGCTTGTAGTTAAAAGTTACTAATAAAAAATTTAAAAGCTCGCTATTAGCACTAAAAGCGAGTTCTGAATACGAGCTTAAGAGTATAAGTTATAATAATTATGAATTGGCTATATTCATCTTTTCACTTATAACATTAATTATTAAACCTTATGATTAATCATTCAAGAATACTGATTATTATTATGCTCTACTTGGGCTATGTTGTATATTACATATGTGTATGTATATACGCGAAATGTACTACGAAAATTTCCTATTTGTTTAGGAGTGAAAAAAAAAATCGAAAATCCGTGGATTAGATGGTCTTCTAATCTAACTGGCAATTTGCTGTTGGAAGTTGAAAAATTTCTATTGTTTTTACTTAATCATTGTTCACTGTATGCCTATTGATGTTGAAGGGAAGCAATATGACACGTGACAGCTGTCAAATTGACTCTCAAGTCCGAACTGAATTATTACGTAAACACGAAAATTGCATATACTTATGTATATATCTATAAGTTTAAAAATCATCGACGTTTCTATGGAGCGTCTTATGTACGATGACGAACTTGATTAATTATTGATTCAAAAGTTATCAGTGTCTCGACGATACTAGGGCTTCCAAATAGTAAAAGTAATTATCAAATGCACGGTGAACTATTATCAAATCCATCGATTCTTAACGTAATATATTAGAAAAACTTTAAACATCGATAACAATATTAGCAAATCAATCATTAATTTCACGGATGCGCTTAAAAGTCTAAGTTACCGTAACACACCGTTATATACTATGAAGCGCGCTGTATGATAAATTAAAAAATCAGGTAAAAGAAAGCCTCTTGATTTTCTTTTTTTTTTCACTAGTTCAAAGTCACTTTAGCTCTACAACTCCTGTAATAACCTTTTTCAAAGTTATTACACAGACACTGTATATAATATAATATTTAAAGAGTATAGGGTACTCATGGACAACTCAATTTACTCCAGTATATTAAGGTCGGTGGATCTTTGAGGATAATCTGGTTAATCGTCCTAGCATTTTCGCATGATAACTTATTACGTGGATCTACCTTCTTATTGTTATCTATAAAGTTACTGATCGATATCCAGTATCCATGGTTTTCTCTTTAAGTTCATTTTCTGAACTTGTTAATGAAGTGCAGATAAATCTCAGGTATATGTATAAGACAGCAGCAAACCAATGGCACGTATATGAAATGAATATAGAAAAGTTTACAAATTAATATGAGAAATTACATATACATATAATAGTACTTAAAAGGTGAGCAGGTGCAAACACTTGATGATTTTAATGTAGAGATCAATACTTACGTATGTCAATAGATGTGACATAAAGACACGTGTCTTTGTGGTATACATATGTATAACGATCAGCATTATTTTCCTTTAGTTCTTTTCCACTTTATCCGATTTTCATTCCGAAGTGTCTATATGGTGATGTTCTTCCTTCCAGTTTGTCGAATAACTGAAGAGTAAACTCGAAGAGATTGAATTGACATGGTGTCCGGTGCGATCACCAGACTTTAACGCATCCCCATGAGAATTTCCATCGCTCCGTGGGAACTCGGCTGTGTCTCGAATGATCCATTTCATTCAAACTTCCAATCACGGAGATCGTCCCTGCCGGCAATTCTTATACATACAAAATTGAGGCATAGGAAACGGATGGGAATTAAGCGGACACACGTCAGCACATGTTTTATGCATTGCAATTAGCGTATACAAATATATAACCATACACATATACATGTATACACATATGTACATATATAACCTATATAGTGAATAAATTGATTAAACTGTAATATTCTACAGTATAACGGTAACAAAGTAGAATATATAGTAATATACATATTATTATAAATACATATGTTAGAAGGCAGTTTCCAGGAATTTTTTCTTGGGTATTGGCAGTTATGAGGACAATTGGCATTTTCCAGGGTGGTCCTGGAAAAATTCTATATATAACGTATACTTCCGGGGCCATTATGCGGCACTCACGTCGAATTTTTCAAAAAGAATTGTATGCTGGACACTCGGAGTTGTGATGGGCTAAGAAATAGTTCGTTAGGTTAGATTAGATTAGATTTTCAATGCCACATGTCCCAAGGTTTAGTTTTTTTTTATACATCAGATTGTCGTCGTGAGTGCCGCATGTCGTCGAAACTTCTCCTTGACATATATATATATATATACTTGTCAAAGGGTAGTTATGAGGACGCGTGCCACTCACAATGGCAAGCCCATGTTTTTTTCTAAAAAAAACTAAACCTTGAGACATGTCGTATTAAAATTCCAACCTAACCTAGCTTAACGAAATCATTTCTTAGCCCATCACAACTGCGAGTGTGTAGCATGAAAATTTTTTCAGAAAATTCGGTGTGAGTGCCACTTTATGGTCTTGACAGTATACCTTACGTATCTAAATGCAATCAGGTCCGTCCTGACAAACATCAAATGTCCTCATAACTGCCAATACTCAAGACAAAAAGTCCTGAAAACTACCATTCTTAAAAAATATTAATATACATTAATAATTTATCAATTGCGTATTCATGTGGATCTAGATGACTTATAAAAATTACGATATCCTGCTAAGAAGGAATATCGGGAAAAGTTCTAAACTGGATTTTGTTTTTAAGCTAATGAGAATACACGGCAGAAAAATCAGATAAAGAATATACAGAGGGATGAGCAATTTTTTCCTATGATATAACGTTTATGATATTTCGTTTCCATATATTGCGTAGAATATGACGTATGGATATTGCTCAATGAGATTAAACGAATAATTTTTCTTACTCCACCCTTGATTCCTAGCAGTACTTCTATGGTACAGTAAGCTCTTTAAAACTATTAACTGTCAATTAATTACAGTGTACAGCACTAATAATCTTTATTCTCTAACATGTGTATATACAAAAAAATATACGAAACAAATTTTATTATATAGTAACTAATAGTAGATGCGTCATCAGGGAGCTGTTTTCAGAAAAATATATAAAGAGCATATAATTCAGACACGAATTTTAAATCCTGATACTGTTAAAGTGTTAAACAGCTTAAATTCACGCAGTAGAGAAATATTTTGTACAGCCAGAGATATTAAATATTGTAATAATCTACAGCGAAAGTAATCTACAGTTATCTCGCAAGTGCTGATTTAATATTTTTTAATTGGATTTATTGCGCTTGGTATACATACCATACTGAAGCGTCGAATGGTAACAGGAAAAGGGATATGAGGGTGTAACCGTGATAGTTTATTTAGAGTAGTCATTCGGAGATTATAATAGAATTTTGGAAACTCTTGCATGTAGATTCGTGCAGATGCTTATTACCGCCTTCGCTACCACCTAGCTCGGTAAAATTTAGATTTAACGGATTGTGTACCCCCAGAATCGAATTTCGGTATCCGGAGTACACGCAACCATAGGAAGTCATCATATCAAGTTGCAGAGGTTCCGAAAGCACCGTGTAGAGAGCGCAAAGATCTAGAATTTCTAGATTTTAGAATTGTATGATTGTATTGTGATTGTATGATTGTATATTTTGACCATAGACTATTAGAAGAGAACTTATCTATTGGATATGAATACCGGGAGACAGTGTCGCCATCTGACGGATTTTCCGTAATACTTGTAAGACGCAAGAGAAAATTGATAATTATATACATAAAAATATTGTTACAATTTTAACCACACGTAATTATATGAAAACGTCTACGTGGAAGCGATTAATTTTTTTGTGTATTATATCCGCCACACGTAAATTAACGAATACAAATTATATGGTCTGATATTCATGAGTCGTGATTCGGGCTAAAGACATTCGCAACGGTCGACATAATAAGACTATTTGATATTAACATAGATGGAGTCACTATTAATGAAAATGCACCTGTGAACTACAATTAATAGCATTCGATCGACGTTCTTGACAAACGCATTAAGCGCTAACTTCGCTTCGCTAGATCCGAGGCAACAAGCGATATAAACACCTTCTTTCCCATGTCGGGCAGGTTTTTCGCTTCTGGTTATTAGACTTGCCAAATTAAAGATCGAGGACCTTTCTAGTTTAATTGACTTTTAATTTGTTGTGCCTGATCGTAAAGAGGTTGTTTGCCATTGATACGCGCGCGGTTTTATTAACACGCTGACATGGGCGCCTACTGATTCTCGCTACAAGACACAGCCGAGGGAAGCAGCCGTCGTGAAAAACTGCCGATGCCGATTACCTTCTGTGAGTTTCTCTGGTCTTTTAACGTTTTATAATACGGATCTTTGTCTTAATGTTGTCCTCGATTTATTGAACCAACGTCTTGTTTGCTTTTAGATGATTATAAACGAATACCCGTACGCAATGTCACGATTTCATGGAAACTTGAATCGAAATCTCAACTTCACAACGTCCCTATCTCGGTACTAGACACGTACTGACCGATTATGGCCTTTACTAGGACATTATACGTACTTGTGATTTAGGACGTCTGCACGGTAAGTTTTACTAGTTAAAAATTACTTTTGTTGAATTAAAAATATTGTTTCAATACCTTGGGATGGGCTCTGTGCTATTCGGAGAGGCTGTATTAGATGGCATAAGATGCTTCCGGTCCTTTACAGATTTCATACTTGTTTAACATTGGAAATATATGCTATTTAGTTTTTTTTTTATTTGAAAATATTGATCTTGACAACATTCTAATGGTTTGTATTAGACTGTAGTATGATAGGTCAAAAGAAAAATGTTACAGTAAGGACTTATTATTTAGACAATTATTTTGTCTAATAACTGTACTTACGCATCTAGCTTATAGATTTAAGTGGAAATAGAGAAAGTATGTGTAAGAGTAAAGTATCTATATATGCATAATGCATTGCTGATTGGGTTATACTTATGGGTACTATTTTCTTTTTATATTTTTTTTTTAAGTTCAGAAAATATAGGCACTTTGAATGATCAAACTATTCAAATATTTTATAAACATAATGGTTATGCCGTGTCTAACTGATAATTTGTGACATTGCTCCAAAAATCTAATGTTTTACTGAACTTTTCAATATACATGAATTTATACTGCAAGCTTTATTGACAAATGAAAGAATTTTCTATAATATCTTACCGTAATATCTGGCTGTTTTTCCTATCATTATTGTGAGATATTTGCTTGAATCCAACATTATTATACAAGTAATTATTGAAGTTGCTAGCACTATCCATCATATATATGTGTATAAATAGAATTAAAAGATTGTGGTAAAATACCATTTTGCTGAAAGCTTGATGCATGCAAAAGAATTATTGTTGCCTAAAGAATTTAAAGCGCGACTTGCAAGCGACAGTAATAGATTGAAGGAAAGAGTATAAAAATGTTTCAGTGAAGACGTGCGAGGAAGGACGACGACGGCGAAGGTAAAATGGCTCGTCGTCGAAAGAATGAGCCGAAATCGACGACCAAGTCTCCATCAAAATTTGTTGCCGTACGAAAGTCTAGCAGGCAGATAGCAAAGAAGCAACAGCAGCAGTTGGAGGAAAAAAAAGTAAACGGCGAGATTTTACAAACGTCGCAGACGCAAAATGATGTACCTACATCTGAAGAATGTCACGGTAGCCAAGATCAGCAGCCCCGTAATCAGTCGACATTTAGAAGCCTTCATAGTGTGCATAAGAAATTTGGAAAATATCGCTGTACATTATTGGACAAGGAATCATCCGGAGATGCGGTGGACAATTCTGAGGACGTTGAAGATAATTCAGTGTCGATAGCTAGCCTCAAACAGGACGCGAACGAAAGCGACAGTCAAGACGATCTTGAAAACGTCCTCGCAACTCCTGATAAGCTTAGTCCAGAGGATGTGCGTGAAGTTGTTGTAGGAAATTCAAACGAAGCAGAGACAGTCCCGAATGAGGCTTGTGTCTGGCAGGAAGATGTCATCGAGGAGACCATTATTTGCGAGGAGATGGAGGTCGAGCCTGACGGTATCGATGCCAATGGATATACCATTGATCAACATGATGGCAGTGTTGTGATTGAACAAGTTCTTCTTGTAGATGAGCCTGATTACGAAGGTAAGGGTGTTGTTGGGTTTGCTGTAATACAGAATGAAGATGGAACAGAATCTATGGTAATGGCAAACGATAGGGATATGCAGTCTGAGCAGGCACAGTATGCAATGAAGAAGCATAACTCTTTGGAGCTGCAAGATGAACATATGGTGAGATCTATTGGAATTAATTACCAAGAATCATCAAAGGAGTATCAATTAATTCATGAAGGTGTCAGTAGCTTGCATGTATCTGAAGATGCCCCAGGCTCCAATTCGCCAAGACTAGAGAATTCTGTAGGTTTTTGTACAAACTCTGACAATGACAAGAGCAATGAAGCTACCTGTGATTTTCTTGAACTTTCGGAAAGACCCACAGTACTTCCTCGTAGACGTAAACCAAGATTTGCTAGAAGCGATGAAATTATTCCAGACAATTCTACTGAATCTTGCTTGGAGCAACGGGATGATTCGAATTCTGCTGACTGTGTGGATCAAAATCAGAAGCATAGAAGCCAATCAAAGTTCTCTGTTAGCGAAGACAATGAAAGAGTCTCGAAATGTGAAGCAAAAGTTAACAGTACTATATCAAAAATAGATAGCAATTTGGCCATAATGCAAATTAGAGAAACATCTAAACAATGTGTTACGGAAGTTAATATGGAGAAGACTTCTGAAGGTTCCTCTGTGTACATTGAAAAATCAACGTCTTTGTTTTCATCATCCTCGTCCTCTGCTTCATCTCCATCTTCATCTTCAGCATCATTCCTTCGAGAGGATAATGTCTCACCAATGTCCGAAAGACCTGTGAATAATCCACAGGACAGGATGTGCCTATCAGGCTTAACAAATGACAAGAATCTTAGAACTAAAAATATCATAGGAAATGAGAGGAAAAGAGTTACTCAAGCACATTCTCATGACGTTGATGTTAATTGCATTAATACAGATCAGGAGAAGAGTGCAGATCAATCACAGACTATAGAAGAATTATCAAGAGATAGTGAAATGGACGGCAACAAGGTCGACTCCGAAGATATAAAATTATTAAGTAGTAGCAGTGAGAATAGTAACGATACACTTCTCTCAGGCAATAGTTGCAAGTTATCCGAAGAAGCCAAATTACTCAGTGATAGCAAGAATCTTCAAAACAATCAGCAAATCGAAAGCGACAAAAAGACCGGATTTAGAAGTCGTAGCGGAAGTACCGATACTACTGGATCTGAGAGTGGTTCAAATAGTTCTGGTATACGTCGGAGCAGTCGAATTCGTTCCATTGGTCTGATGAAACAAAGGTACAGATACACAATAATAATATGTTAACTAGAATCATTTATATTTCTTGAGACTTGTAGGTTAATACATTCCTTTTTGTTGTTCCTTAAATTTCGTTAATGTTTTGAAACATAATAAATAAAGTACTCTACCGGAATTGGAGGAATCATTCATATATTAATAAATCATTGATATAGTCTTCGTTTCAGATCACGCGGGCGCGGTTTGGTAACGAAACCATCTATAGATTTGTCCAAGACTGTTTTCCAGCAGGAGCGTGATAAAAACCCAAGTACTTCCATGGGAACATGTCAAGAATCTAAAGACAACTCTGATAACCAATCAGAAACACAATCTGATAGAGAGAGCAATGGTACTACTAATAAAAATCTGACATCATTCGACTCCTTGACACCACCACCTACCATTTTGGCTAACACTGGCTATGATTCGGATTCCTCGAAACCAGTCAAAGTAAAGTCCCGATGGCGCAGATCAAGTGAACTCGAAATGGGCAGCTCTAGTTCATCAGGATCCCTAACAGCAATTCCGTCAGGAATCGGAACGTGCAATTCTTTACCTGCTTTTGGGCTTAGTACAACTATTGGATTATCTCCTTTGGTTGGTTCATCGAGCACTGCTGGTTGTATAGCTACTAGTCTCACTAGCACCGGTACTAACAGTACCACTAGTGTTGTTAGCGAGACTATCAACAGTACTGCGGTTGCAAGCATAAGTCTTCCAAATCTGCTAGAAATGGAAGCATCTTGTGAAAGCTTATTCACGACAGGGAATAGCTCTGTTGCATCGTCAAGCATAGTGATGTCGAAGGTCGGTACGAAGATTCCTTTACCTATGGTTCCTGAAATGAAAGATAGAGAAATGGAAGAGAGACTAAGTCAATTCGAACATCTCAAGGAAAACTTATACCTTACAGAAAGGTAAGTTAAACTACGAGGTCGAACTAGTAAAAAGTGTACTAAAAACCTATAAGTTTTTTAACAATCAAGAATTAATGTGATATTTTCTTATTTTATTATTTTAACAGGTACACAAACAAAGAGACCAAAAGAATGGTGTGCGATTGCTTTTTAACAGAAGAGGAAACCATACGCGGTGAATTAGGCTGTGGTGAGGATTGCCTTAACAGATTGCTTATGATCGAATGGTAAGAAACTTTCTATAATTTGTTACGTAGAAATTATTTAATAATTTTAACGTTAATTAATATTTTAGTGGACCAAGATGCGTCGTAGGGGATCGTTGTACAAATAAAAGATTTCAAAATTGTGAATATGCCAAATGTGAAGTGTTCAGAACAGAGAAAAAGGGCTTTGGACTACGCGCCGTGGGTGACATGCTTGCGTATGTACATGTTTACAAAAACATTGTACTGTGCTACTGCATTATATTTTTAGTGCATAATGATGGCCCTAATGTAATTACGTTTCTTATTTTACATTACAGAGGAGAATTTATAATGGAGTACGTGGGCGAAGTTGTTGATCCTAAAGACTTTCGACGGAGAGCAAAAGAATATTCAAAGGACAAGAATAAGCATTATTATTTCATGTCGTTAAAATCTGATCAGATCATTGATGCTACCATGAAAGGAAACGTTTCGCGCTTCATAAACCATAGCTGTGATCCAAACAGCGAAACGCAAAAGGTTTGTTTGATAATAAACTAAATATTAAAAGTGTGGATAAACATAATCAATGAAATTCGTATATATCTAATATCATTTGTTTCTTACAGTGGACTGTAAACGGGGAACTTAGGATAGGTTTCTTTAATAAGAAATTTATCGCAGCTGGTGAAGAGATCACGTTTGATTATCATTTTCAGCGTTATGGGTTTGTACTTCCTAAGATTATTTAACAAATTAATCTTTGCACGACAATCATATAGCGTATTTCAACGTTTCTTTGTTAAAAAAAAAAATTAGCAAAGAAGCACAGAAATGTTATTGCGAGGCGCCAAATTGTCGAGGATGGATTGGCGATACTCCGGAGGAAGAAAAGGAGAAGATCGAGAAGAAGGAGAAGCGCGAGAAAGACGTCAGGAAGAAGAAAGAGGAGAAGAAACCTATTGATTACATGGAAGATGAAGATGTATGTACAATTTGCGTTTTAATCGAGTCCCTTATGTTTTATAAATTGAGCCTTATCAATGCTTAACAACATATGACACTTTTCTCTTCAGTTGGAAGAAGAAATAGAGAAACTCTGCCAGGGTGGTCTGAAAAATCGAGCGCAAACGTTGACCCTCAGTCGACTTATGGTTCGTAGCCGAGAACTAGAGCACAGAACACGCTTGTTACGAGTTATACAAAGTGGAGAACAACCCTGTCGAAGGCTCTTCTTGGATTATCATGGTCTGAGACTAGTATGGAGTTACATGATGGATGTAGCATCTGATGATACAGAGGAAGCTCGTCAATTCCGTTTGGAGATTCTAAAAACGCTGAACACACTGCCTATACCGAATAAGACCATGTTAATGGATAGTAAAGTATACAGCGTTGTGGAAAAATGGGCGAATAGTCTTCATCTTTCGCCTAATACTGCCTCACCAGATGACGAGCAACCTGTAAAAGTAGATAAAATACCTGCCGACGAGCCCGATAGTAGCTGCGACAGTAACGAGAAAATCCCTGTAGATTCTCAGAGTGACATTGCTCAAAAGGTCATCAAAGATACAAATGGTATTTTTGATGGCAATGCAATCAAACAGGAAACAGTCATTGAACAGAATTTGATCTCAGAAATGGCTTCGAGTTTACTTGCTGAGTGGTCCAATCTGAAGGAAGTTTTTCGAATACCGAAAAAAGAACGTATTGAGCAGATGAAGGAGCACGAGCGAGAAGCAGGTTAGATCAGCATTCTAATGAAATGTAACGTAATGTATAATAATTAGATATTAATCATTTTTTTGTTGCTTCGTCGTGTTACAGATCGTGGTTATCGGGAAGATCTTGACAAGGAAGAAAGAAGGGAATCTTCTTATGACAGGTAATTATAAATATTTTTCTAAGTCTGATGATTCTTCGTTACGTTTCCCAGAAAATTTGGCAACTTCTATAACATCTGTATCACGTCTTACTATTCAGGCATAGGTCAGATCGATATAGTCGAAATGATCCTGACAAACGTGTCGATAGGAGACGAGGACGTGAATCTCCGGATTTTGAACATTCTAGAACAAAAGATAAGAGAACGGATGAGAGAGTGAACCTAGTTCCGGTACCCAGAATGACAAAGTTTGAGCGTAGACAGTTGTTCGCGTTAAAAGTCGCCAAGGAGGAAGAGGAACGACAACGTCGTCAGCAACAGGAGTCCTGGCAGGAACACGAAGCACGATGTCTTGCTCTTGGCATGGATCCTCACACGACTGCCACTGTCGACCCTCAAACGGGTTATCCACTTTTCTTCAATCCGTCCCTAGGACAATGGCAACCCTATCCTATGCAAGGTTCCACTTTTTTGCTTATTCACTTTCAACTTCGTTATTCTTAATATTTTAGTTATAATATTCCGCGAATGTCGAGCCTTCATCCAGGAATGCCTTGTTAGTCATTACTTTACGTTTCTCGACAATTTATTTTTCTAATTTTGCTTTTTGATAATAATTTTCTTAGATTTGATAAATACATGTGGTTTATGTATGTAAATTAATTATAAACGCTAGTTTATTGTAGTTTCAGAATAGTAAGTTTTGCAATAGAACCGGTATTCTTATAGAGAAGATCGATTCTCTTGTAATAAAATTGCATGTTCGCAGAAATATGGGCTTCAAAATAGAAAGTAATATTTTCAATAAAAGTTCTGCTATAATTCGTTGTTCAATCTAAAGTTTAAACATGAACGTGTAATTTCTTAAAAACAATAGGAATTATTGTTTAATAATTAGCATCAACGTAATCGAGTTCCTAGAACTGAACGTACCTACATACATATATTTTTGTTCATTAGATGGTGGAGAAATTACGCAGCAATGTACTCCTGTCTACATGAGACCATCTCAACCATTGTCAAGCCACGCACAGCCTGGCATAATAGCTCAAAATCATCATGTACTCCCCCCTGGAATATCCCCAGGAATCCCATCAGGAATTCCACCAGGTGTACAATCAGCTGTTTACGCCCTTAACCAAAGTAGCAGTTACAGTCAAGCGAGTGGATCGTATCCTGTGCTGCCTCATCACCATCAATCTTATCCGGAAGGGCAAATCCCGCTACAGAGTAACCTGGTGCCGATCCATAATGGTACTGCGCCCGTTCCAATCTCGGCTCAATCCTTATACTTGGATAAGCCTCTAGAGAGTCCATTCCCTGCTGTAGAGCCTGTTCTCGCATCATCTGCCACAGCAGCATCTACCACAACGGAACCAGCTGTTGTGCCGCCGATGGACCTTCCGCCGAAGTGGAAGTGGACTAAGGATGCTCGTGGCCGAGTTTATTATTACCACGTAAAGGAAAGGATCTCCCAGTGGTTACCACCTCCACCAGATCACATTGGGGTTCAACCGGATTCTTCTTCAAGTGAAGAATCCAGCGATGATAGTAGCTCCTCGAATGAGGAGGAGGATGAAATGGAGGAAGAACGTCCCGCAGAGGGTACCGATGATCTCATGGAACTGGATACTAATACAAACTCCGTCGCTTCGACATCCACGGCTAATCCTAAGGAAATTGTAGCACTGAAAAAAGCGGAAGTTGGTATAAGTAGCGCACCTGTATTTCCCGAAGTGAAAAAAAGAAGAGATGGACTGGTCCAGGAAAGAATAATCAGTGTAAGTTAATTTTTTCATTAATAAGTTTTAATAAATAGCTGAAATGATCGTACCCAGTATTCAACTATTTATATCACACATGAAGCTTCGGTAATTCATTGCATATTATTTAAATACATAGTCACATTTAACCTCTATATATTAATAGTACAATTTTTTACAATTACGCCTTTCAACGTTTGAAGATAAGCTAGAATATTATTATTCATATTTCATTGCCAAATTTCATCCCTTAGCTCTCTTTGTATTGCCTCAGCAGAGTAAGACTGCACCGGAACAGCATTGATCTTGTCCCTTTGTCCCAAATACCAACGGACCCAGTTTCACTATTCATCTGTGCTTCCCATAATTTGCCCACCAAGTTATTTTCCTAGTGAACCTCGTGAGCATATGTGACGTTCTGCTTTTCTGAGTTTATTCGTATACGACCTTTTTTATCGTCTTTCGAGCTAGTAGCTGTTCAGATGCGCTACCGCTACTTCTAAAATATATTCTGTATATTTTGTATTAGATAATATTTTTTCAAAAGTCTGAACAGTTGTGGTACAACTCTTTCTTCATCCGAATCTTCATTCCGGGCCTGAGTCTAACTTGCCATTGAACCCACGAGAAGTCCATCACTAAGATCGCTTTCCCTAGTGATGCTTCTTTCTTCACACCTCTTGGGGCCTTCATTAATTCAAGGAGCGCCGATAGGATTTTCTAGACAATATGTCTCTTCAGTAGCATTATTAGGCAGGCTGATACAACATTATAAGCAGTTTCTTGAGTAACACATCCATGCCTACAATTAATTCTGATTAAGATTGGTAGAATTCTCGCCTGCCACGCAGATAGCTGGGATGCGATTTGCGACCGATGCAGATTATGAATTGCAACTAATTATTGTGTATCTCTTTTTTTGCAGCCACGTCGAGAAGAAGATCGGATGGATCATAAAAAGTACAAGGAGATAAAAGATAAGCTAAGACGTCAAAAAGAGAGAGCGAAATTAAAGGAGCATGTTGAAAAGTTACGAAAGCATCGACGAAACAATAAATTGAAATCTCACTCAAGACATAGTCTGAGTAAGCAACAATCGCAAACTACTGACGCCTCGTCCACGTCGGAAAGAAAAATTAAGGACACTTTTAGAATAAATATGGCCAACGTAATGGTCCATTCCCTAAACCCTTATAGGAAAAATGACTGCAAGCAAGGAAGAATCACGAATATCGAGGACTTCAAACATCTTGCTAGGAAGGTATGTAACGATTTTTTTTGCCCTGTATTGTGTTATCTCCAAATTTATGACTCAAGATAACCAATCGATGATGCATGAATAATACATCCGATCTAGTATGAATTTTAATTACGAACACTTATCATTTCTAATACCACGATCAATATGAATTTATATTTTTTATTTGCAACTTCTTGCCACTTTAATTCTACATAATTAAATATTTATGTATCTTTATGTTCTTATCAATTACAGTTAACACATTTTGTCTTGGCGAAAGAATTGAAGCATTGCAAAAGCGTGGACGAGCTGCAGTGTAACGAAAACGTCAAGCATAAAGCTAAAGATTTTGTACGTAAGTATATGAGCAAATTCGGGGCGGTGTATCAGAAATCGACGGACGAGGATTAGTGTTATAATTGCTACGTAATTTTGTAATTTATTACGTGTACCTATCTCGCCTTTACTACTGTGAATCCCGTTAAAGTAGTACTTATTAAGTGTAGATAAACACTCGTAACTGTAGTAACTGTAAAGATAGAAAGAAATGTACACGGATACCGGCGCTGTTGAATTGCCTGGACACGCAAATTTGTCCAAGGGCAATCGATTTTTTTTAATTCGGTGAATTTTGTAAAAAAGATGAAAATGTATTATGCCAATAATGAAAATTTCATAACGAGTCACTTGTGGACCTTTTCATGTTCTCTCTTTTATAAAAACGAGACATAGGGTCCCTGTTTGCGTCGTGACTTAGTATATTAATGCTAAGCTATTTCCATAAATGAGCGTTATAGAAATCGATTAAACTATTGTTGATAAGACTATGAATTCACAAGATTGTACTATCGTAAATATTTGTAAATATGGTACGAGCATAAGCATGTTTATGCCAATTCTGAGGTGTTCGGACGTTCTTGTGATTGTTTTATGCGCGGTGCGAAGATCAAAGCAGCCAGACGTCACATAGTTACTAATTAGTGTAGCTCTCTTAATTAATCAGATGATTGTATCTTCGTACCACGCGATCCTTTTCTCACAATGTATTTAATCGATGCTGCAGAGAAAAAATCGATTTCCCAATGGATAAATATTTCATTAATAAAGATGACTCAAGTTTTAAATTTAAGGAACCTTTGTTTATTCATGTTCCCACCGTTTTAAGTAGTACTACGTTTGTTATGTGTACTAATTGTTTTTAATTCAGTCAATTTAATGTAAGCATAATAATCATAAATAAGAAAAGTAGTGGACCTTTTTATTTCACCATAGTATAGAAAATAAGAAGTGAATGTGTCAGAAAAACCTATACTGGTTAAAAAGTCTCAACCACATATATACCAACAGCCTATTTACATATTCTTAAATGCTGTGCATAGTTTAATTTTAGGTAAGTATACGTTGTCATATCCATGACATTTACTGGAAAAATTTAAAAAATTGTATACTAATGTTTGAAGTATACTCAGTAAAAGGATAGTGTTCTGTAATAATAAAGTATTCGTTAATTTTCCAAATAAAGTAAAGCGTCCAAAGGTTACATTATTTCACTGTTACTTGGAGAAAGCGCTAAAGCGCGCTCTGGAGGAACTAATTTATAAGTGCTTCCGGCGCAATACTCCTGGAAAAGAGTCAAGAAATGTTCACAGACAGATAAATATGTAAAGATTCTTCGAATGACTCTCAGGTATATAAATGTAAAAATACATTACAGTAATAAAACAGGTATTCTTAGGTTTCGTTGAACATCTAATAAAACAGAAACTCTCTTGAGTATTGGAGAGTGTTGATTGGTAGTATCAGGGAGTCGGCCATGTTGACGGGGATGGACGGTCATAGTGGAGGGTGCGCTGATTGAGAGCAGAGTTCGAGGGAAAGGAAATCGGGAGATCCGCGAAGGAAGCTCCTCGAGCAGAACTTGACTGCATTCCGCCCCCAAGTTCGTCCCAAAATATTTGGTAATTCGTTGTTAACAAGTCATTTGTAAACAATTAACAATTGTGTGCGCGTGTGCTTGGCTGCCAGCTAGCCAACCAGTCAGCTTGCCTGCCTGCCTGCCTGCTTGCTTGTCTGTCTGCCTGCCCATTAGCCATCCAGCAAATTCGTCCTAGTCGAGCGCCGGTTAGATAGAAGTGGCGCAGCAGTGTGTCGTGTTTGTCGTGTACATATCGTGTAACCTAATTGTGCAGTGTCACTCCAAGAGATAAGGCGCGAGTCCTAGCCGAGGTTAGATCGCTTCAGGTTTTCATTGGTATTGTTGCGATCGCGTCTCAAAACGGTGAGTAAATCGCGAAGGAAAGAAAGAATGAGGGAGAAAAAGAGAGAACGAGCAATAGACATAGTAAATGAACGGGTGCGAGAGAGTGAGAGCCATGGCTACACAAAGAGTAAGCAAGAGATAGGTAGAGAATGAGTAAGAATTGAGAACTGTAAAGTAGACAGAGAGGGAGAGTGAGAGTGAGAGAGTGGTGTATATTCCAGAGCGAGCTGTCAGAAGTAGCATATATCATTTGTGAGCAGGGCCATTTGTATGGAGGAGTCGCTACAGTGGGAGGTATTGCTGGAGGTGGACAAAAAGGCGGAGGCGGTTGCATCTGATCACTTTTGTCACTATTAGCTTCGTTGTTCTCAAGAAATATCTTCATATTTGCGAGGTTCTTTAATGGCAGATGTCTACGGCGCTGGAAAACTGCCTGATTGCTTAAATGTACCGTCTGACGGTGCTGTGATGTCAGGATTGAGACCTGTCACGAGTTGCGTGTTATTTGTCCATGAGATTGAAGCCTTTTCAGAGCTTCTTTCCTTCCGCGTATGCTTTTCTTTTTTTCATATTCACGAAAGGATCCTTTTATCTTTGTTTAAAGTGTCAATGAGAATCGTAGCGCGGTAGAAAAATAACAACTGGGTGAGGGCAACGGCGATAACAAGAAATTGCGTTTATTTGATTTTGCTAAGTAAACGTGTCATTAGAAACAACGTTCAGTATATTATACGTAGTATATATTTACGATAGTATCATGATCATTATTTAAAAATTTATTAAAAATGTCACGTATGCGTCGTATCCAAATTAATTATCGTGCTAACAATTGTACACCGCACTTACGTTAGTTTAGTCTCGGCACCCACGCTTCTCTCACTGGAATGAAAGAATTTGCTGGCTCAATGTACTTTGAAGTCTTGACCTTGATGGCTCGTGCTTCTTACCATCTAATAACCCTTATCATTGTCACCCTCGTGTCTTCATCTTTTCTTAGTTCTCGTATCATCACTAACTTTATTGTTGTCTGTCATTGTCATTGCCAATAGCGTTATTGGTGCCGTCAATAATCTTGTAGTCATCGTGTCGTATAGTTTGTTGTCGTATTGTACGGATAACGTAGTGATACGTAAATTCAATAAGGTAATGAGGAATATACGACGCCCCATCCGATTTAGAACTAAGGTTGGTCCATTAATTCTAGAATCGTTTTAAATCTGTAACCTACAACATGATACCTGGCAATTAGTTAAGCAGGGAATAACGAGACGCTCGTGATTTCCGGCCGTTTTGCCGGTTTTCAGGCGATCTGGCTTACGTCACCAACAGTCTATATCCGCCCCCTTCGTTTATTTCCCGTTAGATACTTTCCTCTTTATTGGTTTAACGTAGAACATTTTCGTTAACTTTCATGGTTTTCAGTGTACACTGTTTTTCAATGCGGTGCAGTTTGCTGCCTGATCAATTTGGTATTATCGACTAACAAGATTACTTACTGTTAGACAAGCTTTGACCGTTTAGTCATGATATTGTGCGACCCTAATTTTTGGAACTTTGCGATAGATTTCTTATTTTCACTCTCATCGTGGTTAAAGTTAACTCTTTTCCTTTGGAATAATGTATTTGTTTGTTGTAACCGTTGTACTGAAGCTCCTCGACCCCTCGTTCGTTACTTATTTTTAGTTTTATCTTTTGAAAGATATCCCAACAGGCCAAAAAAATACAATGATATTAGTATTGACAATTTCGTATATAGTATCAATATAACTTTTGATAAATAGAATTTAATTGATTAAGATTATGGGTATCATTTTTGTTAAGTATTAATTATTTTTCAATGAATTGTTTTCTACTGGTTAAACAAAATTGATTCTAGAAATTTTATTAAGTCTGTCAGTACTTTCTCATTTTAATTTCATATCTCAATGAGATTCTGTTGCACGTGCTCTGTGTTTTATGCTAGATATTTGTTGTGTTTCCATGAAAGTTTTACATATGTATTTTGTGATTATTCTATACTTTATAAGCATTAGTTAGAACTCCTGCGATATGCCAGAATCAATTTGTGGATACTAGGATGTTCTTTTTGTACAAATGGGTTTCTTATCTGTTAAAAATATGGAGTTTTAGTATAAATAGGTTTGTATTCTATTTAATCTTTGTATTTTGGTAAATAGTATCATTTCAAAAACATTGTAATAAAATGTACCAAAGAAAAAGCTTACGTTGTATTTCTTTATATACACAAAGCGTTTACTACATGAAAAATAGTTCTAGTATGGCATAGTATTGCTTAAGCATTTTAATCTGTTAGTATGATTCATAGCATAATTGTATAATATGCAAAAAGAAAAATATAAAAAATCTTTGTTCTTAGGACAACATGGCTAATCGGGGTACGGCCCAAAGGCCAAATGGCCAAACACAAGGTAAAATTTGTCAATTCAAACTGGTACTGCTTGGTGAATCTGCTGTAGGAAAATCCAGTCTTGTCTTGAGGTTTGTCAAGGGCCAATTCCATGAATACCAGGAGAGCACGATAGGAGGTGAGGTCAACCATACAAGAAACTTATAATTCTTATCTAAATTGTGCATATTCAAATAATACTTTACAGTATAAAATTTTGTTTCTGGATATCAGGTAAACTGATTGCTTCAAGAAGAGTACATATATTTTGCGTTATCTATTCGCTTACAAATATATTTCGTATGATATGTGGCCAAATTGAAATATCCTAAACTAACAATTTCCATATAATAATATTTCATCTCAATGAATACTGTTCTGAAGAATATCCTTAAATATTTTATCAAACTCTAGCATTGCAAGCAATGTAAATAATACTATTTTACTGTTGTCCGAAAATAAAATGTTTGTTTTTAATGCATACGCCAGAAATATAGGTTCGTTTAAAGTAATACCATTGTTTTTCTATCCGCAGCTGCATTTCTCACACAGACTGTGTGTTTGGACGACACAACCGTGAAGTTCGAGATCTGGGACACTGCAGGCCAGGAACGGTATCACAGTCTCGCACCAATGTATTACCGTGGTGCACAGGCAGCAATAGTCGTATACGACATAACAAATCAGGTACAAGAATGATTCGTATAAAATTATGCAATTCATTAATAAAATCTTATTAATTATTCTTATATCACAGCTAGGCAATTCTTTCGATATTGTATGATGCCTAATAAGAGAATAGAAATACCAAAATTGACACTTGGATTATAAACCGGTCATTCCTTCTCGTGGGTGTTGTCCTAAACCATCTCATGTTGCAATGAACTTTAATAGATTTTCCGGTGTCAATTTTAGCACGTACTATCTCAACATGTGGGTGGTTAAGTGATTAATAGAAGCGTTTGCATTTGGCGTCTGTCGCAGGACACATTCGTACGTGCAACAACGTGGGTAAAGGAGTTACAACGACAAGCCAGTCCAAACATAGTAATAGCCCTGGCAGGTAACAAGGCAGATCTTGCCAATAAACGTGTAGTCGAATGCGACGAAGCTCAGGCTTACGCGGATGAGAATGGACTTCTTTTTATGGAAACTTCAGCAAAAACAGCTATGAATGTGAACGATATATTTTTAGCGATTGGTAAGATATTATTTTTTTTTTTTTATTATTTCAATGCTAAATGGTCCATGTCCTTTGTATTCATTTAATTCATTTGATTCTCTTGTACACTTTGTTATGGTTTATAAGATTGTTTTGAGCATTTACGCGTTTAGTCTTGATGTTAGTAATAGTTTCTTGAATTATATTTACAGCTAAGAAACTTCCAAAGAATGAACAAGCAGGGAACGGAGGCTCGAGTGGGCAAGGTCGTCGACTAGCCGAAGCAGAAGGACAGAAAGCGACTGCTGGCAATTGCTGCAAGTGATTATTTGAATCTGTAAGTATTTATTTTTTTAATTTTTTATTGATATCTAGTCTAGGAAATTTATAATTTAAGATACAGGAACGCAGGGAAGACGAGGTTATTATTTAAATCTTGTACTGTAGCTTTAAATCAATATATTATAGCATAAAACGTATTCAAAATTCACCAAGGTTCTGTAGTCAGGGTATTTGGCGTTTCAGATTTGTACCATAATGAACAGAAGTAAAGAAATACACATACCGTGAACGTCTGCATCGCGTGGAATCTACATACAAGACGGGAAGAGAGGTGGGGATGTGGGGTTGCGGGTTGTGAGGTGAAAAAGCAGGACAAGCAAAAGAAAAACAAAACAACCATAAGGCCAATGGGGGTGGAAGAGCTGTGAAGTCTATATTATTGTACGTCAGAATTTATGAAAACTTTATTCACCCGATCGATCGACCATAGGAGAGTCAGAAGTGAGGAGATAAAACACCAAGAGCTGGGATAAATAAGAAGAGGGTCAGGTCAGTACACCCCTAAGTCTGACTGAATCTGACCGATCTGCCATTCAATCCAATTGTTATTGCAATATGATATCCTTTCTCATTGTGGTTGTCATAATTAATAAGTTTGCATTTATTTATTTCCATTGCAAATCAGGATGTACTGACCTGCTGGCTATCAATGGATATAAAAAAATATAAAGTAGTGAGTATGACAGCTAAAATGAAAAAGAATATGTATATTATTGCATTATCAAACGTTTGGAATGTCGAGTCGATTATACTCGGTCAGAGTTGGCAAAAGCGATAAAGAGAAAAAAAAGAAAAAAAAAGAAATCATGAGGAACTCCCATTTTTAATTCTAGTAGTAAGCGGGCGGTGTTCGTTATAAATATATAAATACATATATAAATACAATTATATTATAAATCATATAGGTGATACGATTTGTGTAATAAGTAATAAGAACGATAATAAGAAATAACAAAAACAAAACACGAGGATGAAAATGAGGAGGGAGTATGGGAGACGGAAAAAAAAGAACAACAATAATGATACATTTAAAATATACATATATGGTAACGACGACACAAAAACAACAACAAAAGTAACATCGATGATTTTTGGCACACGAAATCTTGTAAGATACAGTAGACGCCATTTCTGCTGCTATGATTATCATATATACATATTTTCTTCGTTAGATTGTATCGTATCGTGTATAACACACTTATTACTTTAAGATATATTGTATATTAATTTTATTGATAAATCATGATAAATTATGAATGATTATACAAGGAGATGAATAAAACTTGTGAATATTATGATACATGTATATTGGTCCTTATTATCATAAGTTTTATTATTCTTAACAGTCACTTGAAAAAACAATTGATCTTATCAGCTACGTTTGCTTGTCCTGTCAATAGTTCAGAGAAATGCTGTTTTCAAATAATTCATTGGCATGCTAATGTAAGGTATTACAAAATGTCAGTTAAATCAGAAAAATATTCATGTACGTCAGTTCAACGACATTTAGAAAATGCTACAGGCTCCTTTTCGGATGTCTTGATCAGTGACAAAGAAATTAATTGCAGACGAGTGAAGTCTGAATCAAATGTTCATTACTCTGTAAATTATGATGATTTATGTGGAACAATATGGCCTTTAATTACTTTACAAAATCCGGCACACACCCGAAGTTATATTTTTGCAGTAAAGCCCAAATTATGTGTCTGGGAGTTCATTACTCCACAGGACCTATCTTATCTTAAAGAAAAGCAACAGAACAAGCATGATGTACTTGAATTGCTTGGTAAAATGCATAAAATATCTTTGGAAGTGCTTATAGATACTATAAAGTCATTTTCATTATAGATAGGAAGTTACAAGAGAAAGAAGTACACGATAGCACTAGCAGAGACATTTTTTTAAAACTGATGTTTGAAATATTCCAATTCTCTCGGTAACATTTATTTAATGAAATATATGACATTGTCATTTAGAGTATGATAATTTTTCAATGATTATAATTTTTGTAGAGACAATGATTTTACCGAGAAAAGCGTTTCTGCTCTACTGGGAATTTTTTATAATACACATAAATTTTTCTTATTGAGTCCATGGCGTACTGCTGTCGAAACTAATGAATTTTTTCGAGAATCTTTGTTACTGCACACTGTGATGGTTAGACATTTCTAATGAAAGATGCTTAACCTGTTTTTAGAGTAGAACTATTTCTCATAGGGATATTATAAAATCATATTTTAATAACTGCTATATTAAAATTTTTTAGCTGCCACCTAAAAGCGATGAGATATTTAATTTAACTGAATGTCATAAAAGTTTAGAATTATTCTGGCAGATTTACATGAGAAACATTTCTCTTATTCGCTTCACCTGCGTTCCCAATTATCGTTTAATATTGTCACTTCCGCTATCGAAAGATCAGCACGAAGATAAGGACTCCCTAGCACAGAGTACCGGGATTGTATAACGGGCTGCTTCCGAGATGAAGAGAAGAAAATAATTGATTACAATTTACACGCTAGTTAACTGTGTACAGTTTTACTTTGTCAAACGTATTCGTTAATATGCATATAAAAGAGAAATTACATAAAATCGTGATTAAAAGTTCACTGCCGTTGGAAAACAGTCTTGGAAATTTAATTCTACCGATTGCCGATCGGAATATATAGTATGATATGTGAGCGCAATTGTGCAAAGTCTCGCACAATTCAATGCATTTTATCCAAAGTGGAAATTCAAGGACACCTGAGAGTAATAAAAAAATGAATACGGCAATTGCCAGATCAACCACAGAAGATCATAATTACGTTGATCTGTTTCTTTTACTATCCACTCATTTGCTGGTAGATGACTGGTATCCGCAATCCCGATTCTCGTCAAAACTTGGTTGGTTTTCTATTGTATCTGCTATGAAATGTTTATTTCCACTCCACCATTCATTATTCTTTCGTAATTCTTTGGTAAGATATTCCATCTTTGGAAACCACCAAGAGTTACCAGCACACGCTGCGGAGCATCGTCGAGTGCTCCTTATGGGACCCACAGATGAGCATTTCTATGTAGTAATATAGGGTAATTGATAAACAAATATTTGAAAAACATAAATTTCATAACGAGTACACATAAAATATACAGACCTGGACAGACAGGCGAGAGTAAACTTTGTTGGGTAAATCTGACTCCATGTTTGAGCAATAAATTGGAACAGCATAAGACAAAAATGAGGTCGATGTGGGCGACGGTGATGGTGAATTTATGCGACATGATCCCATAGTTGGTATTACACCTCGTGTCCTATTTCCTTTACAGATTCCGGATGACCTGAGGTGAGTTCTTCTTAATCGTTGTGTAAGGACTCCATTTGCACGTCTGAATTCTCGGAGTGCCATTAAAAGAGCTCTGGGAATTGATATTAATAATTTACAATTGTTACAAGGTAATTAATGAATATTAAGTTTGATTCTTATCAGGCTCATACTTCTTTTCAAATCCAAATCGTACAAGTTGTTCCTGTTTAGTTTTTAATCTGGATGCAAGGTTCTCAACTAGTTTTTTCTGTTGCTGCATCCAAGTTCGGATGCTGGAAACCAAATGATGCGATTCATTGCACAGCTGTGATCGGCTTGCAGCTGTTTCACTTAGTTCGGCCGATATACTGGCCAAAGATTTACTTTTGATTTGACACTCCTGTCTAAGATCCCACAGACACTTATGCATTTCATTTACCTGAAAAAAAGAATATAGGTCAAGATAAATAAAAATATTAGTACCAGTTAGAATTAATTGCTACTTTTAGGAATATGATTAAAGGTATTTATTTTGCTCACATCCTGCTGTAATGTTTCTAGACGCTCAAGATGCGATTTGCAGTTGCACCGAGCTTGATGTATTTTAGTATTTTTGACAGAAAGTTCATTCCGTAGCTCTCCTAATTCTTCATTGAGCTTTTCTACTAAATCTTGCAGTCTCATTTCTTCTCCCTCTGCGTTTGTCAGCTTTAAAAGGAAATCCTTTTCCTGGAAACAATTGAATTAATAATTGTCCATATTGAATGTATATAATCTTATCAAGTGAATCTTACCATTGTTGTTATTGTTTCTTGCAGATCGACTTCTCGCTTTGCTGCTTCCATTACAATAACTTGACTTTTATTAAAGTCTTCAGTTGCTCTCAGATAATTTTCCTCCATATGACAAAGTTTCAACTGAATTTCCTTCAACTACAAGAATAATGAAGTTATCAAATAAAGTATACTGATGCCACATACTAACTTTGTGAATGTAATAATAATTAACCTTCTTTTTTAGCTCGCATATATTTTCCCTGTCTTTGTTCTCGCGCATTTCATTCTCATTTGTCAGGATGACATTAGAATTCTGTAACATGACAAGTAAGACCCTGATTAAAAATGTTCAGTTATTATAATCAAACACATTTTTTACCTGCTATCCTCTGCATTTAAAGTCAGCTTATTTTAATGTAATACGTTAATGATGAAGCTTATATAAAACAAAGGATATACAAGATAGAAGCATACCTTTAACATTTCATAATCTGCCTCAAGTGTAGCCATCATATCAGATTTCTCCTTCAATAAGCTTTTCAGTGACGAAATCCGATCGTGCAGGACACACAGCATTTCTTTGGAACTATTGAGCTCACAAAGACATTCACTGGATTCATGTTCATTTACTTCCAATTTTGCCTCCAGATTTTCGATAACACGAGCCTGTTCATTCTTTATATTTTCACAGAATGCAATTCGGTTCCGCAGAATCTCCACCTAGTAAGCATAACATAAGGATTGAGACAGGTTTTCAATATTTCATAACACATTTTTGCATACTTCTTCCTTCCTATTATTTATGTCATCTCGTAAATTCCTTATAGTATTCGTAGACGTTGTAAGTATTATTTGGGTATCTTCAAATTGCATACGTAAACTTTCCAAGTCCTTCATTAGAATCTCGTTCGTTCGCTTCAAACTTTCAATCTTGTACATAATAAAAAGAAAACGTCAATACATATAGGAATTCAAAACAATTAAGATTTACCTTTTTCTCTGAAATCTCTGAATTTTTAAACTGCTTTTCCAATTTTTCTGATTTCTCTTTCGTGGTTTGTAATGTCTTCACCAAAACTTCTACCTGTGCAGTTATTTCACCAATTTCAGCTATTAGTCTTTCATTTTCATTTTTCGTTTGTTCCAATTCCATTTTCATAGTCTTTAATTCTTCTTGCGGTTTGACTTTCTCAAAATTCATTTCCTTTTCCAATATTTCGAAATCCAATTGGTACTTGCACAGTTGTTTCTTTATTTCTTCATTCTCCTGGGATATCCAAATATAGAAAAGATATTAAAAATACAATTAAAAGAGTATCTTATCATTTTATATTATAATTTATTACTACAAATTGTACCTGAGACAAAAAAATTATTTTTTTTCTTAATTCTTTTTCCTTCATCGACGATTCATTGTTGATTTCATGAACTTCTTCATTCATAGTTGAAGTACATGAATCTCGAACATCTTTCTCACACAGTGTTCCTTGAGAGCGGTATACTTTTTCGACATTTACAATTTCAGTTTGACAATACTTTACATTATAATCTCTTTTTGCTGATCTGAAAAAAGGTGTTTTATATATATGTATATTGTAGATTGTTGAAACTAATATAATTATTTTACAGAAACTGTAGCAACTGAATACTCACTTTAGTTCCCGTAATTCTCGGTCTGTCTCGTGCCACAATTGTTTGATATTCATATATTTTTCCTCAAGACACTTCTTAGACTTAACAAGGGTATCCGTCTACAACCAAATTAATAATCATTCAGTGATCCATTTCAATGTACAATTTTAATGTAACTCTCTCACGCATACCTTAATCCTCAGCATATCAAGGTTGCAAACGTGGGATTGTAGTTGCTCCTAAAAATAATAAATCAATACACATAGATTAGAGATTAGGGACCTAAAAAAATGAGTATTCTTATATCGGTTAAACATAGTAAATTAGATTGCGTTAAATCATACACATAACTATGACTAATTTATAATACTGCAATAATATCTCGTTGTTTCTCACGATTTTATTTATTCCAAAGAATAGCAAACATATATATAAGATACAGCTTTATTATTAATTCAAATATATGGCATACCTGTATGTGAGCTAAAATAAAATGATATATCAGATTGATTAACGCCACCAGCATACATGCATCGTATTCTATACGATTTATCTTCTTTTGTAATGTGTCAATTGCATCCCGATGAACTTCTAGTATTGATCCCTGTTCTGCAGCCTGTATAAAAAAGCATAGCAATGATTATTAACTAAATAAGTAAAGTGTACATATTTATAAATATTTATTTCACCTCTGTAAAACACTCGTTATACTGATTTTGTGTTTCTGCAAGGTACAAACTCATTATTCGAATTGCTTCATCCTTGTCCAAAAGCTGAAAAAGAGTTAAGTTTACGAAATTATTTAGCAATTATTTATGCAAACTAGCTTGGATAAATTACATTCTTTCATGTATGGACATAATTACGTTATTGAATGGCACTTAACATACATACCATGCATAAAATTATGAGTGCTCATCCACTTCGAAGCGATCTGCATTTCTGGAATGCCACATGCTTGCAATGCATCACAATATTTCAGATTCTCCACTTTCCCTTTTTTTTTTGTAAACAGACGGAACAAAATCCTTTACGTCACACAAAAACCATATGGAATTATCTTCCTCACAGCATGCATATACATTATTGCGACATAATAGAAGAATGTGCGCATAATCACAATTTTTGTTTTACAAATACAAAATACACAATACGCAATACATTTTTAAATATCTATTAGAAGTTCTTATTATTCATAAAATATACAAAGATCCACAGATTTTGTTGTACTCGATGATCGTTATAATACATTTTTTTTTTTGAAAATTCGAGAGTACCATATACTACCATTCGTACCATTACACTTTATAATTAATAATATTGTTTCCTTATAATTGGGATCTAAAAAATATTATATTGAAGTTCACTATAAATTGACGTTGAAATTTAACAAAGTTTCTAGATCTCATATTCAATAACGCTAATAGTGTTAATCTAAACCACATAACATCCATACACAGCTTCCTGGCTAATGACAAGATAAAATTATTGTATATCATTCATATTATATCAATATTAAAGGGGATAACTATTACAATAATCGATGATAATCCCATTGTCTATTCCTAATAATAAATTGTACCGAATAGGTTCACAATAATTTGAAGGACCTATAGATTCTATTAACTCATAAAGCATCGATTTGTGCTATTACGATTATTCTCATTATTATTTTTAATACACTTATATTATAAATTAATATTTGTAAAATATACAAATTTATAGTCTCATTGGCTATACGATTTCTCAGTGCCATATAGTATTACAATTTTACTACCTGCAGTCATGAAAATAAGTATTATTAGATGCACGATAATGATTATGATCACCGCGTATAAAATACCGCAAGAACTATTTATACGTTGAATTATACATTCGAGCTCGTCTAAATATTATTAATAAAAGGTAAATTGATTATTTAGTTTTTTTCAAGAACAATAATATCCGCTATTAGTTATGTCAATCTTCAAAGAACTATCCTTTTCCAACTGTCTAGGTAATATCTAGTACAGTAAATGTCAATATTAAATTTGGCACAACTATATAATAGGTACAAGAAACAATTAGTAATATTGGAACTGCTATATCCATTAAATGAATAGTGTCGTTTCTATGAGAGCATGTATGTATGTATATAGTAAAACGTGTCATTATTTTGAAACCGGTGTGACATAATGCTTTGTATTGTTTTAACTTTTCAATGGTGGAGCCTTCTTTCTTGCCTTAAGAAATATACATCTAACAATCCTATTAGACCACGCGCCACCACTGAAAGATTAATCATATTGAAACTGTCTGTATAAACACCCTGATAGTTTGCCACTATTGGACGGAATCAAAGAGAAAGGTACATGGCAAGAATGGCTGACTACATGTATAAGGAACGAAGCTATTTTTGATGAATTTCTTACAGGGACAGAAGAAAATTGTTTTTAAAACTAGATATAGTTTATACATTTCTTAACTCTTAACTGCGCCGACTGAGTACGGATGCCCACTGGCGTAGTATTTACGTTGTCTGATTTTTGCAGGTGCAGTTAAGGCTTTATAGAAAAGTGACATTTGTTGTATATACATATGTCTGAACACCTTGTACAGTTGATTACACGAATAAATTGTAATAATTGTTATTGAAGGATTAATTTTACGAATTAGTTATCTCTTGAGAAGTGATTGAATTGCGTTGGGGGAGAATCTACTAGGAATTAAAATACTGACGGCATATTATAAATCGATATGGCATACAAAAGAGTTAATTCCATGTCTCATAAGGTCCTGTTTAGTTTGAAAGTCTTTTTAGAAGTATCGACTATGTTAGCACACTCTTCTATATTGTGTACCGTTAAGTACTGAATTCACTTATATATTATATACAAGCCAAGGAGTTAGCCTCGTGTTCCATGTTAATAAAGATCAAACGGGCAGATCGGTTATTAGTTATTGCTGTACTAGCATCAAACGTCGTGCACGTTTCTGTGGTTATTAAAAACCGGAGGAGGAACTGAAATCCAGGCTTCACTCACTTCAGTGCTGCTTTTGTTTGCCATTTGGTCTAATTTTCTTTTTGCTTCGACCACAGCATCCTGCAGGTTCGCGATAGTTTGAGTCTGGAGTTCACTCTGCAAATTCAATAATAATTAATACTACTGATAATCCGATTTAAAAATGTACTTATTACTCATCTATACGGACCTGCTTTATTAAATGTTTTTTCTCCTTCTCGTACTGAGATATAATACTACCTTGCACATCAATCTACAAAAGAATAGCAAGAATATCGTCTTAGATATTGTGATCCGTAACCTTTTTATAGTCTATATTACATTGTTATGATACGATTGTAATTATACGTACCGTATATACACGGTTCTTGGGAATTTTTTACAAAAAAATCTTCTATATAATTATATAGGACTCTTGTGCACTTTTTATAAAGAATTATGGAACGTGCGAGCGGATGCATGAGTTCAGATAAATAATCATTCAACGCAAAGTTGCCGTACAAAAATGCCTATTGATAAATCTTACCTTATCTTGTAGCTTTTGATGAAGATCTTTTAACTCGGTCTGCGTCATTGCTATCGAGTCTTTTTGGATCCGTATAATTTCATCTTTATTGTTCAGCTATTACACATATAAAGAAAACATTATAGAATAACATGTACGATAGATTTATTGTTACCTGTATTAACTGAATTTGAATACTTACGAGAGTATCCTTGGATATCAAGGTATTTTGAAGTTCCTCAAATTCCAGTAAACACTGCTCAATTTTTTCACTGTACTTATTCCAAAAATCTTTGGCTCCCGTTTCAACATCTATTGGCAAGCTGAGGTGCGATGATCCTTGACAGACCTACAATATATTCCATTGACACAACAACAATACAAAATACTTCTTTTTTTGTTGAAATGAGAAAAATTTGGTACGTACCATGTTCTTCAATTCGGTAAGTTCTTGCAGAGTTTTTGTCATGGAAAATACCGAAGATTGTAACGATTTACAAGATTGGGGTATATTCTGAAGATAAAGAATTTTACCATTATATTATTTTCTTGTTATTTATATTATCATATTTTGTATTGTATTACCTCACGCTGTATCAAATGACGCGAATTTAAGTGTGATCCATCCGACTTGCTATGACCATGTTTCTGTAATACAGAATGTATAATATAATTAAGAAAGTAAAAAATCGTTTTAACAAGTTCGACTTACAAAAGATTCAAGAAGATCCATCGATTTTTTAAGCTGCATTTCACTGCACCGTAGACTTCTTCGAAGGTCTCCCTCTACTACCCTATGCGCTACAATCTAAATGAAAGGAGATAAATGTATGTTGCGATCCATATTCCTACTTGTCAATATTATTATATTCTATTAGAATTTATGAAGACTTACCTTTTTTTCGAGAATGCCAACCTGGTTCTGTAATTCAGTCGCATGACATTTCCATTCGTTTGTTGTGTCATCCTTTTGCAACTGATTTATTAACTATAATGAACATTTTTAAGTTAATTACGAGTATCCTGACTTGTCAGTATTTTTAAACTGAATAGGATGATTACCTTTTCTCTAGCATTCAAAATGCTTTCCAGGGCATCTTGCATCTTCGTTTGAGCACAATCCAATTCGTCCTTAAGATTATCAAGTCGTTCAGCTTTCTCACAAAACATCTTCTGAGCAATTGTATTCTCTAGCAACTATAATAAATTTCAATGTTTATAGTAATCTAAAATTCCATCTCAGATTAATTTATATGTTTATAGACAGTGAACACTTACTACTGTATCCGTGTTCTTTTGAATGTTACTCAAGTTGACTTCTATCGTAGACAAATGTTCTTTCCACTTGAAAAGTTCGGATGTTGCGTTAAAATTCTGTAATTATTAACAAGTGGATTACTTCTATTATTAATGATTATATACGAGATATATTACCTGGGATTGACACATTTCTAAATTGCACACTATCTGCTCAACTTCTTCCACTACATCAACGAGCAGATCACCATACGTATGTGTCTTAGAGAGTTCATTCGAACTGCATTGCTAATAAGACAATAATTTAAATTTAATGTACAACTATCCATCTGAGTTACATAAAAATAGAATAGCAAAGAAAACTAATACACAAGATTAATTAAGAGTACCTGAACATTATCCTGAACCGTATTAATACATTGAGTAATCTCGGATCTAGCTTGATTAATTTCATTCTTTATATCTTTCAATTTTAATTCGCCTTTTGCGATCTCAGCAAAATACTCTGCTTGCTCCAGTCCCTATTTCAAAATATAAAAATTGTACACGATCGAATTCAAACGATGTAATAAGAAATACAAAACTTTACATCCAACAAAAAGTCATACCTGTGATTCCAACCGATTAATAGTCTCTGATATATTTTGTCTTGTTTTTATTAATTGTTCCTGAGCTTGATGAACTGCTTCGCTAAGCTCCGTAAACTGAAATTTTAAAAAGATTACTAACAATCAAGCACTTAAACAATGTATAGTTTACTGCGATAGGTAAAACCATAGAGAAGCTTAACTCATGCCAATAATTTAGAAAGAACATCACTCCACAGGATTATTCCGTTTCACACAAACCTTATGATGACGAGTATGTAAGGTTGCAATGACATTGTTCATTTCTTCACGCAAATCCTCTGTTGCTGCTTGAGCTTCCACAGTACAAACACGAAATTCTTCCATCATTCGGAAATGCTTGATGATCTCTACATTTGTCTAAGAAAAAAATATATTATTACCTTGAATTGCTGTCGCCTTTTTCATTGTTCAACAATATTAATATTTGTACCACACATATTTACCAAAGTATCTGGTGAATTGCAAGTATCGTTTGGTTGATTTTCATTGCACTTTTCAGGCTGAAATAGACATAGTTATTTTGTATTTATAATATTTATTTCAAGCGTGATAAATTAATGAGCAACAGGCTGTTTTTCTTGCTCAATTTAGAGTAATAAATAAATTCAAACATCATACGCACACTACAAGAATTTTGATGAGTATTCTCCAAGTGAGTAAGCTTAGATTCTTCGTCATCAATGCAGTTTTTCATACCATCTCTTGATTCTGACTGCAATCAAATGAGTTTACTTGAGTGATCAGGTCTATACCTTTCTCAGACTGATCTCTCTCAGTACATTGCTGTATATAATTTTGTTGAATACGTGCATTATGTTAATAGATCTCCCTTGTAATCTCTTCGTGGTATTACAGAATACTGAAAAATATTGTACTACCATTGCTTGTGAAATATTGAAAACATTTCGCGCCTTGAAGATTTTTTGAGTAAGACAAGACCATGGATTTCAAAAACTTACATGGTCAATTACTTCGCTCTTGTATTTCTGAAGCAATTTTTCAATATCCTGCAATTTCTCATGAATTTTTGTTATGTCTTGTTCAAAGACCTATGAAGTAAATTTCATTCTGTTATCTTAATTTGACAGTGTGATGGCTATTCTCTTTAAAATTGTTATCGAGTAACGAAAAAAAAACTAATGTCTTTGCACTCCTCTTTCAAGTATTTAAAAATTACATGGAGAATATTAAATACCTCTTTCTCTTTCATATTAAATTCATCAAGAATTTTCTCTAACTCTGATTTCAGTTCAAGAAGAGTCTTTTTTTCCTGTTGCATGAGTATCTTTGTATTCGATAGGTATGACAAAATTTTATCCTGAAACGAAAATTATTTCATTACAACAGTTATGAGAGACTACTTATTAAAATTACATTTAACCTATAAAGGAAATACCTTTTGAAAAGCAGAAGCATTACACGTTTCATCTTCCTGAAACAGAATAGAAATTCTTATTGATATAATAAAACCATTGTATAATTACTGCATATATAGATTAATTATAATTAGAATGATAATGCCCCTTTAAATGATAATCATTTCTTACTACCTTTCCTGAATTTTTAATGAGATGCAAGTTTTTAAGGATATTCGAAAGCTTCAATGACTTTTCCTTTTGCATAGCAAGTTCTTTCTTGAGTTCATTAATTTCGTCACACTTTGAAGTCAATAGGCACAACACATTTTTCAGTTGGCATTGAGTTTCTTGAAAGCGCTCTTGCAAATCGGAGCCAATGGACTATTAATATGATTTTAGGATACAGAGAAGTTATCCATCTCGTACATTTAATAATTGACAAAGATATACCTTATAAGAGGGATACGAATTATCCGAGCACAATGAGAAATCTCTCTATCAGAAATAATAATATTTAACAATAGTTTGTTTTAGATTTTTCATATGTCACAATAATACGCACCTCATAACAGGGCTCTGCCTTGATGCGCACTTTTCTGGGAGAAGAGCATGTGTCCTAAAACAAGAAAGTTGAAGTAAAGTAAGTATCCACTATATTGTAAAAAAACTTATCAACATTATATTCCAATGAGTAAAATATAGTCAACTTTCACAGGATAAATTCTTTAATTAATAAGGTATCAGTGGACAGTATAACTGATGGATAAAACAGCGAATATAGTTACTCGCGTTCTTTGAAATTCGAACATGGCTGAATGGATCGGGGAGAATTACAAAAGACAACGGACTTAGAGCATTCCTTTCGTGAATCCTTACAAGGAGGTGACAGTCTCTTTGTAGAATTTAATATTTCTTTATCCATATCACGCAGAGCTTTATAACGATCAAACGAAGTTTCTCTTCGCGTTGAAGGCATCGAGATAATCGTATCAGGTTTTGAAATCTGATCTGAGTTAAACATCGACAAATGGTTCATAGGTTTAATTTGATTCTCCGTGTAATATTTGCGGCATAGGCCGATAGGTGTTCTCATAGATTTCCCATAACGATTCCACGAAGTATCCATATCTTTTGGAGTAACATTTTCATAGGGAGGATTCAGCATGCAGGCTGATGGGGTATGGCAAGTCATTGTCTGCTGGAAACGATGATTTCCATTGTGGAGGTTGCCGATGGAAAATGGGAAGGCAAGAGGAAAAATATCAAAATTGTCCAAGACGAACGCACCTTCATCCTAGCCTGTCTCAGTTCACGTCTCATCTCCTTAATGATGTCGTCCTTAAAATGAGTTTGCATATTTACATGGCGACACTGCTCCTCGAGGTCCGCTACTTCCTTGCGTAATGCCATCACAAGATCATGCTTCTCGGCTACCTCCATTGTCAGGACTTCGCGGCTTTCCATTGATTCCTAGGCGTGAGAATATCACCGTCCAGGTGGGCATGGATAAGTATTCGTGCAATCTTCACATAGTACAAGTGCAAGTACAAGACACAAACTTTTTCCAGACAATGGAGCTGGCACTCAAGGGTCTGCAACCTTTTGTGTTGCTCGTCCAACTGTATGCGTAGTCGTTTAATCTCATCATTCTTTTCTTGAGTTATTTCGTCCAATTTTATTTGGCAATCGCGTAGCTGATCAGTTAACTCCTCGATGTTCAAATCTTTTGATACTAAGGCACATTCCACTGCATTTATTAGCGTGTCAGTCTGTATAGTAAGATAAATCCTCTTGAGTTTTCCTTGCAATATACTTCATTCAACAATTATACAGGTCCGATGTATTGACATACTTGTTAAATAGAATTCGTTTGGATACAAGTGTATGAATGAACAAATAATATTGTGATAGATACATTTTCGTTTCTGACTTATAGTTATGTAAATAATTTATTACTTATGGGATATATTTTAATTATATAAAATATTATATTACTCACGTCAGAATCAAAGTCATCCACACTGACTGTAGAAGATTCTACAATAATTTGGTTTGACAGCTGAGGATGACTCTTAAGATTGTCTCTTAGATTCTGAAGCTTGAAAATATATTTTTTGATTGTCTCGTCCTTTATTGTGACCTTTTTGTTCAGATCAGCCAATTTTTCTTCAAGCTCTGCTCGACATCTGAAAAACATCGTATGATAGATAATAGCTCTTGAATAAACTGATTATAATTAGGTGAAGGTATGTCGAAAATGTTTTTCCTATGTACACTTACGCCTGAGCTTTCTTTTCGTTCTTTTTTAGTTTTTCCAACTGGAGTTTGTAATATTCTATGTTTTCTTCCATGGTATCTTTGTCCTATATCAAGATTCATCGTTAATCATCGATGATATATAAATGCGGATAATAAAACTCAATTTAATATGCGTCCTAAAATTAACTAATGACGACCGAACAATATATGATAATTGGTAAATTTAAAAAATTAATTATTTATTAATAATTTCCAATCAATTCATTTGTCGAGGTTTATGTATATAATTTTAATTTTTTCAATTATAAGGAGGGTTGCAAATGAAGAATTTAAATAATTATTAATGTTCAAAGTGAAAGCAAAGATATGATTGGAGCATGAAATAGTAATGGATCAAAAAGTAAGTGGTAAAGTTTCCGAATCGCAGGGAAAGCAGACTGTAGGCTGACAAGATAAAGAACAGTCACAAAATGCCCTGTTCAGAGGACATTCTGGAGGTCCTTCAGAAACAAGACCTCGTCCTAGTTCTAAAATAAGTTTCACTTTCTTGTCAGCTGTCACATTTGAATTTACCTGGTTACAGGAGCAGCTGAAAGTATAAACATTTTGTTGTATGCTTAATGCATATTTCAAACTTCATATCACAAAATCTAAGTTATGTTAGAGCAACATACTCTATTGCAGAAGGAATATCTTTTGGCCGAATTTCAAAGAATGTTATTCCATCAGTGCTCCAATAGTTTTCACGTCGTGCACGCCTTATCAATTCAAGCAATCCTCTGATATCGCTTTGAAGGAATTCAATTCTTTGATGAAGAGATTCCTCATCCTTCTCCAATTGTCCAATACGATTTGTGAGTAAAGTAAGATTCTAACAAGATCATTAATAAGCTAAATCAACATCAATTCTAATTTGTCTAACATGTACATATATCTTAATACATATTTTCAGTACCTCATCGGACTGTAAAGCTCGCGTCATACTATCAGCAGCTATACTAGATGAATGCATTAACTTATCTTCCAAGACTGTAACTCTGGTACAAGCAGCATGTTCTAATTCTTCGACAGTCCGAACAAGCATTACATTTTGTTCGTCTAAATCTTTAACCCACTCTGACATTATTTGTAGTTTCATCTAAAATTATAATTTAATAAACATTAACATCATTCAACTAGAATTATGGAAAATAAAATAATATACATTATAAGAAAATAAAAAAAAAAACAGAATTTCTATTACAACAAAGCTCCCAGAAGTAAAATAGTTTAGCTGCTATGATCAAAGTATAACGCCAGAGGAAATGGAGTAGAAGAAAGTAAGAAACGCTCCAAAACGAAGAAGCAATAGAAATCTTACCGATGTCCGATCGGCATCGGTATCAATTGGTTCTTCATCAACATTTCTCAAACGAGCTTCATAAAGTTTACGAAACTCATCAAGAATATAAAGACCTTCCGTCTGACCACAAATGGCACCGGTTTTAACATCGATCGCTGTACAAGGCCCGCTGACAGCCTTTGCGCTGCTTGTTGAATCTTCTTCTGAGCCTTTGACATTGCCATCAGGAGAATACATAGTCGATGCAATATTGAAAACCAAAAAAATGTTCCTCAAATTCTTCCTCTCTCTTTACACTCCTGTATAATAATGCGCTTACTGTCAAAAAGTAACATAAACTAGCGCACTAACTCGCCATTTTCATGGCAAATGGCGCTATCGGGAGTGTGAACGGCAGTCGTCCCGAAATGACCACCTAGTTGAATAAAATACATAGATTGTAAGAAGAATAGTGACTCAGAGTTCTCTTCTTGTTTTTTTTTGACGTTGATTTTACCCTCTGATGGCATCGACTCTAGATGGACAAGTTAGGAACAGACATAAAGGAACAATAATATAGATGGAGGCAATAATTTATGCGCGATAAAGTTGCGCGTGACTGGAAAATGGCGGAAATAACTGATTACAAACCGATGGATGAAACGTCGTGATCACTGTCTTACTCCTGTTCAAAATAGTAATATGAATTCATTTGACGTTATCGAGGATGATAGTATTTCTATTTATGAAATTCTTATTGCATTGATACAAGATTCGATAATTTCTATAAACATACAACGAATTACCATGGGCACTGTATTTCTGATTATCGCCATTATGTCGAGTTTGCTTTACCGATTTAGAAGTACGTTCTACAGTTATATACATTACATTATAAAGAAAATGCTTTAATTGCTGTTAAAGTATATAACTAGTGGTTGATTTTGAAATTATATAATTTTCTATATAGGTTAAAGATAACCATATGAAGGGTATGACATTTAAAACATAGTCAAAGATTAGTTACTGAACATACTGACATAAAATCTTGTAATTTGTCTTTGTTATTAAAAAATAATTTATTCTTGTAACTCACTTGATGTTTCTGAAAAAAGTTTATATTGTTTATTTATTTTTAAGTTTACTTCGATTTTCAGAACGAGATCACATAATACAAAGTACTACAGAAAATGGCACTAAGTATTCTAAAAAAGAAATTGACATAGATGCAGTAATTAGAAGTAAAATTCTACTTAACCACAGGAATATTCACGCAGAGTTATATGCTGTCGCTAGTGTAAGTTTATTACCATACACCTCATGTACTTTTCTATTGCAGGGAAATGCATCTTACATTAAGTGACATAATAATTAAATTATAGGCCCAATTATGGGCACTGTACCAATCGTGGACAACCTTACAGATTAGAATGCGTGCAAGAGAGATCAAAATGATTTCTTATGTGGTGTCCAGTAGTGGTACAGTTTCCACGGCTAAGTCTACTATATAATGAAAAATCGTATCCAAATTGTATAATTAATGACGCAATTTTGATTAGCGCATTAAATATTATATATTTCTCGTAACAGAAATGCTATAACGTTCATTGCGCCATTAGATGTATTGAACTTGTCAATTATTGTCCACACTTAATGAATGTTAAACGCGAATTTACGGGATTTACGCCATTTCATTGTGCCTGTTACTATGGTCACACATGCTTAGTGGAGTATATGTTATCAAAAGGTATATATTTATTTATAGAATTTGTATTAATCCATTAATGCCCATTGATGTAAAAGTACAAGAGTCTAGTGCATTCTTGCATTATTGGACGTTAATGGGGATTATCTAAAATTAAAAAAATTATAAATTCAATAAAGTACTTTATTCCAGGAGCTAATCCTGGATTAAAAACAAAAGATGGAAAAAATGCTATTTGTATAGCTTTTTATCATTTTATAAATAACCCGTCGAAGAAAGATTTCTCGTGTCTAGATGTTCTTTATCAAGCAGGTTAGTTCAACTTTATATAATTTAGGATCGTTTGGACATTCAATCCCAGTGTTGTGAAAATGGTTGTATCTCCTTCTGTTATGTGCAGATAAAAAGGGATACAACTATGCTCCCAGTATTGGTAGTGAACTTTTGAATGTACTAACTTTTTAATATAAAATCGATGTGATGTCATACATAAAGCATAGCTTGTTGCATAGCAATAGGAAACGCATATATGTATATTCGCATCTTAAGTGATTGCGGACAGATTAATAATTGTTTATTGAACTTTTGAGAAAATTTTATAAACTTTTAGGGTGCAATTTTGATTTTGACAATGGATGGTATCATTACTTTTTGAAAATTGTCAGACAAACTCACAACAAACGTCTGATGAATTGGTTGTTGATTTACGGACAGACACCAAAGGTAAATAAAAATCTTAGATCAACTTCCTTGCCGCCATTAACGGAAACAGCAACATTGCACTACGCGTGCAAGTAATATTACATAATAAAAATCCTAATTAAATATATGGGCATATAATAGGACTACTTGTAACGATAATAAATACAGATTGAATAATATTTGTAATTTTTCATGATTCCTTTAATTGAAAATCAATTAATGACTGTAATCGGATAACAATAGAAAGCGATTTTGATGGAGATCTAACAAACTGTTATGTCAAACATATGCACATTCTTCTTTTGCGCGTAACAGGTTAAAAATACGGAAACTTATTAGAATGAAGAGACATTCAAACGTAGGAAGCGTCGATTATTATCCTAAATTAAGATACTCGTTTCCTCAGGTAATATACTTATTCATGTAATTTAAAGGGTGATATTATGGCAGACTCTAACATTAATTTTTTCTTCATCAGTTTTGGTTTGGATGCTGGACCGATGTTGTATTAACTTTAATCGGATTACTAGCTGCAATTTTAAGTGGATTTTGCGTTCCTGGAACAATAATTCTATACGGAAATCTTGCTGAATCCTTTGTACAATATCATATACATAATGCCATTAAAGGTATTAATGAAACGAGTGAATTTCCCGTGGGATTTAGAGGGTAATTATACATATCGTAAGTCAGGCTTACGTACTGGTCTAAAGTGTACCAAGTAAAATCATTTTTATTGGAATTTTAAATTCTTGCAATTTCCGTTCACCAGATACAATGATCAATTTCGAGGTACTTCGAAGGAACTGGCCAAAGAGACGTTGAATTTCGCAATTTACTCCTTGTTTTTCGCAATTTGCCAAATGATTTTTACAATGATATTTATCATTTGCCTTAATCATGCTGCAATTAATGAATCAATTCAAGCGAGACAGATTCATTTCAAAGTTTTATTACGTCAGAATATCGCATGGTTTGATTCTCAAAATCCGGAAGATTTGGCCTCCAGGAGTATCAGGTAGAAAAATTACTATATTTTATACAAAACGATCATCATTACGATTATGTTTTCCTACGACTTATGGTGATCTCTGAAAAATTATTGAAATTGTTGTTTCTAGAGATACAAGTTATCTGGAGTCAGGATTGGGCGAGAAGCTTGGAATGTTTGTATCAAGTACAATTGCCGCCTGCAATTGTATTTTAGTTGCATTATATTATGGCTCTAAATTAGCCGGTACACTGCTTGTTATATTACCGATAATAGCAGTTATTATTTGCATAGCTAAATGGGTGATTATGATATCACATAATAGAACTCGCATGCGTTATGCTTGCGGAGTGAATTAACTTTATTAATTACGTAATATAAAATTAGACATATAATTAACGCAGCTTCAATTATACAGGCAAATGAATATATGCGCGAGCAAGAGGACTTCTTTTACAAACCAGCAGAATTGATTGCAGAAGAGTGTCTGACCAATATTCGCACTGTCTTGGCTTATTCTGGCGAATCGCACGAATCTAAAAAATATGTGGAAAAACTTGTACTGGTAGAAAATTGTGAAACCACAAAGGGTACTATTAATGGTATCGTTGGTGCGATTATTTGGTTTCTCATGTACTCCATGTACGGTTTTGCCTTGTGGTATGGCGTCAACTTATTGAAGATTGAACAAAGTTATACAGTGGCAACATTAATAGTGGTAGGTATTATGATATATATTCAGATTATTCGTAATTTTTGTATTAAATAAGGTTTGTCACAAATTTCATAAAAGATATTTCGGATTACAGGTATTTTTTTGTTTGCAAATTTGTGTTTTGCATACATTACAATTGCCACAATATTTACATATAATTGAAAAATCAAATGCTGCTTCAAGAAAGGTATTAGTATTAATAAAAAGAATCAAGAACTGCTTAATTAAATTTCAAATATGTAGATTATAGGCATGATGAAAAATACTTCAGAAATGAAAATTACGAATGTTCACGTATCCGCTGCAAAAACGGAAGTGGGGATTTCTTTTCGAAATGTTTTCTTTCGTTATACACTACATAACGATCTCGCAAGTGTTAACAAATTTATATTTACTTAACTCTTTTACCTATTATGTATAATGATATATTTATGTTAGGTACTAAAAGGAATATCATTTACTATTTATAAAGGACAGACTGTAGCTCTGATGGGAAGCCCAAATACTGGAAAGACTACTTGCTTTAGACTTATACATAGATTCTATGATCCTGAATCTGGATTGGTATAATATTTTTAGTATGGAACATTACGAATTTGATTAGGACTGAATTTTATAAAATATTTTATTTTAATCAGATCTTTATAGACGGCTTTGATGTGAAGCACAGAAATTTACACGGGCTACGAAATTATGTTGGATTTGTTCAACAGTGTCCTGTGTTATTTGGTACAACTTTAGAAGAATGTATTACATGTCACTCGTCATTGAAATCTCTAGAATATATGGAAATCGTTGCCAAAATAGCAGGCATACATTCTTCCATAATAGGCCTAACAGAAGTAAATATTTATACTTGAATAATTAATTGTACAAAAATAACCGAAAATTTTTCTATCGCAGAAATATAATACACCGCTTACCGAAGATTTGCCGATAGATCAAAGACAGAAACTTGCACTTGCCAGAATTCTGTACAGAAAACCACAAATTCTGATAATGGACAACGCTTTGTCAGCTTTGACTCCAGCAGCCGAAGATGCGATTTTTGAGTCTATCAAATCCGTAAGTTCAACTCAGACTCTCTCTTTTTTAATGACCAAGAAATTATATAACTTCGTTGCTTACTGTTTTAGGTAAACAAAAATCTTACGATAATCGTAACAACTAGAAATCCGCTGATACTAAGGAAAGTGTCCAAAATTGTGTACTTGTACGATGGCATCGCTGAAGAATATTCTACGGTGAATGAGATAATACAGACTCATCCAGAAGCAGAGAAAATGATTGGAGAACAGAAAGAATTCTTTGATAATAAAAGTAAATTTTCTGAAAATCAAACTATACAGGCTAAGTATCAATAATTGTTCTTTACAGCAAGCACTGTGGCAAAATGTAAATACAATCAAAAAATTCCTCAGAGGTCTATGCAACATGCATCAAGTTTTTTGGGAAGAAGTTATCAAGAATTATTGAAAACAGAATTAGTGCGCATCGGTCGCTATCCTGTCTTCTTTCAAGTTACTGATATTCCTACAGCTGATCATATAATGGTACAGTTTTCATGTGATGGAACATAAACTATCAGCTTTACATATTTCTTTATATTATGATATAATAATTTTTCAGAGAAAGGATATCAAACTTGCAAACACCATGAAACTTCTTTACTACAATCGCAAGGAATGGCTTCAATTATTGCTTGCTAGTGTTGCAGCAGCAATTTTAGGCTTTAGCTTACCAATATATGCAGTACTTTTTGGTGAAACTTTGAGCTTAATTGCATTGCATAATGGCATGCAATTGCAAGTGCGTTTAAATTTCTTTACAAGTATGTTTATGGTAGCTGGTTTGGTCTCTGGTATTTGTACGATTATTCAGGTATCTAAAAATATCCACTTTTGTATCCCTTATACATATAATAAAAATTAGCAATTATGATCATAATTATATTTTCTATTATAACAGGATTACATGGTTAATATGGCAGGAAGTAAGTTGACTGCTAGAATGAGAAAATATACCCTCAAGAAAATTTTACATCAAAACCTGGAATGGTTTGATAATGAAACTAATGAATTAAATAAAATTAATACTTTGCTTAAAATTAATGCAAGAAAAATACAACAAGTATGAGTGATAATGGATTTTTATCAGATATTAAAGAACAAATATCATAATTATTATTATTACTTCAGGCATGCGGTCAACGATTAATTTTTTTAATACAAGCAATAACATCGTTGACTGTAAGTATTATACTCTCGATGATGTACAGCTGGAAATTGGGTCTGGCGATTCTTGTCTTTACACCAATTATTTTGGTAGTATTGAAATATTACAACACTCTGCTGTTACAACAATCATTTCGTAATTCTACCCAGTTAAACAAACTTAAATTGGTACTTTTACAGTATTACTTTACTATATTTTTATTAGTAAAACCAGTGATCGATAGTGTTTATGCATGTGCATAACCAATTATTTTGTTTACAAACAGATTATTTTGGAATCTGCCTCAAATATTAGATGCATAGCCGCACTGACATTAGAAAATGCATTTTTTGAACGTTACCATGAAGAACTGCGTAAACTACTAGTAAATCAAAAAAGGGTTTACCTTTTAGCTTTCGTGCATGCATTTTGTACAGCATCGCCCGCAATAGTATACGCAGTGTCAATGTTTTTTGGTGGATATATGCTTAGGAATAGAGAGATCGAGATAGGAAAGGTTTTTAAGTAAATTATACAAATTTTATTAATACATAAAACCTGCGACTTATCGTTAAAAGTGATTGATTGTATAAATTGTGTATTTCAGGGTAGCAGAAGCTATTATTTTAGGAACGTTTATGGTGGGACATTTGGCAGTCTTTACACCAAACATTATAAAGGCACAGATAGCCGCAGTGAAGCTTTTTAAAATAATAGAATCACCCTTAAATAATTACAATAGAAATTATAAAACGGTAATTAATTATGGAAAAACGTGTAGTAAAGAAGGCCAGCTTGATAAAATTTTCTAAAACGGTCGGTTGACTAGAATAATTGGTAGACGTGAGACGCATAACTGCTAAAAATAAAATTATTGTATTTAATGTGACCTTTTTTACTATATGTGTCTACATCCTTACTCATGTATAATGTATTCTTAAGCATTTATTAATATTCTAATTGATTTGCTTTCTAGAAGTTGAGTGGAAATATTAATTTTAACAACGTATCCTTTGAACATCCCCTTTATTCTGGACTTCCAAAGTTGCTAAACTTTACCATTCAGATTAATAATGGGGAAAGCATCGCACTTGTTGGCTGCCCTTCTTCCGGTGTTTCAATACCAATACAGCTACTTTTACATTTTTACAAACCGACTTCGGGGGATATAGTAAGATATCGAATAAACGATTTTTGGGATTATTGAAATATTATTTAAAATTTATATTTGGTTTAGCGATTACCCTAATAGCCAAAAATCTCATATTCCAGAATATTAAAATTAAAACCACAGCATCATGCAAAACATGCTCTTATTATGCAAGCAATATGCTGGGATATTTCAGGGAAGTCATTTTTGGCTATCTGGGTTTAATTAAAGAATTATTTAATAAGTATAGGTCTTATTAGGTCTATTCAGTACACAATTTTATTCTTAGACTTTTTATATCTATTTGTTTTCACGTAGTTTTTGGATGGTGAACGCCATGAAAATTTCAATGATAATAATTTAAGATCGTTGATCGGATTGGTAGAAGGTGACTCGATACCTTTTAAACGTTCCATTGCTGAAAATATAGCTTACGGTAACTTGAAACGAAGAATACGAATTGACGAAATTGTTGCTGCTTCAAAAGCTGCTTATTTTCATGATTTTGTGATGTCCTTACCTAACGTAAGTTTATATGATTAGATTATCTTTTTCATTTTATGATAATATTTAAAATCAGTTTTTTCAGGGATACAATACGGTTTTAGACGAGACTGAAGTTTCATTGACAATAAGTCAGAAAGTACGGTTGTCACTGGCAAGAGCGCTTCTACGTAATTCAAAAATTTTATTGCTTGAAAATTTACCACGAGCTGAAAGTCCTGAGACCGAAATGGTAATATAAAAGATTTTCAGATACTTATTGATACTAAATTAGAACATAATGATCATTTTTCACTAATTCAACGATATCATACTTACGACAATTATAATAATTCTTATAGATTTTGCGAAAAGCAATTCTCTCAGCAACCATCGATCGAACATGCATTGCTTCGAGTCATGATCCATTTTCAGCTGTACAACTTTTTTCACGCATACTTTTTATGAACCGTGGATGTGTAGAAGAAATTGGAATTCATGAACAACTAATGACCGCGCAAGGATCTTATACAAATTTTTGCAACAAAATTGGCCACAGTTTCGTAACATTTAACAATGAAAACGAGCTTTTCCCTGAATTCTATACGAACAGTGAGTTTTTGAAAACGGAAATGGAAAATAGCGATAATTAAATTAAAGCAGTTTTAATTTCAATGAATTTCTTAAATACGTTTCAGAAAATAAAATATAAAAAGTATTGTGGCAAGCAGATTTGCCTTGAAGCACAAACACTTCAACCATGCGGTCGTGTTTTAAACATTCATCTTTGCCAAAAAGTTAATTTTGTACTTGTGGAACTTTTAAACAGGAATTGTCTGACATTTGCAAATAGTATTGCTCCGCCTAATTTCTTATGGTTTTTTTCTTCCTGTAAATTTGAATCCGATTGGTTAAGGGGGAATGGAACTGATCGCCAAAGTTCAAATTGACAGTGCTGCCGTGCATTGTGGCAAGTCGTGGAGACACGCGACTATACTTTTGCACGCTATTGTGACGTCATGCTTTAGTGATGCTCAAGAGCTGGCTACGTGGAAGTGAAAAGATTCCCTATACACTTTTCTCTACTGTACTTAAAATCTGCTTTACACTCTAGAGATTCAACATTGTGATTGAGTAAACGTAGTGGCACGTGTATTAATATGAAAATTTACAGTTAATATGTATAAAGAACATCTAACTGAAGATAGCTTGAGAGGAATGAGCACCACTGGCGCATATTGGCACTATCCGTGCTACTACTACCGCTCGCTGTGGTGAAAGGCTGAAGTTTTAGGCGAAGCAATACGGCTCATTGCCAGCTCCCCGTATCGCATCCAAAAATCTCGAATTTCGCTGAACGGTAGCAAGTCCCAGTGCTAAGGAGTAAAGTTGATATGCATAAAACTTTTGCTGCGTGCCCCTTTTTTCGATTTTCATCGTTGGTTCTATGCAACAATGTGATAAGTTTTGGGTAGGGAACGGCAAAGGTATTGTCGTGACGTCATGACATGTTTCTAGGCCGTCACTGTCGATATTCACTGCTGTTTTATATATTTTCTAAGCAATGATTCAAAAATCGGGCTCCACAGGAAAAGTCTTTTTGTCGGAAGGTTTCAAGTTAGTGCAATGAATTGAGTGACATTGCTTTCTAGAAGGACATTTTTGGGTGCAAAGTTCCCTCGCTTCCGGCTCTTGTCCACGTGATATACTAATCCACATCAAAAGTCAGTTCCATTCCCCCCACCTCATTGAACACTAACAATACTGGAATCCGAATGGCAGTGGTGGGGTCCGCGCAGAAAGAGATACCAAGGACACAGGCAAAGATCAGTAGGGAGATGCACAACGCTACGATTTTCGGTAGAGATGAGTGGGGAGATGCACAACGCTCCGGGTTTAGGCGATACCAAAAGCATGGCGCTAAATCGTAGCGGCGAGTCCGGGAGTAGGATTTCGTGATCATCGCCTCCGTCGACAATACGAATCCCGTCGTAGCCGAGCTAAACGGGAACACGGACGCGTAGCATGGCGGGCAGAGGTTCTCCGCTACTCACCTTAGAACCCTTAGAACGAGCCCGGGAACTATAGAACTTCTCAACAACTGTTGAAACAGCCTATTGTTGAAATATTTTTACCCGACATCAATAAGTGCAATTTTGTTGGGACATTTTTTACTGCTTTTCTATTCGGCTGAATAGTATTTAAATTATTCAAAGCGCTACAGCACAAACGGACCTCCAATCGCGTCGTTCTAGTACGCGTAAAAAGACTATGCCAAGTACAGGAGTGCTGTGCATTTCTCTCACAAAAAATATTGAAATCATATTAATAATGCCAAGTACATAAGTCACTACATATCTGCTTATTATATGATCCAGCACTAGCCCACCATTTCAATTGTATTTCAAAATTTCATATAATGTCTTCGCTATAATATAGCACATAGTATACTAGGTACTAAATAATATATTTGTAATATACGAATGAGTCAAATGTTTAGTAAATAATATTCCAGAGTCAACTGTAAACGCAACCGAAATCCGAAGATTGACGACTGTTTCCGAAGGCAGCGCTCGGGGGTTAGTACACGTAAGTGGGGGTGGCTGCCTATGACGCAGGAGACGTATCGGCTCGGGGCCTTCATTGTTCCTAGACCCATCCATCTAGTCAGTGCGGCCTTACCTACGT